CAAAGATGAGTCCTGATGGTAAAGCAAGAAAGCCCACTACTGCTTACAACAAGAGATACAGAGGCTAAAAGGAGAGGGTTGTATTGGTGCAAATCAGGAGCCACTACCCAAAAAAGAAGAAGAAGAAGAAGCTTTGATATTCACAACACAGCCATATAGTGAATCTGAGCAAGCTGATGAGGTTATCGAGCAGAAATCAGAATATCAGTAGAGTGAGGATTGTTGATTATTTACAGAGATTTTCTAAGCTTTGGTCTCCGAGTGCACAAGTGCTAGTATGGGGATAGGTAAGTGTGTCTTGTGTTCGAGTGGAGGCTGTTGCAGTCTTTATCCAAATACTTGCTAGTAGCTGAAGCGTGTGTGTGTATGTGTGTATGTGCGTGTTTAGCCTTAAGCCTATATGTTCTATAGTGCGATATCAAAGATAAGCAGTATCATAAAATAGCCCTGTCATAAAGCTGTTAGATGCATACTTCTTTGCTTTGATTCGATTGTTTACTATCAAGCATGTTTCCTTTGAAAGTGAAGATTGTTAAAGAGCTGAGAGAATCTATAGATAAAAGTAAAATAAAATAAAATAAACAAAACTATACTTTCTCTTGTAGTATATTTATTGATGCTAGAAAAGTATTTCCTTATTATGGGCTGTTAGAATATATATATATATATATATATATATATATATTGCTTGTGTGAGGAACTACAGGCAAATCTTGGCTTTTGCTGCTAAGACTACAAGTCTTTTATAAGACATGATGGGTTAGAATTGGTTTTCTCTTCTAGTCATGTAAACATGTCTTTTGGTCGTCACTGATGTGAGAAAACATTGTCTACGAATCAATAATCGCTCTATTAATTCCAAAGCAACCCTTGTCCTCTTTTATCTACAGCCAAAAAAAAACTGCTGTTTAAAAGCAAAGCAACTATTGGCCTTATTGATTGAGCTTTGGTGAAGAGTTTCACAAGACAAGTCTTTTTTTTTTCATCACTTTTAACACCTTTATATTTTTCTTATAGATTCTATCTATCCATATATGCAACTTTATACCTGCTAGAAGGCTCAATCTGCTTACCTATGCATGCATAACCCTAAGTTTCTTGCTATCATTTGGTGTACAACAAGCAACTTTATAATGCATCTGATAAGAAAATAACACAAAGGCCATTTGTTCATGCATCTCTTAAAGTAGCCAATCTCTTAAAGTGGCCAAGGCAACAGATTGATTGGCTAAGCCACCGGACTTCGAATATGGTATTTTTATTTCCAGAAAAAATTTTTTCTTTTTCAAACCCTTGTCTTTTATTTTTACATTGTTGTCAAAATAAAGACCATATTGCTCAGGGTAGCCAAACTCTTGTCTAGCTAACCTATGGAGCTAAAAGAGTGCTACCTTCCAGCCGTGTAGCTGTATCTGTTCAGTGTTTTGCTTTTTTGGCGCTGTTTAGATATGACGTTATACTAAGACTCGTGTAACCAAAAGCTATTGTCCCTAGCGATTGTTTATACACGTACGTACTAACTGGCTGCAGAGATCAGGTTTTTGGGTTTACTGATTCTCAATACATAGATACTTGTACTCCGGGGTACTTGTATACACAAAGGGAAAAAAAGAATGCGCAGTAGCATTCATGCATACAAAGACAGAAGACTAGCCATCTTTTGTCTCAAGATTGGGTTTAGCGTTGCCTGATATTCTGTTCAAGAGAGTGATTAGCTCTTGTTCAGAAAAAGAAATCTATTTGTTCAAGTCTGGTCAGCTTGTTCAAACTACTGCAAATACTTGTACTTCGGGGTATTTGTATACACAAAGGGAAAAAAAGAATGCGCAGTAGCATTCATACATACAAAGACAAGAGAGTGGTTAGCTCTTGTTCAGAAAAGAGATGCATTTGTTCAAGTCTGGTCAGCTTGTTCAAACTACTGCAAATACTTGTACTTCGGGGTACTTGTACATACACAAAGGGAAAAAAAAAAGAATGCGCAGTAGCATTCACATACAAAGACAGAAGACGAGCTATCTTCAAACTACTGCAAATACTTGTACTTCGGGGTACTTGTATACACAAAGGGAAAAAAGAAGGCATGGTGTCACTTTCTAGACTGAAACTGGTCTTTCTCTATCGACAAGGCTTTCTCTCAGGTGTCTCCAAGGTTACTCAGCAAGTCTCAAGGTCAATCAAGAATGGCTCTCATGGCTCAGTGGATATCTAGTAAGTATCTTCCAATGGTGTTAAAAGTATAATACACTAAAGTCCTTTTGTTTAGGTGTTTGCAAGGCTGGTCATCAAGGTCTGTTACTGGTCCAAGACTGACTCTCTCCCTGGTTCTACCCTGTTATGGTTAGCAAGCTCAAGATCCCTAGGTATACTCTACTTATGGTGGTGTCTAAGGCGTCTCCAAGGTTGGTCATCATGGTGTGTTACTGGTGCAAGACTGTCTCCCTCTGATTCTGGTTCTTTCAAGCGTTTCAAGGTATCCATTGAAGGACTCAACAGATCTTCGCAATGCCGTCTGCTTTCTTCAGTCTTGTCTGTTTAAGAGTCTGATCAGCTCTTATTGAAGCAAGAAGAGGGTTTGGTTAGGCTTGATCATCCTAATCAAATCCACAATATGTTTGTGCTGTGTATACCAAATTCCTTTTTGTTTTTTACTAGCGTGTTCCCCCTCCTTCCCATCTCTACTTTTCTTTTCTTTTTTGTTGTGTTGTGGTTTAACTGTTGAAAAAGTAGGTGCACTTCTTCGTTTATGTTGTTTTTCTTTTCTTGGACTGAAGAAGGTTTTGTCTGGTGTCTTTAATGTAAGTAATAGTTGTCTTTTTCTTGTTTTACAGTCAGTACTTGTGGTTGACTAGATCGTGTGCTTGCGCATTGTCTATTCATCTTTAGTTATTGGCAAAAACAGTCTTAAATAAAAGTAATGGGTTGAGTCCACTAGTATAACTGCTTTATCCACTCACCTCTGTTGCTTTATTGTTGTCTTTTATTGTTAGTGCGAGTTGATCAGAGTACAGTTCACTTATTGAGCTACAGCGATGTTGCTTTGATTGTACTATGCCATTACGTTTTGCTTTTGTGAATCTGTTGTCTAGTCTTTGTAACAACTGGATCAAAACGCGATTATGGTTTGTGAATGTCAATAAAAAAGAAATGATATTCAAATGCAGCGAATACACACTAGAAAAAGAAAATTGGGTTTGAAATACGGAACCCTCTTTCTACAAGACATCCATCATTAGTTATACTTTAGTCTCAAGAGTGCCATGTACTATAGCAAATCCTACTAGAGTGCGTTTTGTGTATTGAATGATACATAATTAAGTACGCACTTACTTATTAATGTCTATTAAAGAGCCTCTTTTATACTGATAACAGTGTACAATAAACTTTGAATGGAGATTTGAAGGCAATACTCAAATTAAGTCGCCTTTTTCATCTTGGTAAACTCGTTTTTTTTTCCTCAGAAATACCTAGAGATGACCTTGGCTTATTTCGGTTGGATCAGACCTATAGCACAACTGTTTAGCAAACACATTTACCAAAAACTAGAGCTTCTGATGCACGTTTCGAGTATTTATGCTTGTCGATAGCTCTATTTTTTGTCTTGAAGCGTCAAAAAGAAGATTAAGAGTTGTCAAACGAGCTTTTTCATGGGTAATACCCTTTGCTCAAAAGGTCATTTTGACCATTTTTTACAAGTTGCTTTTTTTGCCCATGCCGACTCTAGTGGCACCGTGGATAGTAGCAGACATTGTTTGAAGGTACTTATTCGTGTATGAATAAGGTTTATGCTACCTTTGTACACCTAAGAAAAGAAGATGCGTATACATTGTTGTTTGTCTGGCGTCTGTGTTACATGAACAAGTCACCCACTACCAAACTGTTTATTCAAATAGAACATCTTATTAAAGCACACTTGATCCATTGAGTTGGAGAGTCTGATGAGTTTCATTTCTGTGACAGTGAGCTGCTCGGTAAATATTTAAGTGAGACTTACAGCCTAGGTGCAATCCGGTTTCATCTGTAAGCCTTTTCTGTTTCTTGGTGCAAAGAGCTCCATGCAAGGGATACAAATTCATTTGATATGTGTATCCAAAAACGTCATCAAGTTAGCTTCGTTACAGGTACACTGATTGATCCTAAAGAATTGAAAAAAAAAAATTAGGATTGGTTAAATATGCATTCTACATAAAAAAAAAAATGGAGTATCGTTTTTCCCTCTTTTTTTTTTTTTTTACTCCCCCTTTTTCTTTCAAAAAAAACAATAATGGGTAATATTGCTTCTATAGGGTTATCAGCAGCTATGATTATAGGGCCTGTTGTAGGCTATGTTGACCAAGTAAATTTGAGCTTTGAACAAGAAGATAAACTGATATACGATTAGTATCTTCTTATTCGACGCCAAAAGTCAAGTAGAGGATTTAATCCAGTAACTTGTGGTGTCCTTTTGTTTGCAAAGTAAGGACCCCATATGTGTATATACACCTATTTATTTTATATGATGACTAGTATTCTTCGTATCTTTTTTTGGTAACTTTAGTATGAGTGAGTATTTTGCTCTTATGTATCCTATAGGATAGGAAAACAGTTTGATACAACACTTCTTTTACAATCAATAGCGATGGTTCTTGCTATGCTGGTACTGCTAGAAATTGTCGTACGATACAAGCATGATCAAAGTTTTGCTGTACTCTATAGTGATTTACGTTCTTCCTTCTCTTCTTCTTCAATAGAACAAGACTTACGGGCTGAAGAAGAAGGCTTTGATATAGAACAACGGCATTCACTAAGAAGAGCTTGGCGTATGCCTTTTTGGGAATGGGATCATTATCTAGACTATGTCAATTGTCTATTGATCTTTACCACTTTGGTTGCACTTTCATTTTTAATGTTTAGAAATAATTCTGCTTATATCGAGATGATAGGTGCACTAAGTCTCGGTGTTGAAAGTACATTACCTTTGCCTCAATGCATATCGAATTTCAAGCATAGATCAACTGCTGGTTTTAGTTTACTTGTCTTGGCTTCTTGGGTAAAATATATATATATATATATTATATGTTATTCATTCTTTCTTTTTCTTAGTTTTTTGGTGATGCATTTAAATTGTTTTATTTTGTCTATACTCAATCACCTCTTCAGTTTATTGTGTGTGGTGCTATTCAACTGTCCATTGACTCCCTTATTGTATTGGAATGTATTTTATTCTCTTCTTTTGTGAAGAACAGAATCAGTAAGCATAGTTGGATTCATAAACAAGATGAAGACCAAGAAGAATGTAAGTGATGTGTTGAATAAAATAAAAATAAAGGGCTCATCGTCTGTTAGTATTACAAGAAGATGATTGACATTTATCACAAATTTAGTAATTAAAAACATCATTGGTTCTTTTTTCTCTTTTTCTCTTTTTCTTTTTTTTTTTCTTTTACTTAAAAATGGGCTGTTGTTCGTCAATACCTTCTCATGAACAAGATGTGCCTAATGTGACTCATGAGCAACCCAAGTGTAAGCAAAATAGAATAAAGATAAGACATTTAAAGAAAAAGAAATGAATAGCTATGCCACAACATACGATTGAAAAGAATACTACTTGGCCTATCCTTGTTCGACTATCAAGTAATGGACAAGATATTCCTATTCAAGTACCTATTCACCCACCTTATTTAACAGTGGGTGGGCTTCGAAAAGAACTGTTACCTCATTTAAATCCAAATGCTCGTATCAAGTTTATTTATTTAGGTCGTCTTTTACCTGATGGACATATCATTGTACCCACTCAGCACCAAGACTCAGATATGCCTTTACCTCCTCCTAAACACAAAACCATTCAGATTCAAAAAGAAGGTGTTATTCAAGCCATGGTTTTAATGTAAATACGTTTTTATTTTATCCCAGTTGCATTTCATGAAAATCTTCGGGAACTGCTTCTAGTGTATCAATACCTGCCATTTCTTTATATTTATCAATATCTATCATATATATTTTTTGTACATTAGTTTTCCTTCTAAATATGTATATTGTTCTTACCCATGGGCTTTCTTTTTGAAATCATGTATTCTGTTACTTTTTCAGGATGAAGACGTTCTTCTCTATTGTATTTCAATCGAATTTGATTTCTAGTTCTACCAGGCATCATGATAGAAATCATCTCAAAATCAGTACCAAACTGTGAAAGACATTCATAAAATTGCTGTGTTTCTGCATCGTCCCATTTAGAAGATGCTTTTCGTTTGCCATAGGTAGCACTGTTGACTCTTCTTGTCATTGAGTTTTCTTCTACTACTTCCATAGCACCTTCTGCCATACTTGATTCAGGTGCTGTTCTTTCTACAGTCAACGTATCTGTGTCCAGCACAATTTCACCATTCACTAAACGCACTTGAACCGCATTTGATCTATTCAGGTCAGCTAGGATTGAATAACAGATAGACTTACGATTCAGCCAATACATTCTCTGCTTCTCGTCTTCGTCTTTCATCATCTTTTTCTTTTGCTAATAATTTCTGTCGAGCTACTTCAGCTTCTTCAGCTTCTTCTTTCTTCTTGAGTGCTTCTAATTCTTCTGGGGACATGGTCTTTTTGGCTTCTTCTGTCTTTTTCTTGGCTTCTCTAGCTGTTTCCATTTCTTTAAACGCTTTACTCACAATACCATCCACATCTTTTGTAAATGTCGACATGGGCTTATCAAGGTTGTCTATCTTGTTCAAATCATCTGTGATGTCGTCCAACGTACGCATATTTTCAACAAGACGGTAGGCAAATTTATGAGGTTTACGGATCATTTGGCCTGTTCTTTTCGCTCTTTTAGTTCTTCTTCCTTGAAGACGAGCAATCTCTTCGTCGCTGTCTGTCGTACAGGATTCGTATGAATCTTGTTGTTGTTGTTCAGTTTGGCTTGGTACACCAATACTGATAGAGACAGGTGTTGCTCTATTGCTAGATCCAGGTGTAATAGCAGTAGATGGTTTACCTTTGCCTTTGTTTTTTTTAGCTGGTTTTGCTGTGATGATCACTGCTTCTTCATTATCATCAGAGTCATCTTCAAGTAAAGCTGGTTGAGATGCGATAGCCTCTGTTGCTTTTACCTTGGCTTGTCTAGACGATGATCGTGATCCAGTGCTTGTTTCTGGTACATTGGTTATGGCTGGTTTGGGAGTTTTGGCTCTACGAGGTTGAGTTCGTTTGGCAGTTTGTTTTTTAGGGACTGGAGGTGTGATGGGAGGAGGTGTGATGGGAGGAGGTGTGATGGGAGGAGGAGAAGGAGCTGTAATAGGTTCTGGCGTGTTATTCTGGATGTCAATCTCTTCATCATCCGATGCTAACAATGCTTCGTCTCGATTCTCATCCTCGTCTTTTTTCATTGTGTTGATCTGTGCAGCAGGTTGTGTGGTTGGCTGTCCACTTGATTCTCCCAAGTTTAGTTTGGTTCTAACATCAGGTGTCATGCGTTCAATTTTAAGCAAAGGAGCTGATGCGTCCAATCGACAATCGGGTCGTTCGATAGGTGCCATAGGAGAAGGTGCATCAATAGGCGAGGGTGCTGCAGCTACGCGAGGTGCTGCATGCGAAGGCTCTTCAATAACAGGTACAGTAGGTCGAGGGCGTTTTCGCTGTGAACTGTTGGCATTGATGGCCAATTCTTCTTGTGTCAAGGGTTCTTCTTTAGGCAAGATAGCACTAGGTGAAGGAGCAGCAACAATCGGTGGTATACTACTCGTGGTATGGGTGGGAGCAGCAGTGATAGGTGGCACGCTACGTGTGGTATGGGTAGGTTGGCCGATGGTAGCAGGTAAAGTGGGTGGTTGAGCCTGGATTTCAACAGGCTGAGTCGATGCTGGTTTACGTTCTTTTCGCCTGACTGCTGTAGGAGCAAACGATTTTTTATTCTTGTCTAATAAACATGAATATGGAAACTATAGAGATAGGGATAGCTTACTGACGCCTATGCTTGTAAGAGAAGACATGCTTAAAGAAAAAAAAATTAACGAGTGACGGTTTTTAATCTCTTTTATTGAAAGGTATCCATAAAGGGGGTAGGGGATTTATTTGGCTAGACAAACAAGTTAGTTCCATGTCAATTTAGACAATCTACATACCATATTGAAGTTTCCAGCCATCTAATAATTGATGACTTCTTACTTGTTCCAAAGTCAATGGAGTACCATACGTCAAAGGAGCCAAAAACATAAACATGCCAAATTGAAGTAAAATGGTAGCACCCACAGCTGCATATGTTTTCCAACTGACTTCTGCTTTCATGCTTGTTCGACGTGTAGATCTTAATTGACGGCCCAAGAAAGACACAGGTGAATCAATACCGTCTACATAGATGAATTGAAATATGGCACCCACTAACAAATAGTTCAGAGTAGCAGCAGGCAAGTAGTGATGAAGGAAAAGGGATCTTCCCATCAAAAAGAAGGGGAAATAATGCAAGGCCCAAGCAACGAAAAAGAAACCGGCAGACTGAATCATACGGTGACGAACAGGCTCTTCAATAGGCTCAATACCACGACGACGAGCCAAGACATCGGCTAACACAATACCAACAAATACAGCAATACTACCCACAGACAAATTCCAACCAAACACATTACCTGTCAAGTAAATTTGAGATCGTGTCTCTTCATTAGACCAGTAAGACACACCGCGGATCATAAAGGGCCATGTAATAGGTCCAGATTGATAAGGATGAGGTTTAGTAAGACCTGCATTATGGCTGATCATGCGAGACTGCAATTCAAAGAACTTCTTGATAAAGGGCATATGTCCCAATTCCTTTTCTTGTTTATGGGCATTGAGCTCGGTGGCATTCTTGCCCTTGATTTCTTGAGCAACCCAGTAATTGGTCTTGTCGACTGCGTTCTTGTTACCATTGACTTCGAGATGACCAAGACCCCATTCAGGTAATTTCTTGTTGTGCACCCAAACAGCTACTTTCGTATCTTCATGAATCAAACGGAAAGGTGTCATATGAGTCTCTAATACACTATTGTCCTCTTCGTCATCAAATACGATCTTAAACAGGGTTTCTTCATAACGGCTCTCAAGAGGAACTGTCGTGATTTCTTCATTTGTAGGCATCCAAGGTGAAGCGACATCGTGTGTCAATAAGTTGGTACCAGTGACAACATGTTCCAATTGAACAATATCGCCATTTTTGACAGGACGTGTGGGGTCTTGGTGGTCCTCTGTAGGTTTAATTCGCCAGAAACAGTTGTCGTTGGATTCCATCACACCCGTCACTTGTTGACCTTTACTGCTGACACGACCATCTTCATAACGAAGAGGGTAATGAAGGTCGTGTGAGTGAAGATAGGCATTGGTGTCTTTGTGCTTCATGGTAATTTCATCACCATAATGAATGTCTAGTTGTCTATGATTAGCCTAGTATGGTAGTATATGTATGCACTTGCCTAAAGCAGCCATTTTTAAGGGACTGTTCTTCAACGTATCTTGGAAACGCGTTGACATGAAACTATCACCAGGACCAGATTCATTCAAAATAGCAAAATGAACATAGAACCAGAACAGATAGATAGTGATAGGCAAGATAATAAGAGCAACAGCACGAGCATAAACGTGCTTCAGGACTTGATCCTATACAAGAAAAAAAATCCTCCTTCTATCAATGTACTTTTGTTAAAAGTGAATATCTTACCATAGACAATCCACAACGAATATCCAACAGATGCCACAAATCATAAATCACAGAAAGACCAATCAAGGCCACTAAGAAAAGACCTACCATTTTGACACTGAAGGACGATCTTAATTCACTCAACCCTTGACTATGTTTGTACTTACCTAAATGTCAAGGCCATGAAGATACCTGTACAAAGAAGCCATGTCCACCATGCAGCAGAAAATGACATGTGTCTCAATTTACGGAATCGGATGTAACTATACACAGTAGCCAACATAAAGACCAACAACATACTGTCCAACAAGATCAATCTGTTCTGAGTGACCATGGCATTATCAAACACGTACATGGCAGTACTCAAGACACAGATAGGAAGTGCATAACCAGATTCTTGCATGATACCATAAATCAACATGGCACAAAAGACATTGAGTGTAGCAGGCAAGGCACGTAATCCAATATAAGGCACTTGGTGATCCACATAACTATCACCAATATTAGCAAAGTCATAATGACCATCAAAACCCAAGAGGTAGCCTGCACCTGCAATCATGAGCTTAGCCAAAGGAGGATGAACGTCAAAATAATAGGTTCTCTGCAAGTAATAACCAGCAAATTTACCAAAATGAACTTCATCAAATCTATAGCTTAGTTAATGACAAGATAAAACTTAAAGATACATACACAACTTCTGCAGGACTCCAAATCTTATAGAAAGTAACAAAAGTAGCTACCAAAGTAAGTATGGATAAAGCAATACGGTGACCAGTCAGAGAACGTTGCAAAGGTACAAAATCCTTGCCATACTAAGCTTATGTTAGTTTACAATAGAGAACGCGTCTATGTTACTTTTTTAGAGTCATCAAAGTCAACGTCTATAAGCCTCTCTGAAGCCCCATCAGACTCGTGTCGCCTTTGTCGAAGATGAACAGACATGAAAGAAATAAAGAGAAATTAAAAGAAGAAAATTATTTTTAAATTTGACATAGAACTCAGTGAGGTAACACCATGCAATAATCATTGTTCATTGCCATATAAATTGACCACTAAAAAATGTCCAGCAAAGGATTCTAAGGGGACTCAACTCCTTTCATCGTGCACGGCTTTATTTAATGCATTCAAAACGAACAAGCTAACAATTGTGTAACATGCTTGCCAAACGATTTGATTTAAAGCTGCATAGAATTTGCCTGCTTATGCTCATATAAGCTGTATCTCTTTATGTAAACTGCTCGAATAGAAATAAAAGATGCTGTGTCTATTGATCTCAACAATCGTTTTTTTTCATCAAAACATATTAGATTTTAAAAGCATTTAAGGTACAGACTGCTTAAAAGAATTCAAACGAAGTTTAAACACAATCAAACCAGACCATAATCTCAAAATCATTAAATTTTAACTTTGTTGTAAAACAACATCAAAACGCACTCAGATCTTCTTGGTATAATAACAAAAGTTATAGATATTATTAATCTCTATCAAATAGTACCAATAAAGCAGTATGTTTAAAGGAAAAGTTCCGAGAAAAAGAACAAAAACGTTTTTAACGCTTTTTGACTACAAGTCAATATTTTGCAGCAGAGAGTTTAGACAAAAAAAAATTATAAGAATCCCTATCTTCTAGGGACTTATTTAAACATTAAAACATATTGATATCGCTGCTTTTCATCGAGTAACTTCAGAAAATAAAGAAAGTTGAAGTTTTAATCACAACTTCCTCAGGTGAACCCCTTTAAAAAAACGATTCCCCATCCTTTCCGCTAAAGAACACTTTGGCGCCTTTTAAACTTCGATAATATCTTCAAATACAGATATCTTGCCAACAAACAACAGTATCAACAATCAAGCACTACCCATCGTTACTACTTTCCACACTCTCAGTAAGATAGTCGATAGTACATCCTCTAAAGCTGAGAATACGATTAACATCGTCGACCCTGAACAATTTCTGACTCCAGCGCCAACCGAGCCTTCATCTCGTCTTCCTCATCCCTCAAGAAAACGCTTAAGAACAAGCAAATCTCCAGAACCCATCACGAACAAGATGGCAGCAGACAAAGTTACTATACTTAAAAAATCCTCAGTGTTTCCTTACAACGTCCCTGTAACTCGAAACAGAGCTGTCGCACTCTCGGACACAGGAACCATAACTTACGAAAGACGACATGCTTCAAATGCAGGAACGACTCCTCCAATACAAAGCCGACAATGCATAACTCAGATCGGAACTTGTATGGTACTTTTGCCCAAGAAAGGGGACTTGACCAACCTTCGGAATTGGCGTCCCATTTCACTTATCAACACAGATGCCAAGATTTTTACTAGACTAGTTAACGCAAGACTTATGCTACATTTCTCAAAGCGTATCTCTTCTCACCAAATGGGCTTTATGCCTGGGCGTTTTATTGCTGAAAATGGTCAAATTCTATACAATGTTCAAGCCTTTGCTACAAGATCCGGTGCCACATTCTTTCGACATACGTCGATCCTTCCCTTACCGCTCCTTCAATTCAACTCTTAAAACAATTCCTCAATTTACACACCACCATCAACCGCACCAACAAGTCTGTGTTCCCAACCCTCTTCACTCAACAAATATGTGTTAACACATTGGAAGGTCTATGGTCCAGCCATTGGCGTTCCGTTTTTGATTCAACGCCTTTTGCCTTTCCTTATGTGCTCCATTGACTAAGCAATCCGATGAACAAGAACTAATTTTTTTTATTGAACTTACTTTCCTTCCTAGTAATATCCATGCACCTTTTCCTTTCCCTCTCTTCTTGCACAGCATACCCCCCTCAGTCTAAATAAAACCAGAACATAGTTCCCCTACAAAAAAATTGATTTTTTAGCCATTTTGAACATGTTGCTTTTTCGACCTTTAAATGACACCAAAAGTGTCATATAGCTTAATAGATATTGCTCAGTCATATTTTTGGTATTTGGCAGTGTTGATGTAGAAGGCCATTGAATGTCTACTCAGAGACGGAGATCGAGAGAAAGTGTGCATACTCGAACCCAATTCCCTATAAAACAGAAAGTAGCAAGCTGTAGATTATAACTTCTCTTTTGGTTATTATAGAGATCGTTCCTTTCCTTCTCGAGACGTCTAGACCTTTTCTTTTTTGGCACAACAATGCTTAGTAAAACTGGAATCTGACTAATGCAACTGTGGTGGCTTAGATGTGGACTTTTTTGTGCTTAAATTTCTTTTTTTTTTAAATCCTTCTCCTCTGCTCCCTCCTCCTCCTTCTCTTTTTCTCTTTTGTTTGAAAGGTTAACCTACTTGATAAAAGAGTATTAATTATGGATTATCACCCTGAAATTGTCGAACAATTAATGTATGTAAAGAATAACTTATGTTGGATCGTATGACTAACTTTTCCATAGCTTGGTAATTAGTTTATAACCTAGCGTTCTATGGTGCCGCAGCATAACTAACCTTATGTCTTTCTGTAGTGTCCTGGCTGTGGTGCACCCACACCTCCCAACGCTGCCAACATGTGTGTCAACTGTATCCGTAACGAAGTCGATATTACTGAAGGCATTCCCAAGCAAGCTACACTTCACTTTTGTCGTAACTGTGAACGTTACTTGCAACCTCCTGGTATCTGGGTCAACGCTCAACTAGAATCCAGAGAATTATTGACATTGTGTTTAAAGAAGCTCAAGGGCCTTAACAAGGTCCGTCTGGTGGATGCAGGTTTCATCTGGACAGAACCTCACAGTAAGCGTATCAAGGTCAAATTGACGATCCAAAAAGAAGTGTTTGTCAACACAATTTTGCAACAAATCTTTGAAGTTGAATATGTGGTTTCTGGTCAACAGTGTGATGAATGTACTCGTTTAGCTGCACAAAATACATGGAAGGCTGTGGTTCAATTACGTCAAAAGGTGGAGCACAAGCGAACCTTTTTGTACCTTGAACAGTTGATCTTGAAGCATAATGCGCACAGAGATACAACCAACATCAAGGAAACAAAGGATGGTATTGATTTCTACTATGGTGCTCGTAACCATGCTATCAAGATGGTTGAATTCTTGAGTGCTATTGTTCCTATGAAGTACAAGACAAGTGAACAGCTTATTTCAAAAGATATCCATACAAGTGTCAGCAACTATAAATTTACTTACTCTGCTGAAATTGTGCCCATCTGTAAGGATGATCTTGTCTGCATACCCAAAAAATTAGCCAACAACTTTGGTAACATCAACCAACTCTTGATCTGTTCACGTATCAGCAACTCCATTCACTTGTTGGATGTCAATACTTTGGCTGTGGCTGATGTCTCCACAACACAATATTACCGTTATCCTTTCCTTTCCCTTGCAAGTGCCAAGTCTATGATTGAATATTATGTGTTGGATGTCGAGCCTTTAGGTCCTGTCAATGGCAAGCGTGTTCTCTGTGATGTGCATGTTGCTCGTATGTCTGATTTTGGTCGTAATGATGAACAGTTTATCGCCCGTTCTCATTTGGGTGCTATCTTGAATCCCGGTGATACTGTGATGGGTTATGATTTAGCCCGTGCTAACTTCAACAATAATGATTTTGATCATCTCAACCAAGTCAACTTACCTGATGTTGTCCTTGTTCGTAAGTCTTATCCTCAACGTCGCAAGAAAACCAAGCAAAGAAACTGGAAGTTGCAACAATTGGGCAAGGAAGTGGACGAAATGTTACCTCGTAAACAAGAACAAGCCAAGATTGAAAATGATATGGAACTGTTTATGCGTGATATTGAAGAAGATCCTGAATTCAGATCTACCATCAATATCTTCAAGGACACCAATAAGCCTCCTCAACCTGTTGAAGGTAATGAAATGACTGATGCCTCTGAGGAAGAAGAAGACTTCCCTGAAATTTCTTTGGAAGAAATGTTGGACGAAATGGCCATTAATATGGATGGTCCTGATGCTGAACAGGAAGATGAAGATATGATGCAAATGTAAATTTAACTAATCATTTATTTTTTTTTAATACGCCAATTTTTTTTTGTACAATAAAGATTCCATTAGACACTATTCTTTGGTGGTGGGTGTAGCAGTAGGTGTGGGTTCTGGGTCTTTAGGAGAAATGATATCGGTCACTTTACGAGTAACTTGGTCGACGAAGCCACCAACAGCTGCAAAAGGTGTTGCTATTGTGCTGAATAAAATACTGTTTCCACCTGTTGTAGACTTGCCAGCCGAAGTAAAAGGCTCTTTGGTTGGATGGTTAGGGTCGTCACTCATAATAATAAAAAAAACAAAAAGTTAAAGAAAAGAAAAAAAAATAGACATTTTTACGTCATGTTTTATAGTCCCGGACAAGAATTCCTACACAAATGATTTACAAGGATTAGAGTTACACTGGCAAACTTTTTGATATCTTTTTTATTATTATTATTATTATGAAGAAAGCCTTGGCATAACACCTTGGCATCTTGATATATGGAATAAAACCTCTTTCCTATGACCATTCTTTTACTCATATTTTGTATGTATGTACACATTATAGTTTATTTTGACTATAAGCACTTTAAAGGCTTCAAGTAAGGATTGACCAATGATGTATAAAAATAGTGTAAACAAGTTGCCTTTTTTAAGTTACTACACCGACATAAAAATATAAACTTTCTTGTTTGTTTGTTTATTTATATCTTTCTTTTACTCCCAAAATGACTGAAGAACAAACACACCCTATTCATCTTGAAAAAGCAGAGCTTATCATTTCATTTGCTAATAGAAAAAACGGAGCATTTAAGGCAATGATGCATTATTTAAGGGAGATTGAAGACCAAATTCAGGCACGTCAAAAGAAAAACAGACTGTTTTATCAAGTTGTGTATGCTGTTGAAGATACTTATCAACACAAGATATACAGTGCAAGGCAACTTCTTCATCGCATCGCTACAGAATTGCGCCATATCGACTATGATATCGATAAATTAGCCATGGACCGTGAGACGCTTAAACAAGAATTGGAGCAACATGAAATAGAATTGAATAATGTGCGTCAATATGCAGAACAGAGACGCAACAAGAAATCAAAACGAGAGCGCCAATACCATCAGCTCTATCATGTACCCCTTGTGGCAAGCCAGTTTAAGAAAAAGTATGTCCGTGCTCGTGACAAGAATTTAGATGCAGAAGAAAAAGTCTCGGAAATACGCTCTATTGTCGATAGCTGTCAAAAAGCCATAGCAGAGCTATCCAAGTCTATCACGGATTGTCAAAAAAGAAGACAAGAGCTTACGCTTGAACAACAAGATACTCATGCAGAGATCAAGCAAATCGATGATTTACTGTTTGATCTGGATGAAGGCCGTAAATTCTGGTCAGGCTTTGATCAGCATCAATTGGTGACTGCGTCTAAAGCAACGACACAGTTCGTTGAAGCCATTCAACAACATGCTAAAAACTATAACACATTTCATAGAATCATGGACCCAAATCAACATTTTGTCAAGGTCTTTAAACTGGCTCTTTATGAATATGGTGAAGCAGAGCGTCATGCTGAATCAAGATGGGGTCAATTAGAGGTTGATTTTGAATGTGCTAAATGTCGCACAAGTCAAAAGGGATGGCCAAAGCCAGACAAAGTACGCTCAATGGATTTGTTGTGCAATAGTTGCTATCAAGAACACCATTCAAGTATGGTTTGGGAAAAGAGAATGAGTGGTGTTAAAGACAGAAGCCAACAACTCTTGTCTCTCCCAGGTGGCTCCATGCTCTCCTTCTCTTCTTCTTCTTCTACGATCGCTAGTACAGATACAAACGAAACAAAGAGTAAACCAGGCTTTAAAAAAGTATTCAAGATGTTAAAGACCACTAAACGCAACAGTAGCCAAACCACACTTGAATCTAACATGATGATGGCTTAGAAAAAAATACCCATTCACTTTCTTTCTCTTTTTTCTATTAAAAAAATGTATTTACAATATTCTATATATTTCTTTTAAAGATCTCCTAAACTATCCCTGACAGCCTTGTAGTATTCAGGGGAAAGTGTGTTAGCTAATTCTTGCTTTGTTAGCCAGGCAAAATCAACAACATCTTTACTAGGCTTCACTTGACCAGCAAAGACGCGAGCCTTCATGAAAAAAGTCTTGCTGCCTTCTGCATTCTTGGTTGAAGCTTGTTTAAAGACACCAATAGGTTGACGTCCAACAAACCAGGTATCCATATCCACGCCGCACTCTTGCTTCAATGTACGCTCTGCTGCCTAACAAACAGTTAATTCCTATCTCTTACTTACGCATGCAATTTACCTCATGTAAATATTCAGCATTATCAACAGGACCTTGAGGGAATTGCCAGGGGTTCACTTGGTCATTCTTTTTGACGATCAAGTACAATGTCTTTTGAAGTGATCTTTCCAGGCTCTTTGTATCATTCTTTCTATCAGCTTCTGTTTCTCGAGGTTGCTGCTCAATGCGAGTAGTAGCAACAAGACTGGCATTTTCTTTTTCCCAAGTGGCTTGTGATTCCTTGACAGCATCAGTCAAACTTTCAGTTGTGTTGGCCATAACTTCTTGACGAGCCTTCTCTTCATCTTTCCAACGACGCTCAGCAACTGATCCCTTCTTAAAGTAAAATTCAGTAGGTGTGGCTGCTGATTCTTCACGTTCAAGCTTTTCACGGTAATCGAAATAAGCTTTTTCGAAAGGAGTGGCATCGCGAGTGATTTGAGGTGCACGCGAGAGGATGACAGAGGCTTGAATGCGTGCATTTTTAATGACCAAAGGAGACACCGTGGCCAATCCTCTTTGTTGAATAGTGCGTCGAAGCATAGTGTATAAAGAAGAAAAGAAAGATTTTTTTTAGAGAACAACCGGGGGGTTGCAAATCAAATTTTATTCGTTTTGATTGGTTTACAAGAAAAGCAAGAGAAAGACCAAAAAGAAGCAGTAGCAAGCAGGAACAAGCTTTGTTGAATGAGAATAGAGTTGTTGTTTGCTCAAGGCATTGAATTGTGGTCCAACCACTCTATAAGCAGAAGAAGGGCTTAGCTTTAAGCAAGCTTCTTTTTGATTGTTTGCAAGTTCTTGATTGATGACTTCTAGTAATTGACCTTTCTTTTGACTGTAATCGTCATAGGATACATCCCACACGCCTACACCACGACCTCCTTTACAGATAGCAAAATTAACTTTCATGGCAATACTGTCAGGATCATCATAGGTGATCAAATGATGAGTGACTGGATTATAAAGCCAGGGAGTTTGAGATTCCATATCCCAATTCTTGATCCATTGGCCACCTGGTGTCTTTGAGTCCAGCAAAACACCAGAACTCAACAGAGAGCGCCATTTCCACATCCCTGAATAACCACGTTTAGAGTTAGGACAAGGCGAAGAAGACATTTCATCATCTGTATCGCCTTGAGGTCGAGAAGCATGAGCAGTAACCAATAGTCGCTTAAGATGAACCACGTCTTCTTTGGGTTTAGAGACATACCCATAGAACGGTAAGCCCATAATGATCTTTTCTGGAGGCATATGAGCCGTGGCCCATGCTTCCCAAGCCTGAGCGAAACTTTGTCCACTCGCACCTGCTTGCATGGATGTTTGGAGAGGCGCGTTAGGTCCAATCACTGATTTGCCGACATAAGTATCATACATCATGATAAATATCCAATCGACTGCTTGAGCAAAATGGCTTACGTCTGTGATGGGTGCATTGTTCTTGAAGAAAGGCGCTGTACCTACAGCCATAGTAAGAAGCTTATGGCTTCTGTCTTCTGCTGTATTTGCTTTGCGATTCTTATAATAGATACTATCTTCAGCTGCAACCTTAATCGTACTAAACGCGTTATCGAGTGCTTCACGCAATTGCTTTAGTACGAGTAGGTAATTATCTGTATCATTTGCATAATCAAGTGTATTGCATTCAAGCGCACTTTTTCCTGGATATTCCCTTTTGAAAATAAAGCGTAAATGACATGGTATGATTGCAAGTAACTTACCAATCGATATCAATACCTAACAAAAAAAAAAGAGGAGAAAATAAATACATGGCTCTATCTATTCAAATACTTGCCATCCAAACCGAATTCCAATACCCACTCTACTGCTTTTTCAACAAATTGAGTTCTTGTTTCTTGTGTTGCGGCCATTTTGCTCATGGCTCTACTCCCATACCAACCACCAATGGATAATAACACTTTGACATTGTTTTGATGAGCAATACCTACTGCTTTGGTTAATTGAGTTGGATTTGTAAGAACAGGAACAACATCTTCATCCACAGTGGCAAATCCATAATTTAGGTGAGTGATTTGAGACCATGGAATGTGTTCGATAGGCAGCAGTTTTGATTCCCAGTACCCCCAATAGCCTACAACAACCTTTTCTTCTTTGGTAGCACTACAATATTTGATCCATACAAAGAGAAGGGCAGTGGTAGAGATATTAAATAATGAACCAAATTTCATTTTATTATCAAGGTTTATAAAAATGAAGAAAGAAAAGAAAAGGAATATTATGTTTGCTGTTGTCTCCAAATAGTTTACAGTTTGAATAAAGTTTAGTAGCATTTTTATCAAAGCCTACCATCAATGGCTTTCATGAAAAGAGGTGTACAAAACCTCATATTGTTTACTATAATCGATATCAGTATACACGTATTCTTTTTTTTTTTCTGTTTTGTTCTGTTACCTCTGTAATCAGACTGAGTACAAGAACATTTTGCATTAACATAAACTTCAAAGTCGGTTGGACAAATAGCTGCTGATTTGTATTCATAACCTAATATATGGTTATAAGCAAGTTCAGACCGTTCTAAAAGTAAAGCAGCGGCGACAGTTTGTGACATAGAATCACCCCATCTAAAAGATGAGTATAAATAACGATAGACAACATACTCACTTTTGATAAAAGAAGCCGCCAGACATATCCAATGCATCAAAATACTTTGTATATTCTTTTGATCTCAAGAAATCAAGGGAAGCAATCATGAAATTGTTGTAGACCATACAGTTTGAAAAATGACCATTGTATTCACCAAGTGGGTTTGAAGGATTTGGAGATTGGTAACGACTTTGGTCATTCAAAAGAGCTTTGTAGATGCTTTTGTTTACAGGCTTCAGAATGCCTTTGTTTTCCTTGATAAACTCAAATACGCTTTCTTGAAAACCAACTACATTCTTATGGTGTTCTGTCATGGTCACAGCAAAAGCTAAATAACAATAAATACATATACAAACAAAATACACTTACAAAACTTTTTCTTTTCCTTCTTCATTTGCTCAAATGGATCTTGCAATATATCGCATGTGTACCTTGCACCCGGCTGAACTTTCCAATAAAACTCTAGGTTCTTTAGCAACGAATGGTGTGCCAAAAACCCTGTGTTGTATCTTTAAAGAACGCATGAGAACCAAAATTACAAGTCTGCATTGTTACCTTGTCATTCTTCGATAGCTCATACTTTGCGAATTTTCATTATCTTCTTCTCTAACAAGATCCCTCAAGTTCTTCTCAGCCAATTTGATGTCAATCCAATAAGGTTCTTGCCACTCAATAGCAGGTGCTTGTCCAAAAAACACAGGTGCCGTTGTTGAACTGGTGATCCATTCACGAAATTTACGTGACATGACTCTTTCTGAAATAATTACCCAAGGATAACCATGGCGATGGTTCAGACGTCGTTCAAGATCAAGCATGGTTGCTCTTAAGGCATAAATGTCGTCTTCCCGCACGACAGATACAAAGGCAGCTTTCGCATTTACTGAACCATTAGATGTCACCTCACTCCAATCAAGGTACGTATCAGGCAAAATGTAATCAAAAGAAGGACTGTTCTGTAACTTTTCTTGATGAGGAGCATAGCCCATATGGTCATTATACTTTATCTTTTGATCTGAGCCCATAAACGCATACAGACCAGCACTCAACAGGATCAGACTGACAAAAGAACACAGCTTATTTTTTGAGATCCAAAATGAGATTCTACTCCAATACGTATGGTAAATAGTTCTTGGCCACCATCTTTTTTGATCTGGCTGTATCGTGATACGATGGCCTGAGGTTTCTAACAAGTTTTCCATTGAAGACTCAATAAGAAAAAAGACAGACGATAGATCAAAGAATGTAGTATTTAAATGCATTTAATATGTACTAAAAGGGGTATATCGTATGTGACGCGCCATAAAAGACGGGGGGGGGAAGACATTTTTTTTCTAGTGTGTTTTGGTTTATATTTCAACAATGTATTCACAACATAAGCGAAAGTCTTTATTAGCTACTCCAGACGAACTAGAAGAGAAAGAACCAGACTATGATATCCCAACAGCTAGCCATAAACATATCAAGGCTTTTCTTGTTGATCTAGGAATAGAAATAACAGATGATGATCTTCGTCGACCTAATCGATCTCGTATTCGACAATTATTTTCACTTTTGATTGAGCACTTTTTGACATGGAGAGCCGAGAAAATAAACAAGCAGAAGAGAGATATAGTGACTACAAACAACCTTTCTGTAAATATATACACATATATCGATAGATGTGTTGCTCATTCAAAACAAAGGAACTCGACCAAGATATAGCAGAAGTTGCTATTGTTTTTCATGAGGTAAAAGCCTTATTAGAGGAATTACGGTGCACAGATATAGGCATAGTTGATTTTACAGATCCTTCGCCCGAAAGAATTCAAAAGTTATTAACAGCCATCATGAATTTCGGTGTATTTAATAAAGAAAGAGCCGCACCCAAGTCAGCGCCATTAGCCATCAAGGCTGTATGTGTCTTTTGTTTTGTTTTTTTTAGTGGTTTTATTTGACCGAATCAAGTATTAAATGGTATCTATAGGATCAAATAGGCAAAGAAGTCATTCATCTTGCCAAAGTAGAGCAAGAATTGATAGAAAAGATAAAAGAAACCAAGAAAAGAAAAGCAATTGAACAAGGAGAATGCAGCAAACTACAGATAGAGAATAAAGCACTTGAACAAGAACTTATCAACCTACGCCGAGAATGTGAAATTCATATACAAGAACTCGATAACACTAAAGCAGAAAGAGTCGCTTTCAAAGACAAACTGGTAAGGGAACCGCGATACAAGGAAAGTGTTCATTCTCTAGAATAGCAAGATTTACAAATGGAAGTATTGCAAGCCATTGATGTCCGCAAACGACTTCAGGAAGAAGAAGAATGGGACATTGAATCGATGCAAGATCATATTCAAAAATTAGAAGACACTACATCAAAACTGGCTTCTGAAGTCAAATCAGATAAAGAAGCATATCCAAAATCAGAAGATCAGTTGACACAACTAAAAGTGCTTGACAATGTAAGGCATATTGAGTTAGTATTAGACTGATTTTTACATCTAGCTTATTGCCCGAGCAAGTCAGACATTGAATAGATGGTCTACTCGAAAGAACGACTTGAAACGACAAAAAAAGACAAGGGATGCTGTCCAAAAAGAAATTGATGCTTATGCATCTCAGGATCATGGTTTAGTACAAGAGCTCAATGTAAGTTTTGAACAGACAATATATAATAACATGAAGGATAGGCTTCAAAACGATTTGCAGCAGCAGAAGAGCTTAAAATAGAAAGATTAAATGAAGACCAAGCAAAGAAGCGAGAATCCATGAAACTGTTTTGGGAAACACGTCAAAAAGAAGATGAGAGACTTAGACAAGATGAGATCAATGCACGAGAACATTATTTAGTACATGAAAAGAAACGAGATGAATTGACACAAAAGGTAACAGAGAATAGCTGTGTTTTGCAAATCACTTAACCCCCTATAAGATATCCCAGACTGAATTTGAAGAGAAATCTTATGAAGAAAAAGTAACTACTTATTTACGTCAAATATACTATAAAGCCAAAGAAAAATCAGTTTAGAGACAAAAGAACAATATATTTATTTTCTTTTTTTTTTTTTTTTGTAAAGTACGTTGTTTAGTATTCTTCAACATCTTCAATTTCAGAATCACCTAAAGAGTCAGAACCAACTTCTTCGTAATCCTTTTCAAGGGCAGCCAAATCTTCACGAGCTTCGGAGAATTCACCTTCTTCCATACCTTCACCGACATACCAGTGAACGAAAGCACGCTTGGCATACATCAAATCGAACTTGTGGTCAAGACGAGCCCAGGCTTCAGCAATGGCAGTTGTGTTACTCAACATACAAAGAGCACGTTGGACATTAGCCAAGTCACCACCAGGGACAACAGCAGGGGCACGGTTGTTAATACCGACCTTGAAACCAGTAGGACACCAGTCAACGAATTGAATGGTACGCTTGGTCTTGATGGAACCAATGGCAGCGTTGGTGTCCTTGGGGACAACATCACCACGGTACAACAAACAACAAGACATGTATTTACCGTGACGAGGATCACACTTGACCATTTGGTTGTTGGGTTCGAAACAAGCGTTGGTGATTTCTTGAACAGACAATTGTTCGTGGTAAGCCTTAGCAGCAGAGATGATGGGGGCGTAGGTGACGAGAGGGAAGTGAATACGAGGGTAAGGGACCAAGTTAGTTTGGAATTCGTTCAAGTCAACGTTAAGAGAACCATCGAAACGCAAAGAGGCAGTGATGGAAGAAACAACTTGAGCAATCAAGCGGTTAAGGTTGGCGTAAGAAGGACGTTCAATGTCCAGGTTGCGACGACAGATATCATAGATGGCTTCGTTATCAACCATGAAGGAGACATCAGAGTGTTCCAAAGTAGTGTGAGTGGTCAAGATAGAGTTGTAAGGTTCAACAACAGAGGTAGCAACTTGAGGAGCAGGGTAGACAGAGAATTCCAACTTGGACTTCTTACCGTAATCAACAGAGAGACGTTCCATCAAAAGAGCACCGAAACCGGAACCGGTACCACCACCGAAGGAGTGGAAGACCAAGAAACCTTGAAGACCGGTACAGTTATCGGCGAGCTTACGGATACGGTCAAGGACAGAGTCGACGAGCTCCTTACCAACAGTGTAGTGACCACGAGCGTAGTTGTTAGCAGCATCTTCCTTACCAGTGATCAATTGTTCTAAAAAGAGAGAATGTAAGAAAACATGTTTATCAATTTAAAAAAAAAAAGACTTACCAGGATGGAAGAGTTGTCTGTAAGCACCAGTACGGACTTCATCAACAACAGTGGGTTCCAAATCGACCATGACAGTACGAGGAACATGCTTACCAGAGCTGGTTTCACTGAAGAAAGTGTCAAAGGAGTTATCACCAGTTTGGTTTTCTTGGGGAATGTGACCATCAGGTTGAATACCGTGTTCAAGACAGTAAAGTTCCCAACAGGCGTTACCAATTTGGACACCAGCTTGACCAACGTGAACGGAAATAACTTCTCTCATTTTAGATTATTCTTGTATAGGGTGTGTTTAAAGTTGTGTTATTCAAAAGTTAAGGGAGAATAAACAACCAAAAGAAAAAGATAAAGAAAAAGAAGACTGTGAAAAGAAAGGAGAATTATTTATATACAAATTTTTATAAGCTCCTATTTGAACCAATCAGGTTAAGATAGAAGTAAGAGCACGTTTTTTTTTTATTTATTTGTTTATGATGCTGTGTATTAATTAAGGAGAACACAGTTCAATGGTTACTCCGTTCCTAAACATATGTAGTTGATAGTCATCTTGAAAGAAAGAAAGAAGAGCATCATTGTAAGTACATTTAGTTCAAGTGAAAGGACAATTGCTCTAAAATGTACATAAAGCACAAGTAAAAGAAAAAAAGTAACATGGTCACCCTTTCTTTTTCTTTTGTTTTTTCGCGTGAACAAAACATTTGTTTATATTCAATAAAATCAGATTTGATTGCATTTGACTATAGACAAAAAAGTGGCTGCCACGTCGGAGAGAAGCTGATTCTATGCTACCAGAAAATCAAAAAGATATATTCACATAAATATTCTTCTTGCTGACTCTACACGTTTGCTATTACTGTCTTTAACTATTCACATTTATTGATTCATAAACAATTTCTAATCTTGTCATATCATACAAAGTAATATAATACATAATAATAAAATCTCTATCTAAAAAAAGAAAAAAAAAAAAAAAAAGAAAAAATCACACCAGCTTGCAAAATAAAACTCGGTTTATTCGTTTATGATGGATGCAAGGTACTGATCTTCTTTAGCAAGTGAGTCTAATTCTGCCTTCAAGGCCAGAGCAGGTCCATCTAGTTGATGCAATCCAATAACAGAGGCTTGCTTATCTTCTGTGTAATCTCTGCATTGAATCCAATGATGTTGAGGGGAATTGACTTCCATATAAAATGCAATTTGATGTGTATGTGCTACGTGTATTTCTAAACTGGCCCAGCCAGGTCTTGTCTGCAAAGGCTTAAGTGTCATTTTTTGAATAGCTTCTTGTGGGAAATCCATTTTGAAGCGAGAGAGTCCATCACGAATACACCAGCTAAACGTCTTTTTTTCCTTGTTGTATTGACATAATAAATCGCTGGGTTCAAATGCCATTCGTTTCCATGTGCCGATTTGAAGTGCTTCTGCGGAGATTTTGTGGTATTGGCTTAAAGGGGTCATATCATAGATGGGTACGTTGTTTGTATTGAACATAGAAGGTGTTGTAGGTGTAATCATAAGTGAAGGATCTTCGTCTAATCAATATGAGTATTTTGATCAGTCTATGATTTTCTCTACTTACAAAATGGCAAATCAGACCATGCTAATTGCTGTGGTTGATTTTGTCCGAAAAGAGGATGAGGCGTTGTTTGATATAAAAAGGGATTGACAGCATTTTGAGATTGTTCATGGATTGAGATGTTAGCAAACTGGTGTTGTTGGCTAGGCGATATAGATGCTGTTGTATCAATGGTTGATGCGGATGCTGTTGTGGTTGTATTGAGCAAACTAGTGAAGTTTTCTGTCTTGTTAAGGGTAGATAATTCAACAGAATTTCCTCGATCAAAGAGTCTTGGTCTTTCAATAGGATAGGGTCCAATCGTGTGTGCTCTTGCGCGTTGTTGGTGAATTTGTTTCTTGGACCACATAAAAGAGTACGGGTCAGAACGCATTGTATCAGAGGGACTGATGGAACCATTCTCGGTGGGGGAATGAAGTCCTGCCATTGCTGTTGCAGCTGCAGCTGCAGCATTGATTGGTGGAGGTGGAGGTGGAGGTGGCATTGATTTAAGTGAGATAGGTGGAGGAGGGACAGAGGAAGATGAACCTGAATAAGGGTGGAACCCATGGCTCTTGTAGCGTTGCTGTTGTTGTTGCTGTTGTTGTAACTGTTGTTGCTGATTAAAATAGTAGTAGTAATAGTAGTAGTATAAATCTGGGTTACTCTTGATAGGGTCCTCTATGACTTGCTGTTCGAGCCCATTGGCTTGTTGTTGTTGATAAACAGCTGCTTGACAAGCAGCAGTGGCAGCAGTGGAAGCGTAATATTGCATACGTAAGGTTTCATCGTGTAGCATGGATGATCTTTTAGCGACATTCTTCACTTTGGCTCTTCGATTTTGAAACCAAATTTGAATTGAGCGTTCAGACATGCCTAATTCACGCGACAATTGTTCTCGGACACGATTGTTTGGACTTGAATTCATACTGAATGTCTTTTCTAGAACAGCAAGTTGTGCAGGTGTAGCTCTTGTTCGTTTACGGGGCAAATGAGATGAAGTTTCATGAGATTCTTTTTCTGAATTGGACATATAAGGTTGTTTGTCTGATTTAATACTGTTGTTATTTGTCATGATCGAATTCATAATTCTATATTCTATAATGATAATAATAATAATAATAATATATAAATAAAAAATAAAAAAAATAAAAAAAGTAAAAAGAAAAAGAAAAAAGAACGGTTTACTTTATATTTTAGTGTATGTGTGTGCCTCATTGTTAATTGACAGGTTACCGAGTTTGTCGCCCGTGATAATGATAGGCACGTTATATAATAAGTGAACACGCACGTACAATTTATTAAATGCTGCTATTGTTCCAGTTTGTTTATTCGCATTAGCTAATAAAATAAAATCGGGTATTGAATGTGTTCTGGATGTGATTGACAAGTTTAAAGATGAGCCCTTAATTCATGTTACACGTATTGCTGAATGGTACACGTGCTAAACTTATATATACAAGTATCGTTTTTGAATTTTATTGTTGCTAGCAGAATCAGAAATGGCCTGACATTGTCTCGACCTCTCATATGAACCACGTCAATTTTGAACTTTTTAGGTTTTTTTTTTTAATAAAATCTAATAAATTTTATTATTTTAATCAAACACAAAATATATATAAAAACGTGATTCAGTTAAATTATATTAAATTCATTACAATGTCACAAAAGAAACAAGCAGAAAAAAAAAAAAAGCTAATGTGGGTATATTATCAGGCTTGGTAATCAGGTGGAGGGATCGACGGAATACGATCTAGAAGAGGTATGGCTGGTGCTGACTCAGTTGAGAGGTACAAGGCTTCAGAAGCCAATTCCATTTCTCTACAAAAGGCATAATAGCATGAGCACAAATAAGGGTGAGGTTGACTAGGTTTGTCCATCGTGGTAGTGGTTACTTTGATCTTGGATGACTTTTTGTCTGTCTTCAAAGAAGGCTTAACTCCTAATTCAAAATAAGAAGGCAACTTTCCATAATCTTCTTTCAAACGACAATCAAACACGGTAATGGGCGTGTCAAGCATGATTGTTTCTTTGCTCTTATCATTATCTTTCTCTGTCTTTGTCTTATGTAACCGTAACAACATGTCAGACCAACTACCATTACTATTGTTGTTTGTTGGTTGTGTACCGGAAGTAAAAACGGCATTGGTGGTTTGTAGAGCCAGATTATTACGTCGAGGAGAAGGAGGAGGGGAGAGTGAACCGGCAAGTCGGACATTAGGAAAATGAGCGGCAGGTGGAGGAGTTAGAGTACCCATCCTCACTGGCTCGGGCACCTGTGTCGATCCTATCGATTCAACGCTGTTGGCACTACCATTTCGACTGAGAAATTGTCGATTGCCTTCATTATCCAAATAAGACAAGGTCAAGTTGATTTCTAATCGATGACGGAATTGGATCTCCTTGATGTAAGTGGTATGATGAATATTTTGCTCGCATGTGGGCGCAAAGAAAGCCAATCGATGTGCAAAATCGTGAACCAGATCAATTCCATTTTGATTTTTATCAAAGATAGGTGCTAGTTGTTCAGTTGTCACGTCTACTTCGCCAAATTCAGCCAGGCGCACAGATCCAGCAAACGGCATGGGAAAGGTGACTTGATCATTACGCCAAGCTCTGAATTCGGGTACACAATATCTTCGTGTCTCGGTCACACTGACTTCCATGTGTTCAAGGCGAGTATGTTTGAGTTGAGGTTCAATGATTAACCGGATATAAAACAGTTCACCTGAGGAAAATGCAGCTGCTTCAATCAAAACCTCAATGTCGCCATAAACAGTATGTTTCTCAAATGTACGTGATAAATTAGCCAAAGAATTATTGGTCAAGAGTGAATTAGACATATATGTACGCAATATCATGACTGGCTTAGTAACACGCCAGCTCGAGAGCATCATGATTCCAGGTCTTTGCACTTCTGCTTCTACTGTATGACGAACCCTACCAAATGTGTCCTCAATGGTAGCTACTGTTGACTGCCTTCTTTTGAGTATTTATATATCACCTACATTGATACTTACATTAGGGATAACGAATGCAAACGAAAATCGATGTGTTCCAGCTGGTAAAATTAAAAGAGAATCTTTGTTTGCTCCAGGGGTTAAAATCTCTACTGTTTGTTCGCCCAAGGATTTCTCGGCAGTTAATTTAGTACCACGTGTGCCAATGCCTATTTTTTTTTTTTTTTCAACATCTGAATAAAATTCGATAAAGGGATCCCCCTTTTTTTTCTCTCTCTCTCTCTCTCTCTCTTTCTTATTTACCTTCTGGCCAATAGGTAACTATTTGACTTTTAAGCGTGACAGATACATTTGATATTTTAGTTGACTTTGAGAGTGATAAGACGACATTGCCTGCAAATAAAGTTGAAGCATCTTCTGTCGGCAAACCCCTTAGAATGATCGGTTTAAAAGGATCAAATGCCAAATGCCCATGAGAAAGCAATCCTAGTTGCATACTCTATAGAGAAAAATAAAGAAAAAAAGACGAAAAAAAAAGTTTGAAAAAATAGTCATATACAACAAATGAAATGACTTCGGTGTAATAACAAAACCAATGAGAAATTTTTGATAAAGTTCCAGATGAACAAGTTACACGAATAACGAAATTTTATTGAATTCTGTTTCTATATTGACCAGCATAAAAAAAATTATCAAATATAGACAAATTATTGAGGGAAATAACTTTGTAAGCGCATGACGTTGTAAGTTAAACTCTATCTTATACAGAAAAAAAAGCATGTTGCATGATCTTTGCATAGAAATGTGCCTGTTACTATGTGTGTGTTACCACGCTTACTCCGCCAGATTAGATCAATGTAAAAATAAATTTTATTGTAGTAAATTTACAAAGAAGAAGCTTTTGTTATATACGAGACATTCTTTATATACTACACAGATACCACTAAGCTTGTTGATATCCCACCGGAAATATATCCTTACTCAATTCATCTCGATCATTATTGAAATATCTATCTTCATGCTGAAATAAAAAGTTGTATATTGTGTTGCCAAGACGAGGAGATGAGATTGGCTTTCTTTCCAGGTAGACAATGGGTCTGAAATCAGGTGAAGATTGATGATATTTAGTCTTATTTTCTAGTTCTTGTTCATTATCTTGTAAGTGCTTGTGTTTATGAACGAGTCTTTTGAAATCACTTCCTTCAATATCTCCAAACTGCAGTGGTTCGGATGAATGGTTATTCTTTTGCCATAATTCTTGAAATAAACCAGATATTGAGCATTCAGATATATTTGCTAAGCGATCTAGAGTGTTGCTAGTGGATGGCATATTTTTATTTTTGTTACAATTAAACAAGAGAAAAGAAGAGTAAGGAAAATGATGGCTGCATTTTTAAATATATGTTATAATTTTGAAACTCAGTACTACGTGAGCTTAGCATTGATCATGATTAATATAGCATCTTTTCCCTTCATGCAAGCCTCAAAAGCGTATGTGCACAAGGAGATAGAAGGAGAAGCATCACTTGGTCGACATTAAAGCCACACTAAATATAAAAAGAAAATGCATCATGGCTTTTAGTTTAAACGAAAAAACAGGTCAGCTATTGGTTCACCATAAAAAAAAGAACATGCTTATTACAAATAATTTATCGAAAAATAACATCATGACTTGTCCTATTAAACAAATAATCATATGTGTCACTATAGTTTACGCCGAGACTGATGTATTGTTTATTTGTTGACCAAAGTTTCTCCAGCACTTTAATGAAAGATGTCCTATGATCTGTTTGTTTGGTACTCAAACTGCATTACTTGCAATTTGTTTGACGTTTATTGGTATCACAAAAAAAAAAGAAAAGAAACGATTACGCTTATTTTCACAAGCGAAAACCACATGCCATACATGGCTATGACAAGAATGGGTTGTTATTGGAATGAACCTGAGATTTATTCTGGTTATCAATACCCTTTTAAAAAAAAATTTCCATTCCGAGAAGAAAAAGCGAAAGAAGGTAAAAAATAAATGGAAATAAACCGTTCTTTATTACCTATATTTTCGTCTCTGTCATAATATATTTGTTAAATCGAATGATTTTCGGCTCTGAAAGTAAACAATTAAATGATCTGTTCGCCCAACTGATATATATATATATATATATTATTCAAGTATTTCCTAGTTCAAAGCAGTATAAAGAGGTATCTTAGATGCATAGAAGCACAAATATCAAGAGCCTCAAACTGTTAACATATCTTCTGTTCTTCATTAAAGCCATGTATACGAAAACTGTACTGGTTGCTATTGGTCTTCCATGATATACATACCTTTTCTTTTTGAGACACTTGATAGCTTCAAGGTAACTGTTTCTCTAATCTATCCCTACATACAGAATGAGTAGAATGTTGTCCATAAATATCTAAAAAAAACAGTTCTATTGTAGATGTAAAAGAAAATCTTCAAGTTTCAAGACTGGATAAATGCACTCAAAATGAAGTTTCAGCTGATCTTGGAACAAGCAGTAAATTTTTTCAAGCAAACGAACAAGACCACATTCGCATTTTCAATCTATTGTACTAAGAAAGTGATATATTTTTCTGGTCTGTATTTCGATAATAGCAAGAAAATGATTTGTGGGCTTGAAAAAATGACCATTTGCTTCCAGTTCTATATAGTAAAGCTGTGAAGAATGGATACGTTCTTTATTTTGGTTCAACTGTCAGACGAAAAAAGAAACAAAACATGTTTTTAGTCACATCTTTTATAGCTTTTGTTCCCTTTATCAATTTGAACTGATAATTCTTATCTTTTGTGCCTGATATGCTCCAATAATTTTTTTTTTTACATTCACCAAAAAAAAAAAAGTGTGCACGTAGATTTTTGGTGGTTGTCTTAGATCAAGATTATCATGTTGAGTCTCAAAAAAGGGAAAGCAGATATCTCGCACTATTTTTTTTCTTATGTGCACATAGAAAAGAAAAAAATTCTTTTTGTTTGAATGCTGCTAAATCAGTATTTTGAAACACGTTTGGTTTGTAGTCTGTAAAGAAGGCCCATGATACATCTTCACTTTGCAAAAGAGTCATGCCTGCTTGAAGTGACTGGATATTAAATTTTATTACTCACAAGAATGAGCTCTGGGGGGTCAAGAGATAAGGAAATGCAGGATCGACTATACTAGCGGGGAAACATTGCTATTTGACTTAATAAGGAATTCTGACTCATCGTTCATCATAAGAAAAAAAGCTTGAATTAGAGTCCGACATGACTATTGTTGATAGCAGTTTGCTCAAAAACTATTTATTATGTTGTTCTGAATGCATCAAAATATGTTTGAAAAGTAGACATAGACTGTTTTTATTGATGTATTCATTAGGAAACTGTTTACTGGGTCTACTTTGCCTGTATCAGTATAGATTATGGATAAATCATGACCTTTAGTTTATCAAGAACTTAAAGTTCACAGGAATCGGCATTCTAATTAGTGATTTCTTTTTATATAATGGGTTTGACATTTTGATTTTGTTCTTTTTCTCTTATCTCTTTATTATAATAATAAATCATACAACAATGGCTGCTGACAAAGGAAAGGTTCTTCTTGCTTACTCTGGTGGTTTGGATACATCTGTCATTTTAGCTTGGTTGATCGAACAAGGTTATGAAACCTTAGCTTACATTGCTGATGTTGGTCAAGAAGAAGACTTTGAAGCCATCAAAGCCAAGGCTTTGAAGGTTGGTGCTGCCAAGGTCTTTGTTGAGGTAAATAATACATAAATTGCAAATGTAGAAGGTGTGCTTATATCTTCATATAGGATCTTAAGGAAGAATTCGTCAAGGAACAAATCTTCCCCGCTATTCAAGCTAATGCTATCTATGAAAGCGTCTATCTCTTGGGTACCTCTTTGGCTCGTCCTGTCATTGCCCGTAGACAAATCGAAATCGCTGCTCGTGAAGGTTGTCAATACGTCTCTCACGGTTGTACCGGTAAGGGTAATGACCAAGTTCGTTTCGAACTTGCTTATTATGCTTTGAAGTCTGACATTCAAGTCATTGCTCCTTGGAGATTGCCTGGTAAGTTAATTAAAAAAAAAAAGTGAATTGAAGAGCCCAAAGTTGATTAACACAACCTAATAGTCTTCTTTGAACGTTTCGCTGGTCGTAGTGCTCTTTTGGACTATGCTGCTGAAAAGAACATCCATGTTGCTCAAACCAAGGCCAAGCCTTGGTCTACTGACGAAAACTTGTTCCACATCTCATACGAAGCTGGTATTCTCGAAGACCCTAATGTCACCCCTCCTAAGGACATGTGGAAGCTCACTGTTGATCCTGAAGATGCTCCCAACACACCTGAACGTATTACCATCACTTTCGAACAAGGTATTCCTGTCAAGGTCGTCAACCACAACGATGGCCAAGAAGAAACTGACCCTGTCAAGCTCTTCACTTACCTCAACACTGTTGCTCGTCGTAACGGTATTGGTCGTATTGATATTGTTGAATCTCGTTTCATTGGTGTCAAGTCTCGCGGTTGTTACGAAACCCCCGGTGGTACCATCTTGCGTACTGCTCACAAAGATCTTGAAGGTTTGACTTTGGACGGTCAATTGCGTGCTCACCGTGATCAATATCTTACTATTCCCTACGGAAGAGCTCTTTACAACGGTCAATACTTCTCTCCTGAATGTGAATTCTTATCCAAGTCCATTGCTTTCACCCAACGTAACGTCACTGGTGATGTCAAGTTGAAACTCTATAAGGGTAACACTGTTGTTGAAGGTCGTGTTGCTCGTGGTGATGGTGCTAAGCTTTACGATATGCAAGAATCCTCTATGGACGAACAAGGTGGTTACAACCCTCAAGATGCTGATGGTTTCATCAAAATTCATTCTATTCGTCTCAAGAAGTGGACCCCCGAAAACTAGATTTTATTTATTTCTCAATGTACATCCTTTAAAGAATAACTTTTTTTGTTTATGCATATTACCCTCAATTTTTCTACATTTGTTACATATAGCCAAAAATAAAAGCAAAACCCTTGATTAAAAAAATACACAATGCAACTGATAAAAAAAAAACACCGTAGGAAAGGAGATTGAAAAAAGAAGAGGATACATTTCGTCTTAACTTTTTTTTATCTGATAACTCTCTTCAATTAAAAGAAGCTAAGCTTTCTTACATTGTTTAAGATCAGATAAGGGAAAGACATTTTCTACTTTCTTTTTTTCGTTCAAAGAAAAGGACTGTTTAAATCGTTATGGCTAAATAAAGATTAGAGACATATTGCTCCAATACGATTATCCGGAATAAGCGGAGTTGTGAGATGACGCACCTGAAAAGTCTTGTTTCTAATCAAAGAAAACGTTAAAAAACAAGACAAAAAACATTATCCAAGAGCATGGGACGATATACAATCATATCATAGAGCCAAGTCTCGATTTCCTGCTGCTACAAGCAGTAAATTAAAGAAAGAATTAAAGATTTTTTTAAAAAGGACTTACAAAAAAGATTGTATAAGCCATTTGGCCCTGGATGGTTCTTTCAACACACCCCCGCTTTTTTCGGCAAGATTTGCTAAAATATAATATTTTTTTTAAAACTCCCACTTCTGTCCCTCTTCTTCCCTTTATTTACCTTTTTTTCATAATGTTCTTGTCTCGCACTTCTTCTGCTGCACTCAAGGCTAGTGCTTGGGCCTCTGTCAAAGTTAGTTTATTAGGATGAGATTCCACTTTTGCTTATTTTTTTTCTCATAGTCCAACTCTGTTCGCGCTATCACTACCGCTACTCCTAGCATTACACAAGCCTTCAATGCTCAAAAGAACAGCAATGTAAGTAGTGTTTCTTAAATGAAATATAATAGAGAGGAGCGAGAAAAAGAGAAAGAAAGAGAGATATATAATGCGAGAGCGATAGAAAAAAGAGAAAAAAAGGATACAGAAAGATAGATTCGACTTTACTTATAACTTTCTAGGGTAACTACTTGGTCACTTTGATTCCTGGTGATGGTATCGGTCCCGAAATCTCTCGCTCTGTTAAGGATATTTTCGCTGCTGCCAAGACTCCTATTGAATGGGAAGAAGTTGATGTCACTCCCGTCTTGAAGGATGGTAAGACTGCCATCCCTGACGAAGCCATTGCCAGTGTTCGTAAGAGTACTGTTGCTCTCAAGGGTCCTCTTGCCACACCTATCGGTAAGGGTCACGTTTCTCTTAACTTGACTCTCCGTCGTACCTTCAACTTGTATGCCAACGTCCGTCCTTGTCGTTCTGTTGCTGGTTACAAGACCCCTTATGAAAACGTTGATACTGTTCTCATTCGTGAAAACACTGAAGGTGAATACTCTGGTATTGAACACGAAGTAAGTAGACAGAGAGGAAAAAGAGAAAGAGAGTCATGAGACCATAAGCTAACTTATTTCTTTCTTAGGTTATTGACGGTGTTGTTCAATCCATCAAGTTGATTACTAAGGAAGCCTCTGAACGTGTTGCTCGTTATGCTTTCACTTATGCCGAATCTGTTGGTCGTGACCGTGTCACTGCTGTTCACAAAGCAAGCATTATGTAAATGAAAAAAAAATTTTTTTGACAATGCTTGCATGACTGACTTTTTTCTTTAAACAAATAGGAAGTTGGCTGATGGTCTCTTCTTGGACGCCTGTAAGCAAGTTTCTAAGGACTTCCCCAACATCAAGTTCGATGATGTCCTCTTGGATCGTGCTTGTCTTCACGTAAGTAGCATCGAGATAGTATAAAAATCATTTTTTTTACCCTTCTCACATATAGATCACTGCCGACCCCTCTCTTTACGCCGACACCGTCATGGTCATGCCCAACTTGTACGGTGATATCTTGTCCGATATGAGTGCTGGTTTGATCGGTGGTCTTGGTTTGACTCCTTCTGGTAACATTGGTCGTGATGCTTCCATCTTCGAAGCTGTCCACGGTACTGCTCCTGATATTGCTGTAAGTGACAAGATGAAATAGAGAGAAAAAGAATATGTCATTAACTGTTTTTTAGGGTCAAGACAAGGCTAACCCCACTGCTCTTCTCCTTTCTGTAAGTAATTTTGACATATACACACATGTTCTTGATTGCTAATGTATATGTTTTCTACTAGGGTATCATGATGTTGAAGCACATGCGTCTTACTTCTCAAGCTGAAAACATTGAGCAAGCTGTCTTCAAGACTCTTGCTGAAGGCAAGGCCTTGACTGCTGATTTGGGTGGTCGTGCTTCCAACACTGAATACACTAACGCCGTCATCTCTGTAAGTTGATTATTATAATTACATGACTAGACACTAACCACATTTTGCTTAGAACTTGAAATTCTAAAATATATACATATAAATAAGCATACATATACACATGCACGCATTATTATAAAAAAAAAAAGAAAAATAAATATATTCATTATATAATATGTCTTACTCCCTTTTTCTTTACTCTTTTAATTTAAATAAATACACAAAGAAAGGATGAGAAAGAGCTCGTCCTCGAGTGTTACAAAATAAAAAGAAAGTGAGAGAATTAATTTGATATGAAAAAACAGGGTTTAGAGCAACTTTAACTTATACAAACGTACTAAAACGATCTTTTGAAATAAGCTGTTTACAGTCGAGCACAAGCTTCTGCTGTATGTCAAACAATAGTAATAAGTGAAACCTACATGTAGCGTGTAGTGATATTAGTCTATTTAATCTACTTCTCTCCGCCTTGCATAAGAAAAAGCATGCATTCAAGGTGGTCCTTGGAGAAACCAGGAACTGGTCCCCAAAATAAAATAAAGTGATGAAATAAATGGAAGCTACAGAAAGTGTTTATTCCGTTTAAACGACTGTAACGTTGTACTTACATCAAAATAATTGCACACAGACAAAAAAAAGGCTCCAGCTTACCTGGCTTCTTTAATAAGGAGCATCTATAAATAAAGTGTAGGCCAGTAAGGTTAATGTAACACAATAATATTAAAGGCACAAAATAAAAAAGAAACGAAAAAAAAAGAGCAAGAGAGACTATAATATGAACTGAACACTGTCTAGGCTTTGATAATAAAAGTAGATTACATATATTTAAGCACAAACAGCAATTGTTCATCTTACGCACACGATATTCTCGCAAGTAATTTGTCTTATTTGAAAGATATGCGGATATTGAACCTTGATTCTTTATGATTTTTAAAGAATCCAAAGAAAGTTTTTTCTTTCTTCTTTCTTTCTTTCTCTTTATTCATATAATTATAGTAAAAGCACTATTCATGAAACAGTTCCGATGTTGTTTGCTGGGCCTCGTAGCACTTTTTATGCCAATTTCTGCATTACCAACTACGTTTAGTCACAACCAACCATATCTTGTTGATATGCATCAATATTCACAACTTTACTCAACTCATTTGATATTCGACCATTTAGATAGTACTCTCTCCAATCTCTCGAAGCGAATATCCCAACATTTTCAAAATCTTATTCAAGTAACTATGGAACCATTGAGTCCGAAAGATGATTTTGTGGTCGATGTGGACTTATTAAAAGGTCAATTGCAGGGCGCAGTTGGTTGTAAGTCAACAGTAGATTGCTTTGTACTCCGCTAATTCTTTTTCTTCAGCTTTTGTTGAAGACTCTTTACCTAGCATTTGGAATACACGTGCAGCTGTCATCGACAAGAACTTTCTAGCCAACCACATAGGATACGTTACCACTCAGTACTGCTCTCCTCACAACGACAATTACCTGAATACGTGTGTTATTGGTCACTCACAAGAAATCATATACCAAGTAGACCAATACATTCAGCGTCAACTAAAAAGTATTGTGCGTGTCATTGTGACACAGGATTTGCCGCCTTTATTCCAAACAACACAAAGTCATGTCAATGGCATCTTAGCTCATTTTAACCATTATATCGTGCAAAATAACATCTCGCGCAGTGCTTATATCGTCCATAAACAGTTTGAAGAGCCAAATGAACTGATTTCTGATTTAGAAAAAGCAGTGAATCAATATCATCCTCATTCGTCATTTGAAGAATTCATGACATTGGCCAAGGTTGATCAATCATAATATTTGCACATAGATACTTATATATATACATATACACCACATACACCATATACACCATATACATAATGTAATTCACATTAATATCCTCTCCCTCTTTCTTACAACTGTATAGACCTCGTTTAATAATAAACATATTACAAGCTAGATGTATTATGAAAAATGTCTGCTACGTTAATATTTCTTTCAATAGAAAACTCTTCCAGACGTCCTTTGACATAAAGTCTATGTCTATCGCCTTTCTTGCTTTTGTACTCGTTCGATACATAGGCTTCATCGCCAGGATAAGCCAGAAACATCTTGTAATCGCCTTTGTCTTGACAAGGGTTGGCTTGTGGTAAAATTCTGATAAGTTCATTTGTTTTTGTTCTGAAGACATCAATGCCTGCTTTTTCTTTCAGGTCCTTATAGTCGGCTACCTCTGCAAACATGCTAAGCGAGTACCACTGGGGTGGGATCATCACAATCTCTTTGTTCTTATGCTTTTGAAGTGCTTCTTCTGGTTGAAACCAATCAAACATAACAGTTTCTTTTCCATCAGCAGCAACCATGCTCAAATGCAAATCCTGTTCTTTCTTTGTTTTGAACTCTTCTAATATGGTCAAGAAGAACACGGTGTTATATCTCTTCTTTTCCATGACAGGTGTAATCCAGTTAGTGAATGGAATCAAAGCATTCACTGCTGGACGAACTTGATATTTATCGCACATCACTTTAAACTGAGAAGCGTCTTGATGTACTTTGTGTTTCCACTTATTTACATCGAGTTCTTTAATTGTGTTCGAAGGAGGTGTGGTCAACAACAAGCCTGACTCTTCAAAAGTTTCACGAATAGCACATATTTTGTTTGTCAGCATGTAGCCTCTGTTGCCACTTGGTTAATTTCCCACGCTTTGGTAATAAATACATTACTCTTTTTCATTCGCGAGTTTACCATCTATCCAGTTTGAATAATGGTCAGCTTTATCAACTATACCACCTGGATATACATGCGCATTTATAAAACTGCTTTTGGCATTTCTATAGTTTTGTTGAGCAAATTCATGCAAGCAGAAATCATTACCTTTTCATCATTAGAATACGATAATTTGTTCCATCTCTGACTTCTTCTTTAGGCATAGGTGCTGCAACAATTAAAGAAGCAGAAGGTCGAATAGCTGGTTTGGTAGACATGGAGCGAGTAACTTTTTTAAAAAAAAAAAAAAAAAAAAAGTAAAATAAATATTTCAGCTTAAATTTATTTGGTTGACTGACTCACACGTTATTAGCTTTGTCATCATCATTTGAGTAAAAGAAACAAAGGGAAAAGAAAAAAGGTGCCTGAGAAACTATTTTATTTGTGACGAGCAACATGTCTTTCAATTTGCAAATCACAAGCAAGTTGTCGAATGATATCGTCTCTGTAATTTATCTTTCTCTGCAACTTGTCATTTTCATTTGATTGCTCTGCAAGTTTCTTGACAAGTTCCAATTCTCCTTGTTCCATAGCTTCAATTTCACTTAGTAGGATTTGTAATTTACGTTCATAGGATTCAATCGCCGAACCCGAATCCGAAGCAGCAGAGTGATGATTGGTATACGAAACTGTACCTGTGGATTGACGTCTTGATCTTTGATAGTCCTTATTTTCAGAAGACAACAGCAACCTCTCGAACCGATCCAAGGTACGTTTCAACGACTTGATTTTTTGTTCTGAACATGTTAGTTCTTGATCGGAGCGTTCTTTAGCCAGTCTCCATTTCTCATTTTGTTCTCTTTCTACAAAGATTTGTTGACGCAGTCGGTTGTTTTCTTCATGAACCAGATCAATAATTTCAATATCTTCGAATGGAGGCACAATATGTTCGGATTCTGTGTCTTCTTTGGCTTGTTCGATAACCACTCCTTCATCTTGCTTTATGGATTGCTTATCATCATCAATGTCTTGAAGATAGAGAGGTAATGAAGATAGATTGGAAGAGCATAAATCACTTGGTCGGTGCACTACAATCGCACCGTTTGCCTTGATGGGAAGTGGACTGCCTACAGGTAAAGGTGCATACTTGTTCTTTTCTTCAAACAAGTGCATTACATGCGATAATGTATCACTTTTTATTTTTTTCTTGAAAGAATAAGGTTCAATGATTGACATATAATTCTTTTTTAAATAACCATCGGTTGTAATTAAAAAGTCTGTGGATGTCTTTTTGTAAAAAATCTTCATTGGGAAAAGAAAATGAATAATAAATATCAAAGGAGAGCTGTGTTTTTATAAAGAAAATCAAGGAGTAAAAGAGTGTAACCTCAAATCAAGTGTGGAACTTGCTTGTTTATTAATTATTAGGAAGACTTATTTACAAATGGTGTGAGAGAGAGTATGTGCGTGTGTGTTACAGGTTAATTGCTGTTCTATAAAATTTCCCAAAGCCTTGAATTGCTTGAAATTCATCTTCGGTTAAATCAATACCTTCTAATTCTTCATCTTCTGTATGATGACTGCTAATACTACTTGTGCTTGTACTAGCACTCATGTTGCTGATACTATTGCTGCTACTGCTGACTTCAAGCTTTTCGATTGGATTTGCAAGGTCTTGAATAGATAAGCGCCGAGTAGGTACGTCTTGTTTTTGATGGTGCTTTAAAAAGTTTTCTGGGGATTTATCAGGATGGTCAACAAGATAGGTAGCCAATTGAGACAAAACTGAGTTACGGCGAGGGATAGAAGGGATGATTTCTTGCTGTTCTTTTAAATGGGATTGATGGTATGGATACGGTTGGTAGCGAACCTGGGGAGCGGATCGGCGTCTAGAGGGTGTAGGGAAAAAATCATGAAGATGCATGGATGAGTCAGAGGAAGTGGGTGAATCGGGTGGCATGTGCTTTTGTTGAGAGTAGTAATAGTAAGGTTTCTGATAGTCCATAAACATATTATCTTCTTCCTCATAGTCTTCGTCTTCATTGTCTTCATCTTGATCTAATTCAACGTATTTTGGGTTTGGTAAGATGATCTGATGTTCCTTGATAATGTTGTGTGAGGAACCTCGGCGAGAAGGTGGAGGAGAGGGTAGGACATATTCCTCATAATCAAGCGAGCCACTAGAGCGTCTTGAGGACAGTTTTTTACTTCCCCTTCTTGCTTTGGGTTTACTGTTCCTTCTAAGACCACCTCGCGATTTATTATGTGTTTGCGTATGTTGCATCATGTTATCAAATCGACTAAACATACGATCACATCCTGGGACAACACATTTAAAGGGTTTCTATAAAGGGTATGGGTACACATAAATACATTGATTCTATTTACCTCGCCTGTATGTTTCCTATTTGATATAAAAAAAAAAGAGGAATTAATCCATGATTTTGTAATGACATAACTTACCTCATATGACGTGCCAAGTGTTCACTTCGAGTAAAGACCATTTTACAGTCTCCGTAGCCAGTACATTGGAAAACTTTTGATTTTCCATGGTTTCGAGTAGAAGTTTCAGGCTTTGTATCCTGAGAATCTTCATAATCAGCGTCATCTCTTTTAGAGATGGCATGAAAATGATGAAGGTTAGTTGTACTCATGTTGATCATTTTTCTTTGGAAGGAAATTTCTCGCACAGACACTTTTCTTTGTGATAAAGAAAACAGGTACAAAAAGGGAGAAAAAGAAAAGAAAGCGAAAAGAAAAGAAAAGAAAGAAAGAGAAAAAAGAGTGATGTTCCTTTCAGGGTTTTACTCTGTTTCTAGGGCCAAATCAGGTCGTCGAATTATATTTGCCCGAGACTACAAGTTGACACAGAACAACATCACAGATATAACAATGAAGTTAATAAGTCCCGAATTAATAGTTAATTTACGTAATGGAATTGTCATTGTATAAGTTTGATTTGAACAGAACAACCCATGTAAAGGATTTAGTCGGAAGTTTTCAACTCTTTAGCCTGTCATTGGATCAATATCATCTTGTTTTTTTTCTCTCTCTTTACCGGAGACTTTAATGGATTGTGTAAGAATTCTTTGAAGACCTGTCAATTTTATTATATATGAAACAGAGATTCACACACTAAAGAATCATGTGCGCATGTATATAAAAGAATATAAATTAAATAGTTGTCAATCGTTTTTGAATAAATGTGCTTGAAAAGAGTTGTTTGATTTTATGTGCTGTGTCAAGCATAGTGGTATTCTTCTTGCTTCTGATATCTTGTTTTTCTTTTCTAGAAGGTGCTACTTGGGATTTTCTGTTGATATAAAGTAAGAATTTGGTTGCTTTTGATTGCTGTTGCTGTTGTTGATAAGCAGCCAATTCCTCATCTCCGACTGAAATGACGGGCGATGGCAAGGTATTTCTTGAAAGATTTAGCGAATTTGCTTTTCTGTTTGTCTTTTTTGTCAATGATGTCGATCTCAACATATTAGTAGTATAGTGATGATGTTTAAGTGTAACAATAGCCATCTTTTTCTTCTTTCTGAGCATGCCAGTCTCTAGCCATGCATGTTTCAGTACACCCTCGGCCGTCATTCTCCGCTTTGGGTTTCGACAAAGCAATGACCGAATTAGGTCAAGTGCTTCATTAGATATTGTGCTGGGTTCATTGTATTCAGCCATACTGATCTTCTTGAATAATTCAGGCATGGTATCACAATGAAAAGGTAATTGTCCTGTCAACATAGCATACAAGATCACGCCACAACTCCACATATCCACAGGAGGACCACGATAAGGTGTGGCTGTGACCATCTCGGGTGCTGCATAAAATGGACTACCGCAGTAAGTATCCAGCAACTGAGTTGCATTAAAGATTTTCCCAAAACCAAAATCACATAGACGGATAGTCCCCGCTTTGTCTAACAAAACTATAATAGTAGGAAGTTTTAGAGAAAAAAAAAACACGAGCTTGGTCTTTTTGATACCTACCATTCTCAGGCTTCAAATCTCGGTGTACAATGCCATTCTATAGAGAAAACAGATAAGTCACATTTCAATGTATCCATGTTACCTTGTGAATATAAGCAACTGCTTCGATCAATTGTCTGAACCAGATTTTAGCTTGAGATTCTCGAATTTTACCTTCTCGCTTGATTCGCTCGTATAATTCTCCTCCATCAATGTATTCGAGTACAAAATAATTGCAATGATTTTCCACACTCACGTCTCTTACATTCACAATATGTTGATGTCTGAAATCTTTTCTAGAGAACAGTTTACAAATTTCTTTTTCATTTTCCGCATGTCTTTTCTGATCCTCGTTTTTGAATTTGCGGGTATCGACTACTTTGATGGCCACCTGTATAGACCAATAAGAAATAACATACTCAAAAAGAACTTACTTTTTTGCGTGTGTTTATTTCTTCTGCTAAAAACACTTCGCCAAAATTCCCTTTACCAAGGATTTTGATCTTTTTGTACTGATCTTGAAATATTCTGCATCTATTTTGATTAACCTAAACATATAAAAAGGTTAAATTGTATTAAAATAGCAATATGTAAATCACTACTTCTAACATTTGATCTTGTTGATATTAAAAAATTAACTGTATTAGATTTAGAATATAGTTTAAAAAAAGAAAGAGAAAAAAAAAAGAAAGTGAAAAGAAATAAATAAACATGAAGACTCTATATTTTGTTGATATAGTTCGGAAACTTATAAAAGGTAGCATGCGAGGAGAGAGAAAGAAAAAAAAAGTGCAAGCTGTTTAATAACAGCATTTTGAGTACGAATGTGTGTATGTGCGTTTTAAAGAGAAAAAAAAAAGGGGGGGGGGGTTAGGGGGTATCCTGTACTGCTTAATGTACACATTTATTCTTCTTCACTTTCATTTTCTTCTTCACTTTCATTTTCTTGTTCGGATTCATTATCATCATCAAGTTCCATCTCTATGTCTGTTTCTTCCTCTTCGTCTTCTTCACTACTGGGTTCAATTGCTCGCTTACGACCTCGAGTGCTTCTAGGTTTGCTTGCTACATTTGTATTTTGATCACGCTCATTCTCACCAACCCGTTTTCTTTTGCGAAGTTGTCGTCCAGAAGCAGGAGGATTATCCCCTTCCTTGTCTTGTTTCTGCTTCTTTGCTTTAGGTTTTCTGCTGGCTAGTAAAATGTGTCAATTTAGCCCCTTTTATTCCTTCTCTCCCTTTTTATTTATTTTTTTTTCTTTCCATACCTTTCTTATGAGTTTCTGCCTCATGTTCAACTTCAGATCCTCTTTGCTTTTCAATCTTTTGCTCCAATTCATCCACTAATGCCTTGAGTTCTGGTCTTTGATTCTTATGAAGACGGCCCTGTGTACAAGCATAAGTCATGTGCATTTTCATGCATGCAGTTGTTTTTTTTCTCTCGTTACCTTTTGAACAATTTCAACAAAACTTTTATAAACAGCTTCTTCATGCACTTTATCTTGATAACTAGGCCAATTCTCTAATAGTTTCTTAAACGGTCTTTCAGATCTGAAAGGCAATAAAGATAAACAGTAAGCAATATCCCGCCAATTACGTTCATCTTGTGCGTTCAAGAAACGTAAACAAAGCTTATCCACAATGTTTTCAGCTTGTTTTTCTTTCTCTGTGAAATCAAAACTAAAAATAAACTTCATGATCTTGCGGAATGCTTCTTCTTCTAATCGAGGAGGTTGGTTGCTTGTCAAGTTAGAGATGATATCAGGCAAATTGTTATAGATTGCATTGTCTTTGAAAGCTAGTTCAGTAAAGAAGAGCTTGGCAAGATCGGCAATACGTTGGTCTGCGTCCTCTAGACATTTGGCCATTTCGCTAATTTGTCCCTTGACTTTCACCATACCGTTCAGAATAAGGTGAGTCAGGACCATCACGGCATTTTTACGGACCATGGTATCAGTATCAGCCAACCGATTATACAGGAAGGTGATGTTGTCATCAATCAGTGTATTGAAGCAGACAGCCATATCACCCAAGGCAATCACAATATTACTACGAATCGTAGCGTCTTTAGATTTCTCGAGAATAGTAAACAAGAGCTGCAGTTTCTTTTCACAAAAGTCAGAACTGACGCACATGAATTTAGTTAAAGCAAGTGTGGCGTTTACTTGCAGTGTACGGTCAGTGTAAACCTTGTTGCGTGCACAGACTTCAGTCAACATGGGGCCATAAATACCAAGTAAGGAATGAGAACCAAACAAGATTTCTCTTTCGCGAATACGAAGCATAGCATCACCAATATCATCTTCTGCTGTACCACCAACTTGTTCTAGTTCGTCTTCCATGCTTGTTAGATCCGTATCCTTTTGTTTCTCTTTTGTTTGCTTTTTACGCTTCCAAGCAGACTCGATAATTTCCAAATGAACAAGTTGTTTCAGAGCTACATGGCCTACTAAAAAGAACAATTGGGCCAATTCTATTGGTTTTTGGAAGATGGGTGTTTGAGGGAAAGGTAGCACTTGTTGAGACATGCTTAAATCATATTCCATCATTTGAGATTCCCCATTGACCATGATCTGACTACTGCTTATTTCGTTTTCTTCTTCCTTTGCATCAAACACCTTGAGTGTCTTGTTGCGAATCAATTCTTCACATAATACTTCAGGACTCTTTGACAACAAATAAATGGTATTAATCGCCTGTTCAGCCAAACTAAACCAATCTTGGCTTTCAGAAGGATGTTCAATGATATCCTTGAGTCTAGCAAACATAGGGTGATTGGAGGAGAATCGAATGCCTTCTTTGACACCACGACCCTTCTCTTTCTTTGCACCTTCGAGTCTTTGAAGTGCGACACAAGTATAGCGAGCCAATTCAAGATCTACTTTACCTAATGGACCCAAGCCAATCTTGAGCATCACATCTATCTTATCCGACACAATCTTTGTCTTTGTCTTGGCCAGCATGCCCAAGATAATAATAGCACCACGTCTTAAGGATTTCTGAATACGACCCTGTGTAAAACCATACACAGACCAGAGTTTTTCAATCACATCTTTGATGATCTTATCTTGTTCCATCAATGTGCTTAGCAGTTGCTCCAGAGACGTCAATTCAGCAAGATTTGTGTCAAATGTTAATTGAATCAGATTTTTGGCTATGCGGTTCACATTTTCTTTTTTAGAGAGTTTGGCGTCCATTTCGAGATAAAGGTTTTCATAGCAAGACAACAGCTTCATTTTGATGCCTTTGCCTTCATCACTTGTGTCTTTTGTCCAGATCAAATGAAGCATTTTTTTGATACCATCCTAAGTTAAGTGATAAGCCATTCCTATGCTTGTGAATCATAATCACTTACAGAAGCAAGATTGACTTTATAGTTATAACAAGTAACCAAAAAATCCATGGATTCAAGTACTTCTGCCTTGGATTTAGAAGACAATAGCTGAGTAATCACAGGAATACTCTTGTGCACAAGTTCAATAAACTGAACAGCATCTGTGTGGAATGTACGCATAAGCACCAGTTGTTGTAGTTTCTCAGCAGAGACAATGGTCTTTCGAGGTTGATTTGCTTCAGCCATGTCTGTCTCGTCTTCTTTCTCTACCACAAGTGCACGTACATCTTCTTCTGTAGTCACATTGTCCATCTCTTGTTTGAGCGTGTTTAACCGAGTATTCCATTCATCCAAATTGAGTTCACCACCATACATGTTATAAGGATGTGTTGACACAAGTGTGGTCAATACTCGAATAGCATATTTGCGAACAGTACTTGTCTTGTCTTCAAGATGACGCACACAGAGTACAGTAGCAGCATGTCTTCTTTTAGGAAACTTGACTTTAAGCCTAATCATGATAAAGGATGAGTAGATCAATAACTAGTTAAGATACCTACATGAACAAACGTAAATAGACTTGAAGTACTTTTTGTCTACAGTAGGAAATAGGATCAAGCATACGTTCTTCCAAGATATCAAAGAACCCATTGATTTGCTCCATATAGTTTGGGTTGTCTTCAATCGATTTGGATAATTCAGCAATCAAATAGCCCAAAATATCAATCAATGTTACACGCATCAGATAAGAATCACTATCGAGCTGATTAATCAACACTGTCAAGTTCTTGAGTATGATCTTGGGTGATAATTCAGCCATTCTGAGAAGAAAAGTAGCAAACGTCTTTGGATTAGGCGAATCTTTTACTTCTTTGGTTGTATCTTTGAATTCACGGTTACTGATTTCGCGTAGTATTTCATCTGCTAATTGTGTGTAATTTTGTTTATCGACCATAAACACAAGCATCTCTGCCATGGGTTCAGCCGAATGTTCATAGTATTGAAGGTGCTGCATGATGGTTGTCTGTGCCACTAAGTAACGCATTAGCTATCGTTTGAGTGTATAACATCTTACCCGACAAATGATCGTACTGCTTGACACATAAACTCAAGATACGAAAGATACGTTCTTTGATCTGAGCTGATCTCGCATAGACAGGGTTCTCAAACAACTGATATGCAGGCTTTGTAAACAACGTGACAAAAGCAACACGATCAGGTGTCAATGTCCAGATCTTGGTCAATTTGAGCCCTAATAACCAACTGACCAGATCAAATGCTTTTAGTTTCTGTGAACTCCAGTCAAATGTCTTGAGATCATGGACGTTGTGAGCTGCTTTTGACTTGCGCATCATACTTGAAGTGGTTGCATTGTCTTCTGCTTGCATCAGGAACCAATGAATCAAAAACCCATATAGCTCTAAATGATAGCGATGGTTGTTGAATGTCTCTTTTTCATTATTGTCTAAATCATCAGAAGTTGCCTTGATCTCAACACGGAAGCCTATGTTATTTATTTTTTATTATTTTTTTTTTTTTTTTTTGTGAGTCATCAAAGCTCTGTAGATGTGTTTTCTTACCTGATGAAATGATGTCAAATAGGCGTGATAAAATACGAGGTTGAGCATTAGAAAAGTATCTATGCATCTTGGTTAAATGATCCAGTGTATATTATGACTTACTTGAGGAAACTGCGTAGTTTATCAAACACAAGAGGATCAGCAATGTTCTCTGAAGACACTTCAATACTGTCCGTTATTTCTACAAAAAAAAACAGAGTAAGAAAAAGCAATGGTCAACACAGGGCATACCGTTTAAGAAACGAGCCAAGTCTTGATCACTTTTTCCTCGAATGTCTGTTTCATTAGGAATATAATAGTCAAGTTTATCTTCTTCTTGAAGTTTCAATACTTCTTCTGATAAAACAAATTGGTCTCTCATTCTACTCAAAAAGAAGAAAGAAAAAAAAAATTTACAGAAACGCGCTATCGCGTATTCAATTTTATTACAGAAAAAAAAATACGCGTATAAAAACAGTAACCACTTTAAATTGGATTTTGTATACGCATACGACTAGTGGCAACAAGATTGTCCCGTTTGCTTGATTGTCTTTGATAATGTTGTTTTTGAACTACTTCTGGTAATCGAGCTAGCAAATCTGTCTTTGAAAGATGAGATCCGTCTGTAATAGTCAATTTACTGCGGCGTTCTTTTCTATTGCGTGGTTCCATTGGTTCCGCCGTAGATTCGCCTCCTTCTGTAATAGACAACCCATTAGATTCAGGCAAAGGTTTTCTAGTCATATTTTGCTTGTAATATCTCATGAAACGACGATGACCTAATCTTTCACCCGATTCTAATATCAATTCATCTTCGGGTGTGGTATCTGTATCAATCGTGGCGGCTTCAAAGTCTTGTTCTGACATGTTACCAAAGTTATAAAACTGTAGCAATTCTTCAGGGTCTTCAGATTCGTCGTATGCCATTTTACAATGTCCTTTATCCAACATATGTTTTCTAACAGCCCATGGTGTTTTGTATTCCTTTCCACGTCCATTACAATAAAGACAGACACAATCATCAATCTTTTCAGCTAGATACATAATCAAACCAGGTGCATCTTCTAAATATTCTTGATCAGGTAAAAAGAAGCCATGAACAACACTCATATGCTTCATATTGGTATCGAAATCACCATTCATCATATGACAAAACAAACATCTGTCTGTGCTAAGGGGATGATCCGCAGCAGAAGACACAACCGAGTGCGTCTCATTGTCTGTCAAATCTTCTTCTGTATCTGAGAACAAAGTGCTGGTGGTTTCCTTTTTGATCACAGGTGAGAGTAAGGCTTGTTTATCTGCTTGATATTCAAGGTCACGGTGCTTTTTAGATAACAAGTGGTTTGAGAAAGCATTTTCAGAAAAATAAGATTTTCTGCAGACAGTACATTCATACACAAGTCCTTGTCTCTCTTCTTCTTCTCTTCCCTTTGTTTGTTGCGCTATATTCGAAATAAGACATCGTTCAGTCCATGTAGTACTTACCCAACACTTTTTGTGCAAATTGTTCCGCAGTAACAGAAGGAAGTTGAGCAATCTTTCTCTTGAGGTTATACTTGTGCCAGTCAGTACGGTAATGAGCACGTTGACGCTCAGTAGTAGGGAAAGCAACTTGACAAGCAAGACAAGTAAATAAATTGTTACGAGGTCTCAAAGGGTTTGAGTGTTGAGTATGATAAAGGCTTTCAGTTTGCATCTTTGATATAATAAAGAGAAGAAAAATAAAAAAAAGCCTTTTTTTTTCTTTTTAATAAAAACTCAGTGAAGAGAGAGAGAGAGAGAGATGACAAATCATGTAGAAGGGTTTTATTAGCTAAAGTGACCTGTATTTACTGCGCAGCTAAAATACAACAGCAGTTTCAATTTTTAATGCACTTTTATGAGCAACATTCTTCAGACAGATCAAATGTATGAGGATGTCTAAATTCCTAAAGAGCTTCAACTTGGTAACACTGATCATGCTGTAAACCTTGGGAGAAACGAGATCCATAACGTACGTATGTAAACTATATATCAGTCGCAATCAATGAAATCGGAATGAGTCTTTATTAGAGCCTTGGTCGAAAACACAAGTTTCTGAGAGATAGATTATGTATGTTAACAAAAGTGACGAAAAAGCAAAATAATGATTACCAAATACTTATGGTGGATCAGTACCAAGTTATTTATCAAAGCTTTCAAATGACATTGTAATACAGAGCATCAAGACGTTTTCAAGGACAGATATTAACCTACGAGCGACTAACAAAGATCCGATTGTACAAAGAAGAGGATCAAAGAAAGCTGGGGTCATCGACATGGGAAGTCGACCAAGCTCGGATGGATAATCTGACCAGTGAACATACATCATAACAAAGTCCCAAAGACATATGTAAACCTAGGGTCATTCCTTCTTCATATCAGGAACCAAGTCAGGTCTCTTCGTCTAGAAGCCTCTTATTTTGATAAATATTAACCTACGAGCAACTAACAAAGATCCGATTGTACAAAGAAGAGGATCAAAGAAAGCTGGGGTCATCGACATGGGAAGTCGACCAAGCTCGGATGGATAATCTGACCAGTGAACATACATCATAACAAAGTCCCAAAGACATATGTAAACCTAGGGTCATTCCTTCTTCATATCAGGAACCAAGTCAGATCAAAATAATAAGCAGAAATAATTACAATGTCAACCTAGTAATGAGAATAACAAATTAGTATACAATCAATACTTACAAGGGAATTCCAATAAAACATTTGCCACTTGAATTCTTAAAAAAAAGACGGTAGGAAAAACACAATCTAAGCTAAAAACACAACGCGCTAAATCAAAGGCGACAGGTGCAAGGAAACATGAGAGCGTAAGAGGAATAAAGTAGAATTAAATTATTGTCGAATTTGATAAAAATGACGTCACTATCTTCCACAACATTTTTATCTTAAACAATCTTTCAGTTGAGACCAATGGAATCGTTCAAGTTAGATTATAACAAGAATGATCCTGTCGCGAGATATTTTTCAGAACATCCTGTTAGCGAATGGTCTTATCCTGAATTTGAAGCTGCAGTTAATAAGAACAAGCCAATAAAGCCAAATGATAAAAAAACAAAAAGCGCGTACTTGAACATGATGAAAATCCTCAAAAATAAAAACAATATACCAGAAGACGTGAAAACAGAAATAGATCGCTTATTAACCATAAGCAAAGAAAATCCCTCCAGCATCACCTTTCATATTTCAGCTAAAGATTCTTCCACCGTCAATGCTATTGGAACAGGCGTATTGGCTCCTACTCAAATACAACCACAACCGCAGCAAGACTTCCAGTCACAATCACAACCACAAGATGCAAACGAGGAATATGACAGTGACGAGCATGAAACAAGAATTCCCTCAGACTTATCCATCGACCATCATCCCAGACGCACCAGTGATTATACTCTTTCCTTTCAGGAAGGCTTAACCCCATTAGAGGAAGATCCAACCAACGACACAAGATGGATGCTGAATAATCATTGTATCTCAGATTTGTGTTTTAAATTAAAAAACACAACAATGCAAATGATCAACCAGATGAACTCATCTCAACTATCAGATATTCGTCTTCTTGCGTTGAATGATATCTACCTCTTTGACAAAAATCTTGCTTTGTCTGTCACTAAATACTTCACTAATGCAATTCATAATGTCGTCAAACCATCCTTATCATTTGAAGCATATCTCCCCCCAAGAGGTGTTCGATGCTATGATTGGTGCATGAATATAGAAGCATCTCCTCCTTCAGACTGGATTTCTTCTTTAGCATTGTGTGGAAAAATGCTTAGTGATGCTTGTGAATCAAAGAACCTTTTAGATATTCATACTGCCCAAGTTTTAACACATGTCCTTCCAATCTTCATCAATGGTCCACCAGATTACTCTATTGAGGACAGCTATGTACATAACTATCTCTCACCATTGTTGACTACCGTCTTTGGTTCTGATCCCTTGTTGAACATGAAATGGGCTAATGGTCAGTTGAAAAGCAATGATTCCAAATCATACAAGCCAGACTTTTTGGTTTACAATCTTTCTGGTAGTATCAAGCGTGTTGTGTTGATTTCCGAATTCAAACCTACAGATCAACATTCTTATGTGGAATCTGACTTGGTAAAGCTTGCTAAGCAAATGAAGCTTACCTTGAACAATTTGGTTTTGAGTGGTGTTGTTGAGCCAAAAGTGTGTGGCATTCGTTGTGAAGGCAATAACTTACATACGTATGTTATGGATCTCGTTTCTCCTAAGGTTTACAGAATGAAAAGTGCTTCCAAGCTGAAACTCTTCGGAGACTTGGACCAGACCACCTTACTCCCCAGCATCCTTACACATTTGATCAGTTTGAAGAATGTTGCTCATGAAACTGCATTAAAAATTGAAACTGCTGTTGTGTCTACCTGCGATACTCTAAAACGCCCTGCTCCTTGCCCACCCTTAAATTGGCTGTCTAGCGATTCTTTTGTTCTGTCTCGTGCTACCAAGAAGCAGAAGAAATGAATGCTCTTGTTTTTTTTTCTATGTAAGATAATAATATGATCTCATTGAATCACTTATGAATTAAAACCATATCTGTATTTCGGTCTGAATAAACTTATCTCTTATTCACTTAATACGAATCTTTCATCATTTCATGAAGAGGTCTAACAATGCTTCATGCAGTATTCAGTCATTTTCTTAAGCCACATTTTCCTCTCTAATCTTCTTTGTATATTTTAGGAACTTCTATACATGTGTCTTGCTGCCATTGTTGTTTAATTGGCACCAAACAATAGAAATTAATCTAGTCATTTATATGAAAAACACAGTATTTATGCAATTCGCACAAAATCTTAATGTGACTTTTTGTAAACAGAAAAAGGGGGTAGAGAGCATAGAGTGAAAAAAATATTACAACTCCTTTTTATATTCTTTTTCTGTCTTTTTATGAAAACACACTGTTATGGTAGCACTTGATCTCGACGCCTGTTTAGAGAAACTGTACAAGAAGCAGTTACTGGCTGACTGTGTACTTAAAGAAATTTGCGAACGAACAAAAGAGTTGCTTTTATCTGAAAGTAACGTTGTACATATTAAGGCACCTGTTACTGTAGTGGGTGATATTCATGGGTAAATAAAACAAAGAAAAACAAAAGTATGTCTAATGATAGACAGACAATATTATGATTTAATAGAAATATTTCGTATAGGAGGATACTGTCCAGATACCAATTATCTCTTTCTTGGTATATATGATTTTTTTTTATATTATTATCTAATATTCTCTAGGTGATTATGTTGATAGAGGACTGTATAGTATAGAAACAATATCGCTGTTGACATGCTTGAAATTAAGATACCCAGAACGCGTTCAACTTGTGAGAGGAAATCATGAATCAAGAGCAGTAACTCAAGTAAATGAGATATCATTGCTACATTTGCCTGTTGACATTGATATAGACATATGGATTTTATGCAGAATGTGTGCGCAAGTATGGATCAGCTAATGTGTGGAAATACTTTACAGACATGTTTGATTTCTTGACATTGTCTGTTGTGATTGATAACAGTTTATTTTGTGTACATGGAGGTAAAGAATATGTTTATGAGCATTTGCATTAACATCTAAACAAGGTCTTTCACCAACTATTCATGTATTGGATCAGATAAAAATCATTGACCGCTTTAAAGAAATCCCTCATGAAGGTGCTATGGCAGACTTGGTGTGGTCTGATCCAGACCCAGATAAAGAAGAATTTGCTATTTCAGCAAGGTAACATAAGCAATCCAATCCAATGGTGACTTATATGTATCTGATAGAGGAGCAGGATACACATTTGGTGGACATGTTGTAGACCGATTTCTTCATTTGAATGGGATGAATCATATATTAAGAGCACATCAATTGTGTAATGCAGGATACCAAGTTCTTTTTGACGATAAACTATCAACTGTTTGGTCTGCTCCTAATTATTGCTATCGATGTGGTAATTTAGCTTCGATTTTAGAAGTGAGTGTATCTGGTCAAAGGTTCTTTAATGTGTTTGATGCTGCGCCTGAAAATGATAGAGTATTGGATAATACATCTTCCATACAAGGCAAGGTAATGTATACAAGCGAATTTTATTCTTTGTGCTTAAATATGTGCTCTAGGACAACAAGGTGGAATACTTTTTGTAAGCTTGTATATTAATAAATGTAAAATATATCTTCTTTTGAGGTGATGTATCAATCTCCTGTTGATTTAGTTGAGTATAAATCAGATTTTTAGTTTGGGTTTTGTCCCAAAATTTCACTGACATTTTATGTCCTTATCTAGCTAAATTCCCTGGCTTATGCTTGTCTAGAAATAAAAAGACGTTTTTTTCTGACCAAAAATTGTAGGTCCTTAAAGTCTAAATCAAGGGCTATCGACACAAGAACATAACAATTTATGAAAGCTCTTTTAAAGCTTACTTTGAATAGTTTAGAACAAATTTCTGATCGCTCCTTATGAATTGAAAAATGAAAGACTGCAGTAGCCAGATTTCGAATGTAAAAATAATCGATTGGTAGAATAGTTGTTTATTCTATTCAATATTTGTAAGCTCGAAGCTTTAATACTACAACGGAGTAATCAGAATCAAAACAAGAAAAGGGGGATTTTCATGATGTATACACATAATAAAATTGTGTTTCTTTCAGGTAAGGATGCCATTTATCTGATTGAATTAGGCAAAATAGATACAGTTCTTCTAATGTATTGATTTAACCAATGACAAGATCGAAACCATCAAAAAGCGTACAAATACGCAGGATTGCATAACTACACAAAGAGACTATAAAGCCTATTTCTACACGCTCAAACAATCTAAATACCTTCATATGTCAGTAAACATTTCTGTTCATTTTCTGTTCATTTTCTGTTGCTTTGCTGTGCTATCATATGCTGTACTCTATTGTGTTGTACTATAAAAAGAAGAGTATAGCGTCTTTTTTTTATTCTAATATCATATCAATACTAAATGTAACTTAAAGGCCATACACAAGTTTATGTATCTCAGAAACCACATAGTTTTGTTTTAGAGCAGTGGCAGATATGATTTGCATCATGAAATGTAATTGCCATTGTGCGGAGAACATTGTTGAAACAATGGTCCCTCTCTTATTCTACTATTGTTTCGTTTACAATCAAAGTATCCATTTTCTTCGGCTTTTACAGTGGCTGGTCAATTTAGAGTTATACAAGGATCTTTTTTAATCAGGTCTTAATCAAACGCTCTTAAATCGAGCGGTTATTGTAAATCAGGCTGTTAATGTATTTTTTTTTTTTTTTTTTTTTTTTTTTTTTTTTGCAAATCGAATACTTTGAAATGGTATTTTTTATTCAGAAGAGCTTTTATCACTGTCAGCATCTTCTAAACTAGTGTTTTCATTTTCTTGAAAAAGATCAGATAACTGATGCCACAAGGCTTCGCCAAATCCTTTCCATGCAATTGTAGCAAAGACAAGTTCTAAACCAGCAAATGTAAACATAAAGGCCACTGCTGTGATCACTCGATGATAATACATGTAATAACTTTTCAGAAAATCAGTCCAGTTGTTGAAACTAATCCTGTAATGAACTTACCGGAGGCCTCTAAACTTTGCAAGTATAAGTAGCTTTGCATTATAGACCTGAATAACTGGATCTGACAACGAAACGTAGACACTATGGACAGCTTGTGTCTGTTGAATAGATGAGTGGAAGTATATTCCTTTGACTAACTTACCTTGTGCTCCATAAATTCATCAATGAGTTTGATTGTAATCACCTGACTTTCTTCAGATAGACCCATCAAGAGAGGGATAGCTTTGGTAGCAACCCTCATCAATCGTTGGGGTCTTGACTGATAGCGCAAAATCCCTGGCCGACTAGACTTTGATATAATCAACCCATTTCTTGTCTGAAGCTCGGCGGTCACCATGAAATTCCCAATATCAAAGTTGATGTCTGAAGTAGGCATATGTAACTGTACGGAAACTTCATATAGTTGTTCATGTCTCAATGTCTGTGATTGGATCAGACTCAGATTATGGGTTCTTTCATTATGCTTACCGTAGGTTTACTCAAAGTGATGTCTATAAGCGCACTAGGACCTATCGTTGGTTTATTGCTGTATTGAAACCAAATAGGTTGTACATGTGTGATAGGTGGTACATAGCGATGATAAAACAAGATATATGCAGCCAGACTACTCACAAAAATCCATACAATTGTAATTGCAAAGATGGTTGTTTTGACAAATGCCTTTTGGACTGTCGGCACAAAAAATATTCTAAAAACAGACATGACTAACACCCGTAGAGCTTTTAAAATAAAAGTAAAAAAAGGATTGCTTGATATGGGTTGCTCTTCAACTGATAATTCACTTGTATTTTCCTCTGTTTCTTGTTCTAACAAACTTGCAGTATCTTCTGTAGTAGGTACTACTTGAAAATAATCAGACTAACTTAAGCATAAGTCTTTTTTTTTTCTTCAAAAACATGAAATACACTACACTATGATTATCATTTGAGAAAACCTCTTTTTCTTCTTCTTCAGGACTTTTGAAAGACATAAGAAACCAAAAGAAAGAGAAAAAAAATGAAAAAATAAACAAGTTTCATCTACATTTCCCTATCACATGCCAGGTTGCTTCGGGGTTTTGGCTATAAAGTGTTTCGACAGTTTATTGTTTTCTTTAAACCAATGTCACTTAATTTCTTCAAAACAAAGTCTGAAAAGACAGACGCAACACTCCAGTTTAGCTCAGTGATTCATAACTTGAAAACGCTTGATAATACCAATAAACCTTTGGATATTGAACATTTTATTCAAAAAGAAAACATACAGCTAGGAGAAGGTATTTATGTTTGAGCTGATTCATCAACTAATCTAACCAGATCTTTGCAATGAGACTCAACAGAACAAGTTGCCTCCAACACGTATAGAAGCAGACAAAGACTATTCTGAGCAAGACACACGCTTGTTTGTAAACACACTGCTTGATTTATCAAAATCGATGCCTGAAGCCAAATCCAAAGCAGTGGAGTGCAGAGAACAAGTTAAGGCGTGTTTAGAGCGCAATGAAACAACAATGAATGACATCAATAAAATGGTTTATTATGCATAAGCTTCTTGTAGTATATCTTTACATTTGATCACTCTTTCTGTTTCTCTATTTCCACTCAAGGAAGGATTGATGTGAGGTCTATAATTTTTGTACATTTGTGCCTTGAGGAAAGGTAGGTCGCATTCTTTTTTTGGCGTCTTGATCTTCTTGATCAACTCTAGAATTGTGTTTTGCTGAATTTGTGTAGCAAAAGTGCCCACAGAATCACCTAATAAACATTCTTTGGCTTTTGATTCTGATTCAAGAGCATGAATTGTATCAGATATGCTGCAACTGATTCCTTCTGAAATCTTTTCTTCATGTGAAGGAGTCAGACAAGTCATGTTAGGTTCTTTACGAAGAACATGGTCAATGTCCACAGCAGAGAAAAATGCCACGCTCTATTTTATGAGTATGTTTGAAAAAAGTTTCGATATGTTAGCTTACCTGTGGCAAATCATATATGCCTAGCTTATAACTAAACAATGCTCTTGTCCAAATATTTGCAACCTGAAGAGCTAATGCTGTTCGATGTTGATCTTTCTCTGAAGCCAAATACCTCACTTCATCATGCACAGAAAGCATAAATCTTGCGTTGATGTTGTATCTATCAATCAAATGTGCCATCGAAACAATAAGCAAATGAAGGTAATCTACACCTGAACTCTGGACTACCCAATTCACTCTCGATGTCAAGAATTGAGTGCCTGTGTATTTAGGCTTGAGAGCGTCTGTAATAGCGCAGCCTAGTACAGGTGTTCGAGGTTCCTTAGAGAGCGCAATGTCTTCTAGTGCGTTGAACATGTAGCTCTCTGTTCCACCATGCCAAAATGTTCGCTTGAAAGGGTTGTTGACCGAATGTTCTTTTTCACCTTTGGTGTTTGAATACAATTGTAGGGCTCTTATTTTGGCTGTCTCTAGATCCATGCCTTGACTGTATTGTAATAGTAGACTGGTAGCATATTTCACACCTGCACCATAGATTCTTGCATAATTAAAGATCTTGGCTTTATCTCGACTGATGCCCAAAATACTTGCCGTTTTTGAATGAAGATCTGTACCTTCTGATTTCGTGCCTTGCAGAGTCATCCAACCTAGAGCAGTTGCACCATGAAAACCAAACTGAGCATCACCAATCACGCTCGAAATCCACAATTCTTCAGAATCCACATCAGCCCCTATAATCTTGTATCCCTCAGGCGCTTGCACCATCGACTTGAGTTCAGATCCAATGCGGTTCAGTTTAGCATTGCTTGCTGTCAACCATGTCTTTTCAACCGCACGCCGAGTGACTGTACCCATCGTCACCATCTGAGGTAGGATCATACCATACTTCCCTTCCTGTTTCTTTGGCAAGTGCATATTGGCTGTGATGTTATCATCCCAAATAACAAACTGATTCAGAATTCTCTCTCGGGAACTAATCCAATACGCACTCTTTGCATTCAGCTCAAGTGCTTCTCGAGCAGCTTCGTATTCTGATGTCAAGATTTTGTCTTCAAAAGACCCAATGTAGTTCTTTGCAAGTGGGTTGCCGCAATTGGCTGACTCTCCATCTTTATGAGGCACTTTTAGGTAACAATACGTATCATCGATCAAGACAGATTTCTGCATTTGCTCTGGGTTGGCTTCGTCAGATGGAATTTTATAGCACCATCCATTGTTGGCGAGGTGATGTAAAGGATAGCCTTGCCATTTGAGTCGAAGCAAAAGAGGAGCAATACGAGACCGAATCGATATTTTGAGCTTATCTGATTTAGTATCGTATGCATCTTTATACCATTTAGGAGAACCTTTGAGTTTTCTCTGTCGAGGATTCACAAACCAATCTAGCTGACTCAACCAAGGGTCTTTTTGCCACGTCTCGGGTGCATCGACTAAAGCGTGTGCCTTTTCAGCTAAATCTCGTAACTTGACATCCACCAAGTCATTGAGTTCTTGATGTTTCCCAGCTGATTTCTCCAAATAATCCTGCCATTTCTCTGTTACTGTCAAGAACGAGTTTCCCATATGAAGCATGCCAGCAAATGATACAGGGTGAGGGCAGTTCTTTCTAAACCGAGGAAAGACTGCTTTATAAATGTTATGTGTGAGTGCTACATCATGAGCGCAATAAGTCATCAGTGTATCGAATTCTGCTCTAACATCTTCCAAACTGCCTACTTCAAAGCAGGACCGTTTTGATTTGTCTACATTCACACCACAATAAAATTTGGCCACATCTTTCAGGCTGTTTAACGAGCTGACATCAAAGAATTTGGTTTGATGATCTATTTCTGGTGCATTGGTAGATTCCTCGCTGTCTTGATTTCTTCGTTTTACTTCTATATTCCAAGCAGGCCGTTGTTGTGAACATAAGCCAGCTACTGCAATATGCAAACTCATAGTATCCACAAAGCGCATATGAGAGGGCTCCGTACTGTACTCCTCTGCGATCCGTGCTCGATCATAGCCCACATTATGCCCAACCACAAGTCGAGGTTGATTTGTGTTACCAAAGGGTATCAGTTGTTCTTTATTCTCTGTTTCTCCTAGTAAATAAGGTGATGCCCAAGAATACCAAGCTTTGTCTGAAGCCACTACAGCCATTGTAGGGTATTTTCCCTCAGACATGAGTACTTCAACATCAAATACAAAGGTTTGCTCAAGTGGAAAATCTACAGGTGTTGCTTTCCCTTCATGATATTGAGTCCAGCCTGATGCTTTTCGCCATTGTGTAGGCATAGGAGGTAACTCCATATTCGCAAGGTACTGACACTGTTCTAAATAGGGTGATGATTGTTCGAGACCAAGTCGCATAAAATGTTCTTCGATATTCACACCTATAAGTTTGGGTAATTGGATATCAATTGGAGGGTTAATTTCGTTTTTTTTGCCCCAAATTTCCTGCATTGTCAAATGCTCCTTCGCGTAGTTTTCCTTTATTTCTTGCCTTGTCTTTTTTGGTTGATCTTCAGTAGGGTAGGGTGAAAATAACTGCGCTTGTAGACTTGGTGAAAGCAGCTGTACGTGAGCAGGGTTTATTTTGACTAGCACAACCATCAATTTTCCTCTATTCTTTCTTATTTGCTCTTACTCTTATCATTGTGTAGCTGCCTTATCCACGCTTTTGAAAAGGAAGATCGAGTTCGTAACAGAATAGCGGATCTTTTTGAGATCATGAATAAAATAAACAAAGAGATGCTGGTCGTCTCTTTTTTTTTTTCTTTCGCTCATTTAATTTCTTTGTTTGGGTCAACTTTGCTTTAAGCTTACTAATCACTAAGCTTTGGTTCTTTGTAGTATCTTTATGCTCAAGATACTGGTTTTATTCATGTTTCATGTAATCTGGAATTCAGTAAAAGAGCCTTAATAAAGAGGGTAGGTATGTGTTGACAATCCATACTGTGACTGTTGAAGCGTTCATGCTACACATATTTTTGACAGCAGCACAACTCAGATGGTGTCATTCTTTCATTTTTCAATTAGCTTCCTTTGCACTCATTTGATCAAGAAATAAATAAATAAATAGAAAAAAAAGACACACGCAAAGAGAAAAACAAAAGAGTTCAAGTGGTGCTATTTTTGTTTGCAAATAAAAAGAAAGAATATTGATGTATGAAAGTACAGGAAGCTTAAAACAGAATGGCTTGACATCTATGTTATTTTATTCTCGTCTCTTTTGAATGATAGACCCAAACCCAATGCGAAAAAAGACCAGAGAGCTGACAAGGCATATTTTTTCACGTGAACCTTTGAAGGGTTAGACAAACTCAGTTGTTTCCTGATTCACACGCGTTAAATTACAGCCTTTTTTTCTTATTCAGCAATTTTTATTTATTATGCCTTCACCTCCAAAACCTTGGGAAGTCAATAACAACGCAGCTTCAACTACTCCCGTTGTCTCTCAAACAACTACAACAGATATCACACCCACAGTACCTACTAGACCTTCTACTATGAATACAACTAATACCTATGGAACAAGTAAGTAGAAGGAAAATAACAAGAATACTAAGACTTGTTTAGTGGGATATGGAAACACAACCACTGGATATGGTGGCTATAATTCGAGTTATAATAGTCCTTATAGTCGTCTAGGCTATGGTGGTTATGGCTCAAGTTACGGTGGTTATGGTTCAAGCTATGGTGGTTATGGTTCAAGTTATGGTGGTTATGGTACTTATGGAGGTATGAATTCATATGGATACAATCGATTTGGTGGAGGATACAATCGCTTTGGAAATGGAATGTATGGACCTGAAGGGCCTGATGAATCCAGTATGACAAGGCGTATGGAATCCAGCACACGAGCCACATTTGATGTGATTGAATCTATCGTAAGTGCATTTGGTGGATTTGCTCAAATGCTCGATTCGACCTATATGGCAACACATTCTAGTTTCATGGCTATGGTGGGCGTGGCAGAGCAATATGGGAATCTTCGACATTATCTAGGTAATATATTCAATGTGTTTGCTCTTATTCGATGGATCAAGCGATTGCTTTATCGATGGACAGGAAGAACACCACCTCCTGAATTAGTCGAATCAGAACAACAACAACAACAACAACAACAACAACAACAACAACAACAACAAGATGTAGAAAACGAACCCCTTCAGATAACAGAAAGTGAAGGGCCACGCGTATCTCGTAAACGACCTGTGCTTCTATTCTTGGCTTTAGTGACAGGGCTACCCTACATTATGTACAAGTTAATACAACGATCCAATCACTATAGACAACAACAAATGCAACAAAGAATGATGATTCCACAATTCAGTGGTCCACCACCAGAAACAGCGCGAGTCATGCATGATTTTGTAGCCGAGAGTCCTATTGAACTTTCCCTTCAAAAAGGAGATACAGTGCATGTGCTGTCTAAAGTAGATCCTGCGACAGGAGCACCTTGTGAATGGTGGCAAGGAAGATCAGCAAATGGCACGGTTGGCATTTTCCCTGCTAATTATGTACACATTGAAAATTAAACAGATAGAAAAAGGAGGAGGGAGTTTATTATAATACACAGCAAGATTAGTCTGTTGGGTTCATACGACGCCTTTTGGCTGATTCATCTAGTGCCGGGTCAAAAGGCTGAGAAGAAGGAACGGCCCATGTAAATTTGCCTTCGTTTGGAATGATGGCAGGCAATACGTTTTGTTGTTGAGGTTGTTGTTGAGGCCAAAAAGTGACGTTTGGTATATTCTTGTTAGTGGCATGATTCATATCTCCATTTGAAATGTCTGTTGGAAGTGAATTCATAGTCACAGGATAAGGATAAGGAGCTAATGGGAATGCATTATTGGTAGTGGTGGTGGTGGATGATGATGAGGATGAATAAGGTGGTGGTGGTGGTGGTTGAGATGAAGAAGAGGATTCTGCTAGTGTAGACTTGCTCAAAATGTCATTATTATTATTATTATTATTATTGTTGTTGTTGTTGTTGTTGAGCAAGGGTAATAGTCCAAACACATTGGGTGTTGGCTGTGGTGGTATAGATGATTCTGAATCTAATCCTTGTACGCGTTGAATTGCTTTTAAATGAGCACAATATTTTTCCAACATTTGATACAAAGTACGCTTTGAAAAAGGCTTTGGCAGAATATCTGTCATACCACTTCCAATGTATTGCATAATATCATTGTCTGTAAAATTAGATGTCATTGAAATAATAGGTGTCAATGCATCATATTGACGAATACTTCTTGTAGCAGAAATTCCATCCATTTTGGGCATCATAATATCCTAATTTGCTTGTCAGCGGGAAATACAAGCGACAAGTCATGGGCTTACCATTAAAATTAAATCGTATTTCTCTAGTCCCATCTTCTTTAATGCTTCAACACCGTCTTTAGCAAGATCAATTGAACAACCAATCACACTCAGTAGTTTCCCGCTGAGATTTCTATAGACAGAATCATCGTCTACTAACAGAATGCGAGGGGGTACAGTCCAGCTGACCTGAGAAGACGATGAGGCAGAAGAAGAGGAGGAGGAGGAGGGCGAAGGTGATTTGCGCTTGGTTGGTCTTTGGAGTGTAGCCAATGAAGCACCACCTTGATCTGCAGCCATAATTTCAATCGCAGGCTTATTATCCCTCACAGACATATTGGAAGACAGCCTTCCTAGTGTAACAAAAGTCAAGCCATCAGCCGTTTTCAAAGGAGACCCAATCAGACTACCGGCATTCATAGAGGCAGCAGCAGCAGCAGCAGAAGCAGTCTCAAGATCACTATGTTTGCCTACTAGCTGTTGAATAGCCTTATGGACAGGTGCTTCTTGTTTGATAGAAGGGAAGCCAAGATGTTGTTTCAGCTTATCAAACTGGTCTGCTGTGTTTTGTGACACCTGATTATAAGCTTCAAGTAATTTCTGCGCTTGCTGTGATGCTATAGGATTGTTTTTATTAAATCATACAAGACAGCAGTATACTTACGCTTTTCTTCCATCGTTTTCTCTAAAAAGTTTTTAATCACAGTATCTTTTTCAGTCATGTTTTTGTTGAAATCAAGCAACTGGCTGATGATCTGGTTATCTGTTTCGAGCAACTTTGAGATACTAGCTTCCATATTGTCTTTTGATTTCTTGAGTTGGTTGATTTGAGACTGCAGGTTCTGACTAATATCTCGGATTTCCTGTAAAGAGTTTCCGTTCATTGCTTGTTCTTGTGTGATGACGTCTGGTGAGAAAACTGGCTGTTCTTTCTTTTGTTTGCTGCCTGGTGCCTTCCTTTTGATATCAACCAGTAAATCTTTATGGTCTCTTATAAATTTAGGATGTTTAAACTCCCATGCCTAGAAATGTAAGTCGCTTTTTATCTTTTTTTTTTTCTTGACTTACTTGATCACCATATGGTTTATGTCCATCTTCACCATTACGCACTTTATGAAAGTCATACTTATTAAGTTGTCGAACAAAACTAGCAAAGTTACTGTGCTTAAAGTGCTTCGGTAAAATATTTTTCGAGAAATCGTTTGTGTCTTTGACAATAAACGTTTTGCCATCGTCACTCCAACAAAAAGTGTCTCGAAATCCTTGATTTTCTAACATTCTACACTTTATGTTAACTTTGTCCTATCTGTTTCTCTTGTACTTACCTAAATAACTTTTGAATGAATTCTGGCACAGAGCCGTTATTTATTTCGTTTGCTTTCAAATTTGTTTTCATCTGCTTCATATTAAGGGTTGAGGGGAGGAGGAGGAAAGAGGGACCTGAATATGATTTAAATCATGTCTGAATAAGAGAGAAAAAAAAGAAAGAGTCGCTTTTTATTATTTTTTTTTATTTATTCAAATTATGAGCAGTCACTCGATTAGTGCCAAACAGGTGGGGGAGGTGGAGGAGCACCGTACTGTTGTGGATAACCTGTAGGAGGTCTAAATCCATTCATAGCCATAGCAGGTGCCATACCAAGACCACCTTGATACATACGGTTTGGCATGACATGCTTTCTTCCTTCTGCAGCCAATAATCTTTCAGCAGATGAACCATGTCTTTCACCTTTACCGTCCTTTTTGAATGCATAAGATACTGTAATTTGCTTGTTCATCAAATATTGTCCTTCCATAGATTCAATAGCAGCATCAGAAGATTCGAAATTATCATAACTGACAAAACCAAAGCCCTTAGAAATACCAGTGTCTGGATCGCGCGAGATTTTAGGTGTATTCACAATCAAACCGAAAGCACTAAACGTGTCGTATAGCATCTTTTCATCTACTTCTGTGTCTAGATTACCAATAAATAGTGTTGCTCCCACATCCAAATTCTTTTTGTCTGAAGTAGCCTATTGATTCGTCAGTACAGAGTACACATGATGGATTCAATTACCTTATTGACGCGAATGGGTTTACCGTAAAGTCGAACTTGATTCATAATCTTGATTGCGTAGTCTGCATCTTCTTCTGTTAAGAATTCAACAAAACCATAACTCTGATGTTGCTGTGTTACTCTGTCTTTTGGTAAATGAACATTGACTAAGCAACATGTGAGTATAATTTTTTTTTGAATGCTATTACCAACTGGGCCTGCTTGTAACATGAGCTCCCAAACAAGCGTATCTGTGCATCTTTCGTCCAAGTTACCAATATAAATAGTGGCTTCTTGATTACGTTCGATCTGTTGAGCCATATTTTTCTTAAAGATCTCTTTTAAAGAAAAAGAAAAAGAGATTTCCTTCAAATGTGCAAAATGACGTATTTAAAGTCCGGCCAATATTGACAACATTCGTCAACCATTTTATAACCTTCTCTATATATCCAATCAACCTATAATAGCAACAAAGGCCAATACATTAGTCAAAAAAACCATTATGGCTTCAGTAACTGACTTATTATTAAGACCATGTCATAAAAGATATTATAGAACTTTTACTTTGACACTAAACAACATGAAGAGTTTAAAACAAAACGATTACACAATCTTAGGACACATTAGGAAACCTAGCAGTAAAGAAGAAAATACTCGTTTCATGAACAAAGTGTAATGTGTAATCATAAGATCTAGTCGACATATCCAGGATATGACACAAAATAGTCTATCATTGCACACGCTAAAGGCACTGGTATGACTTCTGCCAGTGAAAGAAGCAACAAAAACAAGCGCCAAGTTCAGCAGATACTTGATGGTCAAAGCACCGTTGAGCATGATGGTAAGCCAAGAAGAAGAGACATAAACCGTTAACTAACCAGCAAAGCGGTACCTGTAGAGCATAGACAAAAGAGGCCTTATCGTGCCTTCTTTAGGGCCAGCAGAACACAAAGAGAACACAGACTATAAACTAAAAAAAAAAGAAAGAGAACCAACTCTTTCTGCGCATACAACACAAAAACCACAAAAAAGAAGTAGTTATCTACTAAAGAGGGCCAATTACAGTGTACAATGAGCTTTGGATCTATATCTGAAGGCAATGCTCAAATAAAATCACCTTTTTCGTCCTAGTACACTCGCTTTAGTTTTATCAGAAGTGCCAAGAGATGGCCTTTCCTCATTTCAGTTGGATCAGGCCTACATTGGGTCATTCCAAAAAAAAACTCTTGATCGACTTTTTTTTTTTCCTTCACAAACCTTCATGGATCCTCCATGGATCCCCCCCCCTCCCCATGGGTCAAAAAATAAATTTCATAAAACTGCCAAACTAATGGTGCAATTCGATTTTTGGGATTGAAAGAACATGGTTTAGATGAGAAAAACAGACTGATTTTGATAATCTAGTTGCTGAGTAATGATCCATCAAAGATTGGCGCATTTAAGCTGTGTTTTGAGCATTTTTGCTCTAGATGACATATTCCCTTTGGTTCTAAAGAAATTATTGCAAAGCTTCCAAGATAAGAAAAGGGGGAGGGGAATCACAAACACAGTAAAACTCTTTCGAATCAATGAGTTTTTCCCTAACTACTGCAAATGAAACAGTAAAGATCGACTAAGAAGTTTTCCTTGGTATGCATATTTTTCTTATAATCGGCTCAAGAACATCTATCTTTCGCTTAATGATAAGACCCACTCGCTGATTATGAATTGGGGAGGGGGGGAACACCCACTTTGTACTGACGGTACTATTGCCTGACACATTTAAACTCAAAGAGTTTGGCGTTTTCTTAAAAAGTCATATGTTTGACTGCATTAAAGTATAAACAAAGGCTTACAATTCTTTTATACGAATCAACGAACAATGTTTAAAGACCAATAGACGATAGAAGGATGAAGAGTGGCATGGAAGAGGAGATAATGTTTTTTTCCCTATTTTCTCATAAACTATGTGTGATTTATCGAGTTGTTTTCGCCAAGGAAACATGCTTTCCAACATCAAGAGAGGGGGAGGGGAAAATAGTCATTTCCTTTTTTTTATTATTATCGCCATAAAGTTCAAAAAAAGAAAGAAAGAGAGAGAATACAATTACATGAATAAGGGAAGATATGTTGTTGTTGTTGTTGTAGGTGCAAGAAGAAGAAAAAAAAAAGGAATAGTCATTAATAATAGTAAAGAATATAAGAGAGAAAAGAAATCTACAAAATCAAACATTTGCTCTTTTTCTCCTTCTTACTTTTACCCTTGGGTCCTCCAGGTTTCAAACCTTCACGTTGAGCTCTGATAGCTTTGACGACTTGATAAAATGATCTTTCGACGTTGACACATGTCTTTGCAGAAGTTTCAATGAAATCGCAGGCCAATTGCTTTGCCATGGCTGCTCCTTCTTCTCTTGTAACCTCTCTTTCTGTTACTTTATCACACTTGTTACCTACCAACATCATAGGTACATTGTCAAGGTCCTTTACACGGAAGATTTGATTACGGAAGCGTTCAATACGTTCAAAAGTCGAACGGGAAGCAATTGAGTAAACTAACAAGAATCCTTCACCATCACTAAATGAGAGAGTTGAGTTTAAATGAAACACTATTTCTTGTTGCTTACCGAATCCATTGATCTCTTAATGCAGTATATTCTTCTTGACCAGCAGTATCCAATACTTCGAGAACACAGGGTTGATCATCAATGACAACTTGTTTACGATAAGAGTCTTCAATGGTAGGATCATATGTCTAATGAAGAAGGAGTTAATTATCTGGTCATAAAAAGATAATTGGCTAATGTTGCACTATTAAATTACCTCTAAAAATATATGTTAGATACTCTTTTTTTTTTCATGATTTAACTTACCAACAAAGTGATTAAGACAAAGCTGATAAAAGAGAAAGAAAGAAAAGAAAAATATGAAATGAAATTTAGTGTACAGATAGAATAAAATTATTCTTTATACCTGAATAGTCAAAGCAGTCTAAAAATAAAGTCAATAAAACAGATAGATAATATAATGAAAAAGACTTACTTTGCCAACACCACCATCACCAAGAACGACCAACTTATAGAGCATCATTTTTCAAATTTTATTTTATTTTATCTAGTAAAAGAAGATGAGAAAAAAAAAAAAAAACTTTCTCATCTCGTAAGGGATGAAACTTTACCTGTAGGAAATAGTTTGGCTTATATATAAAAAAGAGCTTTGAATGAACGGAGAGTATCAGTATAAAATAAATATAGAGAGATCAAAAAATAAAAAAATAAAACAAATTTGTCTCTCAAAGAATAAAAAAAAAGAAACAAAAAAGAGAGGAGAAAGGAATACAAAAAAAAAAAAAAAAAAAAAAAAAAAAAAAGAGCAAGATGGTCCAACGAGAGATTGGATCTGCCTCGTGTTTTTAATGATTAAAGCTCCGTTATTAAAGAGTTCAACAAGCTTTGCAATAGTATTGGTTATGCTGGCTTAGGATAGCCATGCATTTACTGGATGATAAGTGAAAAACACAAGTCTCGGAATACCTTCTGTCTTCTCAAGTAAATAGTGACCAAGATAAAGAAACCTTTTTATTTTGAATGGCAGCCCTGTAATAAAAATGTTTGCGAACGTTTAGACCGATATATCGCATGGTCAGAAAGAATTTTCAAATCCGACTATAAAAAATAAAAGAAACAAATTGTTTATTTTTGAAAGAGTTCCTCCGAGGTGAAATTAAACCCTTGCTTTAGAATACTCATTATCCTTACATTTTCATGCTGCCTCTTTGTGGATGAGATGGTGACTAATGTTAAGCAAGGTTATAATAGTAAAATAAGCCATGCGGGTAAATATCTGTTTTTGTTACGAAATGCTAAAATACCAACAATGGCAGCTACGACACTTAAAAAGGAAGCCCGAGTGATTGCTTGACAAATTTAAGTTTAATACCAGATCTGCGTGTACTTTTACCAGTGAATCGGTCCTCTTAACGAAAGACACCAATGATAAAGGCAATTTTACAGGGAAAAAAAACGAGTTATGTCGTATAGAAAAGAAAAGAAAAAGATCTCATAAAACACATAAATACAATTGCTATTCAAATGGCCATCACCAAGTTTTTTATTGCTTTTGGAGTAGAATCGTCATTCAAGTGCTTTGAATTATACCTTAAAGCAGAGATAAGGTCAGATGTATTACTTGTATCTTGTTTTTGTTGTTGACTTATTGTCTGAATAGCTTTTAGTGAGTTTTTTACCTAACATCATATCAGTATAAAGCCTAAAGCACAGACATACACAACTTACATTAATAGGTGAACTTTTTGAAAAGGCGCCAATAGGATCAATATGGTCATACAAGATAATAGAGACCACCATCACTTTTAAGCAAAACGCATCAAATACAGCATCCTTCTTTTTACTGTTGTTATTGAGTGTATGAAAACAAGCTGCCCAGATACTCGCTAACCACTCACTCACACTTTTCACTAGCTCATTGGACTGGACATACTTTGTGGTTGTGTCAATCACACATTTCAGCATGGGTGTTGGATATGCGATAAACAAGGATATACTGTTTGCCAAGTTATCTTCATTGATCTTTGTTCGTAAATCAGATTGTCCAAAAGATGTACTGGACATTTCGTCTTCTGCCAATGTCCTTCCTCTCTGTAATGTTCTTCTGTAAAATGAAAAATCGTTCTGGAGCGTAGGATGCTTTACTTTGAGTGAATCAAACTCAAAGACGAAATCAAGTATGTCAGCAAACAACTTTGTTAATCCTGGATGTCTATCAAGCTCTTTGGTTGTAACACCACCGTCTTTACATAACACATTGAGTAACATTGGAATACCTCGTTCTAGATATTAAAAAAAGTTAATTGAGTAAAAGGGTCAATTACCATATATTTCTCGTACTTACCCAGCTCGGAAGAATAGCTGTAAAAGTCTCTCAGCATATCGACAGTTGGCAAGACAGCCTTCCATGCTTTGTCTTCATTTTCGGTACTCGAGTTAGCTATTGCATTTCGAATCAGATCTGAAGCAGGCTTGTAGTTGTTTAGTTTGGCTAATAATGTTGGATTGGGTTCTACAAGCATTTTATAGAGCTGTTTATATGTTTCCATCTCTTCAGAAGAAGGTGTGGCATCTATATCATTGTTAGTTCTCTGTATAATACAAACACAATGGCTTCCTACATTACTTTCTATGTCAAAGTTTATTTCAGGTACTATATCAGAATTGCCGCGGAGATTCAAGGAGGCTAACAACTGTCCCATTCTCATATATTCCAACTAGTTTTTATATATATTTATATAGCAAAGAGAGTGAAAAAAAGCAAAAAGAGCGATCAAAACGAGATCACGAAAAAGTCAAGATGAAGAAGAAAAGAAGAAAACAAGTTTTTTTTTAAAAAAAAAATTAATAAACTATTGAAAGGCCGAGTTAGTCTCACTGTCTTAAAATGACCAACTGTGTAAGTTCAAGAAGCGAGGAAAATAAATAAATTGTGGCACACTGTATATTTACCATGTGAGCACACTTGTAAACCTGTAAATTTAAGGAGACACTTTGTTTTCTGAATTTGGTATACTTTAACCTGTCAATAAAGCCATAAGACGAGTATTTATTTCGGAAAACTCGGGACAAGGCCTTATTAGGAGAAGAAGCATTGAATTCTTGCCTGTGTTTGCCAATGGATAGAACCAAAAAGAAGAAAAATGACTGTGGCGTTAAAATAGGGTAAGGAGTTAAAAAGACGGGTACGCTCAACATATAAACACAATCATACCTTTCATCAAGTTACAGATCACTTAAAATAAAAACCCTGCATTGAAAATTTATTGTTGTTTTCACTCTAATCAGAGTCAATTTTATTTAAATATTTAGTTGTGTTCATCAAAGACATCGACACCCCAGAAGTTGTAAGGATCAACAAGTCTTTGCTTCTTTTGAGAGTGGACAATCTTGTTCAAGGTTTCAAAGTCTTCGTCACTAAGGTCAACAACTTCAAAGTTGGACTTAATTCTAGAGGCAGTAACAGACTTGGGGATGACAGAATAACCACGCTTAGCACCCCAAGAGATGAGGATTTGAGCAGGAGAGACCTTGTTCTTTTCAGCAATCTTGGACTATTTATAGAAAATAAAAGTCAACATAAATGCGATTATGGTATGCTTTGTACTTACAACAACTTCATCTTTCAATAAGGGAGAATCAGTGCTACCGAGAGGAGAGTAGGCAGTGATGAGAATACCGTGGTCCTTACAGTACTTGATCAATTCATCTTGAGGCAAGTAAGGGTGTAATTCAACCTAATTGAATCAGCACAAAAATGCATACATTGCCAAAAAAAAAAAAAAAAAAAAAAAAAAAAAAAAAAAAAAACTTACTTGATTAGCAGCAGGAACAATCTTTTGAGTCTTGGCCAACTTTTCAAGCTTGGCAATGTTGAAGTTACTGACACCGATAGCACGGACTTTGCTCTTATCAAGCTTTTCCATAGCCTAAAACACGTCACGATGAGATTGAAAATTTCAAAACATGACATAAAACTTACAGCATAAGTCTCAGTGAAATCAACATCATCAAAGAGAGTCTTGCCGTCCTTATCTTTGGGAGAAAGGTCTTCTCCGGGTTGGAAAGCTACAGGCCAGTGCATCAAATACAAGTCAATGTATTCCAAACCAAGGTTATCAAGGGACTTTTGAAGGGCCTTTTCAACATCTTCGGGACGGTGGAAAGTATTCCACAACTTGGTGGTAATGAAAAGTTCATTACGGGGAATACCAGAATCCTTAATGGCCTTACCGACTTCCTTTTCGTTACCGTCTAGTTTGTGGGTTAGGTCAAGAGCAAAGATAAATAAAGGGACTTACAAATGAAGGCAGCATCAATGTGTTTGTAACTAGAGAATATCAGCATAAAGACGCGTCTTTCTTGATTTACTTACCCAGTCTTAAGAGCAGTGAGAACAGCATCATAGACTTCATTAGGCTTAGATTGCCTGTCATGCCGTTAATTTTTGTTTTTGTTTTGTTTATTTGTAAACACTTACCATGTACCCAATCCGATTTGGGGGATTTCAGCACCAGTGTTGCTATACACAAATTAATCACTTGCATACAAAACACATTTTACTTACAGTTTAAGAATAGCAGTAGACATTTTTTCTTAAGAGTAAATAATTAGATAAAGAGTATCTGTCTATCTGTTGATTGCATCTCGTTTTTTATAACTATCAAAACGTGTCACAAAATAGCGCGAATTAATAATCGTCATGCGTTTTACTTCTTTGGAATCAATTGTATTTTTCATCAAATTTGACAAGGGCTCAATGATAAAATAAGAAAAATTAAAGTCCAGATAGAGTTCGAAACGCTTATTTCACTGAGAATCCTTTGAACCGACGCAAGCTTCAGTTAAAGGTCCTCAGCCTGCATTTTGAGGACATTCAGCTGTCACCTGTAGAGGGCTGCTAATCCGTCCCTAGCATTTTTATGCATACTTTCTGATTTTTTATCATACGAGAAAAGACATTGGAATTCAAGTGCCTTGATCAACGCGATCATAGAGTACAGTCAAACCTGTGGAATTTGGCGTTTTCAAAAAAAAAAAAAAATGACGGAATCTTACAAACGAATGGCTAAAGTAGAAAATTGATTGACTGAAACAAAAACATGATTGACACTTTTGAAAAGTTACAATGTCCGTTTGGGCAGATATGGTTGTCAACTTCAAAAACACGCATTGACGGCTTTTGCCAAAAGCAAATAGCAACACTTGTGTTATAGTATCAGTTATATCATGGAAGCTTGTTTAAGCAAAATACTTGCATATGAATTTTATAGTAGCAGTTCATTATTTGACGTTTGAAGTTACCCAAAAGTCATATAGATAGATAATCCATTTCTGTAGCTTCTGTCTATTTTTTGACCCAGTTATAGCGTCCTTCAAGACTGTCAACACCTTTTCTTGTCGCAAGCTGTAAATTTGCTCTTTGGGTGCTAGTTCATATTCTTTTAAATAAAGTTTTCAGACTGAAATCTTTGACTAATTCTGTCAAGTGAGGTGCTTTTTCAAGCTCAATTTACGTCTGAAAAATGAGGCGTAGTCAACTTTTTCTTTTTATAAACATCTTTATTCTCTTTGTTGCTTTTCTTTTCTCTTGGAAATCTTTTTTTATTATACCAAGAGAATCGGAAAAAGTAAATAAACCATTATAATATTATTTAATTAACTCAATAAAGCTATGATCAAGTATCATAAGTTATAGTTCAATTCTATCTCTAGTCATTTCCCGTACAATAGATTTGTCCAAATATCTCACATCGTTCTTTTTCAAATACTAATGGACATTATAACATGTAAGAAGGCGATTTGCATGCTCTACTGCGAGTCATATAGCAAGGCTCTTGCAAAAGAATTATTAGGAGTAGAAAAAGTTGGACTGGATATCTGTTATAGAGATAATCCCGCCAATCCACTCACTTATACTTAGCTTAAGAGCAATCTACCAGAACCCATACAAGAACAAGAGATATACCAATGAAAATGAAACCAACAAAATTAATCAAGCAGAAATTGAAATAGGGATACTTATGTCTTTTATCCAGCCAACCAAGTACAGCTTGTACAATTTCTCGACACAAAATAACTACCATTCGATGTGTACGACAGTGACTTGTATGAGCCCAGGAGTCTAACATTCAATGAAATATTCAGTGATGTCTTGAAAATGACCAATGTTATCGACGATAAGACAGTTAATAGATTTATTAAGTGGTACAGCCATAAAAAATTGAAGTTAATGAAAGCCACCTCAAAAAAAGAATGAATGAGGCAGGACAAAAAGTTGCAACTCCTCTCCTGTATATTCTCAAGAACGAATTTGTTGATAAGAACTATTTTTTCAATTATAATAAATGTATGTGCCAAGAATATCATACAATATTAACAGTGGCTTTGGAAGACATCACCATGCTTTTGCCGAGATACCAAGTCAATTTAAAGACAATGAAAGACAACGAGTATGAAATTGTTGGATATGCCTGAAAATCCATTGATGAAAAAGATGATATGAAGTGGATGCGTCTGCTAAACTTAATGATTGAAAAGCCCCAGACAAAATTGCTGATGGACAGAGTGTTCGTAAGTCCAAAATAGTCAGCAGGCGATCCGTTTGATAAGAGAGATAAGAAAAAGCAAGTCGAGCTGATGTCTATGATAAACTCAGATGGACACACAAGGTAAGGAAAGGATCCATCATTTATGTTGACTACAAACACATATTGACCTATTGACTAGACATGTTGAAGCACATAAATGACAAAGACAAGAAAATAGTACTACTGGCCAAATTTCACAGGTTTGACTGTATGAGAAAGAGTTGATAAATTATAGCTTTCTTTGTACTGATAATTAATAAATGTAGTCAACTGATGAAACACACTTTATAAATAAACTATAGTTGAAATTTTTGACTGATGCTGGAACAGCAAAAGACACTTTCCCAAACAAGGCAAAGAAGTATCTTCTGGTTGTACTATTACATAATTGCAAATATGTTTTTTTTTATCTTTGAATGATCTCGAATTACTGTCGTAGACTTCATCAAGTGCTACTTGTCCTCAGTACTTTTACCAACAATAGCCCAAGATGATTGTTGAATAAGATTAATAAAAGAACCAGTGTGTTTTTGTTGTTTCTAGGTGATGGTTGCTGAAGTCTTCCCCAAAACAAGAGAGGCCCTTTACAGAGGCTCAAATCCATCACGTAACGTAATTCGGGATGTTATCAACTTCGCATAAATTTTTGCTTGACCGATTGACCGGAAAAAAGAATTTCTTTATTTGAGAAAGAGTACGTCCTATCCAATCATATCCTGTCATCTATTCTGCATATACGCGAGAAATCTCTAGAAAAAAATAACACATCTTTTTCCTTTTTTCTTTTCTTTGTATGTCAAAACCTCTTTATACACTATTTCACTCACTTAGCCCTTGCTTGAAAATAAGACAGCCAAGACCAATTTTGACAAGAGGTTAGAAGAATAAAGTAATGCTCAATACTTTATTAACTCTACAAATATTTAGGTCTTCGTTGTTGTTCTGTCGGTGTTCTTCCTTCTCTATATCATCAACATCAACAAAAGGTGGGTACTAACAGTATGTCTTGTGCATCAACTTAACTATTTGAGAATAGAGAGGGTTTCATGTGTCTCCTGTTCAACAACAGAAACTAGACCCCTATAAAACATTAGGAGTGCCAAAAACAGCAAGTCAAAATGACATTAAAAAAGCTTATTATAAGGTAAGATCAAATGCAATGACCTATGCCATTGACTCAAGTGAATAGCTGGCAAAACAATATCACCCAGATACAAACAAAGATAAAGATGCCCGAGAAAAGTTTGTACAAATCCAAGAAGCTTATGAAATACTTTCGGATGAACAAAAGCGAAAACAATACGATCAATTTGGACATGGGTTTGAAGGTGGAGCAGCAGGTCCTGGTAGTAGTGGTGGATTTTACAATAGCAGCAGTAGTAGTAGTGGATTTCCTGGTGGATTTGATCCCAATGATATCTTTAGTCAATTCTTTGGTGGTGGTTTCAATGGTAGTAGTGCAGGTTTTGGTAGTGGTGGATTTAGCGCTGCAGGTTTCGGCGATGCTGGTTTTGGAAGTGCTGCAGGTGGTGGTCCTTTTCGTACCATGAGTGGAGAAGACATCCAGGCAAGTCATTCTTTTTATTAAAATAGCATTGACTAACATAAAACAATAGATTCCTCTTACAATTGAATTTATGGAAGCTGTCAAAGGGGCTAAACGAACTGTGACGGTCAACAGTGTTACCAATTGCCCTACCTGCCATGGCTCTGGCTTGAAATCAGGTAAATCAAAGACTCAATGTCAAGTATGCCATGGCACAGGTATGCAAGCAGTCCAAATGGGAGGATTTCATATGCAAGCAACATGTCAAGCTTGTGGAGGTGCTGGTTCATCAATACCACTTGGTTCTCAATGCGGTACATGTAATAGTGCAGGCAAGGTACGGTCAAGAAAACAAGTGGAAGTCACTATTCCTGCTGGCGTGGATAATAATAGTCGTATTTGTGTACCTGGGGCAGGTGATGCTCCTCTTAAGGGACAAGGTCCTCATGGCGATCTTTTTGTCTCACTTAACGTAAGCAACATTGTATTCTATACATGCACTGATAAGTATTGTATAGATCAAACCCTCCAAAGTGTTCCGTAGACAAGATGCTGATATCTTTTATGATGCTAAAATTCCATTCTACAAAGCCATGTTGGGTGGCAAAGTACGTGTGCCTACTATTGATGGTGATGTTGAAGTCAAAGTGCCTTCTGGATCTCAAGCGGAAGATAGTATTGCACTTAGAGGCAGAGGTATTCAGCGTCTACGAGGTTCTTCCAGGGGAGATCAGATTGTGCAACTAAAGATAGAGTTTCCAAGGTAACGTAATCATATCAACATGAAATTATACTCAGTGTTTTCCCTATTAGATCATTACACGGTAAACAACGCGAGTTAATAGAGAAATATGCTGCTTTAGTAGATGACGAATACAAGTAGTCTGAGTTAAAATAAAATGGGTTTATGCATAAAGAAGTTCAGTTCTTTGCCGCGGTTTCTTAACTATAATATGCTCGTGTTTATGATGCATAGAGTGCATATACTCTTAGTTACAATTACTTCTAAATTGGGTGAAGCAATGTTTTATGCTAGGGTGTTAATCAAGTCCAAGCATAGCAATAGCTTCCAAGATCAGATCGGTGTACAGCATAAAAAGCTTTGATTTAACTAAATAGGGTGTACAAAGTTTAACCCTATTTTCTTCTTCGAGTGTTCTATCGATAAGTAACACATACAGGTAATCGATAAAAAAGGAAATACCCGACCGAGTTTTGGGGTCGGTCTTAATTAGTCTTTTTTAAATTTTGTTTATTACATAAAGAATGGTCTATACAAAAAGGAGTGATGTACACATGCGTAGAAATAAGGTATGGTAATTTACAATAATGCTGTTATTTACAATGAGAGAGATAGTTTGACTATTTACAAATGATTCTTGCTGAAGAAGTAGGAGGGGCAGTAGAACTAGTGTTTCTTGATGCAGTGGATCCTTTGTTGAGTTGTTCTTTTGTGTAAATAGATAATTGACGAGCATATTCATATCTTGCCATGGCCATAATTTCATCTCTTGTGAATCTCTTGGGGGTTTCTGTTTGATTTGACATGATGATAGAATGATAAAGAATAAGAAAAAAAGAAAAATAGAAAATGCTCTTTTTATGTGTGATATTTCATCCCCGAAAATCAATATGCCGTATTCCAATCAGCTTGATGTTTCACTAATATTGAGATGTCTATTTAAAGAAACGATGATATCATATATTCCTTTTCTCTCCAAATGATGTAAAATGAAAACCAGTTCTTGCTGCATTTTGATTGGTTACTCAAATACGAACTATAACATACGATGCCAATTTCTTGGATCTTGCCAAACTAAGAAAATATCGAGGATTAGCGTAGCGTGAAATTTCGCATCCATCTTTTGGGTGGCCGACATTCCCTTGAAACACTTTAACAAGTGATTTATGCAATGATTTTATTGGTCTCATTGTTTGAATCAAAAAAGGGTTCTTACGAAAACAAGTTGCACAAGCCAATAATGATGCCATTTCGGACATCTTGCTTTTGAGGATGATTCCGAATCATTTATGTACGCAATCAAAGTTCAGTTTTAAACACTGGAGAACAGGCAGTAGTCTATTTAACATTCTTGTCGACTATGACGCATCTTTCATAAACAAAAAAGATAGACGATGTGACCTTGTCTGAGAAAGAAAGAAGGAGAGGAGGAGGGGGAATTTCTTTTTTTTTCTCTCTTTTTTGTTTATTTCCAACCCGAGATGACAACACCTCAAATACCCTTCATAAGTGCTCCATTTAAAAAGACAGATGATGTCGACTGGACAAATCCACTGAAAAAATACATTGCTCGCTTCTATCAAGACGATCCCGAAAAATACCAAGAAGAAACTCAGTCTTTTAATAGGTTACGCCAAGATATACGCGGTGCAGGAAAAGACTTGACTGGTAGAGACTTACTCTATCGTTATTTTGGACAACTCGAATTACTCGACTTACGGTTCCCTGTAGATGAAAAGCACGTCAAAGTGTTGTTTAACTGGTAAGATGTCTACAGATGAGACTAAGACTTACAAAACTTAGGTATGACGCATTCAATAACCGCGCTATATCTCAATACTCGCTTGCGTTTGAGAAAGCAAGTGTCATCTTTAATGAGGCTGCTACTTTATCTGCCATTGCTAGCTCTCAAAACAGAGCTGAAACAGAAGGCCGTAAAAGAGCTTTTCATTACTTTCAAGCCTCTGCTGGTATGTTTCAATACATCAATGACAATTTCTTGCATGCTCCCTCCGAAGATTTAAGTCGCGAAACAGTCAATATGTTGAGTGAATTAATGCTTGCTCAAGCTCAAGAGTGCTTTTTGGAAAGTAGTATACGAGAAAAAACAAAGGATGGACTGGTTGCTAAGCTGGCTAGTCATGCAGCTTGGGTGTATGGTAACATGGTAGATTCACTGACTGATGCAGTCAACCGTGGTGTAGGCGTGGATCGATCCTGGATTATTATTTGTCAGATCAAACAAAAATACTATGCTGCTACAGCTCAGGAACACAAAGCAGCTGCTTGTGAAGCAGAAGCTAAATACGGTGAATGTGTCAGTCGTTATGTTGCAGCTGAGTCTGCTGCTAAAGAAGCTAGCAAATTGGCCAATAGCTTGAGTTCTGCTTTGAGCTCTTCCAACCATGCAAACGGTACTGTTCCTTCAGAAAGTGCTGCTTCTCTTCAAGAATTGTGCAAGATAAAGACAGCTACTTGTACTGAGAAATTGACATCAGCTACTCGCGATAATGATATGATTTACCATGAGACAGTACCTCAAGAGTCTATTTTGACCCCTATTGATCGTCTCAAGGCAGTCAAGACCATTCCTATCTCTGAACTCTATGGTCCAGACGAAATGAAGAAAGTGATTGGCGCTGATCTCTTCTCAAAACTAATTCCTATCAGTGTGCATGAGAGTGCATCACTTTATTCTGAGGAAATTGCAAAGTTACTTCGTGCAGAAAACGAACGTTGCGACCTTGCCAAAGCTGAATTAAATGCTTCGTTGGATTACATGAAATTGCCTGGTTCATTGGCCAAATTCAAGCAACAACAACAGCAACAAGAGTCAGCAGGTTCTTTGGACAGTTATGCTACTCCCCCCTCGGAAGTCAAGGCTTGGGCTGACCACATTGCTTCTGAAGAATGTCGTTCTCCTCTAGGTGAATTAGTCAATACGGTATCTGCTTTAAATGCCAAAGCAAGACAGGCTTTGGATGAAATCAGTTTGAACCTGGATCAAGAAATGAGGGATTGCGAACAAGGCAGAATACAATATGCTGATCAATGGACTCAGGCCCCCTCAGGCCCCCTTACTTCTGAGTTCAGGCATGATATTGCCAATCATCGTCGTACACTTGACAATGCTGCTTCATCTGACAGCCAATTGTTAAGCAGATATGAGACCGTAAGACGCAATATTGACATTCTGAAGCATGGAGGACAAAGTCAGCATTTGGAAGGTGCTTATGCTGAATGTATTGCTAGCCTTGCTGAAAAGAAGAATGTCAATGGTGGTGCCAGCATGGATCTTTTGGACTTGGATTTTGGAGGACAGAGTCAAAAGACAGATAATGGTTTGAGTGAAAAAGTGCAACGTGTAGAAAGTATCATTGAAAAGTTGCGCAAGATTGAAAAGGACCGTGATGATACATTCCGTGATTTGAAGGACAAAGTAAGGATACATACTTAGAAAAAAATCGGGGTTTTAATGGTCTATAGACAATGCAAGATGATATTTCTCAATTGTTGATCTTGAACAAGAAGGCCAATGTTGAACAACAAATCTTTGCTGCAGAGCTTGAAAAGTTTCGTCCTCATCAACAACGTATTTCAGCTACCATTCAACATCAGCAACAAGCTATTCAAGACTTAACAGCTGCTTTCAGGAGCTTGATGGAAGGCAATGAAGCACAAACATTGCAATCTCAACATGACAAGGCTGAAAGGTTGCGCCGTAATTTGACAGCTGATTTCAGTGAAGCTAATGCGGTCTATGTTGAAATCAAGGAAGGTTTGCAGCGTGGGCTTCAGTTCTACTCTGGTTTGCAAGACACAGTAGATTCTTTGAAACAGAACATTCAGCGCTTCATTACAGAAAGAACAAATGAAAGAACTCGCTTAATGGAGACTATTGAAAGCAACAAAAGTACGCGTGAGCAAGAATTGCTGCGTGAAACATTGAACAAGTACACGAGTGCTCCTCCTCTTCCTGTCCAATCTACGCCTTCTTCTTCTGCCATGTCTCATTTAACCAACCAAACACGCCAAATGTCCATGAATGAACCTAGCGCACCTATGGGATACACACCTGCACCTCCACCTAAACCACAAGCATTTGTTCAACAGCAACAATACCATGCTCCTCCTACCAATACTTCACCTTATGGTATGTATGGTTCTCCTACAACACCCAGTTATCAACAGGTTCCTTCTCCCTATGCTCCTCCTCCTGTTCAATCGCCTATGCAACAAGTACCACCACCTCGTCCCTTGTATAATCAACCACCTTATCAACCTCAGTTACCAAACTACCCTCCTCCTCCTCAACAACAACAACCTTATTATGGTGGCAACATGGTTCCTTCTATGCCACCTCAATACCGTCCTCAATATCACCCTCAACAACCTCAAGTCCCGGCTTACAGTCCTCAAGGATACCAGCCTCCTTATCATCCTCAACAACAACAACAGTGGCAACAACCACCACCACCGCCACCATCACAACAACAACAACAACCGCAATGGCAACAATCCATGTATCAACAGCCACCACCACCTCAACAGCAGCAAAGACCTCCTTCAGGAAGCTTATTGGATTAAAGTAGTTGGTTGAAATCAATATCAAATGATATCTATTTACACATAATAAACTTTTTTTTTCTTACTTTCTTTCTTTTAATTTCCCGAAGTATGGGTTGTCGACTATCCAAAACTTCGAATGAACAAGTGCGTGATAGAGAAATCAATCAACAGCTTAAACAAGAAAGGAGCCAGTTACAAAAACAAGTCAAATTGCTTATGTTGGGTGCCGGAGAATCAGGCAAATCAACTGTACTTAAGCAAATGAAACTAATTCATGGAGGCTATTCACCCAAAGAAAGAGCTCAATACAAGGAAATCATTTATTCAAATACAATACAATCCATGCGTGTCATATTAAAAGCCATGGAAAAGATGGAAATCGAATTAGAAGATCCAGATCATGCCAAGTACCGTGATATCATTTATGACACGCCAATGCAGATTAGCCGCCTTCCCACAAAAGTGGCAGATGCCTTACGTGTGTTGTGGAACGATGCACATGTGTTGACGGCCTTTGGTCGAAGCCGCGAATACCAATTGAATGATTCAGCCAAATAGTAACGTATACATACTACTTATAAATATTAAGTTTCATCTAGTTTCTTTGATGCTCTGGATAGAATAAGCAATCCAGACTATCTGCCTACAAACCGAGACGTATTAATGACTCGAGTCAAGAGCACAGGCATTACAGAAGTAGTGTTTAAGATAGGTGATGTTGTTTATCGTATGGTAGATGTGGGTGGTCAGAGATCAGAAAGGAAGAAGTGGATCCATTGTTTTGATGATGTTGTCGCTATTATCTTTATGGTAGCTTTGTCTGAATTTGACCAAGTATTGATTGAAGATGAAAGAGTGGTAAAGCAGCATTCATACTCTACAGCCATTTATTTCTCATAGAATCGAATGGAAGAATCCTTTGTGCTATTTGACTCTATTTGTAATTCGGCTTGGTTCAAGCAGACTTCCCTTATCTTGTTTCTCAACAAGACAGATATCTTTAAGGAAAAAATACAAAGCCAGCTGTTGTCCAATACTTTTCCAGACTACAAGGGCGAGAACACTTATGAACAGACAAGTCAATATATCATGAAGCGATTCTTGTCTCTAAACAGACAGCCTTCAAAACAAATTTATACTCATTTTACATGCGCCACAGACACAGAACAGATTGAGTTTGTTATGTCTGTAGTGAATGATATCATTATTAGAGATAATTTACATGACCAAGGGCTATTATAAACTTTTTTTTGTAGAACTATGTTCCTGTTTTATTTAAAGTCCTAAAGGTATCATAATGAGTGATAATTAAGACTGGAGGGGTATGATGTGCAATAAGAAGGGGAGAGGAAAGGTACATAAGTTTAACTAGTAAGGAAAGTGATTTCAGTCAGAAAATATTAGTTCTTGTTCGTCGGATTGTTTAGTCAGCAGGCGTTTGATTATGGAGAGTACAGCAGAAAAGGTGAAGGGTGTGGAATCAAAAACTGAACGCCAATGGCTGGACCATAGACCTTCCAATGTGCTAGCGCAAATTTGTTGCGTGGATAGGGTTGGGAATGCAGAATGACTGGAACGACTGATGGTGGTACGGAGATTGGGGAGTTGTCGTAAGAGATGAATTGAAGGAGCGGTAAGAGAAGGATCGATATATTTGGAGAGGATGTGACACCAGATTTTGTATTTGACTGGACAAAGAAAGTTGAGATGGTCAAGTGTGTCAATGGTGTTGCGACGGAAGTAAGGACAGTGAATACATTGAGGGCTAGTGATGAGCTTCGGTAATTTTTGGTATAGGTAGAAGTGATTGTTGATGGTTTTGTGTAGGAAGCGAAACCAGATGTTACGGGAGCAATGTGTGCTTTAAAGTGACCAAAAGGCTTTCCAATTAGGGACAGTGTCAAAAGGTGAGGTGAGTGTAGGAATGTGTTGGGGAAGTAAGGCTTTATAACCAGAAATAGTGGGAGGTGCAGGTTTGAAAACTAGGTTGAAAAGAAGGGTGGTGAGGTCATGAATTAGCGTAGAAGGAATGTTAAAAGCATGCATGATTTGTGTAAAATATTCGGGATGGACCCGATCATAAGCTTTCTCCTGATCTAAGAGCAAACCAATGGATTCTGATTTGTTGTAAGTGGCTATAGCTTGGACATTGTATAGTATTTGATCATTTTCAGCAATAAAACGTCCAGACATAAAACCCATTTGGTGAGGAGAAATACACTTGGAGAAATGCGGCATAAGTCTTGCATCAATTAACCTAGTGAATATCTTAGCATCGATGCTGATAAGCGAGGTGGAACGCCAGTTTCGCGGATCAGTCAAACCTCTTTTTTTTTTGGGTATTAGTACCATAAAAGTGTGTGCCCAGCTGACAGGAAAAATTCCTGAACTAACTGCATCAGAAAACACTTGAGTAGTGACTAGCCCTGTTTCTCGGTGGTTTAAGAGGACGGCGATCAGTTCATAGGGCAGACCATCGACGCCAGGACTACTATGGCTAGGACATCTAGCCGCACCGTCGAGGATGTCATCCAGGGAAAAGGAGGAGGTCAATTTGCCGTGTTGAATATATGGAATTCTATCTGAGGGGGGAATAATGTTAGCAAAAATCTTGAATTAAGATATGGTTTACCGTTTCAGGTGTGTATAATTTGTCATAGAAGGTATAAACGGCAGACTGCATGTCCTTGTTTGATTCACATAACTGTCTTGTAGATGGATGAAGTAAAGCCGGCATGGTCTTTTTTGCTGATCGTGTCTTGATAGTGTTCTTGAGATAGCTGGCCGACTTTTCTCCTTTCTTACGCCACTGTTTGCTTGCTCTTAAAGCTAGGGTATCAATAAGGTCCTGTTGAACGATAGCTATTTGTTTTTCGACGATAGGGAGTCTCTCGTGCAGTATAGCGGTTTGACGGTACTGGTGAAGCACCTTGTTTCTTTTAGATTGAAGACGACAAAGTAGATGACGTTGTCATGCTGCCCTACGAACTTTCGGGCGATGTTTTAGCAATAGTTTTGATTTGGTTCCATTTCTCTTGTGGTGTGAGTGGTGTACTAGATGATGTTATGGACGAGTGTTGATAATAGTTGTCGAGTGCTTGGTAGAGTTTTTTAATGCAATGCTCGTTGTTAGCAAGACGAGGATGGGCATGCAATAGACTGGTGCCTTTAATAAATTGTGGGAATGTAAATTGAACTAAAAGAAGTGTATGGTCGGTCCAAGTGGATGAGACGAAATCAATTGAAGGATGAGAGACTGAATGAACTAATACTTCATTTGCAGATATGTAGTCGATTGTTGCGCATTTATTGCCGGAGCGAAATGTAGGTGGAGCAGTGGTGAAGTTAAGCTCATGAGTAACTTCCGTATGTTGTGCACAAAGGAGGTGGTGCCAACGCCATTGAGGAGAAATCTGGGAAATGTTACCGTTATCAAAAACGGTTTGAAGGAAGGATTGAAAGCTATAATTGAAGCCGCCAGAAAAATCAAATGGAATTGTAGTGGTAGAGTAAGAGAAGGACATATCAAAAAGTTCAGAGAAAGGAGAAAGTTGTAACAGATAAGTAAAGAAATCCTGTCGATCACGGCTGACTATTGGTGCATACATATTAAATAACATAAATTAAGGGAAAAAAAGAAGAGGAGTGAGATACTTTTGCTAGAATTAACCTCTGGTCTAAAGTAATAAGGTAAGGAGTGATGTTGATATTGAGGTTGAGACTGAATATCCCATAGTGTTTGGTCCATATAGAAGCCTGACACTGGAGTTACATATCAACTCTTTGTTGAGTATTGAGAGATTGGGCATAAGTTTCCTGCAAGCATAGGAAATCAATGAGAGGAGAATGAGTATGTAGAAATCGTGTAAGGTCGCTGCTGCTTTGAAGTTGTGATGGTTTGGCTAGGCTACGACAATTGAGTGAGCATAGAGAGAGGTTAGTAATAAGATTGTTCATATTATTCATACTTAAAAAGAAGTGTACATCCTTGTTATCGGAATTTTGAGACATATTTATTAAGATGAAACCAGTTGAGCTTCCCCGGCAAGGTTGATTGTGCTGTTGCAGTTGTCACTTGATTCAGATAGAGGTTGATTTGGATCAGTGAAGAGTAAAGCAGCGGTGTCCATATCTATATCTGCATTGAAATTCTCTTGTCGATCGTCATTGGAGAGGAGATCTATTTGTTCTTGTGTAATCCATTGTCTTTTGTAGAAATCCCGGGTCACTGCCTTGTTGATAGGAGCACGTAAATAAGCAATGGTGGGAAGTGCTCTTTGATTGTTCAGGCGGTATGCTTCAATAGTTCGAGTTTCGTCATCTTTGTCTTTGAAATCCGGATTCTGGACAACAGAGTGGTGTAGTGGATTAAAATCCCCCTTGATTTGGATACCGCGTTTGATGGTAAGTACTTTGGCTTCCTCCAAGCAGTCGTTATAAAAGAGGATTGCCACCGTGCCATGAGCTGGATAATGAATATCGAGGATACGTGCACAGTTAAGACCTAGTTGATGCAATCGATTACGCATTTCTCGAAGAGGTAAACGGTGGCGATTGGGTAAGTATAAGTATTGAAATCCTTGCAATTCAGATACTGGAGTGAGAGGATGAGCAATTGACATGAATTGTCTGTTGGAGAGTTTTGTTCTAGACGTTCTACGTTGGGTAGGTGTACGAGTTACAGAAGCAAATGTTTTTTGATGGCTAGGGATTTTTTGTTTTGGAACATATTTAGAGGTGGTTCTTGGTACCCCTAATGTATTGAGCGAAGAGAAGTCAGCCTCGTTACCTGTGGTAGTAATTTCCTTCATGTTTTCATGAAGAGCGTTGAGAGGGGCGGATTCGGGGGTGTCGGGATTATTGTCGGAGTAGGAAGCTTTCGAGTAACTTTTCCAGTTTTCTGTGCGACTGGATGAAATCTTCGAGGGTTTTGTTGGTTGCAGCTAATTCAGATCTGAGTTGTGCATTGTAGGCTTTGTATCGAAAAAGTCACTCCTGCATTTGAAGCATGTCGTCTTTCGCAGGTTGTGGTTCCTGAGTGTCAGAGAGCGCAACGGCTCTGTTTCGGGTTACACAGGCGTTGTGAGGAACCACCGAGGATTTCTTAAGTACAGTAACTTAGTCTGCTGCCATCTTATTTGTGATGGATTCTGGAGACGTGCTTTTTCTGGAGCGTTTTCTTGAGTGATGAGGAAGACGAGATGAAGGCTCGATTGGTTTAGGAGTCAGAGTTTGTTTGGGACCGATGATATTATTCGTGTTTGTGACTTTGGATGATCTAATATCGGTTATCTTACTAGAAATTTGGGAGGTAGTAACGATGGGCGATGTTTGGTTGTTGAGGATGTTGGTTGTTGACAAGATATCTGTATTTGATGGTGTTCTCGGAGTTTAAAAGACGCTAAGTGTTCTTTAGCGGAGAGAAATGTGGCTATTATACAGATTGGGACTAGTCGGATTCAAGTGTTACAATATAGTTAGACTGGTTTTTAGTTACCATCTCCTATTTGTTTTTTAATGTTTTTTTCTTTCTCTTTTTCTCAAAATGATGGAAAGATTTACAAGAAATAGGGCACTTGTGATGCTCCTGGCAGCTATTTTTTTGGTGTCTTTATTAGCGTTTGTGTCTAATTTAGCACCTCATCAATCACGATCATTATTCAACAATACAAAACAAGAAGAAGTACCTATTGTTGCTCCAGAAGTATCAGGCACGGATATACCAGAAGAAGAGGACCTTGTGCCTGTCATAGCAAAGCCAGTGAGTGAAAAAGATTGGAAGCCAAAAAAATGGGGTCATTTGAACGCAGAAATCGAAGAAGCCATTGCCTATAACGTGCGTACAGCCAGCAAAGACCGTATCTTATTGACAGCTGTGGCAAACCAAGGCATGGCTGAATACACATTGAACTGGATCGCTTCTCTCAAAGAATGTGGATTGGACAACAAATTTTTAGTGTTTGCTATCGATCAAGAGTTTGTCACAACAATGAAGGAGGCGGGCTATGGCAAGCATGTCGTCATGATTCCCAAAGAATGGTTCCACAAGGAGCTGTCCGGCGAATTTGAAGAATGGCTATCATCAGGCTATACACCTATCACACACTCTAAATCTCTCGTCGTGGAGCGCTTATTGTATACTGGTGTGACAGTTTGGTTCTCTGACGTTGATATTGTTTTTACTTCACCTGCTATTTATAATTACTTGGTCATGAAACTCAATGCTCGAAAGCAAACAGAGACTTTGTTCTCTCAAGAAACAGAACAAAAAATTATTAATTCTGGATTTTATGTGATGCGACCTACCAACACCAACAAGCGTATTTTGGAAGCATCTATTTACATTCAAGATACAGAACAAAACAAGAAGCCAGAAGTGACTCAACAGCGTGCTATCAACCGTGTATTGGACGATATGAATCTCAACTATCAGACAAGTCCAATTGTGCTTTTGGACTTAATGTTGTTCCCTCATGGACGTGCTTACTTTGATAATCAAATCCCTACTAAATACGGCATGACTCCCATGATTGTTCATGCCAACTATCGTAAGGGCGCCAACAAGAAGAAAGATTTGCAAAAGTTTGGTCTTTGGTATATTTAAGAGAGGAATACCCTAATGCTGTATTAAATAAATAAATAAATAAAAAGATAGAGATGTGTGCTTTCAGAGGAAGGGCTTGGACCCACAATTTGGTATAGAAACAGATTTAGGTTCCTGTGAATTGCGTTATTTTAAATGAATTCAAATTACAAGATGATTTGCGATGACGTTAGCGTATAATGTTGGTCAGCCAGTCTCCATCAGAAGAGACCGGTAAGCTGTTTATACGCTCCCTCTCGCGAACTTCGAGATGAATCCTATATTCGATACTTAGGATTCAAACCCTTTTTATCGAAATGCCTAAGCCGGGTTTGCTGAATATGCGCTGAGATATGCAAGTTTGAGGATAAACTGACTATGGCATTGGACATTTTATTATGTCAAGTGAATGAAAACCGGGTTTAGAAAGAAAGAACAATAAATTGATGGGCTCGCATGTCAGAATTTTTTTTCTTTTGATAGAATGAAGCCTCAGCGTAATTTGAGCTATTTATAGTTAATTAAAGTGTCACAATATCAGCCTCTAAAATAAACCCCCTCTTCTCCTTTTCTGTTTTATTTCACTTTCTTTCTTTCTTTCTCTCCTTTTCTCTCCTTATACTCTTTTTTTTTTTTATTTTAGCCATTCAAAAAGCACAAAGAAAAAACTATGGTTAATATTGTATATAAATTCGAAGCATTTAGCTTCACTGGCATATGTCAGACTGTATCTTTACCACTGTGTCCATTGATAGGACAGGCAAATGGTGTTGAACCTGTTTGTTATTCACGCAATATTGATTTAGCAAGCAATTTGATCTTTCAGCCTGGTAAAGAAACAATACAAATCTAAATAAAACTATGTTACTGATATATATATATATATATATTGAATTAGCCACTTTGGTCACTGATTGTGTTGCTATTGTAATGGCAGCCATCATGATTTACCATATTCGATCTAAATATACTGCAGTTGGTACGTAAAATATACAACAAGATATAAACAATTAACACCAGCCTAGGTCGTAAGGAAATCGTCATGTTCTTTTATTTATATATGATCACTACTTTTCTTGAAATGTTACTTGTAACTGGTATTATACCTACCTCATCGGTCGTTTATCCCGTATGTATAACTGTGTCTTTATATGTAACATTATTCATATATTTTGTAGTGGTTTACTGCCGTTCATATTGGTTTCATGTGTGCGACATTTTGGTGTTTATTATTAAATGGCTTTGTTGGATTTCAGTTTGCAGAAGATGGTACACCATTATCACTTTGGGTAAGAACAGTGAATAAGTATATGGACAAATATTCACTTCTTTTTTTAATAGTCTATTCGTATCAGTTCATTCATTATCTTTTTATTAACTGGATTTATTGCTATCGCTACATTTAAAAATATTGGCCCCTTTTCTTATGCTGCACCTGGTGCTTTATGGACTTTCTATTTTATTGTCAATGGTATTGCATTCATTGTCTATGTTATTTCACAAATCATTCTTGTTGTCAACACATTGGACGATCTCTGGCCATTAGGTGATATCTTATTCGGCACTGCTTTCTTTATTATTGGCCAAGTGATTATCTATGTCTTTTCTGTTGCCATTTGTAATGAAGTACAACATTATGTAGACGGTATGTTCTTTAGTGCTATCTGTAGCTTGTTGGCTGTCATGATGGTCTACAAGTACTGGGATTCAATCACAAAGGAGGACCTTGAATTCTCAGTAGGTGCCAAGCAGAACAGTTGGGAGATCAAAGAATCCTTGGGCGAAGATGAATTATCACAAAGTTACGGTACTTATGGTTCAAAGACACAAGTGCAAACACAACCTCAACACCAACAACCATATCAACCTCAGTATCAACCTCAATACCAACCTCAATATGGACAACAACAATACAACCAACAACCCTATCCTTATTAAAATAAAAAAAAGAGGTTAAATCTACAAACGAATTAGCAGTCCTACATAAATTTAATTAGCTTGCAGAAATACTTTGCGTCTGTCCCCAATTTGGTGCCTTAAAGTGAGCAAGAATGGGGTCAGATCGAAAACAGTGTTGAATTGAATTCTTTTTTTTTTGAGAGGGTTGAGAACTAGCAAAGTTTCACTAAAAATAACTTGGGAGAGGCCAGCGATATCGACTGACAAAGCGGAGTGAGCGTCTCAGGATGTAGCTGCCCTTCTCTTCTTCACTAAGATACGCACATGGGGCTACTACACAACAAAGCTTCCTTTTGTTCTACAAATCTTCTCATTTATAAGAAAGATGTCTGACGACAACCTTTAGGACTCAGAGGCGCCGTCTACTAGTATCTATATCACATGTGAACTGCTTGTACATGAGAGCATATATGACATTTTGAATCTGATGATAAGAAAGCCATCAGAAGAGCTTACAATCTGACCCAAGTTATTTTTGTTAGATCTCAATATGCTTTTGATAGCTTTCCAGTCTATTTTTTTTAAAAAAAAAAATCGGTGCTTTAAATTAATTCAAATGGGATATGCCACGTTGGTGCATTCATCTCTTCTTTTCTTCATGACCGCTTTACCTAAAGAACAAGTAGAAGCTACTTTTAAAAGCTTGTTGCAAAAGAAACATAATAAAGTCCGTATTCTATCATTCTATATTGCATATTCATCTATTTGATGTAGGGTTGTTTTGATTGTAATGCCAGAGGTCCTACATGGGCTTCTGTCCCATTTGGTGTCTTCATATGCCAAGAATGTGCTGCTAGCCATCGAAATCTCGGTGTACATATTAGTTTTGTCAAGTAAATAGTATTATGCATAATGACATTGACTTATTGTGTTAATTAGGTCTACATTACTCGATGCATGGACACGCGAACAGTTAGATCTGATGATGGCAGGAGGCAATGCCCACGCACGCGAAGCCTTTGGTGGAGCTGCTTCTATATCGGACATCAAGTCAAAGTATACAAGCAGAAGTGCAATTGCCTACAAGACAAAGTTGCAGAGAAAAACTCAGCATTTAGAACAGTCAAAAGAAAGTAATGATTTGATTAATTTTGATCAACAACAACAACAACAACAATCATTGATTGATATGGATGAAAAAGAAGCAGAATTAAATAACTCTTTTCAACAACCAACTGATTTTGATGAATTAGACATATTTAAGCCTGTATCACCAACAGCGACAGCAACAACAAAAGCATCTGTCTTTGACGATCTTCTTTCTTTTCCTGATACAAAACCTAACGATACCACTCAGCCCACGGCTGATCTTTTATCTTCACCTAGTTATGACCCATTAGAAGAATTTATGACTAAGCCAGCAACGAATACAGCAGTAGACGATTTCTTTGATCAGCTTGAGAAACCTGCAACAAAAAAAAGAACCATAAAGCCTCCTAAAAGCCATCATACAAAGCTAGGAGCACGTAGAGTACAGAATAATGTGTTTCAACAACAAGCAGAACTTGCTCTTAAAGAAGAAAAGATGAGAGCAGAAGGATTAGATGAAGAAACAATAGGTAGAAACAGTCGAAATCAAGCATTGAAAACAGATAATTCAGTCTTTATACCTAAATTACAATCACCTACATCAACACGCTTACAGTATCAATCGCCTCAGCCTAAAAAAGAAGAGGAAAAACTAAATGAGAGATTAGGCATCATGACACTTTCTTCTAAGTCCAAGAAAGAAGAGCAAGACGATGAAGATCATTTTGCGAGAGAAAAGTTTGGTAATGCAAAAGCAATATCCTCTGATCAATACTTTGGAAGAAATGAATATGATCCGCAGCAATCTGCTGCTCAATCATCCCGTTTAGCTCAATTTCAGGGCTCACAAAGTATTTCTTCAGATCAATATTTCGGTAGAAAACCACCAAAATACACTTCTTCTTCTACACCTATTTCTAAAAAGATCATTAAAGCAGCTAGTAAGGGTGCTACTAAGCTACAAAACATATTAGCTGACTTGGAGGTAATTGTTCATGTAGAGTTTATGTGGTTATACTCATATTTCAATAGTAATTCATTCATTTTTTTTTTTTTTTTTTTTTTTTTGCATTAAACTTGACTTCCTTTTTTCAAATATGTTACGGGGGTTAAAAAGGACCTGACAGCTTTTTTTTTTTAAAAAAAAATGTCAAAACCCTCCGTAGTTTTTTTCTTTCCTTTTTCTTTGTTTTTAAGACATGCAAGTCTTTGGAGGTTTAAAAAGAACTTTATTAATAAATAGACCTTATACAGTTTTATTTGTAAGCTAGACTATATCGATTTTTCAGACTTAACTCGTTTTATGACCTTTAGACTCGCTTTGTTGCGACAACACGCTATGTTCGAGTAAATAAAAAAGAAGTTGTGACGCCAGCCAGCAAGCTCAAGACAGAAATAAAGCCTACAGAAGTAAAGCCTACAGAAAAAATTGAGAGTAATATCACTACACCTCAGCAATTTCCTACCACCAGTCAATTTGATACACCCCTTGAAGCACCAGAAGGAACAGGTCATAATTGGTCTTCTTCTTTCTTTGGTCTTTCTACTGAGCCATTTCCTCGAGAGGTTTCTGATATTCTATTGGAGCCTATTAATTCTGATGATATTGAGATCAAGCCAGGTAAGGTAAAAGAAAGAATCAATTTTGGTACATATAAATTAATCAATACAAGATGGCCTGCTTTATTTGCCTGAAATTAAGTACAGACGTATATTAAACAGAGCATTTGGACCTGGTGGTTGGGGTTTAGCCCCTCGTGGAGAACATACGATTTCACCCAAGAATATATCAAGAGAATATGCATTGATTTGTAAAGGTAGATTTGTATCTCAAGCAAGGGGAGAACAAGATTTTTTTGATATATCAGGACTCCCTACTGCATCTGAAGGATGTAAATCCAATGCATTGATGCGTTGTTGTAAGGATTTGGGTATTGCATCTGAACTATGGGACCCTTCTTTCATTCGTAAATTCAAAAAGAAGCATTGTGTTGAAGTTTGGGCCGAGCATGTGACTACCAAGAAGAAGAAGAAGTTGTGGCGAAAGAAAGACGATGTCTTGGGTAAGAAATCACTTTACTATAATGAAATCTAAATATAATCATAGAATACCCTTACAAAGAGAATTAACATTGACATTAATCGGCGCATCCAGCATGCCTCTTTTCTTTTCTTTTTTTTTTTTTGTTATAAGGAATAAATGCCGATTCTTTATAAATATAGCTTTTTTTCTTTTTTTTTTCTTCTTTTATTCTCTTTCTGTTTTATATAATGCATCATTCAATTATTTTCTTTTTAATATTCCTTAAGCTCGTTACTGCTTTTATCAAAGACGACACAGACCAAAAAGAAGAAGCAACCAATGCATTTCTTTATCAACATCCCTCAACAACTACCGCATAAGCATTTCTTGTTCAAAGACCAAATACCCGACCACTTTTTTCTTGTAAAATAAATTATATAGCATAATATCACATGCGTATCATGTGTTGAACATAAAGGAATAAACAAACTAATTTTATATGCCTCAAAAACGATTATGATTCCCCCCCCCTCTGTAGCGACAAAAAAGACGTAATGCAAAACTACAATAGATAGCATCAAGACCTTTATTGTTCTTAAGCAAGTCCTTTGTTTTAACCTGAATGGATAAAAGCAAAATAAAAAAGGATGGCTACAGGAACATGTGACAAATTCAGGACGCATGTAGCACTAAAAGACTTTCTAAATCATAAGAGATTTTATTAAATACTAAGAGATATATATATAAAAAAGAGATGGCATAATCATATCGATAGAGTAAATTAAGCCCATTTTCCTATCAATGACATGAGACCGGCACCAATATACATAGAAAGGAAACTGCAGATTTTGCGTGTAGTAGAGGCATTGTGGAAAGCATTGTTATGACTCATTTCCATACTCATGAGTGAAACATAGGCATTATAAAGAAGAATACCAGCAGAAAGAGAATCAAGAATAGCAGAAGACAACACAGCAGAATAAGAATTGGGATTATAGCTAGTACGGATACCAATACCAATAGCAATACCAATAGGAGTCATAATGACATAAAGTAAACCCATCAAAGTGGGCTTGTACCAGTGTGTATAACCAACTTCATTTAAACGAGTACCTAATGCCATACCTTCAAAGAACTAGGTCGAATTAGACATACATACAAAGCGTTGTTATTATTCTTACCTGGTGAAAGACAAGAGCAATGAGTAAAGTAATGAACTCGTCATTGTCAGTCGTAGCCAATGAAATACCAATCAAAATGGAGTGCATAACAATACCAAGTTCGAGAATATAAGTACCAATGTGTTTGTATGCTTCATCACTTTCAAGAAGAGCACCATGAGCATGACCATGATCGTCACCGATATGATGATGATGATGGTGTTGTTCGTTATCAGTGACAGTTTGTTTGGAGAGATGAGATGCCTTATCAGTTGGTTCGACAGATCTGCCCAATTCAGTATCTGCTCGTTCTTGTTTGAGTCTATGAAGCCTGTTTACGTGGGCAACAGATGAAATTTCAAGTAATTGAAGAGCAAAAGAAGCAATCATACAAAAGACACCGGCAAATGCACCATAAGACAACCATCCATCTGTTAAGCAAGGACTTTCAAAATTCTCGAGAGCATCAGGAAGCATATGAACAAAAGCAGTAGCCAAAATAACACCAGTACCAACTAAACTTCTTGTAAATACATGCTTCATTCCTTTTTTTATGAATTACTTACAAAATTTTCCAACAGTCAGAAGCCAATCGCGAATATCGCCTTTTTTATAAGGACTAATACGATGTAATAAGATAGGAACATAAGTACCAACTGCACTAGTAGCCAGAATGATGAAGATAGAACCGACTCGAAGACCCAGATTGTATTCTTCAATAGGCAAAGATGCACAAGCATCTTCTTCAGAGTCTATAGATAAAAGAAAATAAGTATTCTATACATTTTTTTTCATGTTTTATTACCATCGCTTTGTGCAAAGACTTGATTTAAACAAAATAAAGCCATGAAAGGCAAATACAATTTCAAGCTTTTTGACATTTCAAGTTAATTAATCTAAATGAAGAATGAAAAAAGACAATGAAAGAACAGAAAAAGAAGAACCTCTGTATTTATATAGAAATAAAATAAAAAGAAAGAGACCAAAATAGTCAATTGAGGCCGTTGCACATGTTGAAAAAGATGGAAGATCAAAGTGACAGATAGGGTACTCTTGATTTGACAGTTGGCCAATGAGAGACAAAAATTTCCAACATAAGTCACAGTCCTCGACTACAAAGGTACTCTTTTTACGCAATGATCAGAATTTTTCGGGTTGTACAAGGACTATTCATCATTAGGAAAATTTCTACATTTATATTTTTTTGTCAAAGCAATGTCGTACTTGAGCTTCATCACTCATCATTTCTTCTCTTCCGTTTTGGCTATTCTTTTTCTATTATTATTCACCGGCTCAAAGCGAAAAGATTTCTGTAAAAAACGTCACTTTTCTTGTTTCAGATTCCTAGATTTCGTGTGTAATGCTTCTTTTTTTTTTATAACAACTCGTAATATGAGTAAGCAAAAAGCATAGACCTTCCTAGAATCAATGATGCGAGAGCTTTCTCTTTCATTGGACTCAACAAGTCTCCAGCCAAGAGTATTTTCTCCATAATAAGTTGACCAATATTAGAGAACAATTGTAGGCTCTGAAGTGATGGCTTTTTGCCCAAATGTTAATTCAGAAGACTAATTATAGGCTATGTATTACATTCGGATATCGAAGTACTAAGAAGACGTTTTCTTCAAGATAGCATCTGTTTTTTTTTAAAAAAAAGTGCCCTGTCTAATGATAGCAATTGAAATAATCCACTACTTTGTTAAAAGACAATCCTTATAATAGATGTTTACAGATTTTTCAATGTTAAAAAAAGAGCTATAAGATTATCTACTTTCATTTCTTGTTTAAATATGTATAAGATTAGATCCTGTTTTGTAATCCTAGTTTTTAAGGTCAAAACTATACAAACAATGTATTTTATTATTTGCAAGTCAAACACACAATCTAGCAGTAAAAGCGATACTTGAAATATATAAGAAGCACTTTTAGCGTCTAAGCAATCGAAGATATCAGAAGGATTACACAAGCTAGGACCATCTCTAAAACGAGAATATCTATAGTAGCACAGCCCGCCCATGCCCTTGAGATTGTTGCGAGTTTTTTGATAGTTACAGGTTTAATAGATGCTATGATCAATGTAAACGCATGGAATGTAAATTAAGCATGTAAACTGAAGTGACAGTCAGTTTATGACTAAAAGAAAAAATAGAACCAGAAATTTTTTGGAAGCTTACGAATCAAGTGTAACTGAGCTTGATATGTCCACATTGATATTGAGTGGCCTTAAGGGCCTTTAAACTATATTTACATACTGATTTGTACCTTTATTTTGAGATTCATTATTTTGTCATTATATAAATTTACGTGTAACCAAGAGTGTAATTCTTAATTACAACTCTTTCATTCACTTTCATTTCTCCCATTTCTCTCTAAAACTTTCAAAAAAACACACATACTATCTCAAGACTACTTTTATAATTATCGCTTTTATTACCAGCATCACTTGGCTAGTTTTAATTATAATTTTCAATCATTAGTTACAAACTTATTAACAAACAAATAAAGTCAGTATTATTCTTTTAGTTAAAACAACAGTCCACAAATTAATACATGAAAATTGACTGAGTTTATTAAAGATTCAAAGTGTGTCTATAGTCTATTTTGTCAAGATTTCGCAGCCATTTTCAGTAACAAGTAAAGTATGTTCAAATTGAGCAGAACGCTTTCCGTCGGAGGTAACAGCAGTCCAGTTATCAGGCCAGATTTCATCTCTCCAACCACCTTCACAAATCATGGGTTCAATAGTAAAACAATGGCCTGGCTTTATTATACCAATGGCCTTATTGTCTAAATTTTAGTGAGTATATAAATGCAAGAATGTAACATGTTGCTTACTGCTGTAATGAGGCACATTTGGTGCACAATGGAAAAGTTGGTTGATACCATGTCCACTAAAGGTACGATTGACAGAAAAACCATTCTTTTTAGCATGATCTTCAATGACTTTACCGAAATCACGATATCTGACACCAGGTTTAACCATAGCAATAGCTTTCTCTAGACATTCTCTAGCAGTGTTGATCAACTGTTTACCCTTGGCATCCACATTGCCAACACAGTAAGTTGCATTCATGTCACCATGGAAACCATTGTAATAACAACTAATATCGAGATTAACAATATCACCATCTTTCAAAGGACGTTTGTCAGGAATACCATGACAAATAACTTCATTAACAGATCTATTCAAAAGAAAAATTAGGCTTACTTTTTATAAGAACATTGCTTACATGCAAACGGACTTGGGGAATTTGTAATAATTTAAAGGAGAAGGATAAGCGCCACGTTCAATGGTAGCCTTGTGGATGATTTCATCTAAAGTAATAGTTATAGACTGCCTGATAGACTAAAAAGTGACTTACCAATTTCATCTGGGGTGATTCCAGGACGAATGGCTGCAGCACCAGCATCAAGCACTTCGCGACAAATCTATCCATGGTAAGCATATCATTAGGTACCTATATGTATTTTTACCTTGCACACTTTACGCATGCCCTCAATTTCTTCGGCATTCAAGATCTTGATAGTTGAACTAGAGCGAACATTTTGTTCAGAAATAGGAATACTGGTTTCAGCATAGTCGGCTATGGTATATGTGAGAAAAAGAGTACTTTTCTGAGCAAATCAAATGACTTACGGCGCATAATACCCTCAGGGACTTCACGTCGAGGAGAGAGAGGATAGACAGCACGAAGTTCACCCGTATAACGATAATTAGGAAAAGGATCATGAGGTTCGCCTAAACAAATGAGTAAAAGGGAATCAAGTTTATATGTGCATTACTTTCAATCTTGGCTTTATGAACTAGTTTATGTTGACCCTACTTCCAATGTCAGTCATTGATTTGAACATAATTTTATCAACTTACCCAGTTTTTCTTGAAGCAATCTTGAGAGCAAAAGAATGAACCGCCAATCTTGAGTTTAATACAAGTGGGACATTGAAGAGTAGCAGGCTTGTCACAGCCTTCCGAAATACAAGTTTTGTCAGTGGATGCCATCCTTTCTAAACAGTAAAGAAAAAAAATTTCACGCAGAGAAAAAAAGACTGAGAATCAAAAGGCGATACTATACACAACCTATTTTGGGTTATTTGTGAACATTTATATGCATGAAAAAGGTGAACGCTCTCTGGCAAACGTCAAATGCTTTTCAGAATAAGTACATCTAAATTGCTTTTGAAATAGCCATTTCACTCTAGATACATGGCTTGATTGAAAAAGGGCATCACAATCATAAAAAGCGCAAGTTTATCATTATCAATTTAGCAACTCTTGTTGTTCTTTTTGATGATGCAAGAAGAAAAACAAAGTTAATGATAAACTTAAATACTCCAAATGTGCTTCAAAGGTGTTAGCCTTTGGAGAATGTGTTTGCTTATCACTTGTGTTATGAAAATGCTATGATATGAATAAAAAACCTTATAGACACTTCTGTATATTTCCACAGTATTTTACCACTTAAGCAACCGTATTCCTTTTATCAATAGTCTCGTAGAACAGAAGTCTGTAGCTTATGTTATTTGATTCTTGAACTCGAAACAACATTCCTTGAACAAAAAAACGGGTTGTCAAGCAATGTCGCATCAAAGATTGGCTTGATATCTATAAAATTTGTAAACAATAAACTTATGAAGATATATTATGCTATTTGAAGCGCCAAAAAGCATAGAGAAGTAAAAACATGGTTGATCTATAATGTAAATATGGGGGGGGGTAAAAGGACAAAAGATGTATAGGATGGCTGGTATCGAAGATTGAAACGGAAGGTAGCTCCAGTTCTTCATCCTGCCACATCTAATTTTGGGCTTTTGCTTAGAACTGCATAAAGACACAAGTATTGGGCTTTGGTGCAGTGATAAAAGATGTAAGTATTTGCATCCTGAGTCTATTGATATAGCAAAAACAGCAACTTTGCTGCTAAACTATCAAGAAAAAAGGCAAAAACGTTTATAAGGGGTTTCACCCATATCATACCATTTTCATAGTACGATTGACAAGCAAACACATTTACCAAAAACTATAGCCTCTAATGCACATTTTGAGTATTTAAGCTTATCAATAGCTCTATCTTTCATCATGCAGCGCTAAAAAGAAGCTCAAAGAGTTGTCAAGTCGAACATTTCCATGAGTAGTACCCTTTGATCAAAAGGCTATTCTGGCCAAATTTTACGTCGTTTTTTTTTTTTGGTCCAAATCAACTCCAAAAGAAGCATAGATATTATTAAACATCGCTTGTAAGCATTCAGAGCATTTATCATTGTATAAATAGGCTTTATGCTGCCTTTATGCCCAAGAAGATGATTTAAATGAGTTGTTGTCTCTTTCACTGTTGAGACATTTGTTTGTCTTGTGCTTCTGTCTTATGGATAAGTTTTGTAGTGTCATATTGTTTATCCAAACAGAGTACCTCATTAAAAAAAACAATTGGTTCTCTAAATTGAAGAAATCAAAATGTTTTGGGGAACTCAATGTAACTTTATGATAAAAGATAGATAAAAGAAGGTGTTTAGCGCACGCATCAAGTATGGTATAAACCACCATACAATCACACATTCGTTTTGACTACTTACACTTTTTCTAATGAAGGCGTAACCGGATTAAAAGGCAGAATGTCTTTTGCACGATTTAATGAAACCAATGACATATAGTTTTGAAGAAAATCCTCCAACCATTCATATATTTTTATCGACCGAATTCAGAACACTTTTCTCTTGCTGCTGCGTATCTTTTAGACTAATTTTTTAACTGGTATTTCCGCTTTGACTATTGTATCTATTGAGTCATAAAAATCATAACATTCCTGAGCATGCATTGTCTCCCAAACCTTATCGAGCATCCTCTGGATCAGTGAATAAGGTACAAACCTCACAATGGCAAACTGTTAAAGTGGTTTACCTGTTTGCATAGTGACCATTTGCCAGTTGTCAAAGTACCGTAGCAACGGTACCTCATTTTGGAAAAGTTCTGTAGCAACAGTTTTTAATTAACTGTCAAATCAGCTTTTATTGTTTCATGCAATAGGTCAAGATACAACTAAAAAAAAAAAAAAAAAAAAAAAAAAAAAAAAAAAAACTTGTACATATCCAGTTATTTTCCATATTAAAACAGATGAGGTTTACTACCAGCAGACGAAAATGGTTCGCATGATAGAGCTTGCCAAAGTTCCTTGATCGTTTTTGACTGTATACCTTCATATTAAAGTCCGTCCATTTTATGGCTCGAGTCAATTGAAACAGAGCGCGACGTCATTCAACGCGGAGTGCGAAGCGCTGGCACTGCCTGAACTGGGGTTAATTCTATCAAATTTCGTATCAAACTTTTTCTCTTCTTGTTTGCTTAACCCCCAACTCTTCACTAAAAACCACCCCCCTCTTCTTTATTATCGGTTAATGTTGAGACAAATTGCCGTGAAGCGTGGTATGAGAACATAAATGCAACTTGGACTTTAAAAGAGAAACAACAATTAACATGTTTGTTTATCAATTTTCTAGCTGCGCCTATATTAGCTCGCCAACAATTGAAAGTTATTCCTACTGTAGCACGTACCTTTGCTACTGAAGCAACTCCCGATCCTAACGCAAACCCAATCACTGGAAAGACAACTTTCGGTGGTCTTCATGACGACGATCGTATCTTCACCAACGTTTATTCAAAGCATGACTTCCGTTTGAAGGGTGCCATGAAGCGTGGTGATTGGTACAAGACTAAGGAAATCCTCCTCAAGGGCCACGAATGGATTCTCAAGGAAATGAAGGAATCCGGTCTTCGTGGTCGTGGTGGTGCTGGTTTCCCTACTGGTCTCAAGTGGAGTTTCATGAATAAGCCTTTGGATGGCCGGTAAATTCGCTTTTTTCTTTTTTCTTTTTAATAGTTCAATCACTTATTTATTTGCCATATAGTCCTCGTTACCTTGTTATCAATGCTGATGAAGGTGAACCTGGTACCTGTAAAGACCGTGAAATTCTTCGTGGTGATCCCCACAAGTTGATTGAAGGCTGTCTCTTGGCTGGTTCTGCCATGAAGGCTAACGCTGGTAAATTCTTGATTCTTAATGTTATTTGTATACTCATCTTTTGTTGAATAGCTTACATTTATATTCGTGGTGAATTTTACCAAGAAGCCACTAACCTTCAAATTGCCATTGATGAAGCCTACAAGGCTGGTTTGATTGGTAAAAATGCTTGCGGAACTGGATATGACTTTGATGTTTACATTCACCGTGGTGCCGGTGCTTACATTTGTGGTGAAGAAACTAGTTTGATTGAATCTATTGAAGGCAAACAAGGCAAGCCCAGATTGAAGCCACCATTCCCTGCTGATGTTGGTCTCTTTGGTTGCCCTACCACTGTCACCAACGTTGAAACTGTTGCTGTTGCTCCTACCATTCTCAGACGGTAAGGGTGCATATTTTTTTTTGTAGATCGATATTAACCATGTAAAATGATGATAGTGGTGGATCTTGGTTTGCCAGTTTTGGTCGTCCCCGTAACTCTGGTACTAAGCTCTTCTGTATCTCAGGTCATGTCAACAACCCTGCCACTGTTGAAGAAGAAATGTCTATTCCTTTGAGAGAATTAATTGAAAAACACTGTGGCGGTGTCCGTGGTGGCTGGGATAACTTGCTTGGTATCGTTCCCGGTGGTAGTTCCGTCCCTGTTCTTACCCAAGATATCTGTTCAGATGTTTTGTATGTTCATTATTGTTGGCCAAGTTTAGTGTATTAATGTATTTTTTATAGGATGGATTTCGATGCTCTTCGTGATGTTCAATCTGGTCTTGGTACTGGTAAGTAGTAGCAAATTCTTTACTGTGCTGCGCATACTCATTTGACATTTATTCATTTATTTTCTTAAAAATTTTTGATCAACATTAGCTGGTAAGTGATGGCATAAATATCATTTAGCATATACTGATATAACATATAGCTGTCATTGTTATGGATAAGAGTACAGATATTGTTGCAGCCATTTCTAGATTTGCCAAGTTTTACAGACACGAAAGGTAAATAGAAAAGAAAAAAAGTCTAATACAATACTTAATTCTCTATAGTTGTGGTCAATGTACACCATGCCGTGAAGGTACTAAGTGGCTTGAATCCATGATGGACCGTTTCGAAGTCGGTCGCGCTAAGAGAGAAGAAATTGATCAAATGTGGGAATTGACAAAGCAAATCGAAGGTCACACCATTTGTGCTTTGGGTGATGCTGCTGGTACGTATTTTTTTTTTTTTTTGTATTGTTTGAATATGAGATTAACTCTTAATTCTTTTTAAAGCATGGCCAGTTCAAGGTCTCGTAAGATCCTTTAGACCTGAATTAGAAGCTAGAATTGATCAATTCAACAAGAGTTTGCAACAATAGGAGTTATTCAGTTAGAAAATTTGGAAAAATAAATAAAGGTTTTTAAGCAACTTGTACTTTATAATAGTGATTTGAACTTTTGCAGGAATTTAAAAAGGACTTTGTCTAATCTTTTTTTCTGTTTTCGTTAAACCTAGTTTATTTAATGTTTGAGTAATCTGGAAAACATGGTCATTGTTTTATTTCATTGATTTGTTAGCGATTTATCGCTTCAGATCAAAGAACCCAAGACAACTCATGAAACGAATTTAAAGCGTTAAGTGGGTCGTTCTTGCTTAAATGCTATGGTGCATGCTGACACTCCTGAAGCATTCGAAGTTTTTTTTATCAGTCTTTCGAAAGACGCTGCTAAACTGCCTCAGTCTCTTCCTGGACGTTAACAGTGATGAAGTTCAAAGCAAGCGTTCAAATATTTACGACCGTTTATTATAAACAACAATATGAATACTATGCCAAATGTATTATTAACTAATATAATAAAATTATATTTTCCACATATATAAACTTGTTTCTTTCAGGCATAATCTTATGATAGAAAACCAATCTTATCTTTTCCTTGCCCTGTTTGTCATGGATAAGAAACATTCTAGACACTCATAAATACTAAACCTATTCATTTGAATGTAACAGACAAGAAAATAAAGGCCGTTGCTAACAATTGATATTTAAAATGCTTCTTTAGTGATATCTATTGTTAATGATGAATTATCAGAGTCAGACTTTTCAAAGAAAAAAAAACAAGCGAGAACATAACAATGATCCTGCTTATCTTACATCTTTTGACAAGTCAATGCATAATTATATCTCTACTGCGATTTTGAACAAAATGAAGAACAACAAAAACTGGACACCGACCTCCTGAAAATCAAAAACGACTTTACAAGTAAGACGAGGCTTCCTAGTAGAATTAGGACAAATACTGCATCTTTTGCTGGTCTGGAAACTAATGTGATGAAGAACTTAATGGAAAATAATGGCAGCAAATTAATGATTGAATCATGGAAGGATTATGTTAATGATCACTTTAACTCAATTGCCAAAATCCTCAGACAAAGAAATCTTTCCTTTACAAAAGAACATCCTTCCTCCTCATTTCCTCAATCAAGTTCAAGTACAGCATGAAATTGAAATGTTGCAGCATGAAGTCAGCAGCCTAAAGGAAGATCTACGCGCGCTACTCTAGTCTGATTCCGTGAAAATGTTGACTGTAGAAATAAAGTCAACCAAGCTTGAATTGAAGAGTGATCATATAGACAAGCTGGTAACAAAACTCAAACCTGCCAAAAGAAAAAGCATAAAGCATACCTTGCAATTCAAAGATGTCAGTCTGGCATATCCAGCCGAAATGAAGAACTTTACTGTAAAAAGATGGCTATGCGTTACAATAGTCAGATTGCTAAGAAGCAAGAAACGTCTACTAGCTCCACCAAGGAAGAAAAAGAAGATCTGCTTTTTAGGTTCACTAGTGAAACATCCGGTGTATATGAAGCTAGCGAATGTTGTTTGGAGGAATTACATAAGGATTCTGTCTTTTCTGGTACTGGTAATGGTATCATTAATAATGTCAACTACTATACCGTTCACCTTTGACAGGTACAAGTTTCACCTGAAGCTTTATAACCTATACCAAATATTGAAAGAAACTGACATTGATGTTCAAGGCAACAAAGAGTATCTCGATCTGACTCCTGAGCTAGTTATAAGCTTTACAGATATTGATGTTAGGACTTTGCAACATAAGATCAGAAGAAAGTTAGAAAGAGCAAGAAAGCAGATTGAAGAAGGCAAGGAGGTGTTACAAGCCGAGACTATGTTGTCAGAAGCGCCAATTATAACAATAAGCACCTCTATTATTCAATATCAAGCTTTTTTGGATCTTCATCTCAGTCGCTCTAATCGATCGCGAAGATTTTACTCTTCCAAAAAAGAGTAAACCTGAAAAGAACTGGTGAAATAAGGAAGGCCAAATTTCTTGATTCGCTGGTAGATAAAGAGAGAAGAAGCAAGAGGCAATATATAATATATATAACTTAGTGCAATAATTGTTGAAGTTTAGCTAGCCTCATAACCTACTAGGTTGGCATAAAGTAGCTCGGTTCGTCGGCGACAGAGGTACAAATATAGGAACAAGAACTAAAGGCCATCGTAGATATGGTGGAAAATGGCTCACTAACGAATAAAAGACTTCACAGACATAAATCTATTGTTTTGAGCAATTAGAGTACCCTTGTTTTGCTGAAGAGAAGAATAGGAAGATGATCAAAATATCAATAAAGGGTAGCTTGATATGTAACAATCCTAAATGTGTCTCTATAAAGCATGGTCGATCTACCAAGTCTCAGGATGCCCTCTCGTATCTTGCAATAGGCCTATCTGAATTGACCTTGTGCTTTCTCGGAGTACCTATCCTCTACTTCTCCCAAAATTAAATCAGTAAATACGAAGAATCATACCTAATTATTCCTTAATTGCAGAAGGACAGATACTTACGCCTTGAATTCTTCAGTTTTTTCTTAGGATTTAATTTTGTGACTCCTTTTTTCTGTTACATTTAGTTATTCCTGATTTAACCGAGCACTCGGGGATAATTTCCTTTCACCTGATTGATTTTACGTGTAGAGAAATAACAGACATAGAAGAGAGTGCATAAATTTTGTATTGGCTTTCAGGGCAAACAACGTTCTACTTTATCTTATTGTTCTCTAGCATTTTGATCATTGTTGACAGATCAATTTTAAGGAACGAAGCCAACGTTTTCAAATGTTTTTGACTTTTTTGGCATGTATTTCTCATTTTGGAGCAAGTTGGCTTTTGTAGTCCACCAATTTTTCGTGTACGTAACACAAAGCCGACTATAAAGCAAAAAAAAAAAAAAAAAAAAAAAGGAAGAAACAATTTTACCACGCTCTTTTTTTTTCTTTGTTATCTATATGTGTACTTCTTCTGCCGAAAACCCTGATCGTCAAGTTTTGCCTACTAACGTCAAGCCCACTCACTACGACTTGACTCTTCAACCTGACTTGAAGACCTTTATCTTTTACGGTCAAGTTAAAATCAAGTAAGTTATATAATGAACCTGCACAACATAAAAATATATTGAAACATTTTCTAGCTTAAATGTTAACAAGGATACCAAGACAATTGTGCTTAATACGCGTGATATTAAGATCTATTCTGCCTCTTTGACTTCTGAAGGTCTCAAGACTGAATCAAAGTAAGTGTGTCATGTGTTAAGGACGAACGTTCTGAAACAGTCATATAGGCAAACTGCTACTGAAATTACATATGATAAGGAAAAGGATTTGGCTACATTGATCTTCAATGAAACTGTCCCTGCTAATACCAAGGCTGTTTTGGAAATCTCTTTTGAAGGTGAATTGAACGATGCCATGGCTGGTTTCTACCGATCCTCTTATAAGGATGCTGAGGGCAAAACTCAATATTTGGCTACTACTCAATTCGAATCTACAGATGCTCGTAGAGCTTTCCCTTGTTGGGATGAGCCTAACCTCAAGGCTACCTTTGATGTTACCTTAGTCGTTCCTTCGGAATTAGTCGCTTTGTCTAACATGGATGTAATTTCTGAAAAGCCTTACCGCGATACTGGTAAACTTACTATCGGTAAAACTGAAGGTAAAACTGAAGGTAAAACTGAAGGAAAGACTGAAGGAAAGACTGAAGGCAAAACTGAAGGAAAGACCGAGTCTTCTAGCCAAAGCTTAAAGGAAGTGAAATACTCTACTACTCCTTTGATGAGTACTTATCTCTTGGCCTTCTGTGTTGGTCCTTTTGAATACATCGAATCTTTTACTAGTGGTGAACATAACGGTAGACCTATTCGTTCTCGTGTTTATGCTTTGCCTGGTTCCGTTGAACAAGGTCGTCACGCTTTGAATGTCTGTACTGCTGCTCTTGAATACTTTGCCAAGGTCTTTGGTGAACCTTACCCTCTTCCCAAGGTTGATATGGTTGCTATTCCTGACTTTGAAGCTGGTAAGTGATATATGCATCTGTATCAAGACATCTTCTAATTCTGAAAAAAAAGGTGCTATGGAGAACTGGGGTTTGATTACCTACAGAACTGTTGCTTTGTTGTTTGACGAAAAGTCATCGTCTATTGTCTTCAAGAAGAGTACTGCATACACAGTCTGTCACGAATTAGCTCATCAATGGTTTGGTAACTTGGTTACTATGGAATGGTGGGACCATCTTTGGTTGAATGAAGGTTTTGCCACCTGGGTTGGCTGGTTAGCCGTCGATAACATCTTCCCTGACTGGGATGTTTGGACCTCTTTTGTCAATGAAGATATGCCTAGAGCTTTAAGTCTTGATGCTCTTCGTTCTTCTCACCCTATTGAAGTCACCGTAAACGATCCTGCTGAAATTCACCAGATTTTTGATGCCATTTCCTACTACAAGGGTGCTAGTGTCATTCGTATGTTAAGTTCTTGGCTCGGTGTCGATACTTTCTTGGCTGGTGTTAGACGCTATCTGCGTCGCCACAAGTTGGCTAATGCTTCTACCAATGACCTCTGGATTGCTTTGAGTGAAGAAGCTAATGTAGATGTTTCCAAGTTCATGACTTTATGGACCAAGCGTGTTGGTTATCCTGTTTTGACTGTCAAGAAAGAAGGTGAAGCATCCATTAAGGTCACTCAATCCCGCTATCTCTCCACTGGTGATTTAAGCGATGAAGAAGACACCACTGTCTGGTGGGCTCCTCTCGGTATTTTGGTTCCTGGCAAGGTTGAAGCTTACACTTTGACTGAAAAGTCTCAAACCTTTGACATTCCTGCTGATAGCTTATTCAAATTGAATGCTGGTCAAACTGCTGTTTATCGTGTCAACTATCCTATTGAAACCATTCGTGTTCTCGGTGAAGAAGTCAAGAAAGGCAAGAACGGCCTTTTGTCCAACACATCAGATCGTGTTGGTTTGGTTGCCGATGCTGGTAACTTGTGTGTCAGCGGTGAACAAACAACCACTGCTTTCTTGGAACTTGCTCAAGCCTTTGTCAATGAAGATAACTACTTTGTCTGGTCTCAATTGAGCACTCATCTTTCCAAGATTCTTAGTGTTTGGTATGAACAACCTAAAGAAGTGCGCGATGGTTTGAAGGCTCTTCGTCGTAGTTTGTTTGCTCCTGTTGCTCACAAGCTCGGTTGGGAATTTGCTGAAACAGATGATTACTTGACCAACATTTTGCGTGTCCTTGCTATCACCAATGCTGGTCGCTCTGATGATGGCGAAACTGTCGAACAAGCCAAGAAGCGTTTCTGGCAATTTGTTGAAGGCAACACAGAAGCTCTTCATCCCAACTTGCGTGGTCCTGCTTACAACATTGTCTTGGGTGCTGCTGAAAACGAAGAAGAAGAAGAAAAGTTATGGGAACAAGTCTTGAAGATCTACCGTGACGAGACTTTGCCTACTGATCAACGCTTGATTGCCCTTAACTCTTTAGGTGGTGTCAAGAGCAAGACCTTGATCAAGAAATACCTCGAGATGTCTATGGATGAAAACGAAATCAGAGGTCAAGATTCTTTGTACGTCTTTGGCTCCTTGTCTTCTAACCCTGATGCCCGTGATTTGCTCTGGGAATTCTTTATCAACAACTTTGATACTCTCCATGCCAAGTTTGCCAAGTCTTTGAGTTTGTTTGGTTCTGCTATCCGTTCAGCAGTAGGTGGATTTGTTTCCTTTGATCGCATCAAGGAAATTGAAACCTTCTTTGCTGATAAGGATACCAAGGAATATGCCCGTTCTCTTGAACAAGCTTTGGAAGGTTGCAGAGTCAATGCCAAGTGGGTTGAAAGAGACCATCAACGTGTTGCTAACTGGGTTCACGAAAACGCAAAAAACTTTGCTTAAGTTTTTGATTTTTTATTTAATTATTATTTTGTAAATATTCATTTTTCTTTCTCTTTTTGAAGTAAATCAACAAAATATTCGTATTTGTAATAAAGAAGCACTCATTGCTTAACTTAAAAAAAAAAAGAAAGTTTTCTATTGTGTAGGTTGTTGTTGAACAATGGAATTGCCGAATCTTGTGATCATATCCCTAATAGTGATATAGGCTTTAGTAACAACAGGAGGGATACGAGGATCAACTGAAGGAGGCAAAAGCAATCCATCAAATTTAACTCGAAGTTCAGTAAAGGTTTGACGAGTATAGGTCGATAAATGGTAACGGAAACGAAGGAATTGAGCAAACAAGATGATAGGCATGAAGTTAAGACTACAAACAATGAGTTCTTGCGCCCCCTCTTTATAACCCCCTTATAATCTTACCGAAGCAAACCAATAAGCAAGCGAACAGCAATAACAGTAACTTCTGATTGAGCAACAAAGCGCATAGCAGCACCGTAATACTTGTCTGTTAATGATTTGATTTGTTGCTGAGTTTTTGCTTGCCATGACACGGAAGCATCTCCGCTGTTGCTGGCAGTAGTGGGACGAGGGAACAAGTTGGGAATGATGTTTGTGCGGATATAACCAAGAGCATGGAATGCAGAGAAGGTGAAGAAAGGAATCAAAGAGACTAAGAAGAGTGAATATGAATAGTCCCCACTTTGTTTTTTTTTGAATGTTTACCTGTAATAGGATTAGAGAAGAACCAAAAGAGTGCAAGCAACAAGTATTGTGCGTTTTCATCCATAACCAATTTACGAGCATACTCGGCATTAGGCTGAGGTCTCTATTGTTTTGCATAATTTTTCTTAGCCCAAAACAACCGATATGAGGTCATAAACTACTTACGCCGTGCGATTTATAAATTACTACACCATATGATACTAAAGCACCCAAGTAGGCAATCTTGTAGAAGGAGCTGTTTGAACGGAACAGTAAGACGCTCAAGGTATAAGTTAATGTACCATAAAGTGTCAAGACGTGACCAAAAAACCAGGCAAATTGAAGTGTCTGTTTTCCAAAAATCAAAAAGGCAATTCTATCATGAAAAGGAGGTTCTTACCTTGACGAGAGCAAGAGCGCGTTCTTGGAAAGAAGCTGTTGCTGGTGGAGCCATTATTGTTTAACAAACAAGAGAAAAAGAGAGAAAAGAAGGAAAATAAACGGAAAAGGATGTAATCACAAAAAAAAAATAAAACGTCACTAAAGAGATACAGTGAATTTCCATTTCGAATTGTCGTGTTTTGAAATTTTGCTTGCAACATCACTTGATGTATCTCTACCCTTTTTAACTCTTTATGCCCACTTCAGCCAAACTTAACCTAAACAATCCAATGTACTTGGATCTATTAAATACTTATTGAACTCTGTTTTGTAGCAATATGTTTCTCTATTTCAATAAACAAAAAAAAACATTTGGTTTACATACCATAAATACTAGATTACATGCAATTTACAATAGTTCAATGGTTGGCTTTAAAATTGATCATCGCTTTCTTACCTACTATTACAGACAAGAAATTGGCCTTGGGGCTGACAAGATTGCCATGGATTTACAAGACAGAGTTTTGAGAGACTAAAGACACTGTTGACTATCATGTCGTTTACTGCTTGAGTGATTGTATAGCTTGATTTATAATGATTTGAGTCTCTACTGCTCTATGTCGAGTGTTGAGGGCCTTTATAAAAGCTTAAATCAGTCTGACATCTGCATCCCAGATACTATATGGTGGAATGAAATTATGTAAAAGGTATTAACCTTTCATATATCCATTGTTAAAAAAAAGCTTTAGGCATTTTTTTTCTAAAAAGTACTTGTACATGAAAGGGAATGGCATGCAACTTTGTTTTTTAACAAGTGCCATATGATGTAGAATACAAAAAAAAAAAAGAGATCACTCCAGTGTATGTGCGTATGTCATGTGATCCTTATTCGTTTCGAGTTTGCTGAGCTTCATGGCATCAGTTCTCACATATATCAAAAGAAAAAAGCCTATTCTTGCACCATATTATGACCAAGTGCAATTACTCTATACTCTAAGAAATACATACATATATCACAATCTAACTACATACACTGACATAAGCAATAGCTTATTATGTACTTTGGAATAACATTTGCCAAATGACTTTTTTCATGCTTTTGCGGAGATTGTATCAATCACTTATAAAAACCACAGATTTGAGTTAGCGTTGTTTCTCCATCTTTTTTATTATTATTATACCTATGTCTTCACCTTTACCAGTGAATGCAAAACAAGGATATAGAGAAGGATCCTATCTGAACGATTCTTACCTATCAAGTTCTTTTGATAGAGCCAACTCTACTGCTCGTCTTAGTAGTTCTCCTGCACCAGGTGTCTATGGTACTTCACCTTCTAAAAGTGTTCTTTCACATCAAAGTTACGGTTCTGCAGATATAGAAAATGTGTTAACTACAAATAGTGGTGGGCTATTTCGACCTCTTTCACAAGCTACATTTAACCCAGAAGATAACACTGTCAGTGTGGATCTTCCGGACAATCAAGTAGCTCGTGTTGTGAAACGTCACTTGGTAGACACTTCACCCTCTGCCTCTCTTAGAAGTCGCAGTATCTATGACGAAGAACAAGGCTCCTCTAATGTCAAAAGTGTTCACCAACTTCCTGGTGGCGCTATCACACACGACATATACAAGTGGGCTGATGACGTGGAGAATGAGCAAATGGCAAGACGCCAACGATCGCAGTCGTTTTATGTACCTCGTAGTGAGCCCCTTGACCCTGCATTGGCTAGACTAAAAGATCCTGGAGGATTTCGACGTCATTTTGTGGTAAACAAAGCTGAACGTCAAGGCAGACAGCCTAGTTGGATGACTCGTACATTTGTTGATTTTCTTGCACTCTATGGCCATTTTGGTGGTGAAGATTTAAGTGAGGACGAGGAAGGAGAAGATGATGATCAGGTGATTGAAGAAAGCAACCTTAGAAGACGTAGAAGAAGAAGTGAGGATGAAGAGGAAGGAGAAGATTCACCCCTGATTCGAAGAGCACAAGCAAATGCAGTACAGGGTACTGCTACTCCTGCTAAAGCTGTCTTTTTACTACTGAAATCATTTGTTGGTACGGGTGTCATGTTCTTGCCCAAAGCGTAAGTTGATAACCAGTTAAATAGATAGCTCATAAGTGATAGATTTTACAATGGTGGTCTCTTATTCTCAACTGGTCTATTAACAGCCATTGCTTTAATCTCTTTGTATACCTTTTTATTGCTTGTGGAGACAAGAAACAAGATTCCTGTCTCATTTGGTGACATTGGTGGTATTTTATTTGGCCCTAAAATGCGTTTTTCAGTCTTATTGGCCATTACATTCTCGCAGGTAACAAAAAAAAAGGAAGCGTCGTGTTCTAGACATGTTTGTTCATCATTGTTTAGGTGGGTTTTGTTTGTGCATATATGGTATTTGTTGCTCAAAATGTGCAAGCTTTGATTGAATCTGTATCTCAATGCGAGCTCCGAGTGCCGCTGTCATACCTCATTCTCGGTCAAATCGCTATTTTTGTACCACTGGCCATGATTCGAAAGATTCAAAAGTTGTCAGCATTTGCTTTAATAGCAGATATTTTCATCTTAATTGGCTTAGTTTATCTCTACTATTACGACTTCTTTATTCTCTCCACGACAGGTATTGCTGATGTAGAATGGGTTATCAATTACAAGTCATTCCCTATGTTTATTGGTACAGCCGTGTTTACATATGAAGGTGTTGGTTTAGGTAACTATATCTGCGTCTATTTTATGTGTCTTACCATCTATCTTAGTGATTCCCATTACTGAGTCAATGGCAGAACCAGAAAAGTTTCCCAAGGTTTTATCAGGCACTATGGTCTTTATTACTGGTATCTTTTTGTCTGTCGGTTTTATTTCTTATTTGGCTTTTGGTAGCCAAGTCCAGACTGTGATCTTGTTGAACATGCCAGGCACTGCTGTAGTTAATACTGTTCAAGGTCTTTATGCCTTGGCCATTTGTCTCTCTATTCCTCTTCAATTATTCCCTGCTATCCGTATTGTTGAGAATGGATTGTTTACTCGTTCTGGCAAGTACAATGCTATGGTCAAGTGGCAAAAGAACATATTTAGATTTGTAGCTGTCTTGGTCTGTGCTGGCGTCGCTATTGGTGGATCAAGCGATTTAGACAAGTTTGTCTCACTTGTAGGCTCACTCTGCTGTGTTCCTCTCTGTTTCTTTTTCCCTCCTTTGTTCCATTTAAAAGCAATTGCAAGAACATGGCGCCAAAAGGCCATTGATATTGCTATTATTGTCTTTGGTATTGCCTCTATGACTTATACCACAGGCATTACTATTGCTCTATGGTCTGAAGGAGGTGAATCAGCACCTATTTCAAGATGCCCAGCTTAATCATAGACTCATTTAAATGGCCGCATTAAAAAAAATAAACAATTTTTTTTCTTTATTTCTTTCTCTTTCTCCTTTAATATGTCACAACTATTACCTTTAGGTATTTACAGTCATATATACAGCATAAGCAACTCTTTATTCATACCTTTTATTAGAACTTATTGACAAATGTATTGGCTCAAAAATCTGGGTTGTTATGAAAAACGAAAAAGAGTTTTCTGGAAAGCTATTGGGTTTTGATGACTATGTTAGCAAGTATTTGGCTGTCTAAGCAACTAAGTTATTAACTTGCTTTCCACTAGATATGGTGTTGGAAGATGTGACAGAATTGTAAGCATACAAACAAGTGTCTTATAGTAACACTAACGCGTCTCTTTTCAGTGAGAACACAAAGGAAGGATACAAGACACAAAAATTGGAACAAATTCTTTTGAATGGAAACAACATTTGTGTTGTAAGTCTATATTTACTAACTAGATATTTATTAACACAACTATTAGCTGATACCGGGTGGTTCTGGTCCTCTTTAAACGTAAAGAATAAACCGACTATTTTATTTTTACTTTTTTAATGATGGCAGTCTAAGTGGATGAATGGACCTATCAATATGGATCTTATTGAACACCTCTTTTAAGTCTTGAGGAGAAAGCGTCATGTTGAAATAACAAAACACAAATGCAGTCATATAGGCATCGAAATGAGCAGCATGGGCACCGTCTATATCAGTCTGGGATTTATCTGACAGATAAACTTGCTTGTATTTCGAAAATCCCATTTCATGATCGAGAATACGTTGGATATCATGAAGTTCACTATTGGCTTGATGTAGTGGATCTGTTGTTTGTTTAGAGCAATAACCTCGTTCCTATATCATTATGAGCTATAGCATATATTCAATCATTTACTTACAGCAAATGCTTTACAAAAAGCAATCTTTTCTGATTGTACAACAGGTTCAGTCTTCCAAGGGAGTCTTCTTTTAATGCCTGAATGAGGAATTGGTTTGATAGCTTCAGTATCATTGGGTGTCAAGGGATCAATTTGCTTATTCACAATTACTTGGAAATAAGGCTTTAGTGGAGTGCTTGCATTAAATCGATTCTGTCTTATTCTGTCTGCCTTATTAAACGCATACGATAAAAAACTCGCACTGAATTCGGGTCCATATTCTTTCACGATTTGCTTTGTATCATAGATACCTGAAGAAAATCGTTCTGAAAGCCTTGATTCGAATTCTCTCAAAGTGTCAGGTAAAATGCCCAGAAAACTATGGTATAAGAACATCATATCATAAATGCCATTATGAACAATGAGTGGGATATTGTGGTATTTTAAAATATCAGTGATGGCATTCCACATGTTTGTCAATTTAATGGCGTCTTTGCGTTCTTGGTCTGAAAGTGTGTTGGTTTTTTGCTGTGAGGGTGGTAAGAATCGAACGCCTTTTTGAAATAAACGATCAAAACTAAAGTTATGATCTGTCAGGAATTTGCCTGTGGAGTCATCTACCACTAAGTCACTGTTGATACACACTAAAAAGTTAAAATTGTCGCAATAATAAGTGTGATAAAAGTCGGTCGCCACTGTCTTTACTGGTTGTGAAGACAATCCAAAATCAGAGCTGATCTCTTTCGAAACGTTGTGGACAGGTTGTGAGGAGGATCCAGATCGAGGAGGATCTTGAGTGATGAGATCTGCTTTTCTAAAGACTGAAAGACCAAAAGAAACGACTGAGTATTTTTCAACAGCCTCTTTCAAGGCTACATAGCGATGGGTCATGTCATTCGATGTCGATTTGCACAATCCAGTAAACTCAAGATCCAAGGCAATGTAAGAAGCAGGTTTGATTATGTCCAGTAATCTTGTATAGTAAAATTGAAAATTGTCTTGAGTTACGTCGTTAAAAGAAGACACATAAGAACTTTTTGGCGCTATTACTGTCATGGCACATAGGGCTGGAAAAAGAAAGCAAATAAAGAAAAAAAAATTATGCAATTCATTTTGTCACCTTTGACATTTCACAAACAAAAAGAGTGCACCCTATGCATTCTCGTAAAAGATATCACTCTTTCTCTCGGTTCTTAATAGACTGAATAGACTGCCGCATAGGCTATTTAATGCCGAAGTATTCATATGAGACTTATGTTATTAACACGTTGATGTAATTGGTCTTTCTCGGCTTGCGATAAGCTTTTAAAGCCGCATCTATCTGGAATGATATAATGTACATGTATATCTAGAAAACATAGACAACTACTTTTCCTTTTTTCTCTTTTCTTTCTTTGTATATATCAAGCAATGGCAGATCAAACAAAGCCAAAAGATAAAAAGAAAGCAGAAACAGTCTCTATTTGGAGATTATTTCAATTTGCTACTAAGCTTGATCGATTGCTTATATTTGCAGCTATGATATGTTCATGTGCAAGTGGTGTTATACAGCCTGTCTCTATCTTGTTTTTTGGTAATGTGCTTAAGAACCTCAGTGATGCTATTGCAAATAATGAGAATCTGATGGACAAGGTGCTTCCTATCATTTTACTTTATGTCTATATGGGTGTAGGTGTTTTGGCAGCTGCTTATATCTCAAGTTGTTTATGGATCTTGACGGGGGAGAACCAGACACGCCGTATTCGACAGTCTTATGTCCATTCGATTTTGCGACAAGAGATGGGCTGGTTTGATAAAGCAGAAGAAGGCTCATTGACAACTCGTTTAGCAGCTGATATTCAGTTAATTCAAGACGGCATCTCTGAGAAATTCGGTCAGTTTCTGATGTGTTTTGCACAGTTTGTAGCAGGTTGCGCTGTTGCCTTTAGTAAGGGATGGCGATTGGCAGCTGTAATGATTGCAGTAACTCCCGCTCTTGCATGTACAGGTGGTGTGATGGGTATCTTGGTCACTAAATTCACAGTGGAGACACAAAATGCCTATGCAGATGCAGGGTCTATTTCTGAACAAGTTTTTGCTGGTATTCGTACCGTTTATTCGTTTTCATTGCAAGAGAGGTTCGCTAAACGTTATGATGACAAACTGGAAAATGCCATGCGTGCCGGAATGAAGCGCGGCATCATACTCGGAATAGGACTCGGTGTCTTTATGTTTTGTTTGTTTGCCATGTATGGTCTGTCTTTTTGGTATGGATCTGGTCTAGTAAGACAGCATACACTAGATGGAGCTACTGTCTTGGTTGTGTTTTTGTCGATGATGATGGGTGAATTTTCATTAATGCAACTGCCTACAAATTTGGCTGCTGTTTCTTCTGCTTCTGCTGCTGCCTACAAGATTTTTGAAACCATTCAACGAGTACCTGATATTGATTCAGATGACCAGAAAGGAAAGGTGCCAAAAGAAATACGCGGTGAAATCATCTTTAATCATGTCAAATTCAAGTATCCTACTCGTCCTGATACACTCATTCTCAAAGACCTCAGTCTCAAGGTCAAACCAGGCATGACAGTGGCTTTTGTTGGTCCTTCTGGATCGGGTAAATCCACCAGTGTGCAACTGTTGCAGCGGTTTTATGATCCCCTCTCAGGCCAAGTGTCTCTGGATGGTCACGATCTCAAGGAGTTGAATGTCAAGTGGCTTCGTCAACAAATAGGTGTTGTAAGTCAAGAACCTGTCTTGTTCAATATGAGTATTCGTCAGAATCTGATGATGGGAAGCACGCATCCAAACATTACGTTTGAAGACATCACTGCTGCCTGTAAAAAAGCAAATTGTCATAGCTTTATAAAGCAACTACCTCAAGGATACGACACATTAGTAGGAGAGCATGGCGGTATGCTATCGGGTGGGCAAAAACAGCGCATTGCTATTGCCCGAGCCATTTTGAAAAATCCAGCCATCTTGTTATTAGATGAGGTAAGTGCAACAAACATAAAATTACCTTTATTCATCTATTGGTCTCGTAGGCTACCTCTGCTCTTGACACGCAGTCTGAAAGACTTGTACAAAAAGCGCTTGATGAAGCCTCTACAAATCGTACTACTATTGTTATTGCTCATCGTCTTTCTACTGTTCGTAATGCTGATTTAATTGTTGTTATGGAGCAAGGTAACCTCATTGAACAAGGAACACATAGCGAATTATTGGCCAAGAGGGGGGTCTATGCTCAACTAGTCAAGAAGCAAGAAATCCAGACATCAAATGAAGAAGACACAGATCATGAAACATTATTGAGGAATGAAGCAATTGATGTCAACAGAAGAAGTTGCATTGAATTGCAGCAGCGTGGCTCTAGTCCCTCCACTGTCATCAGTATGGGAAGAAAGAGTCGCTATTCAGCAGTGGATGGTTATGAAGAGAAGCGACAAAGAGAAAAGCAAGAAAAAAAGGGTCGCAAAAAAATGAAGGCACCTGTCTGGAGAGTTTTGAGGCAGATGCGTCCTCAATGGGGATGGATGTCTCTTGGTTGCGTTGGTGCTGCTATGGCCGGTTCCGTGTTTCCTATGTATTCCTTGTTTTTCTCCAAAGTAATCACGCTCTTGAATGAAAATGATGACAAGAGTTATGGTCCCTTGGAAGGCCCAAACCTGTATTCTTTCTTGTTCGTTATCTTGGGTATTTGTGCTTTCTTTGGATTCTCTTTACAGGTAGTGTGTTTTGAAATTGCTGGTGCAAAGTATACACGCAAGCTGAGAAGTATGTTGTTTACTGCTTTTATGAAGCAAGAAATTGGATACTTTGATCGTGACGAAAATAGCGTGGGCTCATTGACTTCTAAGCTGGCTGTGGATGCAAAGAATGTCAATGAAATGATTACTCGAGTATGGGCTGATCTTATTCAAATCCTCTGTACTTCTGTTTTAGGTAAGAAATCATTATCATTGATGTGTGTTGTTGACTAGTCATTATAGGATTAACCATTGCTTTTGCACAGAGCTGGAAGCTAACTTTGATTATCATGTGTATGGCGCCATTGATTATTGCTGCTGCAGGCTGGAATTCTAAGGTGCAAGAAGGATTCGAAGGCAATACAAAAGATGCTAATGAAAAATCTGCTGAAGTTGCTAATGAAGCTATCAAGCAAATACGTACAGTCACTGCCCTTAACAAACAAAGCTATTTTGAAGATAAATACTATCAGGCAACCGATAGACCTCATCGACTTGCTCGCCGTAAAGCATTTACATCATCTATTGGTTTTGCGTTGCTTCAAGCCATACCTTTATTTACAAATGCAGTTGCTTTCTATGCCGGAGCAAAGCTTATTATGCAGCAACAACTAAGTCTGAATGGGATGGTGATGACCATGATGTCTATTATGATTATGGCTGATGGTGTTGGTAGAAGTAGTGTGTTTATTCCGATCTTTGTGAAGGCCAAGATTGCCGCTATCACTGCCTTTGAAATCATTGATCGTCAACCTAGTATTGATCCTGACTTGGAAGGTATCGAGTTTGAACATGATGATATTGATGGTGCTATTAGCTTTGATAATGTGGCCTTCCGGTACCCTGCAAGACCTGATATTCCTATTTTTGATGGCGAATTCAACTTAAAAGGCAAATCAGGACAAACAATTGCCCTTGTGGGTCCTTCTGGATGTGGTAAATCAACCACCATTGGCATGCTTCAAAGATGGTATGACCCTCTCAAGGGCACTGTGCGACTCGATAACCACAACGTCAAGGCATTTTCACTCCATAATCTTCGAAAGAAAATGGCTCTTGTAGGTCAAGAACCCATCTTGTTTGATCTTTCTATTGCCGAAAACATTCGGTTTGGTGTAGACCAAGATAAGAAAGTTGGCCAACATGAAGTAGAGGAAGCATGTAAAGCAGCCAATATTCATAAATTTATCACAAGTCTGCCTGATGGATATCAAACGCGCGTAGGCGATAAAGGATCTCAATTATCGGGTGGACAAAAGCAACGTATTGCTATTGCGCGTGCCTTGATTCGTAAACCAAAGCTACTTTTGCTGGATGAAGCTACCTCAGCTTTAGATAGTGAAAGTGAAAAGCTAGTACAGCAAGCATTAGACAGCATCCTTGAAGAAGGAGGTCGTACAACCATCACCATTGCACATAGGCTATCTACTATCACAAACGCAGACTTGATTTGTGTCATTAAAGGAGGCCGTGTCATTGAGCAAGGAAACCACTGGAGCCTACTTAAACTTAATGGCGTCTACAGTGACCTGGTAAGACAACAATCACTAAACGCTTCCTAAGGACTTAGGTGTGACAAAAAAATACCTATTAAAAAGCCGTTTTCTTTGTACTTAATAAACTTGCCTTTCCTAATACTAATGAAATGAGTCGCCACTTTCAAAGCACAGACTTTAGTGAGCCTTATTCTTCAGTGTCATTTCAATACAAACAGCAAACTTCGCCTTACCCGTATAGTCAGCACGAAAACATATTCCCCAAGAAACAGCAAATTGCGAGATGGTATCGACTTCATCAAAAGACTATTCTTTTACTGTCCATGTTTCTACTGTTTGTACTTTACTGTTTACGAGGAACAGTTTCTGTATATTGGACATTTGTGAAGATCAAGATGGACAATACCATGTTTGATCGTGGCTATGTTGCTTGTGGTTTACTCAGAAAAGAACCCATGTTATTTATACAAGATACTCAGCATGTTCAAGTTATTTGGGAAATGAATTGTGGCATGTCAAACAAAGAAATGGCCATCACTTATTGGCATCAAGACAATGAAGCCGAGAAAACTGTCATTGGCTCTCTTGAGCCCAAAACGTTGGATGCTTATCATACAGTTTACAAAGCCACATTAGGTCCTCTTGTTCAGGGCGGATCGATTCACTATACAATTGATATGATCAAGCAAAACAAGCTCAAGAAAAGACTTGCAGGTTACACATTTGAATGGTTTATTGATAGGGATCAACAGCCTATCCGCATTGCTGCTATCGCCGATAACCAGTTTGGCATGATGACCTTTTCATCTATCTTACGACAGATACGAAAACTACCTCAAAAGCCTCACTTTTTATTACATGCGGGTGATGCAGTTCAAAACTACCCTTCTTTACGTCAATGGCAAACAGACTTTGCTGCTCCATTGACAGCACACGGACTTGTTCAGACAATGCCTTTGATCTATGCTCATGGAAATCATGACTATGACACTGTAGGCGATTATACCTATAGTCGGTCTGCAAATTCAGATACTCCTTGGTTTGCTTTTTCCATGGCCAACAATGCAATTCGATTTATTGTATTAGATAGCAATCTCGATTGGGACTCACAAGATGAATGGCTTCGACAAGAGATTAAGACAGACGAATTCAAGCGGGCACAGTTTCGTATTGTCGTCGTCCACGTACCGCCCTTTTTGGAATATTGGGATCCAGAAGCTTGGTTTCAGTTAGGTCAAAGTGAATGGGGCGCATTTATCAAGGATCGTTACGTACCGCTGTTTGAAGAAGGCGGCGTTGATCTAGTAATTTCAGGCCATCAGCACAATTACGAAAGAGGGGAACGCCATGGTGTTCATTATGCAATTATTGGTGGTGCTGGTGGTGACTTAGATTTTGAACAAGTTAAAGATTGGGGCATGTATGAAGCTAAATTATTGGATTTTCATTTTGTGATGCTTGAATTCAGGCCTTCTGAAGTACCCAATGAACCATGGGTATTACAATGGGACACTTATGATATAAAGGGACAAAAAGTAGATACAGCTTTAATTGCTGCTCGTCCTAAAACAGTTGATTTTTAATGTAGATAGAAACGAGGGAAGAAAGAGAAAAAAAAGTATTATACCAAGTAATAAAGCTATTTATATGTTTACAGAATTTAGAAAAGACCAACAACTTGGCCATTCTCATCCAAGTCAACATCAAAGAAACAAGGACGAGTGGGCAAACCAGGCTATAGAAAAGAATGAGCATATATTATATCATAAGTCTATCACTTACCATAGTCTGCATGGCACCAACCAAAGGATAGAGGAAGCCAGCACCAACAGAAGCACGGATATCACGAATAGGAACAGTAAAACCAGTAGGGACACCCTTAAGGTTAGCATCATGACTGAAACTGTATTGTGTCTTGGCCATACAAATAGGTAGAGAGCCAAAGCCTTGACGGGTATAAGTCTCGATCTTTTCCTTTGCCAAATCACTGTATTCAACACCATCAGCACCGTAAATTTCACGACAGATAGACTCAATCTTCTTTTCAATAGGCAAGTCAAGATCATAAAGGAACTTGAAATCGCTAGGTTGTTCACAGGCCTTGATAACAGCCTTACCAAGATCAATGGCACCAGCGCCACCACGAGCCCAATGATCACAAGCAACAGCATCAAAAGCGCCGGCTTCTAAGGAGATCTTGCGAACAAGTTCCATTTCAGCATCAGTATCATTGCTATTTTTTTTTTTAGTTAGCGTTTGCTATGATATTTGACGGTCAAACTTACGTGAAACGGTTAACGGCAACGACAACAGGGACGCCAAACTTCTTTGCGTTTTGAATGTGCTTGGCCAAGTTGCAACAGCCCTTTTCCAAGAGTTCTAAGTTTTCTTGGCTATAAACTTCGGGCAAAGGCTTGCCGGCAACTACTTCGGGACCATCGCCATGTGTCTTAAGAGCTCTGACAGTAGCGACAATGATAACAGCATTAGGTTGCAAACCAGAGACACGGCACTTAATATCAAAGAACTTTTCCATACCCATGTCAGCACCAAAACCAGCTTCAGTAATAACATAACCAGGCTCCATATCAGCACCATCAGAACCAGCCAATTTAAGAGCAATCTTATCAGCCAAAATAGAAGAGTTACCATGAGCAATGTTGGCAAAAGGACCACTATAGAAAAGTGTAAACAAGTGAGATGGTTTATAGGCATAAATAACTTACGCATGGACAATAGTAGGTGTGCCTTCAAGAGTTTGCATCAAATTAGGCTTAATGGCATCCTTCATCAAGACAGTCAAAGCACCACCAATACCGAAATCATCAGCAGTAATAGGTTCTCCACTCTTAGAAGAAGCAACAACCATTTTGCCTAAGCGTTCACGCATATCCTTTAAATCAGTGGCCAAAGCAAGAACAGCCATGACTTCACTGGCAACAGTAATATCAAAACCAGTTTGACGTTCCATACCCTTTTCAGTGGGAGCTTGACCAATCGTGATCTTTCTCAAGAAACGGTCATTGATATCAACACCACGTTGCCAGGTGATGGTGGCAGGATCAATATCCAAGCGAACAAAGCGAGCAATCTCTTCTTCTGTCAAATCGTCGGGGTTTGTCTTATTGATACCCAACTTTTCAAGACGCTTCAACATGACAGGAGCAAAAGAACGAACGCCCTTCTTGGCAGGACAAAGGCGGTTAAAGAGGGCTTTGTTGGATTGAGTGTTTTCATGGAAAATACGGGCATCGATAGCAGCAGCCAACAAGTTGTTGGCAGCAGTGACAGCATGCAAATCACCAGTCATGTGCAAATTGAATTCATCCATGGGGATAACTTGAGAATAACCACCACCAGCAGCACCACCCTTGATACCAAAAGTAGGACCTTGAGAAGGTTGACGAACACAAGCAAAAGCAGCCTTGTTTAAATGAGCACCAAGGGCTTGAACAAGACCAATGGTCGTGGTTGATTTACCTTCACCAAGAGGTGTGGGTGTAATACTAAAGTACAAATATCAGTATGTGAAAAATGTTCCTATATATATTTTTTTTACCCAGTAACGACAATGTAACGACCATCCTTACGATGCTTGAGTCTGTCCAATACATCCAAACCAATCTTGGCCTTGGCAGTACCATACAATTCATACTAATAAAAAATAAGGCGGTTTAGTCGAAAACCTTATTTTAAGTTCATCCTTTTTTTTTTTTTTTTTTACCTCGCTGCTAACCAAACCGATTTCTCTACAGAGTTCATCAATATGCTTGGGGGTTTGAGCTTTGGCAATCTCAATATCAGAAGGAACAGGTGTCTTCAAGTCAAGTTCAAGAGCAGAAATATCGCGTTTACGACTCAAAGTTAAGAATCTTTCAGCACTAATAGCAGTGTTTTCCATCAACATGGCGACAGTCATAGGACCAACACCTCCAGGAACAGGAGTGATATGAGAAGCAACTTCCTTTGCCTTGTCATATTCAACATCGCCTACCCAACGAATACCTGACTTTTTGGTAGCGTCTAAAGAAGGAAAAATAGTTGGAAAAAAGGAATTTGTACTACCTTTTACCTTCAACAGCGTTAGTGCCGACATCAATGACAACAGCTCCAGGCTTGATCCAATCACCCTTAACTAATTCAGTCTTGCCTGCAGCAGCAACAACGATATCAGCGTTCTTGATCTATAGGATGTGAATACACAAGTGTTGAGCAGAAGCGCACTTACAATGCTTTGAATATCAGGTGTCTTTGAGTGACAAAGAGTAACCGTGGCGTGTTCAGCAGTCAACAAAGTAGCGACAGGGGCACCAACAATGTCACTACGACCAACAACAGCAGCTTGCTTACCAGCGATTTCAATACCAGTAGACTTCAATAAATGGATAATACCCTTTGGTGTACAGGGTAAAAACATAGGTTCACCATTCCTCTTGGCCATATTACCAATATTGACTGCATGAAAGCTTTTTTTATATAATGGTTAAAATGTTTTCCATCTTCTCACAAAGCATGAATTTACTTACCCATCTACATCTTTTTGATAATCGATGGCTTCAATGACAGCAGCTTCATCAATGTGTCCAGGCAAGGGCATTTGAACAAGAATACCATGAATGCGATAATCATTATTGAGCTGTTGGACTTTTCTTAGAAGTTCGGATTGAGAAATGCTTTCAGGCAACTTTTCCATAGTGATAGAGATCCCAGTCTATAATGCAAACGTTATTTCATTGCTCAAAGAAAACAGGAAAACTATCTACCTCTTTGGCAGCCTTGTCTTTCATCTTGACATAGATAGAGGAATCTTCCCGGTTACCGACTTGGATCATAGCCAAGTGAGGATTGAAATGAGGATATTTATCTTTAATAGAAGTAATCTTATCCTTTACTTGGTTGCGAACAGCTCTATAGGTTAATAGATAAACAACATGAATGTAAATAGTATCTGATATTTACTGTGCAATAGCCTTTCCATCAATAACAGTAGCGGGCATTTGTTGATAAGAACGTTTAAAGAAAAGAAGTGAAGAAGAAGAAGAAAGAAGACGAGAACGCGAAAGGGCTGACAGCATTTTTCTCACTAAAAAAATAAACAAGTGTGTATGTGTGACAACTGATGATACAGTATTTCTACTTCAAATTCAGACGAATCAAAATTATTTTTCAGATGTTTAGCTTACCTTTTTTGGATGAAGTAAAATGAAAATTAGCTGTAAGACATGTTTTAAAATAAGATGAATTGCTCATCTAATTGTGGATGCTCAAGATAACAATTTCGTTTTTTGATGGTTTTTTTTAAATTACTGAAACAAAATGCTTATACAGTATATTTTCAAGAGCTTTTTTGTAGCAAACAACAAGTGAAGAATGGTTGATATATAGTTCAGTGCTATACATGCAGTGTCATATACACTTGCAATACAGGATTTTAGTCTGATTCGACATGTCAACGCTGTTAAGAATATTTATGATATTTTTATTTCTGCTGTCCAAAAAAAAAATAACGCTCTCGTGCCTATCCTAATGGGCATTATAAAAAACCTCTTTATACAACCGTACGTGTACATTCAGTTATTACTGACTTGTTCAGAAAACAGTTGATTCTATATACATATTTCATAATTTAAGACAACTTTATTGAATTGTTAGTAATACATCATCGATTTGGGATATTCAAAAGATAATACATACTTAAGAGTGTGCTTTATATGTGATGTTGTGACCTTACATAAGTTATAAAAAGTTTTTTCGAGAGAAAAGAATGTATATTTAACATGTCACATCAAAGCTCATATTTACTATATTCTGATTTGGTGGCAATGAATAAAATAACCAAAAAATCCATTTTTTTCATTTCTTTCAATTATATACTATATAGTGTAATAGCTTTCTTCTAGCCAATACTATCTATTATGAAAAGAAGTGGAAAACAGTCTGATAATGGTCGTGGAATCAATACTGGTAAAGTCGAATATTATAGTAAATAGATGAAATCCCATTGACCACACTTTTTCTGATACAACAGAAGAAACCGAACAAGAAGTTACTGAAGATAATTGAGATGAAGATTTCCAACCGATTATGTATAGAAAAAGAACTAGTACGTCTTATTACATGATCTTTATGTACAGGTCTAATCTAACTTTTCATATACGTAAAGAAAACACGCCGTATAGTTCTGAAAATAAAAAGGCTAAACTAAATAATGTGGTCCATACCTCTTCTAATACAAGTGCTACTGCTAGCTCAAGCTCCATAATAATCAACCTCAGCTCTTCAGCAGTCAAACCAAGCTCTTCAGTAGTTGAATCAAGCTCTTTAGTTGCTGAATCAAGCTCCTCCAATTCAAATGTTGCCAATTCAAGCTCCCCAGTTTCTGAACAAATTAAACAAGTGATCACTATTCAAAATATTTGGAATCAGGATCATGTACGACCTTTATACGATTTAGTCGACAATGTCAATATACTAGTTTTACATACTTATAGTTTCTCAAAATACATATTTTTGGAGGAGCTAAAGAATAGCATTGACTTCAGCTTGGCAGATTTTGTAACAAAGGAGTTTTTCGTAGAGGTGTTTCTGGCTCTGATCATTCGTCGTAATGTTCCTGGAAAGGTAAAAGATAGAACCGCTATCTATCGTGAATTGATATCTCGTCACAAATCATCGTATTTTGAAGATGCTCAATATACTCCGTTTGAGATAAAGTACGCGCAACAGCTCGCATTGTACGAATGTACTAAAATTAATACGGCTTACCACAATAATATCAAGGCACATTTTGGTAACAGATTGCGTATGTTATTGAACATGCTTTCTAAAAAAGAAGAAAAGTTACTCAGTCTCGATCATCGTATGAAAGCTGTAAATGCCACGAAACAAGCTATAAAAGAAGCCCGCCGAAAAGAAGTATTTGAACCCTTTAACAAAATGAAATTCGCTGTATCAAAAAAAGAAATTCCTTCTTCGGACGTCCTGGATGAAAAAGCATTATCATCTGTAAGGGACTTACTATCAACTTACCCAAACAACTACAAATTCGAAAAGAATTCTATCTATTATGATGTTAAAGCTCACCCAGAGAAGCATTTCAATGCTTTCTACAAGATTGCTAAACTTCTGGAAACTGAAGCAGCTAAAACATTTAATTGTTTTCCAATCAAAACATCGTTTATACCATCCTACATTACTCTGGATTCCAAAATAGTTCATCATCACATACTGAAGCAGAAAACTTCCTTCAAGGCGGAACAAAAGTTTGAGATTTGGAGCAACGTCGTTAATTTAAACAAGAAATCATTCAAACCTCAAGGACTTAATAAATCTCTACGATTTCAGGGTACCATTGAAACTGATGGTATTTGTGCTTCGGTGTTAAAACAGAATATCACCACGGGTAAAAAGCAGCCAAGAATGAATAATAAGAAGACAGATACTATCGACGAGGAGTATGTCGAAAATATACTACCTGCTACACTGAAGGAAAACCAAGGCAAATACGTTTTAATTGACCCTGGAAGACGAGACCTTATGTTTTGCATGCAAGAGTCAAGTACGAAGGAGAAGCCCCAAATTCTAAAATATACAAAAATCACTAGAAATAAGCTGACTAGACATAACAAAATATTAAGCAAACAAAATACGCCAGAGTCAGTAAAAATCGCCCAACTCATTTTGTCTAAAACCGTATCTTCTTCAGTAGACATTACAAAATTTAGGGATTACATCAAAACCAGAGCCTCTGTCACACATGTATTAACGAGATATTATGGAAATGAAACAATGACGATCAATGAATCATATTTCCCTGGATCTGTCACGGAATTCTCAATACGACGAGGATGTTTATACTATGGAGATTTGTTTGTTATAAATTTTCGAGGATATTATCCGCAACCGAAAGACACTACTAGCACCACTACTGATTTGAATTTGTATGCGACTTATTTGGAAATCATGTTAAAACAAAAGCACATCGCACAGCGTCTGACTGCAACAACAAAAAACTCACTAAATGCACTGATTAGTAACATGTCCTTAAGTAATGAAGATAATGGGTTAAAACACAAAGCAAGCACACAATTAGAAAAGTTGCGACTGTTACCTTTCAGAAAGATAAAATTCAACAGCAAGCTCTATCACGATCAAAATGATGCCAATTTGGTTCAACGGCTAAAGCTAAAGTTTGGGAAAAACTCGATTTTAGTGATAGGTAATTGGTCTGCTCCGAATACGAAATTCCAGGAGCCCACAAGAAGTAAAGGCCTAATCAAAATGTTGAAGAAGGCAGGATTTACTGTTCTTTTAATCGACGAGTTTAAAACGTCCTCATATTGCCCTACTTGCGAAAGCGAACTGGAGACATTCAAGACTGTTGTCAACCCTCGCCCATACAAAAGAGCCGATGCACCAACTGTTGAATGTCACGGTTTATTAAGGTAGACGATAATAATAATTGTAGAATGGAGCTATTAATGACTATAACCACTGGATTATTAGATGTCAAAATCTTAAATGTCTTGATAACGGCGAAAAACAAAGAAGAAAACTCTGGAACCGGGACTTGGCCGCAGTGCTGAACTTTAAGAAGATAGTTGAAAGCTTACGAGAAACTGGTCGAAGACCAGCAATATTTTGCAGAAAAAACACCGAAACTATCCACCAAGGTTAACGCTTTGGTTATTTAATGCAGGTACCTACTTTTGAATTTAACATAACAATCGTTTTCCGTAACTAAATTTTCATTTGTCTAAATTTCCATTTTACTTCATCCAAAAAAGGTAAGCTAAACATCTGAAAAATAATTTTGATTCGTCCAAAAAAAAATTAACATCGTCTGAATTTGAAGTAGAAATACTGTAGTCTGAGCAAAAGTACACAAGAAGCGCTTTCAAGAGGCGAAATAAAAAAAAAGAGATCTTTATTGTAGTTTTATTGAATACTTGATTGGTTAATCGCTCGAGACAAAAATGTCGCACGTTTAAAAAGGAGATCATCTCTTGCTCACACTCGAAAAAAAATTGTCAGTCTCGGTTGATTTTCTTCAAACCCAGGGAAGCTATTTATCTTCTTGAATTGGCTCCGTTTACATTTGTTTCTTGTCCTGTATGAATGATGGTTGCATCTGTTTCTGAGGAATCATGAATATTCACCAATATATGTGCATCTTGGGTATATTGAGGGGTATCTTCAAAAGGATTTTCAGTTGGTCTTTGCATTTGCTCAGCTCTCTGTCTTTGTATGTCTTGAGCAAATAGTTGCTGTAACAAGGCAGGCTTCATTTGTTGGAGTTGACTTGCTGACAGTGCTTGGTTTAATTCACGTTGCTGTTGGTTGTGTTCCAGTCGATGTTGCTCGGACAAGATATCTTTTTTTGCTCGCATCTTCATTCTTTTTAGCCAACAAACATAAGTCAACAAGACGACAATGATTGCTATTAAAGAGAAAATGACAATGAATAAGGACTCGTTTGTGTTTGGCATAATATGAAGAAGAAAAAGAGAACAAGACAATAAACTTTTGCTTTTAAATTAATTAGTTTGTACGACGTCTTTTAACCCAAAAGAAGCCATTTATCATGTGGAATTATCAAGGACAATAAAGAGAAGACAATAGTTCTCTAATTTGAACGGCGTGTAACTGTTTCGAGACAAGAGAGCACTGATCAAGGTCCCTTTGTTAATAAGGTCATTGTAGTGCATTAATGGCACTTTTCCTAATTAAGAGTAATGCATAAATGGGAAGTACCTGAAATGTGTTTATTTTGTCAGACATGCAATTTGCATTATTAATTTCTTTATCATATGCGTTGGATTTTCTATCTCCAAATTTGACAAACGTTTGTATATTAATCTTAATGAACGTATAAATCATAAGCATTTTGATGGACATGACAGCCAAACAAATGAGACAGGGAAAGAGGCTCTTCATATGATAAATGAGTTTTTCTCGAGACAAGGTATTATTCATGTTATGAAATCGATCAAAAACATGGTATCTTTTTAGATTGGATATATTTAAAGTTTCAGAGCTTTGAATTTTATTGATGAACAAAAAAGCAGCATGATACTTCGTTCTTGAGACTGTGCCTTTTACGAGGGAAAGATGATTTTTGTCTCAATGAAAATTCCTTGCCTCTAAACATTGGTAGGTACTATCCTTCAATCCTTGTTGCTTTGCGAATCTTGCTAATATTTTTGACTCTCTAGCTTCAGCTGTATTATCTGTTTAGTTTCTACTAATGCATCTACCATATAGTCTCTCTAAATTTGTTCGTTTTGAGTATCAGAGCATCAAAGCCTCATACAAAACGCTTGTATCGGGGATTGACAATGAGAAAAATGAAAGCAATTTGTTTCCTCGTGAGCATCAAAAATACAAGCTTTTTTTTTCTGTGGCCAGGCATCTTTCTAGATCTAGTCTCTGATGCACTTGCATCTTTCAATTTTTCTCGGATTCGGTCTCAAACCAATTGTCCTCTTTCAGTAGCCATGGTAACCTTGATCGGTCTCTCTGAAATCTGGAAGGCCCATTGGACCCATACCATGCAGAACCAACCATTCCATTATCTCTCTGTTCTTCATAGCACTCGCTATCAAATTAAGCGTATAGCTGCTGAAAATGACTTTTCATCTTGAGAGGTCTTTTCTCGCAATAGCTGCTCTTCTTTCTTTTTATATTTTTCTACTTTCTTACCATCGTACCAATTTTGTTTTTCTTTATATTCTCTTACAATAAATGATTGTCGAGCACCTCTTTTAGTGGGTCCCTCCCAAGACAACTAATACGTGCGGCAAATAAAATCGTTAAAAAAATTCAAGCTTTTGGCTAAAACTGCATAAAGACACAGGTATTCGGCTTTAATCTGGTGACAGAAGTTGTATATCTTTGCATTTTGAGTTATTTAATGTAAAGTGCACAACAGGTTTACTGCCAAAATATTGATTAGATATGTAAAAATGTCTTTCAGGTTTTTCGCTTATATCCTACCATCTTCATAGTATAATTAGCAAATAAATATATTAACAAAAAGCTAGAGCCTCCAACGCACATTTTGAGTATTTAACCTTATCGATAGCTCTATTTTTCGTCTTGCAGTGCTGAGAGGAAGATCAGAAGTTGTCAAAAAAAATCTTTTTTGTTAGTGTTTTATTTATTGCTCCACATAGACGAATGTGAACCACTGTCAAGAGGTGGGCGCAAATTAAAATGTTATAAAGTAAAATAAAAGAATTGTAGAAATAGAAGAGATTAAGTATGAGCTAGATGAGTTGAGTTATTTAGCTTCTTATCCGTTAGAGTCTTGAGTTTATGTGTTTCTCTGCTACTTGTAGTTGCAGATTAACATGGGTTTGTTGCAGTAGCCTTTGAGGATCAAAGGATACATTATCAAAGATAGATCTCCAGTGAGCCTTCCAAATTTTCGTTAATGCAGTAAACACCACGTCTTGTATAGTGAGATTGTTATTTTGACAGTATTTAGTAGGATGGAAGTCCAATGATTGCACTGCCATAATTATACCATCGATAGTAAAAGTTGACCACAGGAACTTAAAAATCAGTTCACGCCAAAAGAAATCCTTGGACAAACACATAAACAGCAAATGGTTATCATCTTCGGAACGGAATGAACAAATCAAACATATCGAAGGCCGAAAAGTATCTTAAATAAAGCGATTTAGGCGGATTTGGGTGAGCAATTTATGTAAAATAAATCGATAAACCACATTTCTTGTTACAGAGAGCAACGACATGGTCCAGAATTCAGGCCAGAACTGTGAAGACCGAGCTTGAAAAATTGAAAGGACAGGTTGAAACTCAAGGTAGTTTAAACGGCATGCCTTTGCCAATATGGACTTGATTGAATTGAAATTGTCAGGTAAATCAAGACAATTCACCAAAGACTGGAATGTAAGCATAGCAGTGTATGGGGAAGTACTACCCAAGTGCGACGGAGCTTCTAAATAAGCAGCAAAGAAGGGAAATGGTTTCACCTTATGTCTTTAGACAGCTTGGATTAATTTTTGTTGAGGGCCCATCAGTTCTTCAGGGATATCAGTTGCTGGTTTCCATTCAATGACTTGTGTAGAAAGATTGAACGACATGAGACTACCAACAAGAAGATGACGACTAGCAATCGGGAGATATGAACGATTTGGGACAACTGAGTGCATGACAGCAATAAAAGGCAGGAGTAAGCAAGCCGCAGGATTTAGCTGCATCGTATCGAAATTACGAGGAATTCGATCCAAAGAAGAATACAAGAGATGAATAGTGGATGTTCTTGCTTTAGGAGCAGAGGCAAACTTTTTGAATCTCTTAGTGTTCGGAAACAGCAAAGGAATCTGAACATGCGTCGCCCCAATTGCGTACTGTAAATGAATCTTCAAAAGTTTTTTCCAGTATACTTCAGTTGAATCTAGTAGTAGAGGCACTACTCATCGAAAATATAGTGCATCTCTTTGCAAAACTAGATATAGCACTCCTAGTCCACTAACGTCTTTTGTCTATGTACAAGTACTCCAAGCAATCTTTGGAAAAATATTCTTGTTCATGAAACGGCTTGCTAAGGACTGGATACAAGAGAGTTCTGTCTTGGTAAAAGGAACCACACAAAAAAAGGTACCAACATTTGGAGAACACCAGAGTATTGATTACTGTTGCTCATCCCAATACCGACAGATTGCGTACAGAGTGCATATTGAAGTGTTGATCTAGTTGGGCCAGTAGATCAGCAAAAAAGGTGGCTCTTTGCTCTAGAGATTGTAACAAAGGAAAGCCAAGGTGGATTGTTGGTTGACTGTTCTCAGTTGACGTTATTCATTCAATCTGAAGTGGCAACAGGTGTCTAGACCAAAATCGAAACGGATCTCTTCCTAATAGCGATACTGCTTCAACCTTGTTATAATTGATCAACGCATTAGAAGTCCAACAATAGATCTTGATACGCTTTTGCACTCAAACCAGACCATCAGGATCATGAACAAACACGATAGTATCGTCCGCATAGCATAGTATCTTTGTAGACACCCTAGTTGACCATATGGACGTTGATGGAAGAAAAGCTGGAGCTAATTGCAACGTGTATCCTTTCATCAACTCATCTTCAAGAACAGGCCTTAGAAAGGGATCAAAAGCCAGGTTGTACAATACTGGTGAAATAGGGTCGCCTTGCTTGAGTCCTCTTTTCTTGTGAACCACTCGAGTGAAGTATTCATTAACATTGATCTTGATTGAGTTATTGGAAAGAGAATTGAAAATTGTTATTACTATATTTTCAGGGAATCCAAACTTCAAAAGTATGTGTTTTAGATAGTTTACATTGACTCTGTTGTAAGCCTTACAATGCGCGCATCAGCTGGGTAACTGGGAAAGCCTTTAATAAAGGTACCGTTAACCAAATACACTCCTTCATTCAAGATTGTTTGGCGACCCAAACCATCTTTTCTCCAAACAGTTTCCTAAACGAACGGCTGAGATATTTGCGGATCACAGGTACGCGGCCACAATAATCTTCATAGCCACCGTTCTCGTCCATATTCTTGTTAAAATCAAGAAGGACATCAAACGAGAGCTCTTCATCTTTGATATCCGTAGTATCGATAAGAAAACTGTCTTTCTCAATGCCTTTTATAAAAGGTTAAACAAGTTAACAGGTGTTGGTTGAGCAGAGTCGGACAAGGGTGACTCACTGATGGTATATGAGTCTGTAAACGATGCAGATGGAGTGAAGACAATTGGTCAAAAGGACGAGTTGGTACTTGCCTAACCTGACACTACTTTTTCCCAAGAGAGAGAGAGATGTTGTTATTATTGTTCTTCTTGCCTGAGCTGGAAGCTTTGGCCTGAAGGTTACGATTCGGAGAGTTAAGCGGAAGAGCCATGAGAAGTTGTCAAATTAAAGATTTTCATGAATAGTACCCTTTGGTCAAAAGGCATATTTTGGCCATTCTGGAGATGTCGCTTTTTTGGTCCAAATTAACTCCAAAGGCACCTGATATGTCAGTGAACATAGTTTGTATTTATTTGGAATACCAATGCCTGTGCAAGCAGGCGTTATGCTACCTTTGTGTGGTCATGCAATTTTGCGTATTCGTCTGCTTTTTTATGATTTCAATCTCGTCATTGATCAAGTCAATACATCAAAAGGATTCTCATATAAGTCTGATAAAGAAGATATATCTATTTTAACAGTTACAGTGTCTTTCACATGATTTAATGAAATAAATGGCACACCATTTTGAGAAACCTTCGAGTTATGAATACAATTTTTTTTCGACCTGCTGGGTATCTCTTAATCGCCATTGAAAATATCAGAGTATCTGGATAGCAAGAAGAGTTTAAAGACAGGTTGCCAAATACAAAAATGACAACTAGAACAAGCAACATCAAATTAAAAAAGGAACTTATTACTGAACTTAAGAAGTGAAAGACAGATACTCACCAAGTTATCGCCTCCATTTATAGGTACTCAGATAATACCAGAATAAAAGCATCCATCCTAACAAAGGACCTATTGCTTACCGGTCATCAATCCAGAACTTCTTCAACTTCAAACACAATCAACCCAATACCTGTACCAGCAGATCATAAATTGGAAATATGGGATATTGATGTGGCCATTCGGCATATCAAGACCAACCTGAGCAATAACCAAACCATCACATTCACAAGCCTTCAATAAAAGACAATTATTCTACTATGCATGGCTAGGTTAAGATCAGACATAGGCGCAAACTGCTCTTGCTAGTCTGATTGATATGGGATAAATGACATTATTAAGTCGATACTGCTTAATGAATTGAAATCGTCTCAGCCCAGGGGATCTTAATGGCTTTTCAAGTCTCATATCAGTTTAATCTCCTCTCAGTGTTGCACTTGTTTTTCTTAAGCCTGTTCAACTTAAAATCGTCTTACTGAAAATTTTGCCGTCCCACTAGAAAAATTATGTCCAATCAGCTTCAAGATCGAATTTTTTTTAGCTCAACATCAAAAACGAAAAACTTGATATTCCTTCTCTTTCTCAAAACCTTTAAAAAAAAGGATATATAGACGAGTATGTATAATTTTAGTAATAGAAATAGAGCATGCTCCTTTCTTTACTTCTATTTACATTTCTATAAAACTTGATACTTATCTTTCCTCTCCTTTTTCTTATGTATTATAGAAATGCCTCACTCTTTCGGTCGTATGTATCAATACAGTTTAACCAGACAGTCATTCTAATTATCTACTCTAGTCCGTGCTCGTACTCGCCACATGTTCTCTCGTAATTTCAGAGAACATGGTTCTATTCCTCTCTCTACTTACTTGAAGACCTACAAGGTTGGCGATATTGTCGATATCAAGGCCAATGCTGCTGTCCAAAAGGGTATGCCTCACAAGTTCTACCACGGGTAAATATAATATATACTAAATGCATTTGATGACTGTTTTTTGCTAACATGAACTAGTCGTACTGGTGTTATTTACAATGTCACCAAGACCTCTGTCGGTGTCATTGTCCACAAGAAGGTCGGTAACCGTTTCATGGAAAAGCGTGTCAACATCCGTATTGAACACATCAAGCACTCCAAGTGTCGTCAAGAATTCTTGGACCGTGTTAAGGCCAATGCCCAAAAGAAGAAGGAAGCCAAGGAAGCTGGTATCTCTTTCAATTTGAAGAGAATCCCTGTTCAACCCCGTGAGGCTCGTCATGTTTCTACCAAGTTCAATGTTCCTCAAACCATTGCTCCTATTGCTTATGAAACTCTCTTGTAAATTCACAAATTAATAAACTAAGCCTTCATTGATGTGTGACTGAAATATCTTTTTTTTTAAAACTTGTCATTGTCGGCATTTTCCAACCATGGTTGTTTATGCTGTCAATGGCGGAGCAAATTCTTTTTTTTTTCTAGGATCCCCCTTTTTTTTCTTTTCTTTTTTCTTTCTTTCTTTCTTTCTTTCTTATACCAGTATTCATGTCTACACTTGAAGTCAAAAGTCAGCTTCCTATTCTATCAACACCCAAGTTTAAAGACAACAAATCCTATATTCATTTCATTGCGGGAGGGTAAATAACTATACATATGCTAATGTGTCATACTCACAAGGGAATTTACATTTTAGTGTGGGTGGTTTAATGGGTGCTGTCTGTACTTCGCCTTTAGATGTAGTGAAGACTCGATTACAGGTAAGGCAATGCACATAACAGCCAATGTAATACATCATTCACTAGTCCACATTCTATCAACAAACAATGAAACAAAACAAACTGCATAGAACAAGTCTTCTCTTCGGTCATTTTGCAGAGACAGGAAGATTATTAGTGTAAGCATAGAACGAAACAAAAATCGATGTTGACATGGTGAATAGTCGTATCAACCAAGTAGAAGGGTTTCGTGGCTACTTTAAGGGTTTAGGACCTAATTTAGTCGGTGTCATTCCTGCTCGATCCATCAATTTCTTTACTTATGGCAATGGCAAAAAATTTTATGCAGACCTGTTTGGAAAAGAAGATGCCCGAGTACATTTGATTTCTGCAGCAACAGCAGGTAAATTGTATATATATACCAAGAGACAAGCATTATTTACTTTCTATTAGGTGTGATTACTTCAACTGCCACAAACCCTATTTGGGTGATCAAAACCAGACTTCAATTACAAGGTGCTAATGGTGTACGAAAATACAGAGGTAGTTGGGATTGCTTGACTAGTATTCTCAAACAAGAAGGCCTTGGTGGTCTTTATAAAGGCATGAGTGCTTCTTATTTGGGTGTTGCTGAAGGCACTATTCAATGGGTCATTTACGAAAACTTAAAGCGAAAATGGAAATCATCTGACACAGATTCAGAATCTAAAAAAATCGGAGGCAAGACATTACAGGATTGGGTGGGTCATTTAAGTGCAGCAGCCACCTCTAAATTTGTTGCTGCCTGTGTTGCTTATCCACATGAAGTGATTCGTACACGTCTAAGACAGCCTGCTGATCAACATGGTGTTCAAAAATACACAGGGTTATGGCAATCCTTAAAACTCATAGTAAAAGAAGAAGGCGTAGTTGCTCTGTATGGTGGTATGACAGCTCACTTAATGCGAGTTGTACCTAATGCTGCCATTATGTTCTTTTGTTATGAAGCCATTGTACAAAAATACGGTAACAATCTATCGTAATTCATTCTTCCTTGTAGCATATGTAATTGTATAGAATCTCATTCATTTATTCATTATTCCAAAAAAAAAAAAAAATAAAAAATAAAAAATTCTTCTTTATCCTATGTCACCTTCTATTGTGAACAACAATAACGAGCAAGTACCTTCTGATGCTGATTTTGACTTACAGAGTTGGTTAAAAGAAATCGAAGGTGCTGAAAACCTCATGACAGAAGTAGAAGCAAAGGCAGATAACTTACAAGCCAAAGTAGATGCTCTTTTGAAAGAAGTGACTCAACCTTCTCCATCTATTCAAGACACTGCTGAAAAGGAACACAAAAAAAGCGATTAATTCGTCATACTTGTATGTATACGCGTATATGTATACCCTCTCTCTCTCTCTCTCTCTCTTTTAAATAAATCTTCTTTTCTCTTTTCTCTCTCTCTCTCTCTCTCTCTCTCTCTCACACACACTCTCTCTCTTTTATGTCTTCTTTAGAAAAAGAAATGTTTAAAAAGTCAAAGCTACCTGTCCTTGATAGCTTACAAGAGTCAAATAATAAGCCCATCAAGTACGTTAGACTGTTGATCCTATACAATACTGATCCTGAATTAGTGCTTTCAAGTCACCCACCAACACATCACAATATACATCTTATCAATGGAAAGATTATTTTGATGAAAGCATGGATATCTCTATCCCAGACAGTTCTGACATATCCTTTTCTTTATAACTAAACATAGTGTTTGAAATACAAAGATTGTCTTTAACCACTAAGCGTACACCTTTCGAGTTTATAGGACACTTCCAGAAAAAGAAAATGGTCCTCTGTTTATCATGCATCATGGTGCTGGTTCTTCTGCCCTCACATTTGGACTGACAGCTAAACACATCATAGAATTAACAAGAGGGGAATGTGGTGTGATGGCCATCGATTGTCGTGGCCATGGTGCTTCAAAAACACAGGTCTTTGATGCTGATTTCTCTCTAGAAACACTCTCCATGGATCTCATTCATATCATTCAAGCCACGACATCTCCAACACAAGACATTATTCTTGTAGGGCATAGTATGGGTGGTTCTGTCGTTGTCAATGTGGCTCATAAACGTCTCTTCAAGAACCTCTTGGGTGTAACTGTACTGGATGTTGTGGAAGGTTCAGCCATGGACGCACTCACCAGCATGACAAAGATTTTGAATTCAAGACCAAGACAGTTTCGTTCAAATGAACAAGCTATTTTATGGAGCACACAGTCTGATACAGTCCGTAATCTAGAATCAGCTCGATTGTCGATCCCTGCCTTACTCGAGTCAGAGGGCTCTGTATTGAAATGGATTACTGATCTGCATAAAACCCAACCATTTTGGACTGAATGGTTTCAAGGTCTAAGTGATAAATTCCTGAATGCTGGTACAGCCAAACTGCTTATTTTAGCAGGCACAGATAGACTGGATAAACCATTGATCATTGGACAAATGCAAGGTAAAGAGATACATCACAATGACAGTGTATTAATGAACTTTAGGTAAATTTCAACTTCATATTTTTCCTGATGCTGGTCACTTTTTACAAGAAGATACTCCTTTCAAGACAGCTACTTGCCTTGTTGAGTTCTGGAAAAGGAATCAACGCTTAGTATTACCACCTAAAGTTAAAATTTAATAAAATGCGTGCCATGCATGAAACAAAAAAAAAAAAAAAAAGTGACTGCAAAATTTTTGTTTGCATTATTTTTTTTTTTTCGAGAAAATAAATCCCTTGCTTTCTATTCATGTCTTCTGCATTCGAGTCGTTTGTTACTGTTCACCAGTATCAATTATCTACTATCCCTGAAGAGTTATGGCAACCTTTGTTTATGAAACTCGGTGAGGACTACCTCGACGCCGGTAACTTTGTTGAACTTCACCATGGAGATCCTATGGAAGGCTATTCGCTTCACGTTAAAGCCGACCAGACACTTAAGAAACATAGGTAAAGCTCCCTAAAAAAAAAAGAGCAACATACTCATATTAAAAAAAAAGTGATATCTTCTTGGTAGACCATGCTTGGACCACTTCACCCGAAACAGCCAAACAAGAACTTGCTCAAAACCTTGCTCTTTTAGAACGACTTGAGAATCTAATGGATATCGATGTAGAAGAAGCACCTGAACACTCAGACGATGAAGAAGAAGAGGATCGAATGAAACCCTCAGAGGAATTGATTCAATTGGTTGCTTCACAAGCTAATGCATCTCGAATGGAAGCAGAAAAGGCATTGATAGCTGAAAATAACGAAGTGGTCAATGCCATCATGCGATTGACCATTGACCCTGAAGCAAAAGCAGAAGCAGATCGCCTCCACGATCAAGTCATGGGCCAAGTCTTGGCTAGTGGTAAGCCACAAGAGAAAGAAGACAAGGAGAATCAAGAAAGATTGGCTCGTCGTGAACAACGTGAAAAGGAATGGATCAAGACCCGTATTCAAGCTGTTTATGATGCAATGTGGTCTTATATCCAGACTTACACTTATTCCATTTTGCAGCAAGATGGACAACCTGTTTCTCAGACTGCTTGGTATGTAAATGATGAAGTAGGATCTGCTATTTCTCATTCAGACGAACCCAATGTTGTCTGTGTTCCTTTTATTTTCTCAAGAGGTGCCAGCGGTATGATTCCTTACAGTGTCCTCTTCCCTATCAAGGATATTGAGGCAGGTGAGATCTTGACAGCGGATTTCTGTCCCAAGAGTCTGGAGCGTGAGTCTGACAAGGCTGCATATTTATTGGCATTTGAGAAGCGAGTGGTCAAGGAAATTAACAAGGAAGCATTGGTTCAAACGTACAAGGCACATCAAGCCAAACTTGAGCAACAAACATGGCAACCCGAGTCTTTGTTGACACAAGAACAAGTCAAAGACGTCTTGTTGAAACAAAAGAAAGCAACAAGTCCAGTGACTGTGTATACAGACACAACATTTGTGAAGCAATTCCTCAAGCTTAATCATGTTACATTGACGGAAGACCGTACAAAAGCAGACATTATCTGGACAAGCCAAGATTTCTCAGACTGGGATGCTCTTCAACCTGGTCAAATTGTTAACCAGTTACCTAATGAAAAATGCCTTACGTTTAAGCATCATTTGGCTGAATTGATCCAGAGTACGTTTGGTGCTCCTGATTGGTATTTGCCTACGTACAATGTCATGACACAACTTTCTGAGCTTGCTGGTCATTATCTGGACAACACTGAGCTTTGGATCACAAAGCCTTGGAACATGGCTCGTGGACTTGGTCTTCACATCACTCGCCATCTTGCTCAACTTGTGCGTCAACATGATAGTCCTATTCCTCAAATTGCACAACCTTATTTGACTACACCTTGTCTCTACAATGGCAAGAAGTTTGATCTTCGTTATATTGTCCTTGTCAGACAGACAGAGCCTTTAGTTGCTTGTGTCTACAACATGTTTTGGACTCGTTTAGCCAACAAAAAGTTCAATCTTGACCATCTGGATGACTATGAATCCCAGTTTACAGTCATGAATTACTCCAATTATGAAATGACACAGTTGGATCACAAGAGTTTTATCTACAACATAGAAAAGCAATATCAAATCCAATGGGAACCTATTCAACAAGAGATTCATGCTGCTATTAAGAGTAAAGTAGAGCTTGATTATTGATCTATACTTATGATAATTAGATGTCTTGCTGGCTGCTTCAAATACAAACCAACCTTTAGGACTCAATGGGAGCAAAGTAAATGCTTTTAGTGTCTATGGGTTTGATATCATGTTGACAAGTGACTTTAAGCCTATTGTGATTGAAGCCAACTTTTCTCCTGATTGCACTCGAGCATGTCAAGTAAGTCATCTAGGAAACCATACCCTAATCAAACTAATATGTTCTAGTATGATCCTGAGTTTGTCAACAATATATTCTCTGTCATTGATGGTCGTTTTGACGTAGAAAAAGGCTTAAAGGCATTTACCGTATTATAACAATAAAGTCTTTATTCATTTTTTGGTAAATCCAATACATCTCTCCTTTTCAAGTCTTGTTGTATATTCTCAATATCTTTAGCCAAAATATTTGTTACACCATTGGATCTGAGTGATTTAACAATAAAAGACACACCAACATGCTCTCGCAGTAACCTATGTACCATCAACAATTGCTCAGGCGTCAAAGATCGATACATGGCATAAGCACTTGGATCATCCGCAATAGGGTGATTGTGTTCACCTACACTTTTGCGAATCACCCAGAAACTACCTCTACAATACCGGGCATAGATCATGCATGCACAACCCGTCTTTTGTGATCGACGAATACGCGGTTTGACAGTACCAGGAGGAGGACGTTTGTTATTACGGCGGTATTGGCCACCATGTTTACAGATCAAATAGATCTTTGTTTTGTCTGATTTACTAGTCGTCAGTGCCACATTGTGTTTACGACCATATTCGTAAGCTTCATTACGAAGGTCTTCAAGCGTATCGAACATACGGCCAACAGTAAACCTCTCATAAAATTCAGTCAGGATAGGATTTGAAGGATCCATAGGTATAACAGAGGGTGCTGGAGCAGCAGCAGCAGCAGTAGTAGGTGATTCGCTTGATTGTGTGGGTGCTTCACTATTCAGATTTAATAATGAATGAGAAGATGAGTTGGCTACTACTGCAGCTGCTGCATGAAGGAGTTCTTCTGAAGGTGTATGTGGTCTTAGTATGTGAGGTGGATGGGAGTGCATCAGGTTATGAATGATAGGTTGACTATTGACATCCAACAAAGTTTGTTGCGCGTAGTCTGCAATCTCATTGTTAACAAGTGGTTGGCTGTTCACTTGAGATATCAAGTCGTTCTTGATAGATTCCTGCTGTTGTTCTTGCTTCATTATTTAATAATTTGTATATGTACACACCAACAAGCACACTATTTACTAGCAAAAAGGGTGTGATAAAGAATGAAAGATTTTTAAAAAAAAATTCAGTCTGAGTTTCTATAAAACAACAGTCATTCAGTTGCAGCTTATAGATTGCTTGCTGTGATATGAAAGCCGCAGAGACATTGGTATTGCTGAATATTGTTCAAGAACGACCACTTCAAAAAAGAAGCACAAATGTATACAATGGCTATTCGCTTCCAGTAATCCTTATTATGTCGTTCTATGATGTCCTTTTCTTTACACAAATAAATCATTTATTTTTGATAGGATAAATGACTGGTTTCTTGGTCTTGAGAGTTGAATCAAGCAAGTTAAGCTAATCAGAGGATAAACCGTGTATAACAACTTCGGAGGCCGATATGTTTTTGAATATTACAGTATGAGGAACGTGCATAATCTCCTTGGACATAATAAAGTACTTGTTTGGATCATTATACGGCCTTCAAATCAAAAGCTACAGTGAAATGACCGAGTATAGCTCTCGAGAAACAATACAATAAAACTCTATCTTTATAATTCTTTTTCGGATAGTATATAGCCAGTGAAGACTTCCCCCTCCCCTGAAATAGTTTACTTTATTTATTGGGTTTACTTTTCGGATAAGCATTCGCATGTTTACTGCTTCAACACTACCATATAAAAAAAACGTCAAAACATAACATTATAAAGATCATTACAGGAACAAAAGAAGAATACTTGCGAACCACCAACTTGGTCAATATCAGAAAGGAGCAAATGGAAGTAAAGAAGGACCAGAGAACGTACTATGTAACCTTTTTCTCCTTTCCCTTTCCCTGTATGTTTCTTTTGATAAGAAAAGAAAAAGATCTTGTTCGCCTTGGCCGTTTTCGTAAAAGAAGGTATTACTCACTTCAACAAATGTTTTCGATATGATTTATCGTCAAATTCATATACTTTAAAATCAAGACAAAAGTCAAAGTTACCATTTTATTAAAGGTATTCATAAACATATAATAGCAATCTGAGAGGTTCGTGATTGATCACAATAGAAGAAGTGAAGAATGAAATAAGCAAAACTGCCATTTGGCACCGCTAGCGCTATATCAATGTTCATTTAGCTCAAGCCAGGTGCACTATGTGGAGGTAGAACATTGAGAGGCACCCATTTTTGCAGCTACAAGTAGCTACAGGGAATCTCAACCTTTACACCACCAACAAAAGCCATCGTTACTACTTTTGCCTCCGTGCTTCCCACCTTCAAACATTCTATGAACCTTTGAGACGTTGCGTAGGTGGCACTCTCACTAGAAGCTCTTGATAGAGGTCTTACGTACTAATCGGTAGAGCCTTCGTTAGTGCAGCATGTATGTTTTAAAAATCAATGCGTTTTCTTTGCTGTGTCACAACTAAAATAAAGATTAACATCAAGTACATGCACGGTTTGCAGAGAAAAACCTACATGCTTCTCTTCAATGCCTCCAGTTGAGCATTTGGGCTGAACAAACATGTAGTTCTTTTTATCGTTTTTAACATTTTACGAGTTTATTGGTTATAAACCACTTCCACTGACTACGGTTCGCTGTGGCCAGATTTTTATAGCAATGATGTCTCCAGATTTTTTTTGAAGATGAAAAGGGTAGCGCCATTGATGAAGATGGACGTGAGCCTGTTCAAATGGAAGTGGATAAGGATGCATATACTTTAGACAAAATAACCGACTTCAATATGCATTCTGAAATGAAGCTTCCAGAAAGAATAATGAAGCCAAAAGTCATCAAGGATAGGCCAAGTGATGCGGCTAGATTAAATGAAGTTCGATCAGGAAAAAGACATGAAAACAGTATCAAAGAGTTCAAGTTTACCAGAAAGACTTAACTGCCGGTCAAGCTGCCAAGGTAATAAATATTGCAATTGGCCCCAGGAAGATTAGCTTGAAGTAAAACAGATTCTCGAAGAAAAAAACAGACCCATAGAGGAAATAAAAGAAATAAGGAATGTTGGAAGACCAAAAACATTAAATGAAAATCATAAAGAGTGTCTGGTACAGACATTCGATGAAGACAGTTTAAAAATTTCTATATTGTCTTGGACGATGTTTTTATTCATAAGCATGAAGACATAGAAAGGTACATTGTTAATCGAGGCTACGGTTATGTATATCATTCGATATCTTGCTGCCACATATTCCACCAGTCAACAGCATTTCAAATCTACTCCAAAAGATTGATAATTCAAACCAGGACTTTCCTTTCTCCGCCTTGTTCTTTATCTCGGCGACAAGGTCGACTGGATACTTGTCCATCGTAGTTTTCATGACAGATTCGTCAATGTATGAGTTGTTTCGGTAATAGGCTTCAAATTGTGTTGCAAATACCCAGTTTTTCTGAAAAACAATAACTGCTTCCAGTAACTTGGGTAATATGACGTTTTTGATATTTTCTTCTGCGTCTTGTTTACTTTGTACTTCTTTCAATAGCAAACCACTATTCATATTGCTTAATTGGTACATCTTCTTGTCTATTATATTGTTCAAGGGGGCGGGAATAAATTCACTTTCAGTACGGCCATTTTTTTCTTCTTGCTGTTCAAAATACAATGTTTTCAATCTCTTTACACTTTCTATCGCTTCTCTGATTGGCAAAGGGGCCCTTTTTTTTTCTGCGATATGTATTCCTGCTGTATATATTGAGACTGCTAACCTTTTCTACAACAATGCCTTTTCTGCTATTAGAGCTGACTATTTGATCCATGACTACATTGTTATGCTTGTCTTCAACAAACAAATCAAGAGATGAATTGTGCACAATTGGAATACTAGATAGAAAATAATAGGCGATCTTTGCTGTAATTGGACCTGAAAACTTTACTGTCAAACTTGCCAAATAGCAGAAACGGTTTAATTGTGTATATAATGCGTTGTAATCAATACAGTAGATGTTCAGATGGATGCTAGCATTAATTATGTAGTGTGGAAAAAGCTTCCCAGTTGTTCAGTTAAAACTAAATCAAACACGTCGCCATTCTTAAAATGTCTACACTTTTCATGCATTGATCTTGACGTGAGGACTAAATTGAACTTGGCTATTCAATTCAGTTTTGAGTTAATAATCATCAAAATATGATTTAGTAGATTGGCGATATGCATCTTATTTAGTTGTGGGAGCGAGATAAAACAAAGATTGATACGTAATTCACTGTAGCCCTTTTATGCTAAAGAGTAAATAACTATAAAGCTTACACAAATCCTTGATATAGTCATTGATACTGGAGATGATGACTTTTAATCACTTTTTTTTCGTTTTTCAAATGTTTGTTCAGCCCAAATGCTCAACTGGAGACATTGAAGAGAAGCATGTAGGTTTTTCTCTGCAAACCGTGCATGTACTTGATGTTAATCTTTATTTTAGTTGTGACACAGCAAAGAAAACGCATTGATTTTTAAAACATACATGCTGCACTAACGAAGGCTCTACCGATTAGTACGTAAGACCTCTATCAAGAGCTTCTAGTGAGAGTGCCACCTACGCAACGTCTCAAAGGTTCATAGAATGTTTGAAGGTGGGAAGCACGGAGGCAAAAGTAGTAACGATGGCTTTTGTTGGTGGTGTAAAGGTTGAGATTCCCTGTAGCTACTTGTAGCTGCAAAAATGGGTGCCTCTCAATGTTCTACCTCCACATAGTGCACCTGGCTTGAGCTAAATGAACATTGATATAGCGCTAGCGGTGCCAAATGGCAGTTTTGCTTATTTCATTCTTCACTTCTTCTATTGTGATCAATCACGAACCTCTCAGATTGCTATTATATGTTTATGAATACCTTTAATAAAATGGTAACTTTGACTTTTGTCTTGATTTTAAAGTATATGAATTTGACGATAAATCATATCGAAAACATTTGTTGAAGTGAGTAATACCTTCTTTTACGAAAACGGCCAAGGCAAACAAGGAAATGAAGCTATGGATTGGGGAAAAGAGGCAGATCCTCACCATTTGGAGAATGTAAAAAAGTATCCTACTTATCGAGACACACAACCTCCTGAAATTGATATTGAAGATGCTGATCATAATCATACTGATATCATTGTTTATATTGAGAGAATACAGTCCAAGTATTCCTTTTATTTTTTAGACCTCTATTTTTTGTTTTTTAAAGAGGTATACATAGATAACAATTTATTTCCTTGTTGTATTCAAATATGAGCAAAGAAAAGTGAATCTTCAAGAGGGCATTACGCGTTTTAAGAGATAGACAATACGATGTGTATCACTTTCCAACTTAAGAAAAGCTTATTCAATCAGTTGTTGTTTGCCATTTGATAAATAAAAAGATGACGACAGGAAAGCAAAACGGTTGAGCCGAATTGAGAAATGTCATTGTTTATTTCGATAGTTCAGTGTTTCTTAACAAAATCGCAGTGTGTTTGCTTTAAAAATAGTAAACAAGAGCTTCAGAAAGACCATTAGATCTCGACAAAAGACCTTTGAATACTAGTTTCTCGGTCAATACTGACTCAAATCAAGATCTGTCTATATTAAATGAAGTCTCTGAGATAGGGTTCTCAAATGTATTATTATTGAAGTCTTTGAGAGTACTCGTCTTGTGTTTCTTGTGATGACAATTGAAAAGTTAGGAGTAGAATGAGTATCTACAAATTACTGTTATAGCACTTTTTAATACTAAGATATGTTTATTTTTTATCGTATACAAATATGCTTACTAATACTATTTCTTGTTTAATGCATGTTTCATTCTTTGTGAAAGTATTTTTTCTACTCATTGCTCCCTATGAAATTCCCTCCGATCATTCAGCATTGCCTTGATTTCCCACTGTCAACCCTTATCTGTCATTTAAGTTTTGTAAGACTAGTCTATAAAACAAGCTTTTATCTTTCTAGATGATCGAGACCCTTTATCTCGATTAACGGAATTTTCCTTTTAAGTCAAAATAAGGGGTCTCTCTTTATCTGTTTTTTTGATGGCATTAAACAAAAAAGAGCTTAGTGTGAACTGTCAAATCTGAAATAAATCAAAATCACGATCGATGCATATTAAAAGCCCTATTTTTTTTCTCTCTTTCTCTCTCTCTCTCTCTCTCTCTCTCTCTCTCTCTCTCTCTCTCTCTCTCTCTTTTTTCTTTCCTTTTATGCTTGTATTTTTCTTGCTTCTATACATATTTATGGACGTCTTTATACATGATGTCTTAGTTGTACCATGTCCCCCCATGACATCAGCAGCATTGAAATTAAACATCAGTTCATATTGTAAGATACACAAAAGTATGTGTTACACAACAAGGCGAAAGATGAAGACAAGTACACAGTCTAGAATCTCTTTCTTTCTAAACTATAGGGTGTATACTCTAACATTTAAGTATTTTTCTGTATTGCATAAATTTAATGTCCTGTCTGTGTACATTGCCGTGACTGAAATTTAATTCTTAATATTTTTTTTTTGTGCTTTGTCTTAGCCTTTTCTTCCTTTAAAGTATGAATCGTTCTAAAGAAGATCTTACCAAGTTGGACATACGGCAGCGTACAAGCTCAAACAACTCACCAAGTAGCTTACAAGAAGTGGCTATTGAACAAGATCAACAAGATCTCTATAAAGAGAAAAAATTATTAAAAAAATTAGACTGGCGTATTGTGCCCTGGATATTTTGTCTCTATTTTCTATCTGTAGAAGACAGATCCAATGTTGGTTTTGCTATGACAATGAATAAAGCAGAAAACCATACATTAATGGATACATCTGGATTGACACCTCAACAAAACAATATTGGCCTTGGGCTATTTTATGTTGCTTATATTGTAATGTGCAGCTTATGCAAATCATAAACTAAATCCCTCTACTAGTTGTTTGAAGTGCCATCCAACTTATTGATGGCCCACGTCAATCCTGCTCATTGGATAGCACGTATTATGATTACATGGAGTATAGTCACAGGCTGTATGGCAGCCATTTCAAAGCCATGGCATTTCTATCTATTACGTTTCTTGTTAGGTGCTTTTGAAGCTGGATTCTGGCCTGGCATTACTTACTACAACACATTATGGTATCGCCCTGAAGAAATATCTACTCGCATTGGTGTCACTTATTTAGCTGGTCCTGCGTCAGGTGCATTTGGTGGTCTTATTTCTGCCGGTGTTCAATTGATTGACACAAGAGCTAATTTATACGGCTGGCAATGGCTCTTTATTATTTCTGCTCTTATTTCTATCCTGTTTGGTATTGCTACCATCTTTTATTTACCCTCAACACCCGAAAAATCAACTCGGTTTTTGAATGAAGATGAACGGACTCAAATCAAAAGACGTTTAGAGAACAACAATATACCCAAGACAGCTGAATCAGTGCAAGAACGTAACCTCAAGCGTAATTTCACACATGTCTTGAGTGAACTAAAGGACTTTAAGGTATGGTTATTCTGTGTGCTCTATTTTACGCCTGTTATGGCAGCAACTTCATTGGGTTATTTTCTACCCAAGATTGTACAACAAATGGGTACTTATACATCTATTCAAGTCAGTTTACTCTGTATTCCTCCCTATGCATTTGGGGGTTTCATGGTCTATGTGGTAACTCGTCTCAGTGATCATTTTAGAAACAGAGGATGGTTTATTATTGGTGCTTCATGTACTGCTTTTATTGGGTTCTGTGTCTTGACATTCGCAGAGCCTATTGGTGCTCGTTATTTTGGCCTTATGATTCTTGCTGCAGGTACATACCCTACTGTGCCATTGAGTATGGCATGGACGGCCAATTCAAAAGATGACCCTGTCTCTGTAGCATCAGCCACAGGCATTGTGTCTTCTGTAGCTAATTTTGGTGCTCTTATCTGTACATTTGCACTCTATTCAGGATGGCCTTCTGATGCACCAAGATATATGGGATCAAACATGATTAATGGAGGTGCTATGCTATTGGCTGCCATCAGTGCATTTGTGCTTCGAACACACTTGTCAAAACTAAACAAACAGATTGAAAGCCAAGGTATCGCAGGCGATCGTACATTTCCTTATATTCTATAGAATTTTTTATTTTTATTTTTGTATTTTCTTTCTTTTTTTTTATAGCTTTGTATGTCTAATAAACTCTTTTTAAATAAAGTAACGCGTCGACTCTTTTCTTCAAGCTTTGTCTTACCAGGTACAATAACACATCTTTTGTTGTTGTGATACTTATATAAATCATAGACAAGAAACAGTTTGTTGTGTTCTTGAAAGACTATAAAGACCCTGAGTGTCTTCAACGCCGTCTAGGGGTTCGTGAAAAACATTTGTCAGGGGCTATCACAGCAAATAAGAATGGTTCCTTACAAGCAGGAGGGGCTATTTTAGACAGTCATCAAGTAAGATCTTTTGACTTGATTTAAGTGTTGATCTTCTCTGTTGATAGTCTGGTAAAATGAAAGGCAGTGTCATGATCATGTCTGCTGAATCTACTGAAGAAGTCGAGCAAATGATTCTTCAAGATCCTTATACAAAAGCCAAAGTTTGGGAAAGCTGGGAAATCTATCCATTTAAATCGTAAGTATAATTTCTAAATTTTTTCTTTTTTGTTAAATAGCTTGTAGTGCTATTGGACTCCCTCATCTCGGCTAAAATAAACTGTGGTCAATGCTGATAGGACAAATTTTGTTCTTTTCTGTTCTTTTATTTTTTACATGTATCCCGTCATTAGACTGTAATAATTACTGTGTTTTAAATAAAGTATCAATCTCTTTATCCACAAGGAAACCTCTACCAAGCTTTTGGTTCTAACTAAAATTAAACTTTGATATACAATGGACCACTACGGGACACAAGTTTATTTCTTTTCTTTTTTTTCAAAAAAAATCATTCTTTTTACATTGAAATCGAGAAATGCAAGCTTGAAATATGACGATGTAAAAAAGACAAAAAAAGGAGGGGGGGACATGGTTGTGAGTAAAAAAAAAAAAAGTATCGAAAACCTTTTTCAGTGGTTCCACAGACTTTTTTTTTCTATTACAGTATCTTTTTCTTTCTTTCTTTTTCTCTTTTTTCTCTCTCTCTCTCCTTTTTTTTCTTTTTTTTATCTTAGATATATAAACATTTACACTTATTTGGAAAGCAGCACGCATTTAATAAAATTTCAACAAAAATGTCGAATTCTGGATCTACTGGATCGTTTACAGATTCAACTGGCTTCAGTTTAGTTGGTGACATTCTACAAATACCAAACTACCATTTTAAAGCTGCTCCAATACCAAGTTTGGCACATGGTGAAAATGTAGATATTGTTTATGGCTATCGGTAAAGAAATCAATTGTATTACGTAATACTCACTCCATATATGCAGTATTTCAAATAAGAAACCAGTGGTAGCCAAAGTATCACCAAACTCTTTGCGGTTAGAAAGAGAGTATTATATCATGAAGAGACTATACCAACTGAGTGATGGATCAGCATTTCTAGGTATTTTTTTTTTTTTATTAAACATCATCGGAGTTTCTGTATATGTTGCTGACCATCGCACATTTTTTTTTTTTTTGTTCTATTTAGTTCGACCATTAGAATATATTCATTTGCCCAGTGGACTTACAATTGTAATTTATGCAGACGAGGGCCAAAATTACTTGGAATACAATAAAAGGCAATCAGAAGATGCCACCATATCTGCACATCATAGACACACTTATTCAGATAGAGGCTCAAGTATCAGTAGTAACGAATCTTCAGCCATTTTATATGATGACAAAAAGCGGTATTTATATAGACAGTCTGATATGGATCCTGTGCCATCCACGCCTGCTCATACTGGTCTACCAGCTACATTTCATGGTGGACCTGCATTTGACCTTGGTACCTTTTTACGGTTTGCCATCAAATGTACCGACTGTCTCGAATTCATTCATCGCAACAATGTGGTTCATGGAGAAATCAGACTCTCTGCCTTTCAATGGACAGGCGAAGACAGTTCTCGAGTGAAAATGTGGAATTTTGGTTCAGGTGCTCGATCATTGGAGACCTACTTGACAAGTGAAGGGTGGAGAAAGACAGCAACTAACAAAGAGTCCATGGGCATGTTACAGAACCTGTTGGTCTATATGAGTCCAGAGCAAACAGGCAGAACAACTTATGTGCCCGATCATCGATCTGATATTTACTCGCTTGGTATTGTCTTTTTTGTCTTATTGACTGGCAAAGCACCATTTGAAGGCGGACCATTAGAAATCTTGAACGGTATTCTTAGTAGAAAGGTGCCGTTGATACATGAAATTCAATTGGAAGTACCTGAAGTACTTGCTCGTATTGTTGAGAAAATGACGCATAAGGTATGGAATACACTCAATCATTGTCTTGCTGACATTCTCCTAGTCTCCAGAAGACAGATACAGTAGTGCTTATGGTATAAGAGCAGATTTGAAAGAATGTTTGAAACGCTTACGATTTGCTTCTGAATCTGCACATGAAGTAAGGGAAAAGAAAATAAAAATCCTATACTAATTCTCTTTTAGGTCATTGAATCTTTTCCTTTAGCTGAAAGAGATGTTGCTTCTGTATTTACATTACCCAAAACTATTTATGGTCGACAAGGTACCATTGTGGAGATGACCTACATCATTCAACGTGTTGCTGGTGTATATAAATCAATCAAAAATCGTCGCGAAAAGTCTTACTCAACAGGCTCCACCATGCCTACTATCACAAGTGAAAATTTTCATGCGGGTAATGCAAGTGTGAGTGATGAAGGCTTAAGCGATCACTTGTCCAATACAGATGTGAACAGCATGATTGGAGGTGCATTAGGTGCTGGCACCAAATCCAACACTTCTCCAAGTTATTGTAGTGGCTTTGAAGGCAGCGATATATCCAGCGGCAATGGTCGAGTCCAGGCAGGTAAGCAAGGTGTTGAGATTGTATGTCTTGCAGGTCCTGGAGGCGCTGGTAAATCAACGCTATGTAATGCAGTTCAAAATGTAGCCAGACAACATGGGTAAAGCGAAAACAATATATATTTTTATATATATATACATATATATTTATATATATAATAGTAGACTAACATTCTCTCAAGTTATGTAGCCTGCACCAAATTCGATTCTAGACATCAAGTTCCTTACAGCTGTATTTTGAAATCACTTTCTCAAATACTACAACAAATCTTGTCTGAATCTGAAGATGAAATTCATGCATTTTATGATCATTTAAAATCACATTTGGGCGCACAGTTTTGCAAGATTGAATTGTTGGCTGATCTTGTACCAGAATTGAAACCCTTGTTAGACCCTGTTGATAGTGAAGACTCTGAAGAACCTATCAACCAAATCCACTTAGATAATGTCGAGACTCGTATCCGATTCCATACATTATTTGTTGAGGTCTTTCGTGCATTGACTCAATGGCGTATGGTGACATTGGTAAGCAAATCCAAAAATAAGCTTCCGTCTAAACATGATGTAGTTTTTGGATGACGTGCATTTGGCTGATGACCCTTCCTTGGAACTGATAGAAAGCATGATTGCTTCCAAATTAAAAATACTTATTTTTGTTTGTTATCGAGACCAAGAAGTGACTGAAGCGTTAGAAAAATTGCTCTCGAACGATTTTGCTATTTTCCATACAATTCAAGTGGGTGTATTAGACTTTGACTCGCTTGTAGATTATATCAGTGATGCCCTTCATCGACCTCTGGATGTGGACCGTGATTCTATTCTACCTTTAGCTGAAATCGTATACAAGAAGACGCGAGGCAATGCTTTCTATACAGCACAGCTGCTGGTCACGCTGGAAAAAAAAAAGTTTATTTTTTTCAATTGGGAAGAAAATGAATGGGATTATAATTTAGCTGATATTCATCAGGCTGTCATGACCAAAGACGATACAGATCGAGATACTGAGCTGGATATTGGCTTTTTAGTGAATCGGTTAAAAGAACTGCCTCTGGACGGTCAACGGTTGTTAAAATGGGCTTCGTTTGTAGGTGATACCTTTTCTTGGAATACAGTCAAATACCTCATGATTGATTCTGATCCTGAATCCGAATTCTCGGATAATAGTACCTCTGCGTCTGATTCAACAGCCTCTAAAAGCAATGTAGATGAAATAGCCTCGTCTTCCAGATTGATGGCAGACTCGTTGCATCCTTTGATCAAATTTTCTCAACACGCCAGTGGTTCCAACAGCAGTGTCCCTTCTACATCATCCACTTCTGTCACTACAAAATCTACATTCAAGTCGAAAAAATCAACTTCCCGTGATCCTATCAATGGTCTTCAAGCTGCTTTACAGGAAGGTTATATTCTACCTTTAGAAAGCGATGAATTCAGATGGTCTCACGATCGTTACTCTCAAGCTGCTATGGAATTAGCCAATCCTAAAAGCCGTGAAAAGATTCATTTCAAGATTGCCAAATATCTAATGCATGGTAAGTTTTAGGTAAACATAAGCTCTATAACTTATATCAATCACGCCAGAGGATCAAATCGACAGTTTCTTGATAGCAGATCATTTATTGAAATGTATGAATCTGGTTCAAGAATTGGAACACAAGGCAGCGTACAAAGAAATTTTGTTTGAAGCTGGTAACAAGGCTCGTATATCCGGTGCACACAAAATGGCTTTTAATTACTACAAAGCAGCTATTTTATTGCTGGGTCCTAATGCTTGGGAAGATGCTGAATATGCACGCACACACTACTTGTACACAAACGCTGTCGCCTTGAGTTTTATTGTGGGCCAAGCTGATTTAACCGAGCAATACCTAGAAATCATTTTTCAAAACACAACAGATCCTTTGGATCGCGTCACTGCGCATCGTATTCAACACAAATACTTTTTCTCTCGACAGATGCATTCAGAAGGAGCTACAGCACTACGCACCTGTCTTTCTGAACTTCAATTGACTGATTTTGACTATGATGGCACCATGACACAAATTGATCGAGAATATCATGTTGCTGTTGACTTGATTGATAAAGTTGGCATTAGCGAACTCGTTAAGATTGGACCTTGCGATGATCCTCGTTTGAAAGCAGCCTTGAGTGTACTTGAAGAAATGTGTACAGCAGCCTATTGGCTAGGAAATCAAACCGAAATGCTCTATGCAGCTATCAAGATGGTTCAAATCTCTATTCGAGAAGGCATGTGCTCTACTACAGGTATTGGGTTTTCTTTTATGAGTATGTGTGCTTCTGAGTTTTATCAAAAGTATACCTACAGTGAAGAAATTGGTGCAGCCGGTGTGGCTATTGCTGAAAAGTATGGTGGTAATGCTGAAAAAGGTCGGACCATTTGTCTCTACAATATCTTTGCTTCCATGTGGAAATACAACTATCGAGATTCAACTGCCCAGTTCCGTCAAGCTTGGCGGTATTGTTTGTCTGCTGGTGATCGTATCTATGGGTCCTTCTCTCACTTACATGTTGCTACAACCATGTTCTTTACGGCCAACCGAATTTCAGATGCTTTGCTTGAAGCTGAAAGTTGCTATGATGATATTCATGCCTGGTCCGCTTCTGCAGATACAAACGTGCTTGTCATGTCAATCATTCGTTGTATCAAGGCATTACAAGGCCACACATTTACAGACAAAGCAGAAGAAGTCTTCAATGGTGATGATGGTTTCAATGATAGTCATTTTGTGGCTGAAAGCTGTAAGCAAAGTGCCAATCCTCATGTACCTTTAAACTGGTATGAAGCCTTTCGTCTGATCCCTCTTGTACTCTATGGCCATTATGAATATGCTGTCGCCCTTGGTTGTTGGGTCATCAATGGTATTCACAACCATCCTAATCATCGCCATACAAGAGTCCTGTTGGCTTACCATTCCCTTGCCGTCTTGGAAAAAATCCGTATGGAAAAAGACACAATGACACAAGAAGAACTCGATGTCTACCTTGAAAAAGTCGAAGACAATCAAACACTATTACGCCCATGGGCCAAAAACTCACCTAGCAATTACATGTACTACTGTACACTGGTTGAAGCTGAAAAAGCAGCAGTTGTTCAGCAAGACATGGCCAAGGCTATTGAGTTGTATGAAAATGCGATGGACCAAGCACGTGGAGGCGGATACCCCTAGAACTTTGCGTCTGTCATGAATATGCTGGTGCATTCTATGCCCGTATGGGTCTAAAAACCTAGCGTTTGGCATGCTCAAGAAAGCCATCAGTCTCTACATTAACCATGGCTCATATGGAAAAGCAAGACACTTGAGTACAAAATACAATGATCTTTTAGCAGACTATGATGATGGTCGAGTAGAATCGCATGACACTGGCATTCAAACAGACCCCTTCCCCTTCATGGGTCCTCAAGCTAGCTGGAGTACATCTTCCTTGGGTGTCATCAATACTTCTCTTAACGAACCTTTTGTGTCTGAGATTATTCCACCTGTGACTACAGAGCAAACTCTGTTGACTCTGGATATCCTTGACATGGCTTCTATTCTCAAGAGTTCTCAAGTGATTTCATCCGAAGTTAAGTTTGATAGTTTATTGAAATCCATGATGTCTATCATTTTGGAAAATTCAGGCGCTGATTGTGGTGCTATCATTGTCAAAGAAGAAAAGTATGGCGTGTGTGCCTATGGAAGTCAACAAGATGGTGCCATGACATTTGATCCTCCTCGTTTACTTGCAGAAGACGATGACTTGGTATCCAATCGTATTATTCATCATACGATCAACACAAGCGAAAGTATCTTTATTCATAACGTGGAGCAAGATGCTCGGTTTGCTGTAGGACCCTGGTACAACCGTGTTGGCGGTAAGTCCGTCATTTGTATGCCTATTATCCACAAGAGCGCGCTGGCTGGCTGTCTCTTCCTCGAAGGTTCCAGTGGTATCTTTACACAACGCCATGTGACAGTCCTCAGTCTACTCTGTCAACAAATGGGTATTTCCATCACTAACGCTTTCTTGTTCAAGTCCGTCCAACGTGTGACAATGGCCAATATGCGCATGATTGAGATGCAAAAGAAGGCTTTGGAAGATGCTCGAAAAAGTAAAGAAGCTGCTGTACGCGCTACTCGGTTACGAGAAATTTTTTTGGCTAACATGAGTCATGAAATCCGAACACCTTTCTCAGGCTTTTATGGTATGATTTCTCTTTTGGCAGAGACAGAATTAGATCCAGACCAACGTGACCTGGTCAAAACAGCCAAAGAGTCTTGTGAGATTCTGTTGCAGATTATTGATGATCTTTTAAATTTCTCCAAGTTGCAGGCGGGTAAAGTCACTTTGGATCTGGCACCTGTTGTAATAGAAGACTTGATTGCTGATGTTGTTGAGATGCTGATCGCTATGGCTATTCAAAAGAATATCAATATTGCCTATGTGGTTGCAGATGATGTACCTACGGTGGTGATGGCTGATGGAAACAGGCTCAGGCAGGTATTGATCAACCTTTTAGGCAATGCTATCAAATTTACCCATGAAGGCGAGATACGGATCAGATGTTCACTTGATACAACGACTCAAATCAGTCATCCAGACCAAGCTGCTCTGTTATTTGAAGTGATTGATACAGGTATTGGTATCAGTGATGAGCAACGTAAAGTCCTGTTTGAACCCTTTTCTCAAGTAGACGGTAGTACAACGTAGGTACCTTTTTCTTGAAACAATATAGACTCACCTCTTTTTTTTTTTTTTTTTTTTTTTTTTTTTTTTTTTTTTTTTTTTTTGTAAACATAGTCGCAAATACGGTGGCACAGGTCTTGGTCTATCTATCTGTCTTCAACTTGTAGAACTCATGTCTGGATCCATCAATGTCTCCAGTGTACCTGGAAAAGGTTCCGACTTTTATTTTAGTGTCCGTGTCTCCAAATTAGGATCTCAAAACAAAAACAAGACATTACCATCCGAAGGCTATTCTGATGAACGCAACAAACTCTTGCGCTGTATTTCCACACTCAAAGTGATTGTCGTCTCAAAATACACAGCTACAATAGACTCTATTCGGTTTCTTTTGCCCGGTATGCATGTAGACGGTGTCATTCAAATTGAAGAATTCAAGAAACTAGTGACACAAAATAAATACGATGTGATCATCGTAGGCCTGTACATGAACCCCGAGCATACGCCTACTGCACGTTCTTCAGCGTGGTTAGAAGAAGCCAGTCAAACAAACAAAGATGGTTTGATCATCATCACAAACTATCCAGCTGTGGGTGCTATGAATGGCAAGACAGGACTTATTGAAGATATATCAAATCAAAAACTATCATGCAAAGCAATTCGTATGGCAGTGCCACTTCGACGTGCAAAACTACAGCGTACGATTGGTGAAATACTCAACAAAAAATTACCTACACCGACAACACATCATGTCAAGACAAAGCCCGAAGCTTTAATCACAGAAGAAGAGCGAGCTATGTTTAGTAAACTCAATATTCTGATTGCTGAAGGTAAGTGTATCATCAAAAAGATGTCTATTGACATGACATAGATAACCCTGTTGCACAAAAACTATTGCTTAAGCAACTCACTCGCCTTGGTTTCCAAGTGGTATGTGCCAATAATGGTCTTGAAGCCATCAATGCTTGGAGTAATCACCCAGAAGGGTATTTTACCATGGCCTTTTTTGATCACCATATGCCAAAATGTGATGGTGTAGCAGCTGCTAAACGAATTCGAGAGATAGAAGCTCAAGAGAACAGAAAGACTCGGTTCCCCATTGTAGCTTTGACTGCGGATGTTCAAGAGAGTGCAAAACAAATCTGTATGAATGCAGGCATGGATGGGTAAGTCACAATTAAAGGCAAATTCATCACTCACACAGTTTGATAGATACTTGACTAAACCATTAAATCAAAAAGTGTTGGCTGAATCATTAAGAACCTATTGTTCTTGCTCTACTTATAATCCTATATCATTAAATTATGCCTGTACAAAATAATATATATATTTATATATATATTTATATAAAAAGCCTAGAATCTCATTGTTTGTCATTTTAAATAAACCATGCGGTCACAAGCACGAGTCGTGTCTATTTTCATTCTCCTTTTATTTTATTTTATTTTATTTTTTTCTCTTCTTCTTCTTTATGCCAATTCTATGATTTTTTCTTTCAAAGTCATCACTGCCTATATTTTAGGTGGTTTTACCTTGTTCCCAGCCATTTTCATTCTATGCTACATTGTTTATCTGTTGAACCACCGAATTATTTCGCCTTTATGCCGGCTATTACAGACTCAAAATCATAGTTTACCTGAAGAAGAACTATTTTTGCTTGAAACAGAAGAGACACCCACCAACAACAGTGCATTGCTCTATAAGGTTGGATGGCTTAAAGTATCCCAAGACGAAGAAAAATCGTTGCCTGATGCTTCTATCGGAAACATGGTCAAGAATTACATTTCTGGTAAAGCCGGCAGGAAAGAAAATGCCAATGTGTTTTTTGCAGTCCTTAAATACAACACACTCTATCTATATGACTCTGAAAAGCAACTGGATTGTAGGGGAGTCATTCATATGACACATTATGCAGTCTATACACATCCTCCAGGTTTACAAGATTACGAACTATTTTCTAAACCCAATCTTATCAAGTTAGAAGCAACCATGGATGAAAAATCCTCCAGTTATTATATCAATTGCCATAAATGCATTGATAAAGAGGACTGGTATTTCGCCTTGATTCGTGCATCTCGCTCTACATTGCCTGCAGGAGAACATATCAAACAAGACAAAACACACTTTGACCAGTCAGCCATGAATCATCTGATAACCATGGTTCATAGTGACGAACATCATTTTCAGACCCAATGGTTGAATGCCATTCTAGGCCGTATCTTTTTCGGAGTTTATCGTACGCAGGAGATCAATGATGCATTGTATAAAAAAGTGATTACCAAACTCGACAAAATCAATGCCAAACGACCTCCCTTTTTAGGTGAGATCACAGTACGATCAGTCGATCCAGGACATGCCTTGCCCCGTTTCACCCAACCTAAATTACTCGGACTCAGCCCAACAGGTGAATTATCGGCTGAAGCACATCTACAGTACGATGGTGGATTTCGCATAGAGATTGAAACAGTCCTCAAATGGAAATACTCGGACCGTCTGAAGCCCTTGACAATCGACCTTGTGCTGGGCATCACATTGAAAGAAATCCAAGGCAAGATTTTGATCAAAATCAAGGAGCCACCGACCAACCGATTCTGGTATGCTTTTTATGAATGCCCTAAAATGGAATGGAAAGTGGAGCCTGTCGTATGGGAAAAACGAGTGGGTTATTCAGTCGTGGTCAAGGCCATCGAGACAAAGATTCAAGAATTTATCATGGAAACCATGGTCCTGCCTAATTTTGATGATATCACATTTTTCCCAACAAACGGGGTAGGCGGCATTTTCGAAATACCACCTTCTTTAGCCTCGACTGTGATGGATGCCTTTCAGCTTACAAATGACCCTGTGGTGCCTGTTGAACTTGTGCTGGACAAAGAGTCGATTGAAGAATTTGAGCCCAAACAAGACAAGAAGGCCAAAGCAAAACGATTTCAAGAAGACGAGGCTTTATTGACAACTGCGAAATCCTTGCCCGAGTTATTTTCGGCTGTTCCAAGACAGCAGGAAGAACTCTATCAACAACTAAAAACATCGCCCATTTTGATACCAGCCAATGATGCCAAAACGAAGGATTTATTGCCCGCTTCTTTATCCACCTCGCCTGATTCCCTTTTGAGTTCTTCTCCTTCTTCTGTCACTATCGAAGACTCACTTAGGACAATATCGCATGTATTGACAGATGAATCAGCAAGCGTGATTATGCCCTCTGCTTCTCATTCACTCACCACATGTGATTCTATCAAAATCACAGGGGAATCTATTGTAGATCAGGGCAACAATAAGACCCGCCTTAGAAAATCTTCCTCCTTGGCTCTTTTGAAACCAAAAACAGGGGCTTCCACTGCAGTCAATGTATCGCCTGCCATGGCTCATAAAACGCAACAGCAATCTGAAAAGAAATTAGATGCTGTGTCTGTTATATAAATATTTTGCATTTCATTTGTATTATAGCATATATAAAATAAACAATATAATCATCATTATCATCATCATCATCCTTAGACAGCAACATATCCCCCTGCTCCACGACGACGAGACATGACAGAATCAATAATATGTGCAATGAGATCCTATAAAATCATAGTTAGTTCAACTATAAATATTATATCACTCTTCTTACTCTAATAAGGTAAGGTAGATCAAACCAAAAGTCTATACAGATTAAATGTCAGTCAATATTGACCTCAGTATGATTCATGAAGGGGGAATTACCTCGGTGGGGAATAAGGTCAAGTCCTCTTGCGTTGTACATTTTGTAGTTATAGATAGCACCACCAACAAAGTAAACACCGGCCAAAACAAAGAGAATAGTAAAGAAAATACCCATACCTGACATGCCTTCTTTGGTGTTATCACCTTGACTGGGTGGGGGTGTCGATGGTTTATCATCAGGTACTTTTTCACCTGCTTTGGTACTTGAATAGATAGAGATAAATATTGTCATTTGCTTCAATCATGTGTACTTACGCGCAAGCAAAGACAGTCTTCCATTGAAGGGTCAATACATTGTTATTGTATGAAATAATGACAGGGCTTTTTGGTTCATCCTATCTCCCGCTCTTTTCTTAGAATTTCGCCTTATTTCTGATGCTATACTTACACTGCGGGATTGGGATTCATCACATTCCAAAGTGACAAGAGCAGATTGTGCTCTTCCATTATATTCACCGCCATTTAAGTTGACGGAATACTGATAACCACCTATATAGGACCATGAATACACTTTTTCTTATCTTATGTTGCCATTTACTCTTTGTAGCATCATCCTCAGATCGAACAGGCTTAAATTCAGCATTCAATTTACTGTGTATGTGTGTCAATAGCTTGTTTTCTATTCTTGATAGCTTACTTGTCCATGTCTCTAGCAATAGGTTGAACAATATTCACAGTCTCTACATTTTTCTTGACATGAATGGTTCTTCTACAAATAAGCTGTAATATTTGTCAATACAATCATCGGTGTAGGTTTGCACTTACAGTGCCTTTAGGGCAGATGTCATGATTCTCGGGTTCGTCAGGAATATTCAAAGGATCACATAAATTGATCTGGGTCATGATAGAAGTCACTGTAGGTGGTGTTGTTTCGTTCTGAAAGACAACAAAGTCTCTAACATAAATTAGCTCGCGTTTCATGTCACTATGATGTACTTGTTGAGCTTAGATAGGTCCAACTGCAAATCTTTATCGCCAATAGGTTTGTAACCAGGTTGACAATAAGGTTGAACTGCAAGTGCAACACTTGAATAGAGTATCAAAGCCAGACTAAACGTCGTCTTCATCATTTTATTGGAGTCTATGGAAAATAAGAAAAAGAAAAAGAAAAAGAAAAAAAAATCAAACGAAAAAAGAACATCGTGACTTGTCTAATCCTTATGGAGATGTGTTCGTTTACTACTCGGTAATCCACCACCAGGTTGATTCCATGATAAATAAGATTCATCACCCAACTTTCTAGGTTTAATACAGTGTCGAATGGTAAACAAAAGGCCCAAAAAGATACACAAGGCACCCACAGACATATAAGCAATACCCAAATAAGGATTACGACCTCCCATACCTGTTGTCGTAGACAGCACAAGCCATTTCTCACCTCCATATTGACGTGTATCAAAGTCTATTTAGAAAAGGGGTCAAACAACCCATCTCTGCATGATGTCTGACTTACTCATATCTACATAAGCCCTGTATCTTCCAGCTGGTAAATCAAGCGTATCATTGCGTCCCCAAATCTTTCTGAAATCAGGCAAAGCAGCAACATGCATCCAGACCATGAAGCGTTCTTGAGTAGAGAGGTCTGGAGGAGGATATTCATTGGTGTATTGTCCATTAGGGTACCGCTGTGCCCAATTGGGAGGAGGGACAATCTCTGATGGCTGATATTGAGTACGACCATACTTTTGTTTATCAGATGGCCAGGCAATATTACGTCTGCTGAAATCATAACCCTCTTGTTGTGATGAGCCAATGGAAGTGAAATTAGAAACAGTATCTAAATAAAGAGTCAGACAGTCTCAAATAAACAAAATGGTTACCATTAAACATAGAATTAGCAATGAGTCCACATGGATAAATGATTTTTCCAGTGTCGTCATAAGCAAGAGGATCACAATTGGTACGTAATGTAGAGCCAGATGCTCTGTTGCCTAGCAATTGAGTATCATCAAAATTCTTGATATACTGTCGATGGTTTTGGTAGAAATTAGTCAGTCGATAATACATATATACAGGTGCTTTCATGGTAGTCGGGATAGTAAAATCAATCGTACAGCGAGGAATAGTTAAGTTATTTGGATTTTCCCAATCTGTATCGAGAAAACTGGTGGCATTTGTATAGGCATAAGCAGGTGGCTGCATTCTGAATACATCGAAATTCTTATCTGAAATCTGATAATCATATAAGCTTGGGGTCATATAAACAGGACTAGTGTATTCTTGACAGTATGAATAGTTTATCATGATTTGATCAACCTATTCAATGTTCTATGAGAAGCTCTACAAAACACATTCGGGTTTACTTTATTACTGTTCCACCATAATAATCCACCTGCAGGGCAAAATAGGATGCCTACAATAAACAACGTAGGCAAGACAGTTCGAGGAGTTAACACAGGTTGCCAAGCTGGCAATCGTTGTTGTCTAAACGCTCCATCTTGTAAAAAGAAAGTGTTAATAGAGCAAGCAAGCAGTATGCTTTTATGTTACCCATTGGCCTTCGACTCTTTTTAACTTGCTCTCCGTTTTCGTCTGTTTCTTTCTTTGTCATATTATTAAAAATACAAAGGGAAAAGAAAAAAGAAATTAGCTGGATTTTAATCAGAGGCAGAAAAGAGCTTAAAGCAGTCTATTTTATATATATATATATATTTAGTATCTGTTTCAACTTTACTCTTATAGACTGCTCTATGTATTCCTGGAAAAACAACAGGACATGTTCATTTACACAATGGCTCAAGTAAAGAAAAAAAATAAACATTTCCTTTTGTGATTTTGTGCATATTGCAAAGTTTATTTTTTTGCTGCATAACAGTAAAAAAAAAAAAAAAAAAAGAATTGAATGCTTCTTTGTCGTCGTTGTACAAGTAGATTGCCGTCGGGAAATTTACAATTTTAAAGGATCGAATAATGCTAATTGACTTTAATGCGTTGTTTAGCCATACTAAAATCTTGTTTATTGGTCACAACCCTGATCTATGAACTATCAAACCGAGGATAAACATATGCATGTAACCCAACTGTGTGAAAAAAAAACCCCCCTCCTAATTGTATATAAACATGTTTATTCTTTTAATCTTCTTTTCTTTCATCATGAGAGTTATCCCTAGTACACAATTATCTGAAGCAGCAAAAATTTCAGATGCCTGGGATGATTTCTTAAAGCAGAAATACGGTGGCAAGAACAGTTCCAACAAGGAAACAAGTGCCTTTCGAGACTACACAGTAGCAGCCACAGAGCAACCTACTGTCGCTGCATTCTATAAAGAGAATCATGAAAAACAAACAGTGGAACATGTCTTGGCTAAAAAGAAGCTCTATGGTAGTCTAACACATGGAAAAATGGGTATCTGGGACATGCTGGAGTTGATGAATACCATGGTAGATGAATCGGATCCTGATACAAGTCTATCTCAAATTGTGCATTCACTTCAATCTGCTGAAGCAGCCAGAAGAGACAGTCAGCCAAGATGGCTCATTTTGACTGCCCTGATTCATGATTTAGGCAAATATTTGTTCTTTCTAGGTGAACCACAATGGACAGTAAGTAGAGAAATAGACCAATATATGGCTTAACCTATGTGTAGGTTGTAGGCGATACATTTCCTGTTGGATGCCAATTCTCAGATAAGATTGTTCATGCTGAATACTTGAAGGAGAACCCTGATAGTCATCATCCAGTGTATTCTACTCGCTTTGGTCTCTACAGCCCCAACTGTGGTCTAGATCAGGTTCATATCAGCTATGGTCATGATGAATATCTTTACCAAGTATGTAAGAACTATTTGCCTAAAGAAGCTGCCTACATTATTCGATACCATTCATTCTATTCTTGTCATAAAGAAGGCCAATATGGTTGGTTATTAAACCAAGAGGATGTTAACATGATGAAATGGGTCAAGATATTCAATCAGTATGATCTTTATTCTAAAGCTGAAGAGAAACCTAATGTAGAAGAACTGAAGCCATTTTATATGGCATTGATTAGCGAATATTTTCCTTCCAAAATTAAATGGTGACATAAACATTTAACATTTAAGCATGGTTGTGCAACTATCCTCCTTTTTTTATTTATTCATTTATTTATTTAATGTTGATATACTTGAAAAAACCTCATGGCATCACCCAGCGTGTGTTTCAACTCGCAAAACGTACTTCTTCATGTTGCTCTCATAAACAACAAAAGCAGTCTGTTACAAGTACTCAGTTTTGGTCTGACCCAGTAACATGGCAGCGTACACGTATCAATACATTAAGATGTCTTGTAGGCTGTACTACAGGGGACTTTGCTACCATGTGGTATTTACAACTGCATTATCCCGAGCTATCGCCTGTGATGAGTACAGCTGCAGCTATGGTAAACTTTTACTTATAGGGATATATTCTCAACATGATGTTTAGTTTGCTGGTATTTCTACCTCATTAGCATTAGAGACAGTTTTGTTAAGGCGATCGATGAAAGTACCTTATTCAGCTGCATTCAGAGCAGCCATGGGTATGAGTTTTGTCTCTATGCTTGTGATGGAATTATCCGAAAACCTGATGGATTGGCATCTGATGGGAGGTCAAGTCTTATTTCATGATCCCAAGTTTTGGATGGCAGCAGCCGCCAGTACTGCTGTAGGATACATTGTGCCACTTCCTTATAATTATTGGCGTCTTAAAGCATTAGGAAAAGCTTGTCATTAAACATTTATTGCTCGAGATGCATTGTTTCTAGTAAAGTAGAACTCATCTTCTTGAGTGTATCTAGAAAATAGTTAGATCAGATAAGATTCGATTTGGTTTTTTTGTTATATACCTTCTACTTCAGCTAAGGATGTATCCTTTTTAGCTGCAATCAGATAAATTTCGGTATAATCTTCATCTTTTATCAGATCATCTGATGAAGAGGATAGAGCATTATACAATCGATTACCAGCCACCCAGTGGTTAGCAGTAGATCGGGTATAGACTTCACTGGTACGTGGCATTCTTTCAAAATCCTCTCTTACGTCCAACATTTGTAACAACATATCATGCGTCACTTGAATTGCTGCTTTTCTTTCTTTAGGGTGACTAGAGGTTGAGCGTGGATCAATCATGGTGGATTTAATGTTGAGTGTCGTATTATCGTAATAAAAGCACTTGTAGTTTTTACCAAGGTTTAAACTATATCGAATTAAGCCTGTTGTTCTGTATTATTCAAATTTACCTCTTTTCTTGCACATTGGCAATATTCTCTCGAATGATATCTGTCAAATCTTGTAGTTTTTCTTGATACATGAATTGCTCAAGATTAGTATAGAACATAGGGTCTAATAACAATGCTTTGGATGCTGCTTCTTCTGGTAACAAAAAGCTCCAGACAAGATTACTTTTATGCTTGTAGATCAGTAGATAGTACTCAGCTAATCTTGTTTGCTCCTCTGTTTCTTGATCACCACTTTGAATATAGACACGCACCAAGTCTGATTTTGTCACTGGTCTCTCTTCGCCATTCATGCCAATCGCGACTGATTCAACAAGCCCTGTCAGATAACTACCTTGATTGGCATGTATTTCAGGAACAACAGAGCCTTGAGGTGAAGAAGGTGCTGTTGGTATATCCAGTGCTGAAGGCAGGGTTGAATCAGACACAGTAGAAGATGAAGTATCGGTTGATTTAGACCCGCCTGAAGAGAAATAGCTCAGAATATGAGACTGAGATAGTGATTTTGTGAATTGTTTAACTGTCGACATTTTAGTCTGTGGTGGCTGGAGTAGTTCCAAGTCGAGTTGTTTGCGTTTCTCTGCTTTGGTATGCTTCTCTACTTTTTTCAATACAAATTTCATAAGTGCACATACATCTTGGATCATCAAACCAGGAGATCGATAGACAAGAGCACCTTCATTCAGCACAAAGACATGGCTTATGTGTTGCTCAAATTGATGTTTGATGGCTTCATCTAGAGCATGAATACGCAAATAATGAGAGCGCAATATAGGCTGTACAGGTACGCCATTAAACACAGCTGTGAAACACATGATATCGAGTCTATCAAAATCCCATTTCCAGATCCATTCTGAAAAGAATTCTTCAATGGTATGCATTAATGCTCTTGTTCTTTGTCGACTTGGTTCAGAAGGAGAATCACCATAAAGAAGAGAACTAAACGTGCCATTCAATAACTAGAGAATGTGTCAATCAAGATAATATCAATAGGCACAGTCTACCTTGAATTGTTCATAACCTATTTTGAGGACTGCTTCTAATGCTTTGTCATTCAGTTCTGAATCAAGGTATTCAGTCACGAGTTTCTCTTTTCCTTTAGCATCTTTGATCTGTTTTCTTTGTATCCCGAGTTCGACACACATATGCATCCAAAAACCAGGTTCAGGCTGGAAAAAGATCAATCGATTCTTTTGTGAATGTACATTTTGTGCAGGTTGACTGGGCGAAAACGTTCTATACTATGCTATCAGCTTATCATATATTGACATAAAGTGATATACTTGCAAAGTAAAATTCACAAGTGCCTGAGCAAGACCTATTTGCTTCATCTTTACATCAGCAGGAACTACTTTTTTAGCAGTATAATATAGGATCTGGTCTTTTGTGTTCTCTTCAGACTGTCCCAGAGAAGGGTTATAAACACAAAAATAGGACAAAATAGGAGAACTTTTTCCTAAACGAGGCACAACAGGAGTCTCGTCTTTGCTAATATCTGACATGAAGATACAGTAGAATACAAAAAAAAAAGGAGAAATTTTTCACTTGGTGTAAATGACGTTTTCCTGCAAAAAAAATTGTTGTTTGTTTGTATGTCATGTGATTTACCATGCGTTTATAAAACCAAGCGACTCTCTCTTTTACTTTGCTTTTCTTTATTGTTATTTTTTTTCTTGTCGAATGATTATTAACGAATATCGAATCATTAACAATTGTACAGAAGAAGAATATCAAATAGGTATGTCAAAAGAAAAAAGATAAAGAAATAATAATAATAATAATAATAATAAAAGGTCAATTATATGCTACTGCCTTAGCATCCAAAGAACAAACAGGTGGTGGGGAAGGCGTAGAAGTGATCAAGAATGAGCCTTATGAGAAAGAGAATGAAAAAGGACAATATACCTATAAAATATTTCGCCTAGCCTCTAGAGTACCCAGTATTGTGAAGGCAGTTGCACCAGCAGGTGCTCTTGATTTATATGAAGAGGTGAAAATATTCACATTCAAATTATTTTGATTGATATTGGTTTCTTTAGGCTTGGAATGCATATCCTTATTGTAAAACTGGTAAGTAGACTATTGTTGAAATTCTTGTTTACCATGTATTATAGTCTTGAAAAATGGCTATATGAAGGATAGCTTCTCTATTGTATACGAAACATTACATGTCAATGGATCAAGAGGTGAACTTGAGAATGCATTAAACATCTCTAAAGAAGGTGATGCCTTTCTTTGTTTGTTTTTTATCAGTCTATCTAATTGTGTCATCATTAGACTTAAAGAAGCGTAACGTGATCATCATTGATATTGCTAATGACAAGATAAACACCAAAGATTATAAACCAGAGGAAGATCCTAAACTTTATCATTCAGAAAAGACAGGCCGTGGTCCATTAACTGATCCTGACTGGCAAAAGAAGTGTGAGCCTGTCATGACATGTTATAAGCTTGTCTATATTGAATTCAAATGGTTTGGTTTACAGACTAAGGTTGAATCTTTTTTAGCCAAGACTGTTCAGACTCTATTCACTAAATTTCACAGGCAAGCATCTTTTTTTTTTTTCTTTTTTTCTGATGGCTTTATTTAGACAATTATTTTGTTGGACTGACAAATGGTTTGGTATGTCTATTCAAGATATTCGTGATTTGGAAGAAAAGACAAAGAAAGACTTGGATCAAAAGAGAAATGAAGGTGAACTTCCTGTCAATAGTCTGGAAAATGACTTGTAACTGAGTTAAAAATAAATGTCAAGGCTAAATTGCCCTTGTTTTAATTTTTTCTTTTATTATTCTGTTATGCCTGAAGTACAATTATATGTATGGGGACCAGCATTAAATGCTCCCTCCATTGACCCTAAATGTATTGCTATTGAAGCCTATTTGCGCCTTATAAAGCAAAAATATACAATTGTCAAGTGTAATGATCCACAACAGAGTCCAACAGGTAAAAATATATACATATATGCATAGACAAGAGTGTTTCTTATTGCTGTCTAGGTGAACTCCCTTTACTCAAGGATGGATCTATCTGGATTGCTGGTCTTGATCGTATCTTGACTCACCTTACTAAACAAGGCAAGGATGCCAATAAAGATCTTACACTAGAACAAAAAGCAGATTACCTCGCGTAAATATACAGAAACAAGGGATGTTCAGTATAGACTCATTATTCGACTAGTTATTCTACATTAGCACAAGAAAAGCTCTATGATTGCATGGTAATGAATATAGACAGACGCTTTATAAACTCACCTGTTCTAGTTGTATACTTGGTATGCAGATTCAACCAACTTTATCAAAAACATTCGACCTACTTATGCACAGCTTTTATCATTTCCTACACGTTACTTTATTCCTATTCAACTTAAAAAGAGTGCTAAAGCAAGACTTTTAAAATACAAGGTTGAGATCACAAGCGACGACGTAGGTCTTCCTCAAAACGAAAAAGAAGAAATGAAAGAACTGTTGAAATCAGGCTGGCACCATGTAAGCTATCCATTCATATGCATTAAAAAAAAAACTGATGCCAGACAATAGATGTATCAACTAGCAAGGGAGACATATCATACATTACAGACACAATTGGGCGACAAAGAGTACATGTTTGATCAACCTTCTACACTAGACTGTGTTCTGTTTGGATATCTTGCTTTACATTTGTACCCTGATTTGGCTCATAGACGCTTACAACACATTCTTCAGAACGAATATCCTCGTCTTGCACAGTACTGTGATCGCATGAAGCAATTGTTATTTGCAGATCAACAAGCGATTGAATCAGAGCCAGCTGAAGATGTGCCTTCTATTTGGCGAACATTTAAGAATAATCCTAGGGGGTTTTTGGGTACCATCAAAGACGATATTGTTTCTTATATGGGTACATCATCAGAAAAGCCAGAAAAGACTCAAGCACAAATTGATTTCGAACGCAAGCGTATTTGGTCCATTGCTGGTGGTGTTACTTTCTTTTTGGCATATATCATTTACAATGGTATTCTTAGCATAGAAATCAACAATGAAGATGATGAATACTATGAATATGAAGAAGAGTATGAAGAAGATGATGATTAAAACCAAATAAACAAATACACTATTTTAATTGCTAGAAGACTTGTTCACTTGGTGTCTTGACAAGCGTTATCAATTTAGTCTATGCTCTATCTGCAAAGCGTCACGCAAATATCTTCTATATATTCAGCGTATGTTTTGCTAGTGAATTTACTACAACTTTTGTTTGTGTAATGGCATTTTCATACCATAGGTTTGTTGAGGTATCAAGAAATTAAAGGAGAAAATTTAGTAATCCCGGTAGTTTTGTTTCAAACTCCAGGTATACGGTGCCATTCGACTTTTCCCCCTCAGCTTTCACATCTTCATACTACTACACGCTTGACTAACCAATACCAAGCTGTGATTGATACCAAAGGCTGTACCACCAAGCATTGGTTTGTTTCTACTTTTATTGTCTTAAAATAAACATCTCAACAAATTATCCACAAACAAATGAGTGCGTTTAAGTATCATCTTGACATATTAAAGGGCTCTTAGATTATAATGCCTTTATTGCCAAGTTCGAATGGCAAAAAAGTGAGCTAATTTTTATTTCGGGTCAGCGTATAACGACTCAATTAATAATATTTTTTCGAGAATGAAGATAATACATTGAATCTAACTAGTTCCTGAATCCTGATGTTCTGCTTTCAAAAGAGGAGTACACTGCTTAGGTTTCTCTTTTCATCTTTTTTTTTCTCATTCATGACTGAATATTGTTTGAAGAAAACTAGTTTTGTTTGTTCTACAACAAATCTTTACACTGTATATATATATTTATTACATAATTAAAACAAAAACGTCAAGAATACACACAAAAAAGAAAAACAAAAGAATAAAAAATAATTTATATAATGAAAACAACAAGGGAAAAGAACAAGTGAATCATTTTTGTCTTTTGTTCGAGTTGGCAAAAGCAGGGTATTCAAAATAAGGTCTTAGTCACTCAACAGATACTTTAAAAAAGAAAGAGGGCCAGGTAGAGCTTCACCAAGTATACTGACTTCAATTACCTGCTGTATACTGCAGATGATGTTCTTCAATTGCGTTAAATGATTGACAATACCAGGAAGGCGAGTCAAATCATCAACAGAACGAATGCCTCTGAAGCAAGCAAGCTGGACAAAGTCATACTTTGTACTACTCGTTATTGTCATCTTGTACGTCTTGATTGAACCGTCATCATCCAAGAGACCGCATACAACAGGGGAAGGAACATTGCTTGTGACCAAGCGGTCGAGTATCAACTTTAAGAGATTATCAAGCTTGGCTTCATCGTCTACAAGCCGAGTAATTTTTGCATTTGGGGGAAGGGTTTACTTCCGCTTCGAATAGGTCAAACTCGATGTCTGATAGGACAGCCTTCAACAAATAGTCAGGTTGAAGTGACAACCACGAACAAGAAGAATGTTCAGCCCTTTTTCTTGACGACGAGCCTGCTGCTGCTGGTGTTGCTGTTGACGATTCAGCCAAAGGAAGAAGCAACGTGGGTTCAGAAGGTAACCCTTCAAGACGTCTTCTAGCACTTCGAAAATATTATTTCAAATGCAATAACACCAAGTGAACGTCTTGCTAGAATCAATCAGACGTATAGTGTTGGTATCTTATGCTCTTCGAAGCAATTAACTATCTCACATGAAAATGAGAAAGATTGCACAAACTCAAAACTCTGGAAAAAAACAATAGGCAGGAAATAAGTTTCAGGTTTATGCAAGAAGTTGTAAATAAACCAGTTGAAATGCATGTCAGCAGCAATCAATTTACACGTAACGATATCATCTATTTCGATATATATATATATATGGATTTTGAACCGCTCAAAAAACTTGACGAAATGAAGGCTATCAAACCTGAAGTTGTCGCTGATCAATGTCGCAGCAAACGAGTACATATTAATCATAATGACAAAAAGAAGCAACTCTTTTCCTAGCTAGTTAACAGCAAACATTATAAGATTTCTGAGACTGCAAAGGAGCAAAACATACTTAGACGTACGATTCACGACTGGTTTAAAAAAAGCGGAAGATACAGCTAAAAAGCGCACCTTAGAGCCAAAACTTGTTCAAGACCAGTAAAACAGAAGGCTGGGTGCCCAAATGTCCTTTACGGCGAACACAAGCAATGCTTGCTTTAAGAAATGTAGTGAGGGTTCTTAAGCAACAGCAAAAGAATCAAAGCTTTGATGATTAAAAACGCTCGCTAATAGCTTAAGAAGTTCTGCTATTATCGAAAAATGTTTTAACTGGATCAATACAAATTTAGACTTTACAAACTGAAGTATTTCCTTTGTGCGATTTTTTTCATTCAGTGTGCAACCTATTTCTAGAAATGGCGTATGATTTGACTATCAATCTTTCCATGATGTATCCGCTGCATAAAAGGGAGGACATATCAAGTTAGTGTCTCATTCGGACCGGATATAGACCGGTTACCGGACTCATACGACGCACTGTTCTCTTTTGGGCTGGCATAGTATGGGGCAATAGCAAAATCCTCCTCTTTAATCCATCTCAAGTATCATGGTAAGCCTTATTGTCCATCCATCATGAAAAACTCACGATAGATAGGGTCGTGTTAGGTATAGATCAGAAAGTCCAACAAAGACAACCACTCACATTTTTGCATAGAACTAAGACTGTCAAGAAGGCTTCTCGTGTCGTCATTGAAAAGTACTATCCTCGTCTCACCTTAGATTTCCAAGTCAACAAGAAGATCCTCGATGAAGTCTCCATCATTCAATCCAAGCGTCTTCGCAACAAGATTGCTGGTTTCACCACCCACTTGATGAAGCGTATCTCTCGTGGTCCTGTCCGTGGTATCTCCTTCAAGTTGCAAGAAGAAGAACGTGAACGTCGTGATAACTACGTTCCTGAATTCTCTGCTTTGGATACCTCCAATGTTGAAATTGACCCTGAAACTAAGGAATTGCTCAAGGCCATCAATTTTGAAAACTTGCCTGGTGTTCAAGTCTTTGACCCTGCTGCTGCTCAAGCTGATGTTCGTCGTAACCGTCGTGAAAACCGTCCTCGTCGTGCTCAAACTGACGCCTAAATTGAATAAAAATAACCTGTTTATGCAAATCATTTTTTTTTATTCATTCAAAGTCAATCCTTTAGCCCTTAAATCCATCTTGGCCTGTTTGATTTCCTACAAGACAAATTTAAGCAAACTTATGATACCATACTATCTTACCCCCATCAGTTCATGATAAGCTTCAGGGCAATCCCGGAATGTAAACAATGCAAATCCAATGGTGCCTAAACAATAACATCCAAACGTAATAAGAGCCCACCAAGGCAACTAAGAGAAAACAGATGAGAATATAATAAGCGCGTTTATTTCTTCATTACCACAGGCACAATCTTGTCTTGAACTACTTCAGGTAAAGGCAAGATGCCCAAGTAAAGAACAATATATGATGCGAGTACAATAGCACCCAAGGTATAAGCTTCAGTAGCTCTGGTCATTATGGCTTAATTAGAAGAAAAAAGAAAAAAAGAAGAATGTTGATTAAAAAATGACTGTCACTTTATATTTATATAAACTTTGTTTCTTTTTGTCAATGGCAAGTAAACAACAATAAAAGCATTCATAGACTCATGTTCATATAGCCAACAGATAAAGCCGTAGGAGCTGCGTCTTTTTTTGCAGTCGTTGTTGTGTTTGTGTATTACTCTACTTGGATTCTGTTGATGGTATATGAACTTCTTAGAAAAATAAGACTGATGATGACAGCCCTTTGTAGATGAAGGTCATTTCTTGCACAACTATTTCCCTGCATGGCAATATGCCATCAAGATCCCTTTATTGATCATGATTGTTGGTTTGACTATTATCTTTACTTTCTTATCGTTGGTTATGATCAAGAGCAAGAGGCCCTAATCTTTCTTGTTCTTTTTTATCAAGCATGGCCTTATAAGCTGAAATACCAAGATACCTACACCAATCACAATAAAATGGCAATAATAAACTTGATGCCATACATGCAAAATACGGCTCACATACAACAGATCAAAGCAAGGTACCATCATATTAAGCAAGCCCATAGAAACAAGCCAGGTAGATACATCATAGGCTGATTTCCAACAAGGAACAGGCTCCCCTTGTGCTGTCAAGAACAACGGACGCACGGTTCTACGTACTTGTCTGGCCACTAATTGCAATACAGAAGCTGTCATGAAGAACACTAGAGATCGTTAGATTAGTCATGAAAGATATAGATGTGTATTTACAATAAAATCCAGGATGAAATCCATGCCATACAGACGACACAATATAGGTGATTAATGTAGTACTTGTTGATCCAGGCTTCAGTCTTAAATAGACATACTGCTTTAACCAACGATTGGCTCCCATATTCCAATTCTCTGAAAGTTGCTTATACGATTGAGCAAATTCACACGATAACACATTCACGTTATTCAGTCTATCCCAGCGAGGCTGTCCCTGTGAATCATAACCATTGAACCCAAAGCCAGACAAGATACAGGCACCTTCGGATAAAAACCAGACACAGTAGTATTTGCAGCGTGTCAGAAAAGCAGACAGTTGAATAAAAAAGATCCTAGTCTGTTAACATTATCGTTATCATGTACATCCTTACTTTTTCCAAAAAGAGAGATGAGCAAAACTTGGCTTTAATGCATTAAAGTAGTTGTATGTAGGAGCCAAGTAGATCAATGCAGCAATAAACAAGAAGCTTTTACATAACCGCTTAAGTGCAGGTTTAAGTGAATCCTTGGGTGCCTTATTGGCTTCAACAAACTGAACATAGTCCATGTATTCACATGTAGGACCCGCCAAGAATCCAGCAAAGAACAGAGCCCAGCCATAAAACTGAACAATGTGTGGTGAAGCTCTTTTTTGATTTGTTGAATAGTTATCCAATACATTGAATCCAAATGAGGAGAGTTTTATCGTAAGGATCATCAGAGCCCCTGAATAGTCTAGTTCTGTGTCGCCCTCTATCCCTTTCATCTGACGGTGAATATGACTATAGATATACTTGGTGAGTGAAAGAACAAACGAACAGTTTGAATATACCATAAAGACATACTGGCCATCACAAGAACAAAATTAGTCCATGCCATTGTAGTTGTGGGTGGCAAATAGGTACAGATCAAATAAGTCAAAGTAGAGATAGCTATGATATGAATAAACCCAAAAGTGAGTCTAAGGACAAACAACATGATCCATGTTGTATAGACAATAGAAAATGTGTGTTTAAGAAAAGATGAACCGAGTCTTTTAAACAGAAATGCGCATGGATAAGTGGATAAAATAGAGAATGCGAGTTTAAGGTGATCAGGCGCAATTTGGCCACCTAATGCTTGTGATACTTTAGTAAAGAAAAGATCCATAAAATACTTTAGATGTAAAGAATGGCTTTATTTTATATTCATCATTCGTGTTACACAAGTCTTTGTTACTTAACCCCTTCTTTTATTTTTTATTTTTATTTTATTTTGTTCGTATGTCCAACAAGATTGAGACCACTGGTAATCCTTTTGAGGATCCTTCCAATCCTTTTCAAGACCCTTCTATTGCTTCAGCACTTGCTTCTAACCGTACAGTAGAAGAAACAGCGAGTGCTCAAGCAGACAACCACTCACTCAGTGATTTCAATGCCACTAGTTTCCATCATGTCTCTGACAACCGCGATCCTTATTCTGCCAGCAGCACTTCACTTCCTCAAAACAACGATATTAGTGCTAGAGAAGAAGCCTTGAGACAGAAGGAACGCCAACTTGCAGACCGAGAAAGAGACTTGGAGGCACGTCTATCACAACCTATGCGAGGGGCCAACAATTTTCCACCTTGTTTTCCTATCTTGTACTTGGATATTGTGTCTGAAATCCCCATACAGCATCAACAGACAGTGCTTTGGCTATACCGAGAATGGTTAATGTTCTTGGTAACCTTGGTGATGAATTTCTTTGCTTGTTTATGGGTCTTGTTTAGTCATCCTGCTTCAGTGACAAGTGCACCTACAGATATGGGTGTAGCTCTGACTGAACTATTCACTCATACGTTAGCTAGTTTCTTTTTGTGGTATCGTCCTGTTTACAATGCTTATATGAAAGATAATTCTCTCTATTTCTGTAAGTCATATTTGTATATATATATGTCTGTGTAACTTATGCTTATAAGATTTTTATTTCATCTTTAATGGATTCCATATTCTTTATACCTTTTATATGGCTATTGGTATTCCCTCTACGTAAGTATATGCATAAAGCAATAGTGTGTACTAAATTCAAAACAGTGGTGGTGCTGGTCTTATTTTGCTTGTCACTTTGTTTTCTGAACATTATATTGGACCTGGTATTTTAACTCTTTTGAGTTCTATCTGTTGGCTTTCTATGGGTTGTTTGGCTGTCTTTTTATACAAAAAGACGTATGATCATTACAAGGCAGCAGGTCATACTTTTAATGAAGCTAAATCAGAAGCTTATTCTCATATGGGACGCTCCACTGTTGTCCGAGAAGCAGCCGTTAATGCAGCTTGGAATTCAGCCAGTAGAAGATAAAATCACATGCCAAAAGAAATAAAATCTGTACATATTTTTTTTTCTTACATGTGAATTCCTCTTCTCTTTTCTTCAGTATGCCTCTTTTATCTACACTTCACCCTCGTTCAAAAGCGATGGGTGCCAGTGTACTTTTAACAGCCACATTCGTCACACTCTATAAAACAAAGCAGCTTTATCTAAAAGAGAAAGAACACAAAGACCTTGCTTCATTATTTCCCATTATTGATTTTACACAAAAAGTGGGGGTCAACAAAGAGTTCAGAAGACAATTAGGTGCCATTGCTTCTATCTTGTTTCCTCATTGGCACACAAAAGAAGCTGCCTTGCTTGTTCTCCACTCTGTTTTTTTAGTGCTTCGAACGTATCTTAGTGTGGTTGTTGCACGATTAGATGGTCGTATTGTTAGAGATTTGGTAAGCTAATTTTCATGAACACAGAGAGACATATATATTTATCCTTTTATAGGTGAATGGCAATGGAAGACAATTCTTGATAGGATTAGGGTATTGGTTTGCTATTGCCGTGCCTGCTACTTACACAAACAGCATGGTAAACTATGCGACAGTTATCAACAGTTTCTAATTTGACCTGCATTTTAGATCCGCTATTTGCAATCCAAACTCTCGATTGGATTCAGAACGCGTTTGACTCGATACATTCATGACCTCTATCTCGACAAACAAAAGACGTTTTACAAAGCCATTAATCTGGACAACCGTATTCAAGGAGGAGCAGACCAGTTCATCACGACCGATGTCGCCAAGTTCTGTGAGACGCTATCCTCTCTTTATTCAAACCTGGCCAAACCCATCTTGGACACCATTATTTTTAATTACCAATTGACGAAATCGATTGGATTTGCAGGTATGGTAGGCTTGATGATCAATTATGTGATTACGGCCAGATTGTTGCGTGCTGTTACACCTTCATTTGGTAAGTTGGCAGCCATGGAAGCACAACTCGAAGGTGATTTTCGTGCTACTCATGCTCGTTTGATCACAAATGCCGAGGAAATTGCATTCTACAACGGAGCTGAATTGGAGCATTCGATCCTGAACAAATCCTACATGAAACTCATCAAGCACATCAACTCCATCTACAAGATTCGTATTCGTTATAATATGTTTGAAGACTTTTTAATCAAATATGCATGGAGTGCTTTTGGCCTCATCATGTGTGCTGTGCCTGTGTTTGGACCTCAGTTGGGTCAACCACAGACAGCGGCAGACAACAGTCATGAACAAGTGGGTGCAAGAACCAAAGGATTTATCACCAACAAACGACTGATGATGTCTCTGGCAGATGCAGGGGGTCGAATGATGTACTCTTACAAAGAATTAGCTGAATTAGCAGGCTATACATCTCGCGTCTATACCCTCTTGTCTGTGTTACATGCACTTCATGAAAACCAGTTTGATGGACCCAAGGAACCCAAGCAGTTCACATTGACCCATCTGCATGGCCAAGTTATCTATAGTGACGCTGGTATTGTGTTTGATCAAGTGCCTATTGTTGCACCTGCTCCTGGACAAGATCGCGTGGGCGAGGTCTTGGTCAATAACCTCAAGATACAAGTACGATCCGGTGAGCATCTGTTAATCACGGGTCCAAATGGGGTTGGAAAGACGGCCATTGCTCGTGTGATTGCTTCTTTATGGCCTGTGTTTGGTAAAAAAAAAAAAAAAAAAACTATTTTGTTTGTTTCATGGGCTGATAGTATTTGTGTAGAGGGTACATTGACAAGACCTTTAGACCGAGATATATTCTATATTCCTCAACGTCCTTATTTAAGTCTTGGTACTTTACGCGACCAGTAAGTTCAAAAACACACACACATGCACATACTGATGTTGATAGGATTATTTATCCTCATACACATGAACAAATGATTCAATCAGGCCGCACAGATGCTGAATTACTCAAGATCCTTGAATGGGTTCATCTTGTCTATATTCCTGACCGAGAAGGCGGTTGGGAAACAAAAAAAGAATGGAAGGATGTGTTTAGTGGTGGTGAGAAGCAGCGTATTGGTATGGCTCGTTTATTTTATCATCATCCTAAATTTGCTGTTTTGGATGAATGCACCAGTGCTGTCTCAACAGATGTAGAAGGACTCATGTATTCACATGCAAAGGATATGGGCATCAGTAAGTGATTGACATCTAGTTAAACGCTCATTTGTATAGCTCTCTTGACTATTTCTCATCGTCCTGCTCTTTTTAAATACCATCAATTCTTGTTGCGTTTGACTGGGAATCATGGTGAATGGGAATGGGAAACCATTGGTACAAAAGAACAACTTCAGTCTGTTGAAAAAGAACTATCCACACTTCAAGCTCAAGTAGATCAAGTAGACACATTGAAATCACGTCTAGCTCAAATTGATACCGAGTTGAGCTTAAGATTGTAAAAAAGTGCGGTCACATAAATTTTTTTCATGATATTCAACTATATAAATAACACCCTCTTTTCTTTTTCTTTCTCTCTTTCTCTCTTTATTCTACAAGAAAAAAAAAGTTTTGGTAAGTTTCAATACACTAAGGCGGGGGAGAAAGAAACACATACACACAGAGAGAGAGGGTGTTGATGATAACGAATCCGTATTGCTATAACGCTTTATTTGGTCACCGTTTTGGTAGACCGGGTGTAATGTTAGTTTTTTTATAGTCATAGTTACACTGAGCCCTCTCTTCTTTCTCTCATTGATTTTTTTCTTTATATTTTTTACTCATATTTTATTAATAGGTTTTCAAACTTTTTTTCCTCTCTTTTTAAATAAAAAAAAAACTATTTTCTTTTTATATGTGGCTTATTTCAAATGTGCAACTTTAAAAAAAGGGGGTTTATATGCACCATGTTCTTTTTCCTCTTTTTATTAATCATTATTAGACCATGTCAAAAGATCCTTGGGATGATTGGGAAACAGCGACAGAGGCTGGTGTAAATAAGAAAAACAAAAAAAAAAGGCCACTTATGTGTTTGACAAATGTAGTTAAACGATATTCCTAAATCAAAAACATTGTCAAATCAACAATTATGGGAAAAAGCGTAAGAACAAGCATCTACTTTGATTTTGATATATAACAACAGTTGCATAGCAACGCTTATTCAACTCCCATGATTGTTCATACCAATCAAAAACATACTGAATATAAACCAGAGGTAAAGAAGCAAACAGCCATGTCAACTAAATGACTTTGCAATAGCTTAAAATCTTGAAAAGATCAGCAGACATCAAACCTGATTTAGATCCTGCTAAAAAGACAGTACAGGTCAAAGCATTGGCTCAAAGACAAAAAGACTATGAAGAAGCCAAACGTCGCATCGAAGAAAAGTTTAATAAAAAATCATAGTCTTCGGACTTTTAGATAGTGACTAGTTTCCTCTAAACAAAGCGCAGCGGTCTCCATAAAGGAAAATAAAAAGGAACCCTGTTTCTTTCTTTTTTTTAATTTTTCCTCATAATGCTCTCTACTACCTTGTTCCGTAACGCTGCTCTTTTGTCTGTTAAGCGCGCTTCTCTTGTGTCTATCGCTAGACCTGCTACCTTTGCCCGTTCTTTCGCCACTGAAAACAACGAGACCAAGGAAGAACAAACAACTGCTGAAGAAACCAAGGTTGAATTATCTGAAGACGTCAAGAAACTGTTGAATGAAAAGGACAAGCAAATTGCCGAACTCAAGGTAATTCTTTAGATGGGAATCCATTATCGTATTGATGTGTGTTAGGATGCATACCTTCGTTGTCTTGCTGATCAAGAAAATGTTCGTGAACGTAGTCGCAAAGAAATCGAAACCACCAAAGAATTCGCTATTCAGAAGTTCGCCAAAGACTTGTTGGACACTGTTGATATTTTGAACATGGCATTGACAGCTGTTCCTACTGAATACCGTGAAAAGACAGAAGATATCAGTGCTGATGTTGCCACTGTCTTTAATCAACTCAACAATCTTTACACTGGTGTTTCCATGACAGAATCCGAACTTGTGAAAGCCTTGAAGCGTCATGGTGTTGAACGTGAGAACCCTGAAGGTGAATCTTTTGATCCCAACAGACATCAAGCTCTTTTCCAAGCTCCCATGCCTGGTAAAGAAGCAGGCACTATCTTTGTTGTTCAAAAGATGGGTTATTCATTAAAAGGACGTGTACTTAGACCTGCTCAAGTTGGTGTTGTTGCTGAATCTCAGTAAGGACATGACTTTTACATATATATAGATTGATTAGATATGTTGTATTTTAAAATAAAAAATAAGACTGTGTAATATATAGTTTACATAAAGATAGCCAATGTAAAAGTACCTTCATTACGAATCACTACTTTGCTATATTTCATTGTGAGTAAACAGATGAAGAATATATATATATATACATACTTGTTTTCATATTCAAGGTTAATAGTAGGACATTCTACTTTGTCTTCTTGTGCCATGTCAAGATGGCGTGCTGCATTCGCAATAGAAGTAATGAATGCAGCTGATTCTGACTGAGCAATGCCTCTGACTATAAAAACATAAGTTTGAGTTGACGCGTTTTGAACTACCTCCAAGACAAAGACCCTTTTCATCAGCAACTAACACTCCACGAACACCTTCTTTATTCGATCTATTACTCATGAGTTAAACACATCAAAACATCAACGGCTTACATGCTATCTAACGTGTTTATTAATTCAGTTTCCATATAAAAAAAAATGAAAATGAAAAAAGACTACGCTAAAAGGGAAAAAAAAAAAAGGTTATTTCATGCTGAATTACTAATTCTTTTTCTTTCTTCTTTCTTTCTCATTATGAATTTCAGTTTTGAAGGCAACTATAAGCCAAGACGCAACATCAACTTGGGTGGTGTTAGAAAAGTCGATGATAAAAAGTCGCTTATGGTCAAAGCTCAACTTGAAAGAAAACAACGAGAACAAGAGCGTCTTCGTTTAAAGAGTGCAGAACGTATTCAGGCAAGTACAATGCTATCTTTGATGAGTGTCTTATCGGTCTCATAGGCTTTCTATCGAGGACGAAAACAAGCTGCTCTTATTCGACAAACATTAAGACATGAATTTGAATCCGTTGTTCGTACGGAACCTATCGACATGATTACCTTGACTCGACAATTGCTCTTATTTTATCAGCCTGAGAAAGACACAGCTTATCTAGAACAATACGCAGCTCAACTCACAGTGATGCCTACAGGTGATTCTTGGGTCTGGCTTGTCTGTCTGTTGATCAAGAAAGTACTTTTACCCAGCATAAAACATCCTTCTGCATCTCACCTATTTTCTCGACTCTTGAATGACTCTGATCATCATATCCGCATCATGACATTTACGCTCTATCATACGTCTGTCTTCAAGACCATCAAAGAAGCATTTGAATTATTTCCAGACACTGTCGAGTCCATTTTATACCAATATGTTGTATTTTATCCACCTTATGACTACCCAACATCATCTCTGATGGAACAGTATGGTGGTAGAAACAGACACGCTATTTACATGACACGTCCTGCATTACTTGAATGCATCACACGTCAATTATTGACAGATCCCTTTTTCTTTGATCATTTCAATAACCGCTCTGCTGTTGTCCATGCATGGTCGACTCAATTGCCATTAAAGGACATGTTGGCTACCGTGATCGATCTGTTTCCTAGTTACAACCTGGACCCCGAGGACATTGCTGGGCTGTTGATTAACCTGACAGAAATGGGGGAAGCAGACTCAGGCAAACATTTGTCTGGTGTGCTTACCATGTATGCAAAAGCCGTTCAGTTACTACTGACACATTTACCTCTTTCGTATCTAACAGACATGTCCAAGGAGACCATCATAGATCAAGGTAAATAGAAGCATACAAGAATAAGCACTAATATGGATAGATTCAGACTCTTCTGATGATGATGACGACAATGACGATGATGATGTGGTTATGCAAGAAGCAAAACAACCTTCTCTAGTGATATCACCTCTTATTTTAGCTCGTCTTGAATCCCTGTATGCTTCAGATCGTATTCATGAGCTTCTTTATTCGTTTATTCAACAACAACAATCAGACATTGAATCCATTGCCAGTTTCTTTAATACACTCATGTTACGATGGCCTTCTAAAAAGGACAGTATTCTCAACACACTTCTATATAAATCTCGACAAAAGACAACCCAACCTTTAATTCATGTTTTATGGGAGTCTTGGTCAACAACAGCCATGGTCTTCAATGAAGAACACATCATGTTGCATTTAGATACTGCAGTCAAATCCCTGATGGACGGTAACCAATGGTCTATTCTGTATCTTTTATGTGAAGTCTATGCGCGTTTGTTATTGACAATGGGAGATGACGAGTTCTTCTCGACCAAGAATCCACTTGAACTCAATCAAGTCGTTGGATTAAGTAGACAACTTAAGCATATTGCGTTTATTATGTTTTGGCGTGCTAATACGATGGATTTAACACAGACGATTGGTATGACAGGTATTCAACTCAGTCAATTACGGTCCAGTGTCACTCATCTATTACAACAAATTCATATGCGAGAGTAAGTGAATAATAACAAAAAGAGGGGGAGGGGCCTATTAAGAGGGATGATTAATGATGTCTAGTTCTCGCCGTACATTTTGTCCTGAAGACCATTGGCTTATACGAGATTTGGATACAGATCATTTCTCAAGTGAAGCAGTAGCAGAAGAATTCAATCTTGAAAGTGAAGAACCCTCCAAGAAACGATCTGTCTCTAAAGGTCGACTGGCTGTGATCAGTCCTCGTCTTGGTCTCTTAAACAATATACCCTTTGTGATCCCCTTTGAACAGCGTGTAGAAATCTTTCGTATGTTTGTTGCCAATGATAAGAAACGCAACCAGATTGATGACATGTATTATCGACCCAAGACATCTGCTGTTGTCCGCAGAGACCATATGTTTGAAGACGGGTATGAGTCCCTGAGTGGCTTGGGTATTAATGAACTTAAGGGCAAAGTGGCTATTTCATTTGTGGATGAATTTGGATTAGAAGAAGCAGGCATTGATGGTGGTGGTGTCTTTAAAGAATTCTTGACGGGTCTAAGTAAAGAAGCATTCAATGTGAATTATGGCTTGTTTGTAGCCACACAAGATCAATTGCTGTATCCTAATCCTAGTCTTTCTGCAACACAAGGTAAACTAAATCCAGTCAATCAAAACAACTGACCTGTCTTTAGCTCAACAATTAGACTATTTTCGATTCTTGGGTTTGATCATTGGTAAAGCTGTTTATGAAGGCATCTTGCTGGATGTTGCCTTTGCTGAATTCTTTTTGAAAAAGTGTCTTGGCAAAGTGAATTACTGTAAGTTGATGTAGACAGTGAGTGTTTAGTAACATACGTTTAGTAGACGATATTGTCTCTTTGGATCCTGAACTCTACAAGGGCCTGATTGCAGTCAAACACTATGATGGCAATGTAGAAGATCTTTCTTTGGATTTCACCAGTACGCATATGGAGAATGGTAAATCTATCACCATTGAACTGATCCCCAATGGTAGCCAAGTCCCTGTGACAAACACAAACCGGATTCAATACATTTATTCTATGGCAAATTACAAACTGAATGTTCAGATTGCTAAACAATGCCGTGCCTTTTTCAGAGGGCTTTCAACTATGATTGATATCAAGTGGCTGCGTATGTTCAATCAGCAAGAACTTCAGATCATGTTGGGTGGTGCCTCTGTCCCTATTGACTTGGCTGATCTACGTGCGCATACCGTATTGGCTGGTTTCATGGACCATGATGCTACAGTCAAGAACTTTTGGCGTGCACTTGAATCTTTTGACAACCCATTGCGTATGAAATTCGTCAAGTTTGTCACGTCATGCTCAAGGCCTCCCTTGTTGGGTTTTAAGGAATTGGTGCCACAATTCTGTTTGAGAAATGCTGGTCTAGATAATGATCGATTGCCTACCAGTTCAACCTGCGTCAATCTGCTTAAGCTGCCTAATTATTCAAATTATGAGATCTTGAGACAGTAAGTAAGAAATCATAGGCCTTCTTGTACTCAATTATATAGAAAATTACTGTACGCTATCAATGCTGATGCTGGGTTTGATTTATCTTAATAATGATGACAGATGGTTACACATAGAAAAGGGGTTCAACCTGACTGTTACACGATCCAAAGTCTATAAAAAAAATTTCTAAAAACACAAAAAAATGCGTTTTTTTTTTATCAGATTTGGGTAATTTTTTAATCGTTGGTTACAAGGTCGAGTAATGGAAGCTGTCAAGGCATGGTTTCCAACTCGACATAGAGCAGAGACACAGCTCCCATCATCTGTAGAACACAATAAGCTGGTATTCTTTCTTGAGTCTGACAAGAACATATCAATCTCGTTTCGTCTGTCTTTTATGTACTGTTGTGTTTCTACGGAAATAGGTATTTTGTAATTTCGAGCATAATTGAGTCAATCGACGGTAGACAATGTATGCACTGGGTCGTTTGGTTGGGTCTGTCTGTAGACAATCGACATAGATACCCCGCCACTTCAGGGGCTACATAAGGCCATCGACCAGCTGGTTTAGTCGACTGTTGATCCTTATTAAGGTGCATAAATGTAATGTCCACTAATTCGCCTATATAATCAGCATTACTCAGCAAAACATTGCGTGTGTGAACATTGCCATGAATGTAGTTCCAGTGAAGATCTTTGATGTTCTTGGTGATACTGAGTGCTAGTTGACAAGGTTTAAAGTAGTCTGTAGGGATTTCTTTTTCAATCTGATTCTCTAGGTTGCCAAATTTAGCCTTGACCATTACAAGCATCAGACGACTATAGCCCGAGTGTTCATCATAATGAACAGTGAAACCGAGAATAGGAATCACTGACATATACCTTACTCTCCAGAACTCAACCCAATTGAGCAATTTTGGTAAGTTGTTAAGAGCGGTGTAAAGAGAGAGTTTGTGCTTAAGAAGGACACCCTTCCCCAAGTGGTTACTGATGCATGTAACAGAGTCTTAGTTTCTTCCTTTGAAGGCTTTGTACGCTACTCAATAAGACGTTTTGATGATTGTTTTGCTTCCCGCCCTGTTTGATTTATAAATAAATTCATGCGACATCTTTTTTTCAAATAGTGCGACAGCTTAAATTTTTATGGTGCAAAAGGTATATCTATTATATATACAGTGCTTTGCGTTTGAAAATAGAATTTTTGGGAAGTAAAAGTAGAGTTTTTTTTGTTTGTCCAGTATAATTTTTTAAGTCTTGTAGAAATCCTTGGCAAGCAGTAAAGTATTTTAATCACTGGTAAAAATATTTGACAATCAAGAGGTGTCGATGACGATGACGATGACGATGTCGGTGTCGGTGTCGGTGTCGTTTTCTTTTTCTTTTTCTTTTTCAAAATAAAAAATGGCCACGGAAGACGACAATGTAAACAATCTATACCTGCCTTTAGAACTAAGGCCAGGTACATATATTACTAGTAAACTCATAATGAACGATGAAACTGTAAAGAACATTATTATTCATGAACTGCTTGGTAATTTGCCATTTATTTGCGCATGAAGAAACTAGTTTTACTTACAAGTGTCCATCTTTGTAGGATCAAACATCACAAATGATTTGTATCATTCTGCATCAACAGACTGGTCAGATGGAACGAAATCAGATGTTCTGTATGTACCTACCGAAGTTAGTGATGATCAACCCCCAATCCTCATTGAAATCCAAAACACCGTCGATCAAGCATTCATGATAAGATTAATCCAATGCTGTGCTCGTGTGTTTGAACATTACCAAGTATTGCCTGTGGTTCTTGTATTCGTAGCTGCAAAGTTCTCTGGTAAAGAATTTGAAAAAAAATTTGTGACAAAAGTCAATGCACCATATTTGCTAGAAACTCCATGTGAATTTTGGGCTCAGGCGGCAAACTTTATTTCTTCAAAATCCATTGAAAATCATATCAAAGTGGGCATGAATCAGCTTGTGGCACTTGCCTACTTTACCACCTGTCAATCTACAAGCTTAAGTTCATTAGAATTTGCTGACGATTCAACCGTACGCTTTTTACACTCAATTTGCAAGGCTAACATGAAGAAAAAGGGAGATAGCAAAATGATTCAAATTATCGACCAAATCACAGAACAAATAAGGAAAGCGATTGAATTGGACGAAGAAAATCCTATCCTGACAGCTGAAAAGTGCAGAAATTTCGCTGAACAACTATTAGAAACAATTCAAGCCCAGAAAAGAAAGCTAGTTGAGGTGTATGAACTTGACACAGAAGTATCACAAAGGCAACAAAAGAGATATACTACAGAAGACTTTAGATTCATTGAAACTAATTCTGAACCAAACAAAACCAGAAACTGGAAAAAAATCTTCAACGAAGGAAAAGCCAAAGGACTCTTTTCTTCTTACATATCATCAAATTCCTTAAAAAGCTCATACCATCATGCCAAAAAGCGTGAAAAAAATCAAGAATAATATATAATTTGTTCCCAAATAAAGATTTTACATTACAGCTTTTTTATTGATTTCTCTACAACCAAATTAATAGTTTGATTTTCTACATTAGAAGAAAAGGAGAACATCTTGTCTGGATGAGACAAAAACTGACATAACGCATGAAAAGCATTTATAGGTTAATCTTTAAGAGGTGTGATATCCAAATCGAAAAGAAGCATCAGACATTTTTCTGCCCAAAAATCAGATTTGACTTTTACCAAATGTGAATTTAGTTCATTTTCGTTTGAGCCAAGGCATTCTTTGTTAGCAATAATTAATATAATTGGCAAAGAATTGAATTTTTCGTAAACAAGTGTACAGTATTGTATAATTTTCAGCATTAGCACTTGATTAATTTCACTTTGAATAGTAACAACTATTGGGTTAGAACGTTCATCACTTTCATTTTGTGAGGTGTATACTTTAAAAAAGCTTTCAGTCTCTGGCCATCCAGTCTGTTGCACTACATATCTGTTTTTTGGGACGTATGTACCTGTAAATAAAGTCAAGTGTTATATAAAAGCAGTATGCTTTGTGAGAACGATCAGATTTATTTTTTCTTGATCATTTAGTAGAAGCTGAGCTATAAGATTTGTATTTGACTTCCATTTGAATGGTAGATTAGGAATATCCAGGTTCTCGTCTACTTTTGGATTATTTTCATAATTTCTTTTTTTCTCAAATACAGTTATAAGCTTATCATCAGTTTCCATCAACATTATGTAGAGAAAGAGACAGGTTTCTTCTTAGCCCACACCACAAATAAATTATCGTCATTTCGACACCAATGCGCGAAAAAGAATAGCGATGACGACGCCGACACCGACACCTCTTGATTGTCAAATATTTTTACCAGTGATTAAAATACTTTACTGCTTGCCAAGAATTTCTACAAGACTTAAAAAATTATACTGGACAAACAAAAGACTCTACTTTTATTTTCCAAAAATTCTATTTTCAAATGCAAAACACTGTGTAGTGACAAAAGTTGTAGATCTCTGCTTTCTGAGTCTGTTGATACAAAAAATACAACAACATTGCTGCTAAAATATTGAACAAGATTGTGAGCCCTTTTTTATGCTTTTTTTATAGCATTAGTTAGAACAGCTTTTTTTTATTCAAAAGTGTACAGTGAAGAGTATGTAAAAGAGACTAACGTAATGGCTTTAACCGACAAATAGGATTTTTATTCGTAATTTTTAAAGGCCAATCTTCTAATCTTTGTTTCCTGAGCCTATGCTACAAGTTATATCAAATGTTTGTGTGCATTGCAAATGTTACCTTCAGCACCTTGTCTGATTTCCTGTAAAAACAGTCTCAGTCTGTTTCTCAACTTAGTAACTAATTTGTCTTCGTCCTTATCAGGAGCACCTAGTTGATCCAAAAGGTATTCAGCTTCATCAATGTCTCTATTAACATGAATATTTTTTGTCAAGATCATACACGCGCTACTTACAGCACAAGAGTTCCTCTGTTCATAATTTTAAAAAATTAAGAAAGAAAAAAAAAACAAAACCCTTCTATTTTAGTTGTTTATGTCATCATTCCCTTCATGACCGGAAAAACAGTATAATGGCAAAATTTCAACAAAATAAAACTGCCCACAAATAAAAATAAACTTTTTGTTGTTGCTACGAACGCCTATCAATATCAAAGTTATCTTTAGCGATTTTTTTTTTGATTTAAGCTATAAAAGGCCACAGTGAAATCAACAAAAAGGGTGAATAGTAGCAATGCACTCAATTTTCATCCAAACAAAACGGGCGCTGAATCAACTTCCAAATTTGAAATGTTTGTTTCTATGAACCTTTCTATCAACTTTGATGTGTTTATCAAACAGGTATAAATACGACATTGTTTCTCCTTCCTGTTCCTGCATTACTTTTTTTATTTCTCTTCAATGAAAGCCCAAAAGACTTTAGAGAAACTAAACAGGGATTATCTTTCAACCTCTAATACTTGGAATGGCAAATCCTTTCAAGAAAAGAGGCGGTTCAAGCCTTATCATCGGCCCAACACTTTTCGAGTTTTTTTGTGTTCCATTGGTCTTATGGCTGTTTTTCTTTTTGGTTCACACATCTTCTTATCGTCAAACATGGTTCATATGAGTATGAAGTCTAGCACATAGTTTATTGATTAATAACAGTTTTTTTTTTCAGGACAAGTTGAAGTGCTAACATCATCACTCAATCCCGTTGATCTTGTTAAAGAGCTGCCTTCTTCTCGATCTATTCGTGACAAGTTTATTTATTATGCTACACATGCTCATCTTGCTGGTTCTGAACAAGACCCTGTTTTGGCTAACTGGACTCAAGACCGTTTTTCGCATTTTGGCTTACAAAATGCATCTACCCAAGTTTATTATCCTTTTCTAAACTATCCCTTGGAGCGCAAGCTAGCTGTTGTTAATGGATCACAAGAGCTTTTGTACAATGCTACGTTGAATGAAACAAATCATGATATTACACCTACCTTTCATGGTGAGTACGATAAAACGTTGCCTTTTTTGTTCTAACTGCATATCTGTGTACAAAAGCTTATTCTGCAGATGGTAATGTCACAGGCCCCGTTGTTTATGTCAATTTTGGTCGACTCGAAGACTTTGTTTGGCTTACTTCCCAGTCCAATATCTCAGTCAAAGGTACAATAGCTTTGGTGCGCCATGGTAAGATACCTAGCAGTATCAAGGTACAAAATGCTGAGCAATTTGGATGCATTGGCGCACTTGTTTATAATGATCCTGCAGATACAGATCTGCCTACTTTGGTACATCGAGAATCTGTTTCTTATGCTCACTTTTATCCTGGAGACCCTTCCACGCCTGGTTTTGCATCTACTCTAAATGCTACAGTAGTCGAAAACACAACCATGGCTGGTATTCCATCGCTACCTATTTCATGGTCAGACGCACTTCCCTTATTTCGTATCACACAAAATCTGGGTCTCACTGATTCTTTGTGGTTAGGTGGATCAACGCAAGTAGATTATTTTACTGGTCCAAGCGAAGCTCTTGTAAACCTTGTTAATCTCAACAAGGTTGAAAAGAAGCCTATTTGGAATGTTGTTTCTCGAATTCAAGGGCTTGAAGAACCAGAAAAAGCAATTATCGTTGGTAAACATCACCTACATTGTTTTGTCACATGTAATAAACTTTCATTTAGGTGCTCAAAGAGATGCCTGGAGCCTTAGTGCTGCAGACCCGTCTTCAGGATCCGCTGTTTTGGTAACATGCAAACACACATGATATCACCTGATGTCTCTAAACAAATCTTATTTTTTTTTTGTTTTTGTTTTCTGTAGCTTGAACTTGCACGTGTGTTTGGTATCTTGCTTGAAAAGGGTTGGAAACCAAGACGCTCTATTCTGTTTGTTAGTTGGGATGCTAGCGAATACGGTAATGTAGGTTCTACTGAATGGGTAGAAGACCATACTAGTTGGCTCAAGAAACACGCAGTTGCTTACTTGGATATCAGTCATGCAGCTGTCACTGGCCCTAATTTCTCTGCTCAAGCTTCTCCTCTTTTACATCGTCTTCTTAAACAAGTAACATCCATGTTAATTGATCCCAAGACAAGTCAAACAGTTTACGAAGCCTGGTTGGATCACTATACGATAAACGATTGGATTCCCATGCTGATTCCACCTGTAAGTACTGCAAAGGATGCCAATGCGTTTTATCATTATGCAGGTGTACCCAGCTTGTCGATATCGTTCACAGGAGAAAAATATGATGTGTCACATAGTACATTCGATAGGTAAAGTTAAAACAAACATAAACACTTTGTTCCTAATATGTGTAAATGATTATAGTATCTCATGGATGGAGCGGTTTGGTGACCCTACATTTGAGTACCATCAAACCTTAGTCAAGATTCTAGCCTTGTTGACTTTGCGCTTATCAGACGACGTTGTTTTACCTTTGAATCCTGTTGATTATACATACACAATGCTACAGTGCTTGGATCAGATTGTATCTCAAGAACCTTCCTCAAACAAGTCTTCAGAACAAGAATTGCCTGCACTTTATCATGCTATACATGCACTTCACAAGGCAAGTAATAGATTCAATGATAAAGTAGGCCATGTTGAATCAAGACTCAACCATTACAACAATCTACAAGAGACATTCAAGCACCATCATGACAAAAAGAAAAAGCTCTATAAAAAAATCCACAAACTCAATGAGCACATCTTGAATTTTGAAAGAAATTTTGTAGACAACAAAGGATTGCTGATCAGTCGTCCTTGGTACAAACATGTTATCTTTGGTCCTTCAGCAAAATCTGGACATATGGAGTGCTTTCCTAGCTTGATGGAATCTAAAGCGCTCGAAGATTTGGACATGGTGAGCCAAAATGAACAAGTACTGGCAGAAGTTTTACGAAAAGCTAAATCTGTTCTGTTGTAAACATGATTTTATGCAATATATGTATGTGTATGTATCAAAATAAAACTACTTTCTTCTTCCTCTCTTGGAATCAGTACCCTTTTTGTCATCTTTTGCATTTCTCTTATTGTTAGGCTAGAAGAAGAAAAAGAGATTAGAAAAAGATGTTATGTGGCGTCTCATACGTACTTTTTTAGCTGGTGCTGAAGATGGAACTGCTTTAAAGAAATCTTGTACTCGAGTCTGTGTTGCTTGTTTCAAATTCTTTGTTAGCTTTTCACAACCTTTTCTAATACGATCCTCACTAACAAAATAAGTAAGAAAAACTCAAACTATACATCAACACACTTACGCAAATCCCTTCTTCCTCACCATGAAATCAACCACAGCTTCAACATCAGGACCAGTCCAAGTAAGCTATTTTGTAAATATAAGCAAGACAAAGATATGATTCAACTTACCTCAATCTTTGATCCGGGTGTGACTTCGGGGTTTACAAAAAGTTCTCGAGCCTCATTATAATTCCAGTCTTCAGGGATGTTTTCTTTTAATTTAGGTGACAAATGTTTGATAGCCTCGTCAATTGTCTTGTGTTCTTTAATCAAACTGTATGCACTCTTTGGTCCAACACCTTTAATTGATTGTGTATAATCACAACCCAATAAGATGCAAAGGTCGATAAACTAAACATTATCAGCCATCTACCTTTCTTGAGTGTGTCCTTACCTGAGACATAGTTAATCCTAAACCTTCTAAAGCCTTTTCCAAATTCACTTCGTCAATTGGCATTTTTCTAGCTTCGGAGAATGTCAAATGACGCAGCAAAATAGGTGCCTTGAATGTCAAAGTATCCATATCTTCAGAAGCAGCCGCAAATACTTTGCCTGCTATTGCCAACTCTGCACATTGTGCTTCAGCTTCACAAGGTGCTTCCACATACGGAATACCCATTGTTCTCAGTAGTTCCTTACATTCGTCGTTATGTGTCTGTGTGACTTTGACTGTACGTTTCGAGAATCGATTGATGTCTTCAGCTGTACCGACTTCATTGGCTTCTTCTAAGTTGCTTTGTGCTTCTTCCTTACGTGCCTTACGCTTTGCGAGTTCACCAGACTTGAGTGTGGGTGGCTTACCATCAAAAACATAGACAGGCTTAATGCCATGGTCTACCATACGAACTGTACGATAAAACATGCCCATAAGGTGACTGGTAGTCTCACCCTCTTCATTTTGCAAGAGCTGGCCGTCTTGTTGACGAACAGCAATCATGAATTGATAAATACTCATAGACGCGTCAATAGCTACTTTACGACCAAAATAGCTTTTGATTTCATGGCTCTTGATAGCAGCTGGTGCATGTTCTGATATCAACTTGGTTAAGCCGTGAATACCCATGCTAGTAAAGTTTAGATAAAAGAAAGAAAACAAGTATAATTTTTTCTTTTGGTCATTTAAAAGTGACGTTCAAATTTGCATGAATGAAAAAAAATTTTGACAGGATCTGAACAAAAAGGTTAATCGCTCTAGTAAACGCCTAAAAGCAAGAATTTTTAGATTTTGATATGATTCATGCCTTACTTAATGAAGCGAACAACAAAAAAAAAAAAAAAAAAAAAAAAAAAAAAAAAAAAAGAACAAGCCTTTAATTACTAAATTTCACCAGTGGATTACTTATTTCGATTTACAAATAGACAGGATGCTTGGGCAAAGAATTAAAATTTTATTTCACCAAAAGTATGCGCTTGTAAATAAAGTAGTAATTTCATTAACAATTATAAGAATTGGTCTAAAATGTCACCCAAGAAGTTGATCTGTGTATGGAGGGTACAGTGAAAGAACTAAAGACACTTAACCTATTTTATAAGCAATATATATAGCTAATGATTAATGAATTCAATACATACTACTAAACGTTATTTGTGGTTTGTTTACAATTGTTATTATTGTCTGCGCTTTATGGATTGAAGCATTATAATTTCTTTTTATAATGCTACATCAAATATTTCATTCATAATTTTATCAATGTAGGACCTTTTAGAGCTGGCTTAGTCGGATTAGCAATATCTTCAACTTCTGCAACTTTTTTTTGGACCTTTCTCCTGATTACTCCATCACTCAATCATAGATTCAAATGTCAAGTAACCTGGAGGACTTGCCTCTGCCGGCAAGCTCTTTTTCAAGTAAAGGAAGAGGCGAGAAGTTGTTTATGAATGCCAACAAAAGGATCACTACCATCACAATGTTATATATTACAATCTCAATAGCAGCCACCTTTTTCAACAAACTACTCTTTACTTACTCTGAATACAAGTTTCCTTATCCATTTTTTACTGTCGTATCTCAACTTTTGATTACAGTTTTATTCATGTTTATTTGGAGTAAGTTAAAGCCATTGTAAGTCTAGACAAGTTAGTTGATTATTTATCTAATCTGATGTTTTCAAGCCAACATCCTCTAGCTCAAATACCCGCCTTCAGTTGGGACTCAACTGTGGCCCTCCGTATTGCACCACTGACTACAGTTTATATGTGCGTTATTATTTTCAACCCATTATATCTACAACATGTAGAAGCAACAAATTATCAATTTACACATTCGCTTACTATTGCATTCTCTTTGTTATTTTCATATCTTATGCTTCAAGCAGAGACTTCAAGAAATGTCAAGTCTTCTTGTATCCTTGTTATGTTTGGAACATGTGTAGGGTCAATGGGCTATCTTAATTTTTCTTTGGTAGGCGCATTCTATAGTTTGGCATGGCCTGCTATTGTAGCTTTGTATGGAATTTATCTGAAAAAGACCTTGACTGCTTCAAAAAATGACATTTGGTAAACAATAGTTTACAAGAATACCAAAGCTAATAGTGCTGTTTAGGTGCGTTATTCAATACAACTCCATCATGTCTATTGGTGTTTTGACATTACTTGTCATTTTATCTGGTGAATTGAGCGATATATTCTCTAATGTTTGGTTCTGGGATGAGTTTGGTTTTTGGCTACAAATGGTTCTCACTGCTATGACTGGATTTTGCATTAACGCTATCATGCTTCTGATGCTAGTGCATACATCACCATTGACTGTCACAGTGGCGAGTGTGTCAAGGGTAAGTACAAAGGCTTAAATAAATTATACCTAATATGTATATGACAGACTGCCATACAAGCACTGTTGGTTACAGTTATTTTTGGCAATAGAATGAGTCTTCTTGTAAGTGATAAGTAATGCTATTATTTACTAATTTCCTTTATTATATATATAAGAATGTGATAGGCATATTGATTTCATTAGCTGGATCAGGTTGCTACATTTTTTTGCGACTAGGTGAGACAAAGCTATAATCATGATTGTGTATACTGTGTGTAAAATTAATATCAGATTGTCAAAGAATTGATGACATTTTCATTATTTTCTTGAGAACTTTTGTTTGTTGAAGCATTGTCTTCATTTTGGCCCATATACAAGGTGTGGATCATACGGCTCAATGTGAGTAAGAAGTTGGTATTTTCTTCAGTTGACATAAACAAGTGACCCTTAAGAGAACGTAAGAGCTTTTCCAATCGTGTCATGGCTCCGTATTTTGATTTCATATCAATTTTTCTAACATAACTCTGAATTCAACAAGGAACATCTCAAATGATAACTTACTTGTCGTATGTCTTGTATTGAATCAGCAGATCTTTACAGATGTCAAGAACATCACTAGACACTTGTTTACATTGAGCTACTTTTTGAAAACATGCAAATGGTAAACCTATAAAAAAGAAAATGAGACTAAAAGAAGAGAAGTTAAAATACACTTACGATATGCTTTGTTTGGACTTCTTTGTTTACCGACATGAAAGAATTGGAATTGAGATTTTTCAGAGATATTGGCATTATAGGGAGTAATAATTGTTCCAATGAATGGCTCGACACCATTGGCTTCGTCACGGAAAAGACACTATACGAATATAAATACAAAAGAAAGACTGACTATGGAACATACTTGATAAGACGCTTGATTTTCAATGTCTCTGATACTAGGCTCAGGATCGAAAGTTGGGTGCGAGTGGTACCAACCAACTACTTTTAACCCTTTCTTTTCAAACACTTCTCTTGCGACCATTTCTGAATCAGGGTCCATTTCACACTGTATCAAGCATGAATAAGCGTATAAAAAAATGGACAAATATGTACCTGAGTTCCTGTGCTTGTACTACGACATGGGAATACATATTCAACTTGAAGTTCCTTTGTCTTTGTTGCCTCATCTTGAACAAATCTACCTCCCAAAAGACCGATAATTTCAGCACTTGCAAGATGTGAATGAAACTCCATAACAATCTACAATTGTGTCAAACTTCATCTTCTGTGTTTGTGTGACCTTACCAAAGCATCACTTGTGATAGTTACTGAAAATGGCGCATAAGATGCTTTTGGATAATAGCTTACTGGAATAAGACGAAATGCGTCATCCATGAATCCAGAATCATTGAGACTTTCGTTATAAAATGTTTCAGGTTTTTTTACAGCGCGTCTTGGTCTTGATGTACCCTCTAAAAAAAATACGAAAGAAATAAGCTCAATGAGACGGGTCATTCATTTTATTCTTACCTCCATTGATAATGTTGTTTCTAGCGACATCCATAAGGTTTCCTTCATCATCACTATCGACATCAGCCCTAAAGAAAATCAGAAAAAAAACAAAACAAATAATATAATTGTGCGACAGTGTACCAGTAATACCCAGGCGCTTTTTTTGATTTTTTGCTACTTGAAGGGCTATTGTAGATTAGTATCAAACACGTCAGGGCTATTCGGTCTTACCCGTCTTCAGAAGAGCGGTTTGCTCTTGCATAGGATCGTTTCTTAACAGCTACAGGTGTAACGCAGTTTACATTGATGATATTGTTGTTCTCAAGGTAGGCGTGGATTCGTCCTACAGCATTTACATCTCCACAATCCTTCATATTTCTGCGGCCTGCTGTCTTGGTAAGATAGTTTGGACGGCTGTTCTTCCAGCATTGAATGATATGGTTTCGGATTCTCATGTATCTTTCAGGTGTTTTGGCTGGTTTTCCCATGAACCATTCAGCATTTCCTTTACGTTCGTGTTCTGTGACTTCATTCAAGTTAAGCTCCTAGAGGAAGTTCATTAATAAGGTTTAGATACATGTATTACGTGAACTTACGACTTCGACTTCTTTTTGAGTATCCTCTTCGTCCTTTTCTTGTTCCTGTAGTTTGTTATCTGGACTAGACTCTCTTTTTCCATTGAAACTGATTTCAGTGGAACTGTTAGGAGAGTTTTGTGGTATCATAGGAGATTGCATAAAACCATTGGAAATAGGTGGTACAGTAGTATCATAAAGAACACGAGTACTTAATGGTGATTCTAAATGGCTTACAGGAGATGGATTAACATGGATTGGTTCAAAGGGAGAATGAGAATTAATAGGAAGAGAGCTTTGGAGCATTTGAAGTGGAGGGAGTAACCCGTTTGACTTGGGCATATGATCAAACGGGTTTGGTAATCTGATCACTTCTTCAGTAAAAGGACCCTTGGTATTTTGCTGGTTACTGTTATCAGAAAACTAGACACACTAAGTTTAATAGGTGAAATGACTATTAGATTATTGTGTACCTTTTGAAGCTCTGGCTTTTGACGTGCACGACTTTTACATTGCATTGCATTTCTAGTTTGAACGTGTTCTGCAATAAGCTTCCAATGTCCATAGCCATGCTTTTTCTATCAAGGAGTTTTTTTTTTTTAGTTACTGGCGACATTTTTTTTCTAATGCTGTTTAGGGCATATTCTATCTTACAATTCCTTCAGCCAGACGTCCATCTTCTTCAGCAGTCCATCGCTTCTTGTGAGTAGAAGCATCTGCTAATGAATAAGTAGAGACAGGTTACACATACAGTATTTAAGATTTGACATAGTTTTTTTTTTCTCACCTTCTTCGGTCTCCTTATTGATGACAGTATTGGTAATAACTTTTTCATTTTTTACAGGTAGATTTACCTTGCTCATTTGGTGCGGCATCGTGTTCTTGTGCTCATCAGTAATATTTAATTTTGGCTGCTGCATAAAGTATTGTCCTGAAGATTGTTCTGACAAACTAGGTAATGCATCAAAACCATAGCAGTACTTTTCCTGAGCTATGAGTTGATCTATAAGCTCGTGCGAGGAATCTTCCATGATTTTGAAAGAGAGAGAGAGAGAGAGAGGGATAAAATAAAGAGAGGGAAAAGAAGTGTAAAATAGAGTTTTATTTCTGTTTCTTTATTTTGGGCGTAAAAACAACAGTCAAAAACCAATTGTTTACAAGTCTACTTAGGTTTGACCTCTTTTATACAAAGCGAAAAGATACATAAAATGTAACTTATTCATCAAAAAGAACAAAGTCGTCCTTTTTTTTTTAGGAGAAGGATGAGTGCATAAACTATCCACTGATTGTCAGAAATTAAAGCGCGTATTATTGCCATAATAGATGTACCTATTTATCACATGAAAGGAAGAGGCTTAAGAAGGTATTTTATAATGAGAAAGAGAGTCATCACTTCATAAAAATAAACTCATCAATATGACCTGTTGCATATTAGTTATGCACGTCAATTGTTTGGGAGAACAAAATAGCTGGATTTCAAGCCTATTTAAAGCATCATAGTATACACTTTGAGCTTTGGCTTCAAATAAATAACACATGCTTACTTGAGATCTTTTTCTTTGCTCTCTCTCTTTTTTTTTCTCTCTCAAGCCATATCTGACATGAAACTTTTTTCTGTTCTACTCATTCTATTTTGTCTAAAAGGTCATGTATTAGCATTCTATGGTGATCTTCAGAAAAGTATAATAGTTCCTCCCATTAATTATGCAGCAAGTGCAGCCATTGGCAATCTCATTTACATTTTTGGTGGAAGGATTGTCGATGATACTGGTAATCCCGATGCTTATAATGTAAATATTACAACCCTAAGCTTCTCTTCTAATGGTGAATTGCAAGTCAATATAATTTCACCGAGAAGACAAGTGACATGCGATAGTTGCAAGGGCTATGCATTACCTGGAGATCAAACACTAGTTGCAATTAACGCAGACTATCCAGAGTATAATACTACTAGAAATCGCACCATATATCCTTCAGGATTGGCATTGTTTAGTATTGCAAATAATTCTTGGTCTTTGCCACAAAGTAGTCAAAATGTTATAAGAACTCTCCCTGCCACTCGGTTTGGCTTTGCTACGGCTATATCTCCTAACAAAGACGCCATTTACATGCTCGGTGGCGATGAGCTTATACTGGACAATTATATACAGGCGACGTCTATTTTTAGGTTTGATCTGAGGAACATGTCTATAGTAACAAACATGACAGCAATCAACCATAACTCGAGGCTTGGAATAATAGGATCTTGTGCAGATATGCTATCGTAAGTAAAAAGAGAGGGAGAAGAACACAATTCATGGTTACGATAGAAATGGCATTGTGGTCATTGCATTTGGGTATGACAAGAGTGTTAACCAAAGCTACCCCACTGATCAAGTGATTCTATACGATACAAATTTGAATCAGATTCGCATGCAAAATATAACTGGTACGCCACCTCCTGAAAGAGTATTTGCCTCTAGTGTCTTGGGTAACGTTTGAATGAATGGCTCAACCAGGTTTACTAAAAAAAACCCTTTTTGAATAGGTCCAGATGGCTCTACTATTTATTATTATGGGGGTATTTTTTAAAAGAAACGACGAGAGCAGCTCTCATTTTAATCAAATTTCTTAGGGATTGACTATAGAGCTTTTGGAAATCAATATGCGGGTCAGCCTCCCAATGGGCTAATGGCTCTTGACACAACAACATGGACTTGGTTTAATGTTCCTACTGTAGGACCTATTCCTTTGCCTTTTGCATATGGTACAATGGTATTGTTAAACTCTTCTGAAATTGTGATTGCTACAGGTGAGCACCTTGTAGTAAGTGAAAAAATACTTACTCACTTGCATCTAGGTAGCGCGGGTATCTCTTATGCTGAAACCATTGGTGTCTTGATCAGCCTACCTCAACCAGGAGAATCCATACAGTCAAGAGTTTTGAGATGGTTTACGAATAATCCAGAGTATGACAGTATAGGTATTACCTACGGCCATCATGAAATGAGTACCGCTGCTATTGTTGGTATTACTGTTGCTGCTGCCATGACTATAATACTTCTTTTTACTTTGCTTTGGAAATATGTGCCACCGATCAAAAGAGCTACTAGATTTATCCACTATGAAATCATATGGAAGCCAAGGTATAGTACTACTTTGCAGTGTATTTAACTAAATGTTCTAGATCCGGGGAGCCACTATGGGCGGAAACAGCAAGATTGCTTGTACGGTTCATTTTGTTTTTTTTATTTTTAGCATTTGTCGTCTATGTCATCTACAAGTCTATAAATAGTCCTTTAGTCATCCAGCACACAAACTTAGTGACGGATGCTGTTCTTGCTCCAGGTAAACACTGACTCAATTTTCTAGATAGCTAATAGGCCCTAGATGTTCGGTTTTGTTTTGACGGCTTTGATACGACTGATCCAAATATGGGTGTCATTTGTCGATTTAGAAATGGCACAGAATGTTCTCAGTATATTCAGCCACTTAACATGAGTCTGCATACACCTATTTATACTGACTATTTTGGGAGTGTTGCCTGCTTCTTATTTCTGCCGGGTCCTTCCTTCTATATCATTGACGACAAGTTTGGATACTTGGATTCAACAGGTACAAAGATCACTTTTTCCTTTATGGCTCAGCCAACAGAAAATATCACAATGGGTGTCATTTATGTTGATATGTTTGCGCCTGGTTATGACCCAAATACATATGCCTATAATCTTATCAATGACACAATTGTCAACCATTTAGAACCATCGGAACTAAGAAAATGGATGGCAGCAGAACAATCGTTTGATCTAGTAGAAAATTCATTCATTATTAAACAAAGCATTACTTCCACTGCATCATACACAATCACTCAGACAAAAATGTTGCGTCCTTACGATGGTTGGAACTATATTGGGTTCTCTCCTACTTATGATGAAACACTGACGATTAGTAGTCGATACAAAGATGCGCCTCAAAACCCTAACAATATTATTCCAGGCATGCCAGTAGCCCAACTCACAATCCAACCAAGCTCGTTCACAATCAATATCGATACAGAACAGAAAGTGTTTACTTTACTGAATGCTTTTGCTCAAGCTGGTGGTGTACTTGGACTTTTCATTGCATTACAAACAATTCTTTTTGGATTCCGTCCTCAGTCTCCATGGGGCATAGTTCATCGTTGGTCGTTTGGAAGACTCAGGACAAAGTTGACTGACAAGCTAGCAAATTACTTTGATCGTATGGGAACACCTGTACCACTTGTCAATCCTGTAAACAAGTTTACTCTGAATGCCTTTGGACGCACCGACTTTAATCCGTACAATAAAGACATAGCATTAGAAGAACAAGCTGATGAAACCACAAGTTATGAAAACCGAGTTCAGCAAGTAGAAGAACGATTGCAGCTTATGGAACTTCTATTAAAGTCTTATTATCTCAATGATGAAGTATTTAGATCACTTGATCAAGCCGTGAAACGTAGTCATGAAGAACGAAGACGAAGTCATCTGGGTAGAATAAAATCTGACAACAGCGCTGCAAATCAGGATCTGCACGCAGGAATCAAAAGACGACCATCAAGCACACTTCTTGAACGCAAATCAAGCTATCAGCCACAGATCAGCGAGTCTATTCCACAACACAACTCGTATGATGATGACGAGCATGATTTTATTTTAAGAAAATAATAAATTTAAGTTGATTCTATTTGAAGACAGTTTTCCTTGTTTGATTTTGTAGAACAATCTTGGGAAAGATGATCCACTGCTTGCATCCTATTAAATGTATATATCTTGTTACAGTATTGACAAAACCAAAATGTTTTGATATTGGCAGGTATACTTTCTTGATCCATAGGAATAGTCGATGCACATGAGGGCATTTCGATGCTATTGTAAAATATATTGGTTGAAATGCGTATTCCGGAACGAATAACTACAGTATACAGCTTAACGTCTTATTTGAATATTGTCTTAATCTTTACCATCTTTTGCTTTCCATTCTCTTGGTAAACTCTGCTCTTGATCACTTTCTCCATTGCCAATGAATTTTGGGTACTATTTTATGCATGAGTCTTGTCAATATTTGAATTGATTTTCATTACCATCTTCAACAGTTCAGATGCCTTAGCAGCCCTCAGTTCTGCGGATATTGATGTTTCCATAAAGTCTATTATTTTCTCTATATGATATTTAGTCCAATCGAGTTATTTCAAAGAAGGGGAATTACCTCTAAATTTTTGCATTTCTGATTGAAAATGCTTTTCTACTTCAGGTGTCCACATATCCCATCGACTGTCTTTTGTCTTTGAGTCTAGTTGTTCATTTAGTATTTGCTGTATCGTCAAAGGTAGACCCTTCTTTGCTTCCGGACTAATAATTTCCTCATCTGAAGGTGAATCTACAAACTAGATGGAACGATTATCAAAAAAAGATGTTCAAGATATCAAACTACTTACGCTTTCTAGTCCACGACTAATGCGGATATTTTGGAGTTTTTGCCATTCTGTACGAATCTTCCAGACTAAATAAAGGATGTATTCTGCGACTTGTGTAGTCTTAAAATGAATCATGAAGTATGAATCAACCACAATGACACTACAATCCAAATTCAGATCGACTAGTATCATTTTAGCTTTTGTTTCAACCATTTTTTTTTCTATTACTTACTTGTCTTTCCAAACAAAAGCAATGCATGGATACCTATTGTCAAAAGTTAGAAAAAACAAAGGTATGCCAACCATGCGAGACTTTACCAGGTACTCTTGTGATATTGACAAGAAAAGGCTTGTTAGTTTCTAATAATTGTAGATAGCATAGTAATTGATGATACATTGCCTCTTCTACTGTCTTATCATCTATTATTTAATTGCATGAGATGCAAGCAAACAATTCCGAGTTTATATACCTTTACGAGTATTTTTGTTGTGGCCTTGTACCCATTCTGGATGAGATGCAATAACACTGCTCGGATGAATAGATATAAAGCTCTTTACTACAAGGAAGACCTAATCAGCCTAACTTCATGAAAAGGCGGTTTGTTTACCTGGCACATGGAATACAATTTCATTGCTTTTTCTATACGGATTATGCTCATCACCTATTGCTAGTTGTGGATATAAGGAGGAACATAAAATAAGCTTGACCATTTGTATTTCTGCTTCTGAAGGAGAGGATGCTCTCGACTTGAGACGCTTTACATTATTCATTAAGGAAAATTCAAGATCTCGAATATCTTTTCTTTCGGACGCTCCTTCATCTTGTTCTTCGGCTATGCGTATAGGAAATAAAAGATGAGAATGGAGTCAGATATTGGTTAGTTGTTTTACCGTGGTTTTCCAAAGAATGCATATCCAAAACTCGTCTTCTTTTATTACTTCTTTGGTCATATTTCTCTCTACGAAGCTTTTCTCGGACAGCATGTCTTGATGCTTCGTTAACCTATTGTCTCAAAGAATCAATGTCTGATTAATGCATACAATTCTATACCTTCTCTTCTTCCGAATCGCCATCGTTTGTTTTCAATGATTGCAGTAAACCAGGTTGAAAGTCGTTTAGAATCTTTTCAAATTGTCTTTTCATTTTCGCAATCTACATATGCAGTTTTTTTTAGAGGCAGTCCTTTTAAAAATTTACATCTCACCTCGTATAATCTATGCTCTTCAATCATGTGTTGTTTGCACCATTTTCGAGACGATGTCTAGAATGTTGAGTACTTAAAGTACATTTTTTTAGATTTTATATACCTTGCTTTCTTTTACGGCAATCCACTTCTCCCACAAGTTTAATAGAGTGAATGGATCACCATGCTTTGAATCGAATTCACTGCGGTTCTTTGGAAAAGTCAGTTTTGTAGTCTGTGAATGAATGTACTATACTTGAAGATGTTCCCTATTAGAACTAGGCGTAGTTCTTGCGAATGGTGACTGCAGACTCATACCAGCAGCAATAGTCAAGATTGGATCTATGATATTGAATACCTATCATGAGGCAATTAATTCTTTGTTGCGACAGAATATAATCCATACCACGCCAAGAAGCAACATCTTTCCAACTGTAGCATCTACAGGGAGTTTAGCTAAAACTGAACCTAACCCAAGCAAATTTTCATCTTGATCAACAGCGCCCAAATTATACAAAAACTCCATAGAAGAGTTAATGTAGTCTATGGAAGGAGCCTACAGCATCATGATTAAATCTAGTCAAACTTAACGGTCAATTGTACCTCAATATAATCAAACTTTCGAGGATTGCCCAATCCCATGTATTTAATCTGTAATAACAAAGGATCCAGTGCTTCTCTTCGTATTTCAGGAATAGCAAAATCATGGAAATGATTAAACTCATTTTCTGAATAAAATCGAAAGCATTCGCCTGGCCCCGTTCTGCCTGCTCGACCTGTTCTTTGTTTGGCACTTGCTTTTGAAATCCAGAATTCTGATAATCGACTCACTTTTGAGCCTGGATCATGATTCATTTCTTTTACTTTTCCTTTTCATTTGTGTTATTTAAGTCTTGCTTATATGTCACACAACTTACCAGAATCAATGATAAAACGAATACCATCGATGGTAATACTCGTTTCTGCACTATTAACGAATAAGAACTATGTAGAAAGCAAACAACTTACATGTTTGAACTAATGATGCATTTACGAACGCCTTCTGGAGGAGAGTCAAATACCTTCTCTTGCTCTTCTACTGTAAGTGAAGAATGAAGCATCAAAATGACCCATTTTCTAAAAATTGGTCAGATAAACTATTTCGCCATGGATTTCCTTACTTTGTATCTTGAGCGTAAGCCGTAAGGTCTTCAGCTAATGAAGATATCTATTCAATGTTAGAAAAAAAACTTTTTTAAGCACATACCTCATTAATACCAGACATGAAAATCAGCAAGTCTCCTCGCTCATCCAAAGGAACAGATTGATCAATATATTCCAACACTTTAATGTATGGGTCTATTCGGCTTAAATGAGGCGTTGGATATGCTAATTATATTTCGTACCTGGTTTTATCATTTGAGGTCTACTGGGAATAGATTTCTTGATAAAATATCAGAACAAGTCAAAATAAAAAGGGAATCAGGTAGCTTACTTTGATTGCTTCAGAGTGTCTTTTTCGATGTGTTGCTTCATCAACAAGGTTCTTGTCATCTTCCCCTTGAGGCCAGTAATGTATTTTGACACTGTACATTTTTCCTGGCACCTTTGAGATAAAAAAAGATAGTTAAGCCTTTTCAAATACGATTTGTTTCTTACAATTAAAGTAGGTGCATCAAAATACTGAGCAAATAACTCTGCATTAATTGTTGCACTCATCAATACAACGTATAAATCTTTTCTTTGGGTTAATGTCTTTTTTAATAAAGCGAGCAGAAAATCACCTAGGGAAAGAAGCGAATAAGCTACGTTGGTTACTTGTGCTTTTTCTTGCAACTCACCCATCATATGGCGTTCATGGACTTCATCTACTACGATCACATCATACATGGACAACATGTTATCAGCAGCATATTGGCGCAAAAGAAGACCCTATTTATAACTGAATAAGTATACATTTTGTAACAAGGTAGTAAATACTTCTGTCAAGAACAACACCCGCGTATTACTTGACTTGTTTTTTTCAAACCGAACTTGATAGCCAATCCTTGAGCCATATTCATTCAACGTTTCATAGCTAGCATTGCATTAATATAAGGTTGATTTGTTAGCAACTGCTTATACCTGACACGTCTTGCAAGAGAAGAACAAGCAATACGGCGAGGTTGAGTACATGCAATTTTATCAAACCCTGCATTCATCAAGATTTGAGGTACTATCAAACATACACTTTTAGAAGAATAGTAACTCAATAAACCACATACCCTGAGTACTTTTTCCACAGCCAGTATCCCCAGCAATCAACAAAACCCGATGCTTCTTTAAGGTTTCTACAATAGCTGGAGCATAAGGGGTCACTGGTAAGGCTGCCTTGGTTTCCTCAATCTTCTTTTTTAAGTTTTCTTTTTTCTTTTTTTGAAAATCATGAAACAAGACGAGTGCATGGCGTATCAACTCGCCTTCTTGACGCATCAAATTAAATCTATCTGCACTTGTATACCTTTTTGGTGCCTTGTCTTTGAAGATACTTTCCTTTAATTTGATGTAGAAACCTATTAGGCATGTCATAATTAGAGAATTTCAACGCCAAGTCATAACATGCCTTCAAACTCATAATATATAGGTGAACCTGTAGGAGTAAACCAAGAAGCTAGACCACGATTTCTTTTAGAGAAAAAAAGCTCGTCTGTCTCTTCTGTCCAAGGCTTATCCATATCTAATTCAAAGAGCTTACAATCTTTATCATTCTTAGACTCTTTCATAAATTTTTGAGCTGCTTTGATTGCTTCTATTCGTTTATCTTGATAGTATATCTGTATGTTTGTCAATATTCGCGGATTTAACAGTCGGTTTACTTCTTTACAATATCTTTGAGATCCCAAACTTTCTTTTTAAACGCCTCTTGATTCTTGATCAAGGTTCCGTCAACATCGTACTTCTCTTCAGGTACATATTCTGATTTTCGTTTACGGTCATTGTACCGAGATCGATGGGAGCTCATGATGAAGAGTGAAAAGGCTTGCATGACAGAAAAAGAGTATCCGGCCCGGATATAGTACTCACAATACTAGTATTCAAATCCCGCGCTTTTTTTTTGGAATCAAGACGGGTAGATGGTCAAAAAGGCACATAGAGGCGTTCAAGTAATCCTCCTCTCTTTTTTGTACTTTGTACTTGGTGAGTGGATCATGATCATGCATTAAAGAAAGGCAATCATTCTTCGATGGATGTTGAATTGGATAAAGAAGATGGATGGAATAGAGAAGAAAAATCCAGCTTGAAAATGATGTCCTTTTCTTAATGAAAAAAAAAAAAAATCTTGACTGACATTCGATTATAGGAATTCAACATGGGTCGTCGTCCTGCTCGTTGTTATCGTTACTGTAAGAACAAGCCTTACCCCAAGTCTAGATACAACCGTGGTGTCCCTGATGCCAAGCTTAGAATCTACGATTTAGGTCGTAAGAAGGCTTCTGTTGACGACTTCCCTCTCTGTGTTCACTTGGTCTCCAACGAATACGAACAACTTTCTGCCGAAGCTCTTGAAGCTGGTCGTATCTGTGCTAACAAGTACATGTCCAAGACTTCTGGTAAGGATTCCTTCCACATGCGTATCCGTGTCCACCCCTTCCACGTCACCCGTATCAACAAGATGTTGTCTTGTGCTGGTGCCGATAGATTGCAAACCGGTATGCGTGGTGCTTTCGGTAAGCCCAACGGTCTTGTTGCCCGTGTCAACATTGGTCAAATCATTTTCTCTGTTCGTTCCAAGGACTCCAACAAGGCTGTTGTCATTGAAGCCTTGAGACGTTGTAAGTACAAGTTCCCTGGTCAACAAAAGATCATTATCTCCAAGAAGTGGGGTTTCACTCCTTTGTCTCGTGAAGAATACGTTGAAGCTCGTGCTGCTGGCAAGCTCAGACCTGATGGTTGTTATGTCAAGTTCGTTCCTCAAAAGGGTCCTCTTGCCAACTACTTCAAGGAAGCTGGCAAGGTCTAAATGAATTCTTTTTTTTTCTTGTTACAAACATAATTGTCTTTATACAGTAATAAAGAAAAAGAACTGAAGAACAAACATCATTCTGATTTTCTGTGTAACCTAAAGACATGCGTTTTATTTATATCGAGCTCCTTATTACTTATTTGTTTAGTCTTTTCCTTTTTTTTCTTTTTTTTTATATTATCATGGAAACAAAAGAGACCAAATGGGTTAAAAGGCCACAGAGTACTGTCAGTCAAAGAAAGGTTGACAAAGAACTACAGCGTATCAAAAGTTTGGCTGTAGTTTCGGTCCTGAATAAAAGTTTCCAGGACACGGCACTACCACCACCACCTTCTAGCCGTCCTTCAATTCTTCCTGTCATGTCTCCTTCTTCCTCCCTCACTACAAGCTCAACAACTTCTGACCAAGATAGTTTCTCGAATCTTAAAGCAAGATCTCGGTCCATCTCGCACACTTCTTTCACGGCGACTAAATATTCAGCCAATCGACCTAATAGTGTCTGTCTGCAGAGCGATTCTCAGTCTATTAAAGCACCTTCTTTACCCGAGCCCTTAGAACAAGACAACAGCTTAGAGGCGGAGAAGAAAATGAGCGATCACCTCGTGATTGATCATGAAAAAGAAGCACTCAAAAAGCGCTTAGATGAGCTCCAGACACTCTATGATTCATCAAGTCAAGAATTAGACCAACTCAAAGTGCAAAAAGAGACACAAACTGAACTTTTATTGCTGCAAGATAAACTCATTCAAGAAATGACAAGCCATTTAGAAGATGTGAACACAAACTCTATTAACGGCAACACGGAGAATGAAGACATTTCTCAAGAAGATTTAGTACACGCACATAGAGAACTTAGAGCACTTCGGGCAGAATTAGAGCAGTTTAGGCCCTTAAAGACAGAATATGAAGTCATTATCTCAGGCATGACAAGACAACTTGAAGCTTATGAACAAAGAATGGATGAAATAGAAAAGATGGCTCGTGATATACAAAAAGAAAACGAAGCACAGCTTTTGTATATTGATACCAAGGTTCAATCACTTGTAGATAAACTGCTAGAGAGAAACCAAACAATCAGCAAATTGCAATATGAACAACATTTAGAAAAGCAGTTACCAAAACCTGAAGATACTAAAAGCAATAGGAGTAACAGTATCAAAAGTGCAAATGATTCTGCCACCATTTGGGAACAATTTACTCATGAATCTGCCAGTTCTACTCGGTCGTCTTTTGTATCTACAGACAACAATTTAACAAAATCACTTACTGCTCGTTGGAAAGGCACGGTTGTACCTCCAGCTTCACCACCGCCTTCTTTGCCCTTGCCACCTATTCCAACAACTTCTAGGCCGAAATCAACCCTGAGTGAAGTGTCTGGAAACTCTAGTATACATATCAAGGATAACAAACATATGTCTATAGATGCCGTAGGTGGCGCTAGTCACCGAAGAACATCTGTTCAATCTGAAATAGACGAACAAGCGCTTGAAGCTGCCTATTACAAAGAATTTACTGATCAACTACAGGCTAGACTGTCCATCTCTAAAGAAATTGACGATCTTCGTGTTTGGGAACCTAGTGATTTTGAAAGAATACAAAAGAAGCTAGATTCTAAACATTGGTCTGAAAACGAAGATGGAAGCAGCGAAAAGGATCAGCATGCTTTCTGGAAAGGCATGAAGAAGAAGTTACGAGTATAACTATGGTCTTTTTATTTTATTTTTGTAATAAGCATAATCATAATAATAAATCACTCTTTAGAGGTAATACAAATGCCTTCTGATCGATTGCCTGATAATAGTGCAAGACCTGTCTGTCTTCTTTTCAGGCTATAGACTGAGAAAAAGTTGTTGAGGAAATCAATACCAAGTCTCCATATGTTATCTAAGCGATCCCTGTTGGGCTCAAGTGGTTTAAAATTGGCAGTACAATACGCTTCTTTGTCAGTAGGTGTTGTCCATACGTCACTAGGCAGCTTAATATCGAATTTTTCAAAGGAAAATATCAAGTCCTTAGCTTCACAGCATTTGAATTCGTATTTGTTTGTTGTCTCACTTTGTTTTGCATTGAGTACTCTGTAGATACTGTCTAAATCGTTTTGAGGTACTTGTATTTGCTTGACAGTCGTATCAAATGAAGCTAATGTATCTAATTCAAGGCTTATCGCATCTTGTACTTGAACACCTGTCAGCTTAGTCTTCCAAAAAGGTGATTTGCCAAAGTCGCAAGTGGGAATATCAAACCATGCAATGTCACCAGAAATAGCAGTTTTGTCTACACCAAAGCCTATTTCACATAAATCTTCTTGTAGCACGTTGTTGCGTCTTGAAATTGATCTTGCGTTCCTGCCTCTGCCTCGTGTTGATACAGGTCTATAAATGGCTCTTTTTGTCAAAGTGATGTTTGCTTTCAAGTCTTCATAAGAAGCACCTAATCCTATTGAACCAGCTATAAAACAGGATTAAAACATGAGGAGTTTAAAGAGGAAGCTTACCGAAATCGTATTCATCAAAACCAGTGACGTTGAAGGCTTTACCAAACCTGAAATTGTTTAAATCAGCAGAACCCAATATAAACTTGTCCTATAGATTTTTATTTGGATAAACACCAGATAAAAAAAAAAGAAAGAAACTACCTTGTATAAATTGGCTTCGACTATTTCTTCATTTCCATAATCAAACACCACCTGTTTGTGAAGGTTGGTGATAGAATGAGATTTGCCAGCATCAAAAAGATGGTCATTTTGAGCCGAACAAAAGTCAGAATGACACTATAAATGATCAATACAGAGCGTAATAGTTTGCATCACTTTACGGTAATACCAGCAACCCAAGTAAAATCAGTAGAGGTGTCAATACGCAAAGGGAATACCTGCTGTGGACTGCCTATTCGATACGGTCCTTATTAGAACAAAGTAGATGGCATGTCCTGATATTACCTATTCCGATACTTGCTACCCACTAACACATGAATTGAGTCATTTAAGTGATAAGATACAACTTACACTTGATTTGTTCTCGTCACATGGAAACTTGACTCCTGGCTCATAATCAAACAAGTCTTCTGTACCATAATATATGCTTGGATAAGCTGATACAACAGCACTTATAATTGTATAAATTGATAAAATACAGTTCTTTTTCATGCAGAATGTTGTGAGGAAATGAATATGTCAAATCTGTCTTTCTTTTATATGCACTCTTTTTTTGTTTATGCATGTCAAGTTCACTTATACTTCTTCATCTAAGCCCAATATTTTACCTTGTGCACAAAAAAAAAGAAATTTGTTGCAGTAGTTCATATGACATTATGTACATGCTTCTATTTTTGTTGTTTCTTGTTGAAGAAGAGCAAATCACATAAACATAAATCTTGTTTAGGAAAGTAGTACAATCAACGCTTATACTGTTTTCACTATTAATAGCACAGTGGCTTACATAAACACACTCTTCCTCTAGAGAAAGCTGTAAAGGAGATATCCCCTTTTAAAACAAACTTTTGCAAATGATTATAAAGCTGAAGAAAATAGGTTGGGTCAGCAAAAAAAAAAAAAAAAAAAAAAAAAAGGCACATTTTTTTGAAAATGAGACACTTTTTTACAAAATGAAACAACAAATAAAAGACTAGGATGTCTATATTTTTAGATACAGTTTGATATAGAGCAAACAAACTAGGAAAAAATGATTACAATGAACAACAATGTATGTCTTATTTGGAATCAAATAGAATTATCTTTTTTACCTCTATTCTACTGTTATACTCACTCTCATCATTGCACATATCAAACTGCTAGTATTTTGCTCATATTTATAGAAATAGTGGTTGCCCGAACGTGGTCACGAGAAGGTAATTAGCAATCCATATTCAAAATGCATACTACAAAAGCAAACCAAATGCCATGAACAAAACACGTCTACTATTGCCGTGAAGCCATATCGTCATTTTCTGTGGCTGGTAAACATTTTTGACGTTACTCTTCCCGAAACGATTTTTAGATATTAGAATTGCTATGGTTGCTTGCTTAGCTTTTTACAGAATAGTTTAGTTTCATAATGTGCTCCACTTGTGAAAACAGAAAGTGTCATGTTCAGTTAGCTGGCAATTCCTTGGAAAGTGTTAATAGCAATATTAATACCAATCATAGCGCCACAACAAATACATCTGATGATGAATCGGATACCAGTACTACTTTAATACCAATATCAATGTTACTACTATTATTTAGGCCAATTGACATCGTCCTTGGCCCATTGAAGGCGAATCTTCTTGTTTTTCTCGCTCGAAGCTGGCTTGTGGGCAGCGTAGTAAGAATGGAAACCCAACTGGCCCAAATAATGGATAACAATTGTACGACTTCACCTCGACTCTTTGAATCTTTCATTCCTTTTTTACCTTGTCAATGGTGAGGAATGGATCCTTCAGAACCATCAACTTCAGAAGAGTTAAATTCTTAATGATGTTGGGCTTTGGATCTATTGCTGACCCCGGCAAAGGTCAACCAGTTTTCTTGATTCGCTTGACGATCGTTTGTAATTTGTTAAGATAGTAAACACTCCAGTATTTTGCTTCTTCGTGTTCTTGTTAAGAACGAGAGCTAGTTGAGTTGTTAGAAATAGATACCTTTACATTCGTTTGTTAGTTTGTGGGAAATAGAATGCTGTATTTTTCGAAACGCATAAATTTCATGTCTTTTTTACGGCCTGATGAATTCCCATTCAGCGTAACTTTATATCGAATAAGACTAAAAAGATCACAGCAATTTATGTTTACTGTTCTATGTTCGAAGGCCTCAATACATTATAAAGAGAAATTTATTTCGAACTTGAATTGTATTAATGATTACATGAATGGGAAAATAATTTGCTAAATAAAAATAAACAAACCAATCAATGACTAAGTGTAACAAAGTGATTTTTTTTAAAAAAAAGGCATTGTACACAAATTTAAAAAATAGAATCAATGGCTATACAAAGAAATAAAATAAAACCACAAGCCTATTTGTTTACACGTACACAATACCTTTTTGAATTAAGTGGGCTATAGAAGAAAAAGGATCAAAAGATAAAATTAGAAAAAAAAAGTGGAGCGATAGATAAGCTTAGAAAAGCATGTAAGCAGCGACAGCACCAGCAACAGCAAGGGCTCCTTGACCAACAGCTAAAGTAGCAGCTGCAGATTTAGCAGTGGAAGGTGCAGGGGAGACTGAAGCAGCAGTGGAAGAAGCAGCAGCACTACTGGAAAGAATTGCAGTGGAAGTGGGAGCAACAGAACTAGTCCAGGGAGCAACAGATCTATAAAAGAAAAAAAAAATGTTAATCAATGGTTCACCAATCAAAAAAGGTGGTTACATACACATTGGCACCAGGCATAGAACAGTAGTTTTCAACAAGAGCCTTTTGAGCACCAGCACCTAAATCATTAGGGCAGCTAGAATAGCAAGACAACTTCTCCTTATTCCACTAAAAAGGTAAAAGTTAGAAAAAAAATAAAGGCATTGTATAAAAAGGGGAAACTTACTCTACACAAACAAGCGAAATCTATAAAACAAAAGTCTGTGTAAATATTGTGCTACATTGAATTATGTTATTCCTTTCTTACCTTGAGCTTGACAGGTTTTGATATAGTTGTCTTCATTTTGCAGACATAAATCAAGGCTAATAGACAATTAGAGATTAACACAAACGCATTGCGTAATTTGATGTACTTACGTGCTTTGGAGAGCGCAGGAAGAAGTAGAAGTGGCAGTAGGGACATCAGAAGTAGTAGTGGCAGCAGCAGCAGTAGTAGAAACTTCACTAGCACTTTGAGCTGAAGCAGTAGCTGCAAAAGCAACAATGAACCCAAGAATTGCAGATTTCATAGTATGATTTGAAAAGAAAGAGAAAGAAAAGAATAAAAAAAGTTTAAAAAATAAAGACAGTTTATAAAACCATAAGAGGAGGTACAAAGTGCAATATTTTTGTGTAAGGGGGTGAGAGGAGAACCAAAAGAACAAATAAGTAAGCACTTTGCTTTGTTTTACTTGCATACTGAATCTGTTTGTTCATCATGGATTTACACAAATATTAGTTTTTTTATTACACGACATTGTACAATCCATCACAATTTTGACTTTTTAGTGGCCTTTTTGGCGGCTGTTTGCTCTGTATATAATTAGAATTGATTTTCCATGTCGTTCTTTTAAACTTACCCAGGAAGCGCATGATGCTTTCAATAGAATCGCTGCTACTCATGCGTTCGCCCAACGCATTCATTTCCCGTCGATTCACTTCTAATAACAATTCACGATCAACATCTCGAATGAGTTCCTTAGTAACCTTAATGGCTTCTGTGGAGAATTGGGTGGCATTGGCTGCAATTTCCAACACGGTTTCACGGAAACCTTCAGAAGGAATAGTTCTACTGATAAAGCCGCAATCCACCATTTCTTTAGCTGTGAATGTTCTTCCTAATAGCTATTGTATGTCATGTTAGCATTAACCTTTTTTGTTCATCCCGTGACTTGCCAACATTTCGTTTGCCTTGGAAGGGCCCAAAATTCTAGTTGATTTGCATGATTATTGAGTTAAAATATTTATTTCTTTTCTTACCTGGGAAACAAAATTGAAGAACAACCTTCGGCACAGAAAGCTTAATAATAAAAAAAATTAAGTGCAAGGAAAAGCTTAAATTGACTCTTACCTAATTTCATAAAGGGAGTACCAAAAGTAGCTGTTTCTACAGAATAAACGACATCACACAAAGCAAGTGTTGTTGTGCCAAATCCCATACTCGGTCCTGTTCTCTAGTTTAAGTAGATTGTTTGTAAGCAATATTTACCATTGACAGCACCGATCAAAAGTTTAGGGAATTGAATCATTTCAGCAACAACATCACTTTACACAGATGAGTTTAAACGCCTCTTTGATGTTTACTTACGAAGTTGTTTGTCTTCTACGATTCATTTCCTCTTCTACATCCCCACTGCTAGCATCAGGAAGAGCTAGTTCTTGACCAGAAGTATAATATTTTCCACGTCCTGTTAAAACAACTACTTTGACATCTTCACAACTAGCGGCCCATTTAAATGCAGCCAACCAATCCTATTTTATTTTAAACGCGTCTATCAACATATTTGGTATATCTTACTCTATAAGATTGAGGAGAAAGTGCATTTGAACGCCTTGGTCTGTTATGAGCAATCTCCACTACACCGTTAGGGAAAAGAACAATATCCAATGTCTCGAATTTAGGTACAGTCATATATAAAGAAAAAAGAAGAGAAAAGAAAAAAAAAAAAGAACAAAAGGGGTCAGAAATATATATAAACTTTTTCTTATTTGCACGTGAAATCTAGAGCTTGACACAAAGTGATTTTATTAAAAAAGCGAATAAACTCTTTAACGGTAACGACGGAGAGAAAGAGTGTTGCGACGCTTCCAGGTGGCACGACGACCAGAACCCTTGGTGTTGTTGAAGCGGTGACCCTTGTTGTGACCACGGGACTTCTTGCCAACAGCAGTCAAACCACGAGCTTCACGACGCTTGTGAACAGGGTTGGCGATCCAGTTGATGCGAGCATCACGACGGATAGCCTTGTGAGAGGGGTCAACGAGGATAACTTCGTAGTACTTGTAGGTAGCATCTTGGTTGATCCAGTAAGAGTTCAAGACACGCAAGTTAGCACACTTGCGGCCAACACGTTCTTCGGCAGTAGAACGGAGGGAACGTTGGTACTTGAGTTGAGAAACACCTTCGTTGACGGGCTTACCGTAAGTGGCACCCTTGGGAACAGGTCTCTTACGACCACCACGACGGACACGGATACGGTAGATAACGAAACCTTGCTTGGCCTTGTAACCCAAACGACGAGCCTTGTCAGGACGAGAAGAACGAGAAGCGCGGTGGATAACGTTCAATTGTCTGTATTCCCAACAACGGACACGGAGCAAGAAACGAGAGACGTCAGATTGCTTCTTTCTAGCAAGCTCTTCCAAATATTTGTAAGCACCCATTGTATATCTGTTATAAATTCGATTAATGACTGCTCTCTATGTATATGTTGAATAGATGATCCATAGTTGATGTTGGAGCTAGCATCCATTTGTATATCATGCATCCAGTAACATACATCCAAACTATAGATTATCCATCATGTTTATATCTAATTACCTTGGAAAGGGGAAAAGGAAGGATGCCTAGTTTTCGCCAATTTCCTACAAGTGTATCACTCTCGCTACTGCATTTACTCTCGCCCAAACTGAGGTAACCCATTTTTAGTTGGAACTGAGATATTCGGTCCGGACAATATCCGGAATGAAATTACTCAAATGGGATGCATTACATTGTTTGGAACAGGAGGCAGTTTTTTTTCCTTCTTCCTTTATACATTAAACTTATGTCTCGTTTCGATGAACTACCAAGAGAGATTATATCCTTAATTTGCACATTACTTAAACAACCTGAAAAATACAACTGTATCTTTGTAAATAAAGAATTTCACGATGCAGCTATACCCGAACTATGGAGAGAACCTATTCTCCCAACCACAACTGTTCTTAAAAAACTGATACGATGCTTAAAAATATCACGATACCAAAGAGGAGAATGCATTCGCACTATTAAACTAGGCTATAAAGTAAGCCTAAATGACGATGAGTTATTGGCCCTGATACAATTGGTACCCAACTTGGAAGTACTTGAATTACGCAAAGCAGATGAACTGACTGATAAAAGCATTAAACACGTATCTCGCTATTGCGCTCAACTTAAATCGTTTGGTGTCACAAATGCTTTGATTACATATCGTTCAGCACATTATTTAGGTTTATGTCAGCATTTGAAAAAACTAACACTGGCTTCGTGTCCTAATCTGTCGTCCATGGCGTTATTACCGTTCGTTTCGCACAAGATTGAATATTTGGACTTGTCAGGATGTAAATGGCTTAATGTGACAGACACAGCGTATGATCTTGCTTCTTTTCAGTACTTGACGCATTTGAATTTGGTATGTTGTGATGTGATCAATACAGATTTTATACACCACATCACAGAACATCCTTGTTTAACGCACTTGCAAGATTTCTCCCTTACAGGTGGAGCAGTGATTGAAGATATTGCCATTATTCCCTTTGTTAAAACACACCCAAATATACGTGGACTATTTTTGCTTGAATGTGCTATTACAGATCATACACTGGATGCTATTGCTACTCATTTGCCCCTTTTGCATAATCTGGATTTATCTTTTTGCCGCAGATTGACTGCTCAGGGTGTGCGTCGTTTGATTAGTAATTGCCATAACCTGAGGTTACTTGGTTTGAAAGACTGTGGTATGATACAAAACAATTTCCCTGAGATCCCAAGCACTATTTTTCCAGCTATCACTGAAAATTATCCACACCTAAATACCTTGAGCTATGTGGAACTAGGTTATATTCGAGCAGCACAAGAAACAAACGAAGACAGTGATACCGAAATGGCAGAAAATGAAACGCTTGTGATGGACGAACAAGAAGAGAGTCTTAGCGAGACTTATGGCTATATTCAACACTATTTGAATACAAATTAATGGGTAACAATAAAGATGTGCGACAACTAGCAATGAACCATATTTTTAGCTTGTGATGCCATACAAAAAGTTCGTTTGTGCGCGTTTCTTTTTTTCTTATTTTTCCCTTTTTTCTTCTTCTCCTTATTCTATATAAGCATGAAGTGGAAGCCTAACCCACAAGGACTTTCAGAACTCTTAAACTTACTTCAAGACGCTATACAGCCAAACAACCAAGATCAGTTTTTGGTTCAAAAAGTATACAGCTATAATAAAGATCAATATCTTATTAAATGCAAATTTAGAGACTAGCTTCTTTTAATGCAATTCCAGACTACAATGCTTATCTTGTCTATATACTCGTTTTAATGAGAGACCAAGACAACTATACCCGAGCCATAGCAGGCTTAACATTAAAGAACAACTTGCTGAAAAACTTTAACAAGACACCACTGTTTGTGTTGGATTATGTCAAGTCTGTGTGTCTACAGTCGCTTGACTCACCTGATCCTGATACAACCATTCGAAGAACAATAGGCTCAGTTATGACGTCCATTACTGTCCGTGGCCAAATTCTTAATTGGCCAGAAGCAATGCAGGCGCTAGTGGGTATTTTGGAAAAGAGCACTGATCCACTTGCTATTGACGTAAGAAAAAAAAAGAATGTGTTTATATCTATAGTTAGATACTTACCTCCTTGAATTTAGACGGCTCTTGATACGCTACAAAAAATATGTGAAGATAATGCACCTGACCTAAATGAAGCAGTATTTGATACTACGCCCATTCTAGACTATATTATACCCCAGATCACAGCCTTTATTGACCATAAAAATGAGCGTTTTCGTGTGCTTGCTGTCTCTGCTCTAAGTCATTTTATACAGCTCCGATCACCTTCGTTACTTGCTCATATGGATCAGTATTTACAGTCCTTGTTTCGAATAGCATCAGACAATAGCACTCAAGTGCGACAAGAGGTATGTCGATCTTTTGTGATGTTACTAGATCACTTTACCGAAAACTTGCTGCCTTATTTATCTTCTCTGATTGAATACATGATCTTTTGTCATCAATCAGAGGATAGCAAAGTAGCACTTGAAGCTTGTGACTTTTGGCATCAATTTGCTCGATTGGAAAAGATCCGTGCTTATTTGACACCCTATTTGCTCCGTGTAATCCCTGTTATATTGAGCTCATTGGTTTACACAGACCAAGATCTGATCATGTTTGGCAATGAAGAAGATGAAGAAGAAAACTCGAGTCCACAAGATTTACAGCTTCGATTCGGTAATAGCTATATAAAAATCAATGGAAGACATTATCGACATTACAGGGAAGAAGACGAAGATGAAGAGGATCCTGAAGATGAAGAATTCTTTTCAGAATGGACGCTTCGAAAATTTAGTGCAACCTCTTTAGATGCACTTACATCTGCTTTTACATCTCAGGTGACAAACATTCTATTACCTCTTTTGAACAATACTTGGTTTAGCGACGATTGGAGAATCGTTGAGAGTGGCATACTTGCATTGGGTGCAGCAGCAGAAGGTTTGGTTGTACTCGAATGTGTTGTATCTCATTATTGTCTCTAGGTGGCTTTGATAGCATTGCACCTCATCTTCCTGAATTAATACCTTTACTCATCTCAAACATGTCAAATCCCAATGTAAGGAGAGCCATCTTCATTGCTTTGTTTATATTTACACAAAAATAGGCGCATGTGCGTTACATTGCATGCTGGACTTTAAGTCGGTTTTCTAGCTGGATTGTAGCACAATGCGATGACTTGAATGAGGGCCGTACAAGATTTTATGAGCCTGTTTTGAGGGAATTACTGCGTCGTATATTAGATAAGAATAAACGAGTACAAGAAGCTGCTTGTTCAGCTTTCTCGACATTAGAAGAACACGCTTCTTCTGAAGAACTGGTGCCTTATCTACCCGTCATCTTAAACCATCTTACAAGAGCACTTAGATTATATAAAAACCGAAATTTGCGACTATTGTATGATACGATTGGTACTTTAGCAGAATCAGTAGGGTCTTCATTAAATGAACCTGCATGCATTGCTGTGTTAATGCCACCACTGATATCAAGATGGAATCATTTGGAAGATACAGACTCAAACCTTTTCCCTCTACTCGGTGTAAGCATCCTGTATTACCCCTGTGTATACTGACAGTCTATTCTGTAGTGTTTAACAGACATTGCTACTTCATTAGGTGTGGGTTTTTTGCCATTTACAGAGCCTGTATTTACACGATGTGTTATGCTTGTTTCTACAACATTACAAAATGCAATACAAGACCCTAGTTATCATGATTTTGATGATGATATGGACGACGAATTTATAGTTGTTCCTCTTGATTTACTGTCTGGTATTGTACAAGGACTGGGGAACACAGTAGAACCCTTTGTTAAAAAATCAACTTTATTACCATTACTCGCTGTGTGTTCACATTATGTAAGCTATAAAAAAGACAGAGACTGTACATTAATTTCCTTGTACTTAGGATTCACGGTATGAAGTACTTCAACCAACTTATGCTTTAATAGGCGATCTTGCCAAGGCTTGTTTTACTACTCTTGACCCTTACCTGGAAAATATTATGCCTGAACTTATACGTCAACTCAAGAATGACGATATGTCTTATAAATCAGTGCGTAATAATGCCATTTGGGCTATAGGTGAAATAGCTATTCGATGGCGAAAAGAAAACATGGAGAAATACGTAGAGTCTATTCTACAAACATTGATTCCGCTGATCCATTCACAAGCTTATACAGAACTTCATGAGAATGCAGTCAATACTATAGGTCGATTAGGTATTCATAATGCAGAAATGATTGCTTCTGCCTTACCTTTGTTTGCTCGAAATTGGCTTTATTTGTCAAGGAACATAAGAGAAAATGAGGAAAAAGACAGTGCTTTTCAAGGATTTTGTCATGCCGTCAAAATTTATCCTCAATGTCTAAATGATGTGGCATGTATAATTCTATGTTTGATAACGGCTAACACATCTGATAGTCAATAAGGATTATGTTTGATCTTATTAGAAAATGGCAGCATCCCTCAGACACTCTTCAACTATTGTTTGATGAGGTGAGTGTATGATTTGCATTACTTCAAAACTAAAGAAGAGAATTCAGGTTGTTGCAGGATATCATGGACTATTGAATTCAGAACAATGGCAACTCGTAACAACAGGACTTTCAAGCACTCGCTCTTTCTGACAACAACAACAAAAACCTAAAGTGTATTTCTATCTATTAAATTATTGACATTATGAAAAAGCATATATAACCGTTGACCCTAAAACAGGGATGTTCATGATAAAAATAAGTTGTTTTCTATGTATCACAATCTACATGACTTTATGTAACCGTATATGCCTGCGCAATAATATGGTCTATTTCTATAGAGCAAGAAATAAGTTCGAATTGAATGCATATTAACGATTTCAAGATATAAAATTCAATGAACAACATTTTCGTTTATGCAAAAAGACATTTTTATAATCAATGGTTTTCTTGCTTTTTTCTTCAAGTATAGAAATTATTATGCAAAAAGTGCTAAAAATATATATATATATATGTATATATTTTATAAAAAAACCCTTTGCTTATTCCAATGTGCAACATCATCTTTGTGAAATATTATATGTTATTGATTTATAGCCATTCAACCTTTGTGCTGGGCTGCAAAATTGCACAGAATCCATACATCTGGATAGCGACATTTGCTCTGCCTATATAAAGTCTTTTCTTCAAAAATAGATATATTCCCATAAAGAAATTAGAGGGTTAAAACGAGCTCCTTGTCATACTATAGTTTACCATTGACCATAAACAAAAGCCTTTGAGTTTTGCATTACAGGTGTGCTGTTTATGAACAGCTCTTTTCTGTTTGTAGATGCAGATAACCTCTTCTAACGTACCATGTATTTGCTTTTTTTTTCTATTTTTTATATTTTGCACGTGTCGAAATGACATCTTTGTCATTAACCTTTAACGTTACATGATTGTATGAATGGGGCGCATTCTTACCCGGGTCACATAAAGTATATTAGGTTGATGGTTGCACCTTAAGCCTTGTTCATTTTGTATAAAAGTAGACAATTATCTCTTGTCATTTAGTTTCTTTATCAATTTAAATATCTCAATTCCTTTCCTTTCTAGTCTATTGAGGTAGTCATGAAACCTTATTTGTTTACTACCCTTTCAATCGCAATTGCTAGTGTTTTTCTAGAAGCTTTTGGCGTGACAGCTGAGACTGTAAAGATCCAGCACCCTAAATTCATTAATGGTACTTCCAATGCTGTCCCTGGTCAATACATTATTCGTTTTGACTCCAAAAGTACCGATTCAGACAAGCACTTTCTTCAGTCCTTTAAACAAGAATTTGGCGGCCTTAAACTCAAGGTCAAACAAGAAATCAAACATGATTTCTTTAATGCTATCTCTGTTGACATTAGTCATGCAAACAAAGATATGCATGAAACAGCGCTCAAGAGCATTTTAGAAAGATCTGATGTCAAGGCTGTTTATCCTATCAAACAATTCTCTCAGGCTAAAGTATTCAGATCCGAAAATGCTAATAAGAAAAGAGATAGCGTACCTTCTTTTTTGCCTCATGCTATGACCCAAGTGGATATTGTTCATTCCAAGCTTAAGAATAAAGGTAAAGGCATTTTTGTTGGTGTTATTGATTCAGGTAAGTGAATAGCAGGGTAATAAAACAGTTTTGCTTATACTATGCACAGGCATTGATTACTTACATCCTGCTTTGGGCGGTGGTTTTGGTAAAGGCTACAAGGTTGCTGCAGGCTACGATTTAGTCGGTGATGACTACTCTGGTACTAATACGCCTGTTCCTGATGATGATCCTATGGATAGTTGCTCTACTTTGGGTAGGTAAAGAAAGAAAAATGTATAATAAGGATTGAATAAATTGTTTTAGGTCATGGTACACATGTTTCCGGTATTATTGCTGGTTATGATACATCTAATGTAAGTATAGGAAAACAGAGATGTATATCTGATTTTCATAGAATTTCACTGGTGTTGCTCCTGAAGCCACACTTGGTATGTGGCGTGTATTTGGCTGTGGTGGAGGCTCTGTCGGAACCGACATTCTGATCAAAGCTATGCTAATGGCTTATGATGCAGGTGTTGATGTCATTAACTTGAGTATTTATTCAGTAAATGCTTGGTCTAATGTTGATGATCCTGAAATTAATGTTGTTAATCAAATTGCTTCTAAGGGAGTGAGTGGTAAGCTTGAATATTCTTTTGTTAGCTGTGAATTAAACTGTTTTTTCTTTGTAGTCGTTGCTTGTAGTGGTGATGCTGGTGATAGTGGTATTTACACTGTTGGTAGGCCTTCTGTTGCTCCCGGAGCCTTCTCTGTTGCCTCCATCCAGAACGAATATTTCAGCACTAAATATATTACTGCCACTGGGATTGACCATAATATGAGATATCTTCAAGGCGGAGACAACACGCCTAAAGATGGCGAACTTGCTGCTGGCGATATTGATGCCTCTAGTAATATTCAAGCATGCGATCTGGATCATATCCCTTCTGATGTCCAAGGCAAGATTGCTTTGATTAAATTCGGTGCTTGTAAGCTTCATTTGAAAGTCTCTAATGTAGCTTCCAAGGGTGCAGTTTCTGTTATCGTTTATAACAATGTGCCTGGTGACTTGCGCACAACCACTTCTGGTCTGGATCTTCCTGTTGTCACAGTCAGCCAAGAAAGTGGTGTAGAACTCCGTGCAGCTCTTGATGCTGGTAAGAAAGTTTATATTGGCTTTCATCCTGAAGGCCAACCTACTCCTGTGGAAGACGGTAGAACAGTCAATAGTTTCTCGTCTGTTGGTCCTACTGCTGAGCTTGACCTTAATCCTCATATCGCTGCTGTGGGTGGCCGTGTTTATTCTACTCTACCTCGAAGACTTGGTAGCTGGGGCATAATGTCAGGCGGTTCCATGGCATCACCTTATGTTGCTGGTTCCATTGCCTTATATCTTCATGCTCATGGAAAGAACAGAAAATCCATCAAATACATTCAAGAGCAATTCCAAAATTATGCTTCCCCTGTTTCTTTATACAACAAGTCCACGATTGATTCTCCTGTTCGTCAAGGTGCTGGTCTTCTTCAAGTTTATGACACACTCACTCAACATATACATGTCTCTCCTGCTCAAATCAGCTTCAACGACACTGCCAGTACCAAGTACAGAACTCAGACAATCACTGTCACAAACAGTGGAGACAAAACTGTTCAATTTGAAGTCTTGAATGATGTGAGTACTGGTGTTGTGAGCTATAATGTGGATGAAAGTGGTTATATGCCTATTGAACCTGCTGGTGACAGCCGTATTTCTGCTAAATTGCGTTTCTCTACAAAGAACTTTAAGATTGCCCCTGGTGCATCTCAAAAGATAACCATCACTGTAACACCTCCCACTGAAAATGCCAAGAATTACATTATTTATGGCGGTTTTGTTCGCTTGAAATCTTTACAACAAGGCAACAATGTTGACCTCAAGATTCCTTACATTGGTGTTAATAACAAGCTTAGTAGTCTTCCCATTTTAGGCGAAGGATCTCCTTTTATTGTAAATCAAGATTCTCAGAACTTCGGCTTAAACTACAACTATACTGTCAATCGTTCCAACGATGATTATCTCACTATTTATATGCAAGTAGTCACTCCAAGTGCTCATATCAAGGGTGAGGTATTGAAGAACAACAAAATGATCGGTAAATTTGGAGAAGACCTTGATTACATCTCACGCAATGCTCTCACAACAAATCAATACACAACCTGGAAGTTCAGTGGCAATTATATTCCTTCTGGTTCAACTAATGGTTCTTTTACTCCTTTACCTGAAGGAACCTATCAATTCCGTATCCGTGCCTTGAAGCGATTCTCTAATCCTGCTGTTCAATCTAACTGGTACAACTGGCTTTCTGGCCCCATCACTGTAGAAAACTAAGTTCTTTTATAATATAACATTCCTTACAATAACTGCAAAGAATTACATAATATCAGGGATTCGGATTATCTGAAAGTGGAGTCAATGATAATCATTTTATTGGTTTATAATTGACATGTGAAAAAGAGACTATTTTTAAATTCCCCGATGGAGTTGAAACACTGTATAGTGTAACTGATGATATTCAAGATAATGATGGCATATTTTTGTCATTCTTTTTAAAAGTACATCAAGATATTTGGCACAATGTCAATTTTCACATGCAAATCGGAGTGTCGACACCAATAGCATAAATATAGCCTGGAAACGAACTAGATCTTCTTTTTTTCTTTTCTCTTCTTTTGCTCTTTATTTGTACATGCCCAAGAAAACAACACATCGCCGAAACTCAAACAAGACACAGCAAAACATGAATCAAGAAAAACCCAATATTCCTACAAGTAATCCTCATGATGTACTTGCCAGAGAAGTTCAAGTACCAGGTAATAGATAGTAGTTGTGAGTTTAAAATATGCTTATCTCTCTTTTTTCATAGACAAATTTATTATTGATGCTGATGAAGCAAACAAGGAAATTCCTCATTTTTCTTTCTTTAATCGCGTGCTTTCCATTCCTTTGATTCGTGATAGTTCTACTATTGTACAACATTACGCCAACCAAAACTCCATCAGCCGATTCGCTTTAAACAAGGCCGAGTCCACTTTTAAGATAGCTGCTTCCATGGCTTCACCTTATGCAGAAAAATACAAGCCCCATTTGTTAAAGGCTGATCAATTGGGTTGTCAATCACTCGATTTGGTTGAAACTAAGTTCCCTGTCGTCACTCAACCACCCCAAAAGGTGTATGAGGATGTAAAGGACAAGATTACTTATGCTGCTTCTCTTCCTGTTACGCGTACCACTTCAAGTCTTCAGCAACTCATTAACAAGTATCTTCCTCCCACGGACGAAAAACAAAGACAAGCACAAGAAGAAAAGGACTTGATAAATCAAGTAAAGGACAGGTTAAGTTACCGCCTACAACACTCAAAGGCTGATCTGGCCCGTCTTGGTGAAACAAATCAACTCTTGCACGAAACTTTCCAATCTATTCAAAAGGCTAATACACATTTGCATGACTTTTTGGTCTCTATCAAGGGTTACAAAGATACAACACAAACCAAGGCTAATCAACGTATGCATGAGCTCACCACTGATCTGATTCACCGTTTGGATGCTGCTGCTGCTTATGTTAAAGATCGTCAAGTCATGAACAACTTGCCCCATTCTGTCCATATCGTCATTGACCCTCTTGTTACCTTTGCCTCTAACGAATACGATATTGTCCGTACTGAAGTCTTAAAGCCTGATGTTGCTCCCTTACAAAAAGCCACTAATATCTTGCAAATGACTCAAGGATATGTTTTGCCTTTAATCCAAAAATCTATTCATGATGCTGAAGAACAAGTCCGTCAATATGGTGCTTATGCTACAAACAACTACAAGGTTGTACGCGACGTCAAGACTACCTTTGATAACTTTGCTAAAGTGAAAGCCTAAAATTATTATTTATACACTTTGTATCCTCTCTCTCTCTTTCATTTTCATGCATTTTAGTCAAATAAACAAACAAAAAAATCTATTTTCATTTTCAATAACTATAGAGTGTGAAAGACACTTAGTACAAACAAACCGGTTTTTTTTTAGAGTTTTATATTTTCTCATTGAGACCAGCTTGACGTTCATACAAATATATAAACAATCCAGTTCTTTTTTGAGTACAATGAAAACAGAGAAATTTATTTGTCAACTGAGTTTATAAACGTTTGGCATGCTTCGATACAGCACAGAATGAGTCAATCGCTGTAATGACTGCTCTTTCCTTTCTCGTAGCTCATCTTTTTTTTTTCGATTCTTTTCGTTTTTTTTTTTCTTCTTCTCTTTAGTCTATTTAGTATGAGTACTTTTGGTAAACTTTTCCGTGTCACAACCTATGGTGAATCCCACTGTAAGGGCGTTGGCGCTATTATTGATGGTGTCCCCCCTGGTATGGCCTTGACAGAAGCCGATATTCAACCTCAATTAACTCGTAGAAGACCTGGTCAAAACAAGTTGACTACTCCTGTAAGTAGAAGAAAGACCATTGTTATAACAATAACTGACTTGCTTTGAACTAGCGTGATGAAAAAGATAAAGTAACCATCATGTCAGGTACTGAATTTGGTGTGACTTTAGGTACACCCATTGGTATTCAAGTACCCAATTTAGATCAAAGGCCTCACGATTACAGTGACACTGATATTTATCCTCGTCCATCTCATGCTGATTATACCTACCTTCAAAAATACAGTGTTAAGGCATCTTCTGGTGGTGGAAGAGCCAGTGCTCGTGAAACCATCGGCCGTGTTGCTGCTGGTGCTATTGCAGATAAATACTTGCGTGAAGCTTACGGTGTTGAAATTGTCGCTTTTGCTTCAAGTGTAGGTAGGGTAGCCATGCCTTTCATTCGTGAGCTCGAGAATGCCGATACAGCTGAACCTGAATTGATTGAGTTTATGAACACCATCACTCGTGAAGATGTGGATGCCGATATTTCTCGTTGTCCTCACCCTCCTACTGCTGAAGCCATGAAGAAAGTAATTGCAGAAAAGTCGCATGAAAGAGATTCTATTGGTGGTACAGTTACTTGTGTGATTCGCAAGTGTCCTATTGGTTTAGGTGAACCCTGTTTTGATAAATTAGAGGCTGTTTTGGCTCATGCCATGTTATCTATTCCTGCCACAAAGGGTTTTGAATTTGGTTCCGGTTTCAATGGTACAAAGATGGCAGGCCATGATCATAATGATCCCTTTATTATCAAGGAAGATGGTACTTTTGGTACTGTCACAAATAATTCTGGTGGTATTCAGGGTGGTATTAGTAACGGTGAAAATATCTATTTCCGTGTTGCTTTCAAGCCTGCTGCTACTATTTCCCAAGATCAAGAAACTGCTAACTATGATGGTGTCACAGGTGTTTTGGCTGCTAAGGGTCGTCACGATCCTTGTGTAGTTTCTCGTGCTGTTCCTATTGTTGAATCTATGGCTGCTCTTGTTATTATGGAGTAAGTGTGTTTAGAATTATTTCTTGAGGACATTGATACTTATGTGTTTTTTTTTAGTGCTGCATTGCAACAAGAATCTCGTCGTGCTGCTATTTCAAGACTACCCAAGATTGAAATCAACCATGCTTTGTTAGGAAAGCCCCCAAGAAGAATTAAGACCATACTTCTGAAGAAAAAATTAGAACAACTTGAGAAGATCAGCGTTTTATGCGATTTTCTTTGTGTATCATAACTCATTAAAGAAAGCATCTTTTTACATATAGACAATGATAAATGGAGTGTATTGTAAAAAAATGGATATGATGCTTTAATTGCTTCAAGTAGAAATGTCTTTTCTGGACTGAAGTTGCATAAAGCAAGTGTTTTACATTTGTAAGGAAGATGTAAAACCCTCTATATGTGTACAAGTTTTTTCTCCATTGATCTAGTAATATGATTGATTAGAATCAAACTGTATAATTTAATTCAGGTGCAAAGCCAATGCATTATACAGTAAGATGATGCCAAAACTTGATAAAATCTCGCCATTGACAGCTCGTGAGCTTATTGTGTTACTTATTCTTTTTTTTTTTTTTTTTTTGCTTATCATGTATTGCGTTTTAAGAACAATGGATAACGAATTCATCCTATGTAAATAAGCCGGAAATTATAAATGAAATGATATCAGTGTCACAAATACTATCTCTTCTGTTTATTCATCTTTCTTGTATTTCATGAAGAAGTTATCTTTATTAGGACAGCAGTCTTCATCAACTAGCCTCAAGTCATATCAAGCCATACCAAAGAACTCGTTTACCGAAGAAGAAAAGTCATTTGTTTTAGTCACTACACTAGAAGAAGAAGATTTAGAATGGACTGAACAAGAAGAAAAACAAGTTTTGAATATATTAGATAAGCATTTGATGATCTTTATTTTGTTAATGACATTTGTATTAAACATGGATCGAACAAACATCTGTAAGTATCCCTTTTTGTTGTTTCACACTTTTAATAGCCAAAAAGCAAATGCTATATCAGATAATCTAGCCCAAGACCTTGGATTCACAAACGATGGCGTGAACACTGGAATATCTGTTTATCATTTTGTGTTCACCTTGTTTACTCTTCCTTCCAATACAATCTCGAAAATGGTTGGGCCTCACCTTTGGATACCCATTTTGATGTCGTCTTGGGCTGTTGTGACATGGGCACATGCACTAATACATGTAAAATACTAGCACAACACAAGTAGACTCGTTACTTATACTTTTTTTTAGGATTTCAATGGGTTTATTATCGTGAGAATAATGATTGCGATCACAGAAGCCGGATTCATACCAGCCTGTTTAAGCTACTTGTCACAGTGGTACAAAACACAAGAATTAGCCACTCGACTGGCGTTGTTTTGGGCTTCTCAAGCATTGGCATCTTCTGTTTCGGGATTAATCTCATTTGGTGTTTTTAGAATGCGAGGTATTTATGGATTGGAGGGATGGAAATGGCTTTTTATAATTGATGGTATTGCAACACATATTGTTGGAATCATTGCCTTGTAAGAAACATGTGCGCTCTTAATTGTTTTAACCAAATCAACAGTTTCTATCTACCTTCATCCGCAAGCCATACCAAAGGTGGATTGAGGGGTCGAGAAGGCTGGTTGACAAAGAGGCAAATAAGAATAGCAATCCAGAGAATCATTAAAGACGACGCCACCAAAAAAGAACATCATAAGCCCATCACTCGCAAAGATGCTTATGATGCTTTCATCGATTTTAACCTTTGGGTTCATTTGTCCATCACGTTCTTAGGGTGAGTCTCTTTTATTGACTTGAGCTAAACACATTTTATAGCATGATGTCAAACACACCTATCCAAAGCTATTTGCCTAGCATAATTAAAGACGCTGGGTTTTCAACGACAACAGCAAACTTGCTCACAGCACCATCACATATCATAGGTCTTGTTTTTTCAGTCATCATTGCACATATGTCTGACAAGCATGGCAACGTTTCACTTTATGCCCTGATAGGAAGCTCGTGGGCGTTAATAGGGTTTACTCTGTTGGAGTTTTTACCTGATACAACAGGAAGATGGGAACTCTATTTTGCAGCTCTTTTCACGGCTTCATCACCTTCATGGCATGGTATGCAGATAGCTTGGATGTCAGCAAACTTAGCTCCAATTGGAAAGAGAACATTGGCTTTGGCAGCGGTCATAGGAGCAGCCAATATCAATGGCGTGCCAGGATCGCAGATTTATCGTAAGCCAATAGTAGTATAATTGGTTTATAATGTACTTAGCTTTTTTTTATGCCAGAGACAAGTGATGCACCTAGATTTAGAAGAGGCAACAAGATCAATATATTTCTGAATATTACAACAATTCTACTATTTATGTTTCAAAGAGGAAGATACAAGCTAACAAACAAATGGCGAAATATTATGTGGAACAACATGACAGCTTCTGAGCAAAAAGAATACATAGAAGAAAACAAAAGTATCGGAAATTATGGACTTGATTTTCAATACAGACTTTAAGTAGCAATGCATTGTATTTTGTATATGTATAGAAAATTAAGTGTTTATTTGTTATGTATATTGAAAAAATTCAGAGGCTGGAATAATTCTTTGTCTTCGATTATAATAAGCATGGGAAGTAGACTATAATTTTTGAGCCGAATGAGTTCAGTGGATGATATCCCGTGATACGCTCTCCATTAAATTTTAAGGCGCAGTCTGTTTCGGATGTATGGTATCATAGCAGACAGAAAATTATTTTGCATGAATTTATAAAAAAAAAAGAAATACGTTTATTGAACCCTATAGAAAGTCAAAGCATATCTTTGATAACGAATATAATGCAATGCAGTACTTAATAGATAATGATTATGTTAATAAATATGAAACAGGCAACAAATGCAATTCAAATATGACACATTATGCTAAAGAAAAGTTATTTAAATGTAGAAACTATGAATGTAGGAGATCCATTTCACCATTAAAAATGCTATATTTAGCAAGATGAAACTACCTATTAATATACAACTACACTTATTGTACGAGCTTTTAAAGAAATCACCTCCTACAATATTGTCTTCAAGTTTAGAAATAGATAGAAAAACAGCTACAAAATATTTTAAATTATTCAGAATATACTTAAAAGATAAACAGTTATATAAACCAACTAGCAAAATTGGGGGTAGAAATGACATAGTAGAGATTGATGAGAGTAAAATAGCTAAAAAAAACATAACAGAGGACATAAAGTTGAAGGTGTATGGCTAATAAGAGGTGTACAAAGAAGTAGATTAAAAAATAAAATTAAAAACGAGAATAAAAAAATATTTTTGTTGCCTATCGAAGAAAGAAAATTAAAGAATATAGATAAAGTTATTAAAAAATATGTTTAAAAAGGTGCCACCATATATACAGACTGTTAGAAAGGATATAACAATGTTAAGAATATAGGATATAAATATAAAACAGTTAACTATTCAAAACATTTTGAAGATCCTGAAACAGGCGTTCATACTAACACTATAGAAGGCATATGGAATGGATTTAAATATAGTATTCCACCTAGGAACAGAAATAAGAAAAATATTTATAGAGAAAAAGAAATGAAGAAAATAGTATGTGGAAGCAATTTTTAAAAGATCAAAGTTGAATTCTACACTAAAAAAAAAAGAATTGTCAAGATAGCATGGAAGACTTAAATAAAGTATTAGATGGTAATGAGTTTATTAAAAAATATAAAAAGGATGCTTATAGTGAAAGTAATAGAGGAACATAATATTGAAGAGGTAAATATAACATTTAACTCTAATATCAAATCATTTGAGATTGGCATTGTAAAAGATAATGGTGTGAGTTTTTTTAAGTATAAGGTTAAAAGAAGAAGATCCAAATCTATATTGATTGGCTTATCTAATGTAGATTCTTGTACAGTAGTAATCAGTGAGTTATCTGGATTAATTTTTACTATTCAAGATTTCTGTATGGAATAAAGGCCTCTGCAAATTATGCTGCACCCTGATATAAGCAACTATCTATAAATATGAGCCTATATTTGACTCAATAAACCGCATTCTTTGTTTGATTTTAATTTGCTCGCTCTTATTTCGACATTGATAAGCTAGCAAGAAATAGCAAAGATGAACATGGATGAGTAAAATAATAAAAAAAATGTGTGTGTTTTGGATTTTCGAAATTAGTTTACTCCTTAGCAACGGACTTCAGAATTTTTTTTTTTTTTTTTTTTTTTTTTTTTTAGTTTTTTACAAATTTTATACAAATTTTATACAAATTTTATATCAATGTTTTTGACAACATTTTCATTTCTTTATTTAATCTGATTCTTCTAAAAGTACTATAGCATAAGTGATGGAAGAAATCTTCCATTGAATGCAGAAATAGAAAATTTTAGCTAACTTTTTACTCAAATGTAGAAGGTCGCTTCCACCGATGGAAGAAAGATGCAATTACTTACGCTGTGGTAAGGGTGTGTTTTTGATCTACAAGTAATTATTTTCCAGAAATGCTTTTCTGTTGACAAAAATATACTTGCGCATTGGTATTAATTTCGTCAAATCCGTACTCAAAATCTGTTGATTTATTAGCTTTATAGAAAAGATTCTTTTGAACACATGACCCGATGTGGCCTTTGACTGCTCGGACTCGGTCAATTCATTAGAATTGCTATACTAAGCTAAAAATACCTTAAGAGGACAAGGAAGGAATAGAAAGGAGAGTGTTGATCTAATGGTGTGTCTGGGCGTAGGTTTATAACTATAGGAGAAATGGAAACATTTGATTGAATGTTAGAAGGAGTAGATTGTTTGTGACAGCACGTTACATAAAGGTGATTTGGGATAAAAGCAAATCTATAGAGGTCCATTTGGTACTCCAATAAAGTACAGAGCGGACAGTCTTGAGTGTTTTTATGAGCTTGGTCAAGAACACTTTTGCATTCTCTAAAGCTACCTTGAGCAGTGTCTAAGGACGATGTTTGGCCTTGGAGAAGTCCCTTGATGCATTTTTTGAGCATTTCTTTGAAAGTAGTAGTCAGAGTAATTAGGTAGTAATTGACTAGATCAGTCGGGCTGCCCTTCTCATGAATTAGGACTACTTGTGTGACTCGTCAACAATGAAGCGTGTATGGCCAACGCCAACATAGATCAAAGATATAGAAAGTCAGGAAGCCATTAAAATTTGTGATGTATATACAGAAAATAAAGCTAGAGCCATGAATAATTACGTTAATAGCCGTAGATGTTAAAAACCTCTCATGAATGTGATGGATTTACAAAAATATATATATATGTGTTTTAGATCCCGATAACATTTATGCCGACTTACAAGTATGCCAATTGTGTACATAGAAAAATATTTCTCAGAAAAAAATAAAAACCACTGCTTTAAGATAAATCAAGAATATTTTTTGTAGTGAAAAAAAAAATAAAATAAAAAAAGAAAGAATTTTCTAATTTTCTGCTTGAAATCTAAAAAAAAGCTTGTTTTTCAATTTTTCAGTTTTAAATAAATAAACGAGTCTACCAGATAATGATCTTACTGCTTTATTCTAGAAGATAGACTACTGGTTGGTAGACTCGTTTTTTATTTTTAAACAGAAAAATTAAAAAACAAGCTTTTTTTTAAACTTTAAGCAGAGAAATAAGAAATTCCTTTCTTTTTTATTTTTCGTCATTGCAGAAAATATTTTTGATTTATTTTAAAGTAGTGGTTTTTATTATTTTTCGAAAAATATTTTTTTGAGTACGAAAATGGCATACTTGTAATTTCGGCATACCTGTTAGTATTTCTATTATTTTTGAAATGCTTTTTTTTTGTAAGTCTGTCATGATGATCATAAAGGCCTGAGGCACACAATTCTTCCCATAGTTTTTTTCATTGCTCTAGCTGTTGTATACACAGCTATCTACATGACTATGATTTAGAGTGACTTTGCACCGCAATGGGCTGCAGGAGTATTCAGGAGTGAAGTTGACACTGAACCGTGAATCTGTACTCTCAATTATGCAGTCTCTTTATTTACCGTCAGACTGATTATCACTACAAAATAAACAGTAGGGGATCTATGCGCCCCTCATCCTTAAGGACACCAACGATTGCATTCAATGGAATTCATGAAAAGATATTCATTTCCTTCAAGGGATGCTATATTTTATATAGATAGAGAGAAATAACAGAGTGTAATAAAGAACAACTTTCTTTTGGCCGTTTTCGGTTCTGATTGACTTTATTTTGTCTTTTTAATTGTAGTGTTTATCACACTAGCTACTTTTTTGTAGAGACATTACTACAGCGTAAGCGATAGAAAAAGTTTTTCATCAAGAGTGGAAGAATTATGCATTTGGAGATGGAAAATCTTGACCAAATCTTTATTCGAATACGGAAGGTTTATTTCACTAACGGAGAAATGTAATCGCTTATACTGTTGTGTATGGTTACTATGATCCCTATGGTGGTTGTTATGGCGGTTGCTATGGCGTCTATGGCGCCTATGGTTATTGTGTTCATTCTGTAAGGTTAAATCTGGTAAAAAAAATGATAATCAAAAGGATTTAAGAACGAGTTCAAATTACTGAAGTTGTCATTTGGGAAGTGAAGACGTCGTCGACGGCTGACAGTTGCTTTATAAATTAAATTTTCATCTGACGCTTGCTTGATTAGAGTCTGCTAAAATTTATCCAAGAGAAGGGTGTAGTTGACTTGTGAGCCCGAAGCCAAATAGAGTATAGCAATCATAGCATCATAGCATCATAGCATCATAGCATCATAGCATCATAGCAACCATAGCAACCATTGCAACCATACACCACAATGTAGGCACTTATATCTCTAAAAAAAAAGTAGCTAGAGCAATGAAAAAAACTATGGGAAGAATTGTGTGCCTCAGGCCTTTATGATCATCATGACAGACTTACAAAAAAAAAGCATTTCAAAAATAATAGAAATACTAACAGGTATGCCGAAATTACAAGTATGCCATTTTCGTACTCAAAAAAATATTTTTCGAAAAATAATAAAAACCACTACTTTAAAATAAATCAAAAATATTTTCTGCAATGACGAAAAATAAAAAAGAAAGGAATTTCTTATTTCTCTGCTTAAAGTTTAAAAAAAAGCTTGTTTTTTAATTTTTCTGTTTAAAAATAAAAAACGAGTCTACCAACCAGTAGTCTATCTTCTAGAATAAAGCAGTAAGATCATTATCTGGTAGACTCGTTTATTTATTTAAAACTGAAAAATTGAAAAACAAGCTTTTTTTTTAGATTTCAAGCAGAAAATTAGAAAATTCTTTCTTTTTTTATTTTATTTTTTTTTTCACTACAAAAAATATTCTTGATTTATCTTAAAGCAGTGGTTTTTATTTTTTTTCTGAGAAATATTTTTCTATGTACACAATTGGCATACTTGTAAGTCGGCATAAATGTTATCGGGATCTAAAACACATATATATATATTTTTGTAAATCCATCACATTCATGAGAGGTTTTTAACATCTACGGCTATTAACGTAATTATTCATGGCTCTAGCTTTATTTTCTGTATATACATCACAAATTTTAATGGCTTCCTGACTTTCTATATCTTTGATCTATGTTGGCGTTGGCCATACACGCTTCATTGTTGACGAGTCACACAAGTAGTCCTAATTCATGAGAAGGGCAGCCCGACTGATCTAGTCAATTACTACCTAATTACTCTGACTACTACTTTCAAAGAAATGCTCAAAAAATGCATCAAGGGACTTCTCCAAGGCCAAACATCGTCCTTAGACACTGCTCAAGGTAGCTTTAGAGAATGCAAAAGTGTTCTTGACCAAGCTCATAAAAACACTCAAGACTGTCCGCTCTGTACTTTATTGGAGTACCAAATGGACCTCTATAGATTTGCTTTTATCCCAAATCACCTTTATGTAACGTGCTGTCACAAACAATCTACTCCTTCTAACATTCAATCAAATGTTTCCATTTCTCCTATAGTTATAAACCTACGCCCAGACACACCATTAGATCAACACTCTCCTTTCTATTCCTTCCTTGTCCTCTTAAGGTATTTTTAGCTTAGTATAGCAATTCTAATGAATTGACCGAGTCCGAGCAGTCAAAGGCCACATCGGGTCATGTGTTCAAAAGAATCTTTTCTATAAAGCTAATAAATCAACAGATTTTGAGTACGGATTTGACGAAATTAATACCAATGCGCAAGTATATTTTTGTCAACAGAAAAGCATTTCTGGAAAATAATTACTTGTAGATCAAAAACACACCCTTACCACAGCGTAAGTAATTGCATCTTTCTTCCATCGGTGGAAGCGACCTTCTACATTTGAGTAAAAAGTTAGCTAAAATTTTCTATTTCTGCATTCAATGGAAGATTTCTTCCATCACTTATGCTATAGTACTTTTAGAAGAATCAGATTAAATAAAGAAATGAAAATGTTGTCAAAAACATTGATATAAAATTTGTATAAAATTTGTATAAAATTTGTAAAAAACTAAAAAAAAAAAAAAAAAAAAAAAAAAAAAATTCTGAAGTCCGTTGCTAAGGAGTAAACTAATTTCGAAAATCCAAAACACACACATTTTTTTTATTATTTTACTCATCCATGTTCATCTTTGCTATTTCTTGCTAGCTTATCAATGTCGAAATAAGAGCGAGCAAATTAAAATCAAACAAAGAATGCGGTTTATTGAGTCAAATATAGGCTCATATTTATAGATAGTTGCTTATATCAGGGTGCAGCATAATTTGCAGAGGCCTTTATTCCATACAGAAATCTTGAATAGTAAAAATTAATCCAGATAACTCACTGATTACTACTGTACAAGAATCTACATTAGATAAGCCAATCAATATACAAACAGCTCGGTGTAATTGACAGGTCGATATCTAATATTTCTATTTATTTTGAGGCATTTTATCAATAAGACAATGACTGCATAATTAGACGTACATCATTTATTGTCTATTGAATTAATTGTATTAAGCCATACAAATGACATTATAGCTTTTGAACTGGTTGCATCTTGGCTATAGATAAAGCGAGTGATTGAATCAGAGATGTAAATATATGGTATTTTATAGTCATTTGAACCAGATTTAATGCATCATAAAATCTTCTAATACTTTGACGCATTTATGAACAAACATTCTCTTTTTTTTATTTAGGTGAAGCAAACATTTTTTTATCAAGGTACTTTATTCAAATAAACACTTTAGCAGTAAAAAAAAAGACGACAATTCATACAAATTTTGTTCTTTTTAATAGAAATATAAAGGTAGTATAAAGCCTATTTATGCACGCATAAATACTTTAGGTACCTACAAGAAGTTTTTACTAACATCGATGGTACCTGTGGAGTTCATTTGGACAAAAAAAAGCGACTTGCAACATTTGACCCAAATGGCCTTTTTTTTTTTGTAGGGAAACTGTGTTCCTGTTTTATTTGAAGTCCTAAAGATGTCATAATGAATGATAATTAAGACTGGAGGGGTATGATGTGCAATAAGAAAGAGAGAGAAAAGGTGCATAAGTTTAACTAGTAAGTAAAGTGATTTCAGTCAAAAAGTATTAGTTCTTGTTCATCGGATTGTTTAGTCAACAGGCGTTTGATTATGGAGAGTACAGCAGAAAAGATTAAGGGTGTGGAATCAAAAACCGAAAGCCAATGGCTGGACCATAGACCTTCCAATGTGCTAGCGCAGATTTGTTGTGTGGATAGGGTTGGGAATGCAGAATGACTGGAGCGACTGATGGTGGTACAGAGATTGAGGGGTTGTCGTAAGTGGTGAATTGAAGGAGCGGTAAGAGAAGGATCGATATATGTGGAGAGGATGTGACACCAGATTTTGTATTTGACTGGACAAAGAAAGTTGAGATGGTCAAGTGTGTCAATGGTGTTGCGACGGAAGTAAGGACAGTGAATGCATTAAAGGCTAGTGATGAGCTTCGGTAGTTTTTGGTGTAGGTAGAAACGAGTGTTGATGGTCTTGTGCAGAAAGCGGAACCAGATATTGCGGGAGCGACGTGTGATTTGAAGTGACCAAAAGGCTTTCCAATTAGGGACAGTGTCAAAAGGTGAGGTGGATGTAGGAATGTGTTGGGGAAGTAAGGCTTTATGACCAGAAATAATGGGAGGTGCAGGTTTGAAAACTAATGGCGAGGAGACAGATTGAAAGTATGTAAGTGTGGTGACAAAGGATTGCAGGCAAGAAGGATGAAGGATATTGTAGGTGTTAAGGGAGAGGTGTGATCATAGTAGATTCATGGTGAGCGAGGACAAATAGCTTGAGAAATATTTTTTGTTTGTGGATATGTTTCAAAATTTGAAGGGGGGGATACGACGGTGTTGAGTCAATGTATTGCGTGTGCGATATTTTATGGATAGAGATTGAGTATCGTGGACAAATAGATCGTGACCAATTAGGCGGGAGAGATCAGAGGGTTTGCGGAAAAGAGAGTCAGGCGGTATGAGGGAAAGGAGAGAAGATGGACCAGAGGGTTGTGGGTGATGAATGAAAAGTTCGGAGACAGACTTGAAGAGGGGCTTGACAGGAATCGAAATTGTGTGGAAATGCATCGATGGCTTGAAATATGTTAGCAAAGTAATTGTGAATTAGGGTAGGAAGGTATAAACGACAAGGAGGGAACAGGACAGACCAATGGTATGTAGGGTGAGTGATAGATGTAAAAAAAATAATGTAAACTGAAATGAAGGACTGGAAGAGAAGGTTGGGTTAAGGAATGGAATGTATTGGAGTGTAGGAGAGGGTGAGGCCAACGCCATTGAAGAGCTTTCTGTTGAACAACGGGAACTAAAACAGCGAGGCCACCTTTCTCTCTGGGGAGAGTCAGAGTGGGGAAAGGAAGGTTGTTGTAACGGCGATTATTGAGGAAGGATGATAGGATTTGCTGAAGTTTGGCGAGTTGTTCTTTGGTGAATTGGAAAAGGCGCATAACGTGCCAAAGGGTTGAAAAAACAAGAGTATTAAGGACGGTGGCACGTCCACGAACAGATAAGTTACGTTGAAGGTGAATATTGCATAAGAGTTGAACTTTGTTGATAAGTATGTTGGCGAATCGATTACGTTGTTGAGTGCTAGAGCAGATAGAGGAGGAATTAGAGTCATGCCAGGTAGTAATGTTGTGTTCGTGAAGAAAGAGTGACCAATGTGGAAGAGGTGAGCCGGATAAGGAGAAAGCTTGAGTTTTGTTGTAGTTAAGCAGTGCGTCAGAAGCTGACATATAATGATCAATTAATGTTTGTAGTCGTACAAGATCAAAATGGTTGCGAAGGAAAACCAGTACATCATCTGCATAAACTAAAATTTTGACAGGTTCGATTGGTGGTGGTAGGATAGGAGAAAGTGTTTATCCTTGTATCAATAGGCTATATGTTGCCTTTATATTGACAAGAGAAAATACAAGGATTTTGTATGGAGTGTTGTCTTTTTTGTCGTTAGAGCCATTGATTTGCCTGGTATCTTTATTGCCTAAACAAATCATTATAGTACTAAGCCGTTGGCACAAACACACCTTTTCAAAAAAGGCATTTGATCCATTGAACTGGTAATTCTAGTGAATCCAATCCTATCTAACTTGCGTTTTGTGACATTCAACTGCTTAACCATAATCCAGTTAAAAGTGGATAACCTAGTGACACGAATGGCAAGATCATTACCTTTCAAAGACTCAAAGCATGGTCTTGATTTACATTGAGCAATCCTACTTTTTGCTCTAATAGAGAGTATATTCGTATCAATAGTACTACTTATGAAAGCGCCATTTTACAAAATGTCTGTCTACAAACAGATTCCCACAAAAAAAACACTCTTTTTTGTTCTGTTACATTGACTTTCTGACTTGAAAAAAAAATAGATTGTGCGTTCCGAGCAGGGACAATGCCGATCCGTTACAAATAGGAAAGCTGTGTAACTTGTCAATAAAATAAGAACTATACCTTATCCGACATAAAAAAAAAACAAGTATCACTTTCTCCTTGTCATATAAGTAAGGAAAAAGAAGTAACAATCATTAAAGAACTAAATGGAAGAACGAGAGAGGGAGAGAAAAAGAGAAAGACTTCTTTAAAGTACCGAAGAAGTAGCCCTCACAATATAAATAGAAGCATCCCAAAAAAAAAATTTTTTTATTTTATTTTCGTATTCAATGTCAAGTACACCATCAACTAGTGAATCATTATCAGTGCCTGTTTTGCCATGGCTAAACCATAGCAGTAGGAATTCTAGTTTTCGTTCCAATGGTTCCGATATTCATATCATGAAACGACATGTGCCCGAAGGTGGTCCAAGCATACCTGTCAAAAAATGGCATCGATGGACATCGTATAAAATATGGCTTTTATTGATGAATTCAGTTGTAATCAATCAACAGAAATGCAATAAGTTAGACTGATATACTATAGATGTTTGCTTATGGTCTTGTCATACTCATACTTGGCTTGTGCACCTATCTTAGGCGTAAGCAAACAAGCTCAATCTATACTGGTACTTATTTCTCTTAATCAATAGTCTATCAGCGTGCCATTGTGATGCTTATAGGAGAAAGAATGCTAGTCAATTGTAAGCAACACCTCCCCCTCCCCCTCCCCAAATCGTACACAGATACTGATTTAGTACAGTAATTACTGCCACAGGCGTCTTTTGTTTAGTAACTTCTATACTTGGATTTATAGGCATTGTTCTGAACAATCGACCTATACTCGCTGTTTATAATCTTATGATGTGGCCATGTTTTGGCATGATTGCAGCTGTTGGCTATACTGCCTACCGCAAAAACAAATGGAACATTGAAGGCAAACTCTCTTATCAGTGGCATTATGCATTAAACGCCGAAGATCGCGCTCAGATCCAAGCAAACTTACATTGTTGTGGGTACAAATCATTCTCAGATTACCATGAAACATCCAACAAGTGTTACCCTCGAACACTTTTACCAGGCTGTAGATATAAATATCAATCCTTGACAACCTACGGCTTGACAATCACTTGGATTGTGGCATTCAGTATGGTCCCAGTTCATCTGAGTGTCTTGTTATCTGGTTTATTATGCTCAAATCATGTGAATAACAAATTTGGTAAAGGATTACCGCCCAAGTTATACCATGCAGACTACCGAGGTATCGTAGCTGCCAGTGGGCTTCCTTCAAATAAGGGACGAGATTTTATTTCTTAGCCAAATAAACTCCAGTCTTTGACTTCCAATCCTTTCAAGACAAGAAGCATTTCTTGTTTGACATCTTCAATGCGAATAGCATGTGTGTCATTGACAGATTCTTGTTCACTGCTTGTGTTGGCTAACTGAATAGGTGCATTGACCGAAATAACAAAATCAGTTTGAGCTTTGGTTAGTCGAACAACAGCCATGATAATCTCGACTGTGTTGTATGCTTTGGATTCATTGAATTTAGCAATCTTTTGAGTGCCTTGTAAAATGTAAATTTCAGTTGAATCAAACGGTAAAAGAGGAGCCACTTGCTGTGTATTTAAGGTATCGACAAAAGAAACAGTAGATTCAGAAGCTTCATTATCATCTGCTAATTGTTGGAAATGGAATCTATAAGATATAAGTCATCAGGAGAACCATGTCTGTTTCTTCCTTTTTTTTTTTTTTTTTTACTTGATGGCATCGTGTTGCTTTGATTCTACTTGCTCCAATAGTTCAAAAATCAAACTTTGTTGCGTGTTTGTATCTACAAATACTTCTTGATTGTCGGGTACTTGGCGAAACTGACTTTTTATTCTATAAGTCTCGGTCAAAAAACAAAGTTGACATTACCTTGCATCAAGAAAAGAGCCAGGTAAAGGGGCCACAATAGCTCCACCGAATAAGGGTTGAGTGTTCATCCTACAAAAAAAGAAAGAAAGAACAAAAGACTTTATCTAACTGATCAACATGGTGGAAAAGTAGTCACAGCTGTCAGTTACCTTTTTAAGATCTTTTTTCTTTTTTTTTTGCTTTTAACCCTTGTCCCTGTTTGATCATTGGATTCTTTTTACTATGTCTCAAGCTATTGGCAATGTAAAGCGTTTTTTTTTTTGCAATCAACCAAAGATTAACTTGTCTATAGACTGCACTTGCATACGCCCGTGTTTGGCATGTCGTTGATGCAAAGCAAAGAGTGTTGGGTCGTTTAGCTACGAATGTTGCTACCACTTTAATGGGAAAGCATAAACCCATCTATGATCCTGCAGGTAAATACGAACAACAAGTCCTCACGAGACTCATTCCCATCTTATAGCTGATTGTGGTGATTATGTGGTTGTCATTAACGCCAAAGATATCCTCGTTTCAGGCAAGAAAGCAGAACAAAAATTATATCGTCACCACACAATGCATCCTGGTGGATTAAAGGAAATCAACTTTGAGAATTTACAAGCAAAAGATGCTACTGAACCTATTCGTAAGGCAGTATCTGGCATGTTGCCCAAGAACAAACTTCGTCAAGTGCGTTTGGATCGTTTAAAAATCTTTGAAGGCAGTGAACATCCATATGAAGCCAACATTATTAAACAACATGGTGTATAGAATTGTATAATAAAAAAAAATAGCATTTATTTAGTTTCTTGCTTTGGTATCTTTAGATCTTCATTCTTGAGAGTAATGGAAGGTTGAGGCGATTTAGGTTCTTCTTTTATCTTGGGTTTTAGTCCATTAGGAGAAGCCATGGCATTTAAAGTATACATGTCTCGGTTAGGCTCACTTATTGAATTACGATCTATAGGCCTTGTACGCTATATCATACGCAGACATGGATAAGCCTGTATCTATATTATTATCTTACCTGGTCATAAGGTAATAAACTACTACTACCAGCTGTGTGACTGACATATTGACTTGGATCACTCACATCCCTTGGTGGGGGTGCTTCTGAATGACTATCTTGTGGTCGTCTCAAGTGTTCTAAGCGCTGTTGGATCAAAGGGTTATGAGGATCCAGTTCAGCAGCACGACTGTAGGCATCAACAGCATCTTGCACTTGATTGTTACATGATTCATACAAAGTGCCTAAATCATACCATACTTCACTGATATAAGGATTCAGACGTATAGCACGGCTATACGCATCTAATGCATCTCGGTATTGATTGATTTGATAGTACAAGACGCCAATCGAACACCAAAAAGTAGGGTTACGAGCATCTCGATAGACAGCTTGTTGATAGGCTTCATAAGCCTTGTTGTGGTTCTGATTGACCATATAACAACGACCCAGTAAATACCATGACTGAGCATCATTGCCATCTGCTTTTAATGATCGTGTCAAGAACTCAGTAGCTAATTGCTGGTTACAAAAAGGAGCATCGGATTGGTGATAAAGCCAGCCTAATTGTTGAAGTACTTTGGCATGTTCTGGGTTTTCAAACAAGACATGTTCATAGGCTTCTTTAGCTGCATCATACTGATGATATAAGACATAGAAATAATAGTTATTCATACCTCTTTCTTTTGTTCATGCACAGATCCAATTTGAAACCATATATCTGATTCTGTTAATGGTTCTGGTGGGTGATGAAGTACATAACGAAAGCATTGTAATGAAGGATCCAGTTTACGTTGTTGCTTATAAATAATGCCGAGTCGAAAATAGATTTCATTGGACTTTTCGAACTGAGGATCCATCTTCATCACAGCAGAAAAGGCTTCTTCAGCGTGTTCAAGAGAACCATAACGATCATACAGGATACCAATGCCATACCAGAGTTTAGGATCTTTAGGGTTCTGAAGATGATGCAATGCCTGTTGATAGGCATCATAGGCTTCTTGTAAGTTATCCATCATTAAATAACAATGACCTAATGAAGCCCATACTTCGCCATTGTTTTCTTGAATCGATAGAATCCGTTTGAAATAGTCAACAGCCTAAATGAAGATCAATAAGGACTCCATCAACAAGTCTATACTTGCCTTGCTGAATTGTTCTTTAGCTCGAAATAAAGAAGCTATTTGTGTTAAGGCAGTGATGGAATGAAGGTTGTGTCTCAAGGCAGATTCATAAAAACTAATGGCTTTGTCATGATCATTCATTAGTTCAGCTAAACTGCCTATGCATATGTTATTCATACACTTTGTTGGTTTCTCTCTTTTTTTCTCTCTCTCTTTTTTTTTTTTTTTTTTACCAAACTTGAGCCATGTTTGTTCGTTGATATAAGCGAGTTTCTGTAAAATATCTTGTGGTACATAGTTTATGTTTCTGGATATCATTGAATAGAGAACAAGGAAAGCGCGTTTAAAAAAATATTTTTTTTAATAATGAAATGATTGGATCAATTATGATACGACTTGGAAATACAGTCATTTAAAGCCAGCCATGCATTAATCCACTTTGACTTTAAAAGTACGAAGACAAGCAGCAATGGACTCGGGATCTGCTTTTTCATAGATAATACGATACACAGTAGTCAAAAGAGGAAATTCATCCAACATGTCTCGGGCAGACAAGAAATTAAAGACTTCATGAGAAGTGGTTGTGCCTTGTAATTTCTGACCATTCAACATGTCTCTTTCAATATCTTCAATATTCTTGTCTGATTGTACAAAAGCAACAGCCACTTTCTTATTACGACCACCAGAACAAGAAGTGATTAGGTCAGCAACACCACAGGATTCTATAGAATGTGTCAGTTTTTTTTTTTTTTTGGGGGAAGGTCTTAGTTAAGACGCATGTTACCGAAAAATGTTTCTGTATGAACACCGCCAAAAAAGGTCTTGCCAAACTTTCTCATTTCCACCAATCCTCGACGAATCACAGATGCTCTTGTGTTATTACCATACTTAAGTCCTTCACAAATGCCTGCACCTAAAGCAACCACATTCTTTAATGCACCACAGACTTGAAGACCTCGCCAATCACTAATGACTGTCACGTCAAAATAATTGGTATGAAACAATTTCAAGAACACGTCTTGATCACGCAAGTCCCGAGAAGCAATAGTGGCTTCACCAAATTGTTCTTGGGCCACTTCCAGTGCAATATTGGCACCACTTAAAGCAGCACAATGGACATTCAAGATCTTTTCGATCTCTTCCGAAAAGATAAGTAAGTTATTATCTCGGTAATCAAGTCCCTTGATCAACGAAATGGCTCGGCAGTTATCTTTTGGAATGACATCACGAAGGGATTCACAAACACCATAGACAAATTGATGGGGTAAGACAAACACAAGAATATTAGCCTCTTTGGCTGCTTCTTTTACATCTGCAATAGCCTTGATATTATCACCCAGGTGAATACCAGGTAAGTATTTGACATTTTCGTGTTTTTCGTTGATTATGTCTGTTAGGTTTTTACCGTCAATTTGTTCTTCATAGACCCACATACGGACTTCGGTTTCAAACAAGTCAGGGTGTGTACGAGCATTTTGACCACATACACGAGCAATGGCCGAACCCCTATCAAAAGAGATAAGCCATAGTATCAAATGTATTCTACTTACCAATTACCAGACCCAATAATAGTAATTCTTAACTTTTGATTATCCGACATAAAGAAAAGAAAAGAAAAATAAAAGTGAGCTTGCATGATATATATGTGTAAATTCAAAGACCGACTAACCCTAATACAGTATTTCTACTTCAAATTCAGACGATGTTAAATTTTTTTTCAGATGTTTAGCTTACCTTTTTTGGATGAAGTAAAATGAAAATTAGCTGTAAGACATGTTTTAAAATAAGATGAATTGCTCATCTAATTGTGGATGCTCAAGATAACAATTTCGTTTTTTGATGGTTTTTTTTAAATTACTGAAACAAAATGCTTATACAGTATATTTTCAAGAGCTTTTTTGTAGCAAACAACAAGTGAAGAATGGTTGATATATAGTTCAGTGCTATACATGCAGTGTCATATACACTTGCAATATACCTAGTCTGATTTGACATGTCAACGCTGTTAAGAATATTTATGATATTTTTATTTCTGCTGTCCAAAAAAAAATAACGCTCTCGTGCCTATCCTAATGGGCATTATAAAAAACCTCTTTATACAACCGTACGTGTACATTCAGTTATTACTGACTTGTTCAGAAAACAGTTGATTCTATATACATATTTCATAATTTAAGACAACTTTATTGAATTGTTAGTAATACATCATCGATTTGGGATATTCAAAAGATAATACATACTTAAGAGTGTGCTTTATATGTGATGTTGTGACCTTACATAAGTTATAAAAAGTTTTTTCGAGAGAAAAGAATGTATATTTAACATGTCACGTCAAAGCTCATATTTACTATATTCTGATTTGGTGGCAATGAATAAAATAACCAAAAAATCCATTTTTTTCATTTCTTTCAATTATATACTATATAGTGTAATAGCTTTCTTCTAGCCAATACTATCTATTATGAAAAGAAGTGGAAAACAGTCTGATAATGGTCGTGGAATCAATACTGGTAAAGTCGAATATTATAGTAAATAGATGAAATCCCATCGACCACACTTTTTCTGATACAACAGAAGAAACCGAACAAGAAGTTACTGAAGATAATTCAGATGAAGATTTCCAACCGATTATGTATAGAAAAAGAACTAGTACGTCTTATTACATGATCTTTATGTACAGGTCTAATCTAACTTTTCATATACGTAAAGAAAACACGCCGTATAGTTCTGAAAATAAAAAGGCTAAACTAAATAATGTGGTCCATACCTCTTCTAATACAAGTGCTACTGCTAGCTCAAGCTCCATAATAATCAACCTCAGCTCTTCAGCAGTCAAACCAAGCTCTTCAGCAGTCAAACCAAGTTCTTCAGTAGTTGAATCAAGCTCTTTAGTTGCTGAATCAAGCTCCTCCAATTCAAATGTTGCCAATTCAAGCTCCCCAGTTTCTGAACAAATTAAACAAGTGATCACAATCAAAACGACTATTCAAAATATTTGGAATCAGGATCATGTACGACCTTTATACGATTTAGTCGACAATGTCAATATACTAGTTTTACATACTTATAGTTTCTCAAAATACATATTTTTGGAGGAGCTAAAGAATAGCATTGACTTCAGCTTGGCAGATTTTGTAACAAAGGAGTTTTTCGTAGAGGTGTTTCTGGCTCTGATCATTCGTCGTAATGTTCCTGGAAAGGTAAAAGATAGAACCGCTATCTATCGTGAATTGATATCTCGTCACAAATCATCGTATTTTGAAGATGCTCAATATACTCCGTTTGAGATAAAGTACGTGCAACAGCTCGCATTGTACGAATGTACTAAAATTAATACGGCTTACCACAATAATAGCAAGGCACATTTTGGTAACAGATTGCGTATGTTATTGAACATGCTTTCTAAAAAAGAAGAAAAGTTACTCAGTCTCGATCATCGTATGAAAGCTGTAAATGCTATAAAAGAAGCTCGCCGAAAAGAAGTATTTGAACTCCTTAACAAAATGAAATTCGCTGTATCAAAAAAAGAAATTCCTTCTTCGGACGTCCTGGATGAAAAAGCATTATCATCTGTAAGGGACTTACTATAAACTTACCCAAACAACTACAAATTCGAAAAGAATTCTATCTATTATGATGTTAAAGCTCACCCAGAAAAGCATTTCAATGCTTTCTACAAGATTGCTAAACTTCTGGAAACTGAAGCAGCTAAAACATTTAATTGTTTTCCAATCAAAACATCGTTTATACCATCCTACATTACTCTGGATTCCAAAATAGTTCATCATCACATACTGAAGCAGAAAACTTCCTTCAAGGCGGAACAAAAGTTTGAGATTTGGAGCAACGTCGTTAATTTAAACAAGAAATCATTCAAACCTCAAGGACTTAATAAATCTCTACGATTTCAGGGTACCATTGAAACTGATGGTATTTGTGCTTCGGTGTTAAAACAGAATATCACCACGGGTAAAAAGCAGCCAAGAATGAATAATAAGAAGACAGATACTATCGACGAGGAGTATGTCGAAAATATACTACCTGCTACACTGAAGGAAAACCAAGGCAAATACGTTTTAATTGACCCTGGAAGACGAGACCTTATGTTTTGCATGCAAGAGTCAAGTACGAAGGAGAAGCCCCAAATTCTAAAATATACAAAAATCACTAGAAATAAGCTGACTAGACATAACAAAATATTAAGCAAACAAAATACGCCAGAGTCAGTAAAAATCGCCCAACTCATTTTGTCTAAAACCGTATCTTCTTCAGTAGACATTACAAAATTTAGGGATTACATCAAAACCAGAGCCTCTGTCACACATGTATTAACGAGATATTATGCAAATGAAACAATGACGATCAATGAATCATATTTCCCTGGATCTGTCACGGAATTCTCAATACGACGAGGATGTTTATACTATGGAGATTTGTTTGTTATAAATTTTCGAGGATATTATCCGCAACCGAAAGACACTACTAGCACCACTGCTGATTTGAATTTGTATGCGACTTATTTGGAAATCATGTTAAAACAAAAGCACATCGCACAGCGTCTGACTGCAACAACAAAAAACTCACTAAATGCACTGATTAGTAACATGTCCTTAAGTAATGAAGATAATGGGTTAAAACACAAAGCAAGCACACAATTAGAAAAGTTGCGACTGTTACCTTTCAGAAAGATAAAATTCAACAGCAAGCTCTATTACGATCAAAATGATGCCAATTTGGTTCAACGGCTAAAGCTAAAGTTTGGGAAAAACTCGATTTTAGTGATAGGTAATTGGTCTGCTCCGAATACGAAATTCCAGGAGCCCACAAGAAGTAAAGGCCTAATCAAAATGTTGAAGAAGGCAGGATTTACTGTTCTTTTAATCGACGAGTTTAAAACGTCCTCATATTGCCCTACTTGCGAAAGCGAACTGGAGACATTCAAGACTGTTGTCAACCCTCGCCCATACAAAAGAGCCGATGCACCAACTGTTGAATGTCACGGTTTATTAAGGTAGACGATAATAATAATTGTAGAATGGAGCTATTAATGACTATAACCACTGGATTATTAGATGTCAAAATCTTAAATGTCTTGATAACGGCGAAAAACAAAGAAGGAAACTCTGGAACCGGGACTTGGCCGCAGTGCTGAACTTTAAGAAGATAGTTGAAAGCTTACGAGAAACTGGTCGAAGACCAGCAATATTTTGCAGAAAAAACACCGAAACTATCCATCAAGGTTAACGCTTTGGTTATTTAATGCAGGTACCTACTTTTGAATTTAACATAACAATCGTTTTCCGTAACTAAATTTTCATTTGTCTAAATTTCCATTTTACTTCGTCCAAAAAAGGTAAGCTAAACATCTGAAAAATAATTTTGATTCGTCCAAAAAAAAATTAACATCGTCTGAATTTGAAGTAGAAATACTGTAAACAGTGACTTCTTGATTACGTCTTTGACAGAACTCCAGATAGAATTTAACTATTTTTAAACCTTATATCGATCTGATATGAATTTATGGAACAATAGCTTTTATTTAGGTTAATAATTAAAGTTTTAGGATTATTCATATTCTTACGTTCTCTAGTTCTGGTAATAACGAATAAAACCAAAGAGTACATATATATATATGTATAATATAATGGAAAAGTGTAAAAGAGATGATCTTGTCATTTATGATTTGACAACTTCTGACAGCACTAACTATCTTTAAATTCTAATCGATTTCAACAGCCATGCATCTGTCAGAATACCGCCCAAAAAAAGTTGTTCGCTCTATGTCTGGCATATCCAGCCGAAATGAGGAACTTTATTATATGCTTTACAGTAGTCATACTGCTAAAAAGCAAGAAATGGCTATTAGCTTCACCAAGAAAAAAAAAAAAGACCCGCTTTTCAGGTTAACTAGTCAAACACGCGGTGTATATCAAGCTAGCGAATGTCAACTACTATACCGTTCACCTTTGACAGGTACAAGTTTCATCTGAAGCTTTATAACCGATACCAAATATTGAAAGAAACAGACATTGATGTTCAAGACGACGAGCTAGTTATAAGCTTTACAGATATTGATGTTAGGACTTTGCAACATAAGGTCAAAAGAAAGATAGTAGAAATAAGAGGCAATATATAGTATATGCAACTTAGTGCAATGATTGTAGAAGTTCAGCTAGCCTCATAATCTACTAGGATGGCATAAAGTAGGTCAATTCGTCAGTGAGAGAGGTACAGGTGTAGTAACAAGAATTAAAAGCCATCGTAGATATGGTGGGAAGAAATGCGTGGAGAAAGAGGCAATGTCTGTATCACTAACGAACACAAGACTTCACAGACATACATCTTCTATTGCTTCGAGCATCTAGAGCACCCTTGTTTTGTTGAAGAGAAGAATAGAAAGATGATCAACAAAGGTCAACTTGATATGTAACAATTCTATATGCGTCTCTATGAAGCATAGTCGATCTACCAAGTCTCAGGATGCCCTCTCATCTCTTACAATAGGTCTATCTGGATTGACCTTGTATCTTCTCGGGATACCTCTACCCTCACTTCTCCTAAAATCAAATCAGTCAATACGACACTGACAAATTCAAGACTCAATCATCTGTCCTTCTGCCAATTGCGATGCAATTAAGGACTATTTATTAGGATCTCATCCAATCTCTAATTTTTTGAGCCATTTAGCGTTATTCCACTACTATGATGGTTTCATATTAAAGACATGACGTATTGAATTCATGTCAGTGTCTTGTCATTAGAGCACTTTTTATAGGATATTTACTTTGCTGTTGTGACTTTAAATAGGTTATTTGGTCTTTACATAGGACTGTCAAAGTAACATATCTCTTTTTGTTGCCCTGATTATTGTTTTATCTCTTGGAAAAGAAAGAAAAAAGAGAGAGGGAGAGAGAGAGAGTGTGTGTGTGTGTGTGTGGGTATATGGGTTTATCTCAAAAACATGGTTGAATACACTGTAAAAGCGTCATGATTTGATAATGCAACCCATCCTATTCATTGGCGGTCATTGAATAGTAGATCTTAGAGAGTGTACCTGACATCTATCAAAAAAAAAAAAAAAAAAAAAAAAAAACCGCGTGACACACATACACACACATCCCAGAAATATAAACGCGCTTGACTACATTCTTCATGAAAGCATTCTTTCAATGACCAGGAAAAAAGAAAGGGAATAAAGAAAAATTATATTCTGATCTTTATTTTTTATTTTTTTGGTAAATAGCATAGTTGCCCAACAATTTAAGAACGTTCACCACGAAGACGACGAGCCAATTGAATATCCTTGGGTTGAATAGTGACACGCTTGGCATGGATAGCAGCCAAGTTGGTATCTAAATATATATACATATAAAAATAGGTGAGTTCACAACTACATAAATGCATCAATATTACCTTCAAAGAGAGAGACCAAGTAAGCTTCAGAGGCTTCTTGAAGAGCACCAATAGCAGAAGATTGGAAACGCAAGTCAGTCTTGAAGTCTTGAGCGATTTCACGAACAAGACGTTGGAAGGGGAGCTTACGGATCAAGAGTTCAGTAGACTTTTGGTAACGACGGATTTCACGAAGAGCGACAGTACCAGGTCTGTAACGATGAGGCTTCTTGACACCACCAGTAGAGGGGGCAGACTTACGAGCAGCCTTGGTAGCGAGTTGCTTACGGGGGGCTTTACCACCAGTAGACTTACGAGCTGTTTGCTTAGTACGAGCCATATTCTAAAAAAATAAAAAGGAAAAAAAAAGAGAGAAAAAAAAATCAATAAATCAAAAAATTTATGTTTTCATATAACAAGACAGAGGTAGAGAGGACGTCACCTTTGAACGAAAAGAACGCGAACAAGTGCGTCTAAAAAAAAAAGAGGGGGGCTCAAAGTAAAATAGGAGCATCAAAAAACGCGTTTTTTACGCGTTTTTTTTTGTCGTCGTCATCATCCGTTATAATTTTTTTTAGAGTATTTAATAAATCGCATTTTCATTTTTTCACATTTTTTCTCTTCTTTTTATATAGTTTATTACATCTTAAAAAAGTAAGTATAGAATACATATCCAAAATCAAGTAACTTACATGTTTTGTAGTGACTGGTCGTGGTAAAGGTGGTAAAGGTCTCGGAAAGGGTGGTGCCAAGCGTCACAGAAAGATTCTTCGTGATAACATTCAAGGTATTACCAAGCCTGCTATTCGTCGTCTCGCTCGTCGTGGTGGTGTTAAGCGTATCTCTGGTCTCATCTATGAAGAAACCCGTGGTGTCCTCAAGGTCTTCCTTGAAAATGTCATTCGTGATGCCGTCACTTACACTGAACACGCCAAGAGAAAGACTGTTACCTCTTTGGATGTTGTCTATGCTTTGAAGAGACAAGGCCGTACCCTCTATGGTTTCGGTGGTTAAAACGATAATGATAATAATAAAAAAAAATTCTTTTTATTCCATGATATGCTTAATTTCTTGTGGCAATGGATGTGGTTCTTGATCTAAATGTTCATCAATTAAGGATTCGTTGTATCTTTCAACCACAAGCCGGACAGAAGAGATAGGAGGGAATGCATTGACTTTACTGAGTACAATACGTTGCTTCTGATGTTGTAAATAACCACGCATATAACCCTAACATGAAATGATGAATGAACTCTGATTTCTGTATGTATATGTGCCTTACTTGACTGACAAGAGAGACAAGCATACACTCTATATCTTCTAATGCATAGTCACTTTGTGTCGCAAATTGAATAGCTGCTAGTATATGATCAAAATGAATGATAGGTACAGTTGAACCCAGCTGTGTATACATATTTCTGATCAAACAACGCCATACAAGCACAATGCCTCTTTCTTTCAAAAGGACATATGTCAAATGGTGATAAAAGTAGTTGAAATGGATCTCCAAATGGTCTAAATAGCCTTGTATATTACCTACTTTTAGACATTGAATCAGATTCAAGTAAGGATTCACTAGATTGTAGGTCTCTAATAAGGCATGTTTAGGGAAATAACCAAGAATGATACGTGTTGGTATCAAATAATGAAGTATCATTCTCTTGTTATGCCATTGATCAGGATGACATTTCTGGAAAGCAAACAATAGACATTCTTGTGCCTTTTTTTTTTTTTTTTTTTTTTTTTTTTTTTGCAATCATTAGAATGAAGATATCAAGTGGATTTTTTTTTTTTTTTACCTGCTTTAGTCTACCATGATAAAGTGCATATCTACCAATGTAATATTTATAGGTCACTTGTTGACTGATGGGATAAAGGCTTAAATCAATTTCGCCTGATCGAATATTGTTGATGAATGTTTGACACATACGGATCGAGTTTAATTTAAAGTAGACTTTAAATGCTAGATTCGTAATGTGGAATATGCCTTGTCTTTTGGATGTCTCTATAGGGGATCTAGCTATGTTAATAAGGTAAACTTGTTTATCTTGTTATTACCTGTCTGCCAACATGATATTGAATACTTTAGATAAAAGTCTTGCTGCTGTATTGGCTTTACGTGCTTTTCCTCGTAACCCAATTCGATCTACTTGAAATGCTAATTGAACAAGAGAACTCGACAGGTTCTTTATCAGTGGTACTTGATAGTATGTATCTGCACTTGAAAACACAGGAATAAGTGCACTAAGCATACGATAAAAGAAAAGTGAGTTTATACTTTTATGTATTCTATTTGTTACCTATAATAAGATGCATAGGTCTCAAACACTTGTTCAATATCTGGACTATGAATCATCTTTAGTACTTTAAGATAACCAAGTACAGCATCAGATAAAGCAATAGAAGTATCTTCTAATACATCGTTGACATTCAGTTCAAGTTGAGCATCCGTTTTCTATCTTCATGAGTGTCAAATTAAAAAAAAAAAAAAAAAAAGTGACATATACCTGAGCTAGTTCAGACAAGAGTGAGTTGATAGTTGGATTGTTTAGGTCAATACTGAGTAGTTGTGCATAGAGTTGTGCATTTTGACCAAGATAAGCTTGCTTAACCTGATGACAAAGTGTACTAATCGCGTTTGAAGCTGCAAACATCAGTAAGAAGAAAAAAAAAAAAGAAAAAAAAAAATGTCGCGACAAAAAAGAAAAAAAGAAAAAGAAAAAAGCTGAGTTATAGACGATTTATATATATACACACATATATATATATAAAAAAGAAAGAGAAATCTATTGACGAGTGATATCATATCTTGATGTCATTTGATCTGCATGCATTTTACCAGATGGACTATACACTAGATGAGCTAATGAAATACAACAAAATAGACTTACGCATAAGAAGGTGAAATGATAGAACGAATTTGTTTAGCAGCATAACTTTGTTTTGGTTTTGGTTCTCTCAAGATGATACGCAAGAATTTACCTATAAAACATAAGAATCCGAGTATTCAACAGAGATTGTCCCATTATTTACCATCTGCCATTTGATTATCCAATCGTGCAATACAGTCTAATGCTGCACCTTTTGTACTGAATTCCACTTCTGCTTCTCCAAATGAACGTCCTGCACGATCTCTTAATACTTCACAGTGCAAAATATTACCAAAGTCTTCCAGTGCAATCTAACCATCATATATCAGTCTGATTTAGGACACGACTTTCTTCTTACCTTGACATCTTCTGAATTGGCACCAGGATCCAATCCAGTCACCAATACAGTCGTAGGACCAGACTCACCTTTGATGGACAATTGAGGTCGAGCATTGGCCATGTTGGATCGACCACGAATAGAGAAATCAGTGGATCTTTCTTCAACTGGACGTATATATGTGTCCATACGCATTGGTTCTGGTGATATTTGTTTTGGTGATGGTCGTGTTCCTAAGCGACCTGTCAAGACACTCTTGACTTCAGGTCTCTTAGGTTGATTAGAGATAGCTTTTGTGATAATGATTTGAGAAGGATCTGCTTTGGATGGTTCTTTTGTATGTTTGGCAGTAAACAGAGGACCTGAGGCTTTTGATGTAGACTAGAAGAAAAAGTTAATATCACAAACACGCGTTTTCTTTTGGGAATAGTTACTAATCGTGCATTAATACCACTACGTTGTGGTGCATTGGGTTTAGTTATCTTTGCTTTGCTTGATTGGATCTGAATGTTGGGTCGAACTTGTTGTTTTTGTTGTTGTTGTTGAGGTTTCTTTTTGACTTGTTTCATAGGTGTCTTTTTATTAGGTGTTGGCTTTGGTTGTTGTTTAGTTCTTCTCTTTTTGATGAGTTCATCAAGAGAAGAATCAAGATCCATGGGTGTATAACTCATTATGAGAATAAAAAAAAAAAAAAAAAAAAAAAAGAGAAAAAAAATAAAAAAATAGAAAATAAAGAGATGGTTTAAATGGTATACTACTCTTTTGAATTTAAAATCCAGACAAGTAATGCAATAAGCGTACACAAGTTTATTTCTAAAGAGACACACACACACACACACACAATAGCTATTGCCATGCCTCTTACTGTCGAGAAAGAGAGAAAGAACTTGACCCCTAAAAAGAATAAGAAGATCTGATTGGCTGGTTTACCTATCCACTTGATTTTTTTTTTTAATTTTTTTTTTCCATCACCTTCTTTTCTGTATTTACTATGCCTTTGGATTATAGCAAGTGGGATAATCTCGAGATATCTGATGATTCTGATATCGAAGTTCATCCTAATGTAGATAAACGTTCCATGATTAAATGGAAACAAGAAGCTATTTACCGTGAGCGCGCTGAACGTAAAGCAAAGATTGACTACTTGAACCAATTTGTGCCTCAACAAAAGAACGTGTTGAAAAAGGTACAGGAGTTCATCCATATGCTGAAGGATAGCCAAGATGCTTCTGTTGGTGTTCGACGTGTTGTAGAAGCCTTGGATAAGCACAAGGAAGAAGCTACTCAGTTGCCTGTGCCTTCTGCTCCTGGTATACCTCAAGGCATGAGCATGTCTGAAGTGTTCAGTACCATGAAGACACAGATTACGACAGGCATGGCACAGACATCACCTGAGCAAGTTAAGGCATCATTGTTGGAACGATTTGAGCAAACACAAGCAACTGTTCAGAAGACAGTGGATGGTGCATCAGCTGAATTGAACAAACTGGTGACTGAGGCCAACAAGAAGATGACAAGTGAAAACATGTTTACTTCAGAGAAATCCAACAAGACGGTCATCAATAAACCAAAACCATTGCCTAAAAAGTCAGCAGAGAAAAAAAAGGAAAAAGTGATCGAGACGTTGAATCCTCATGCTACCATGAAGGATTTAAGTTTACAAGAGAATGATGCTGATGATGAGCAAGATGAAGAAGAGGATATTGAAATGACACCTAAGGCTACTCAGTTTTCCAAATTGAAGGGATTTGATGATAGCTACAAATTCCTTACAAATCATCCTGATATCATCAATGAAAAGACATCGGATTCTATTCTTGGACAAGCTTTTACCGCTCAATTAAAAGGAGAACAAGACTATGCAAAGAACTGTGTGATTCAATCCCTTTTACTTCAATACTGTGGTCAATTAGGTAAAGATGGTGTCAATGTGTTCTTTTCAAGGTAAGCGATATAGGACTTAAACAATAGACTCATCGTTGCTCTTAGAATGAGTTCACCCAACACACAAGGCCGTAAAATGTTCTTTGATGATGTCGAAAAGACATATGATCGTATTCGTACCCGTTGTGCTGAGATTGCAGCTGAAGAAGTGACTGAAGAAAATGGAGTAGAAACTATTCAACTCCAACCTATGGGTGATGGCTCTCAACTGACCATTCGTATACCAACACCAGAAGATGAGGCACCTTATAAGGTCTTTACTTCTATGCCTGTTTCTTTCCAAGAAGCACTCAAGACGGGTCAACTGGATGAAATCAACAAGGTATTGGAGAAACTGCCTGTATCTGAAGCAGAGAACCTTGTTCATATCTGTTCTGAATATGGATTCTTGGATGTAGAAGGACAAGTGCTGGAAGAACAACCACAACAACAATAAAAAGGTTAAAAGCAGTCCTTATTTTCTATCTTGACAATGTTACATTTTATATGGCACATCCTTATATCATCATCCACTCCCCCCTCCCCCTCCCACTTTAAGTGACATTAATCAAGTTTGTGCCTTTTTTTTTGAATTTCTAAAATAGTTAACAGAGCACGTTAAAACTCAAAGTGTATTTTATTCTATTTCAACTAGGAAACGTTACACTCACTAAATCTTCCTTTTATATAAATATCAAACAAATTTTGATCTTTCCAGAAAATCGGCTGGATCCGATGAATACCTGTATAATATACCTTACTTTAGATACCTTGCATAGAGAGATCTCATAAAACTATGACTCTAATGTAGCTCAAATTATGCTGCAAATTACAATGTAGAATGAACAGCAATATACAACCCTCATATGACCAATTCCAGACAAGAAATACATGGACTCATTGTTTTATTGAATCCAATAATCATCGTGTTATCTTTCTGCTAGAGTGCGATCGTACTGTCTATGTGTTGAAGCTGTGCCCCCAGTGTTCAGTAGCAAAAAAAACATGACCTAATAAGTCATCATTTCTTCTACCGTGTTCATTCAAGACTAATGTTTTAATATTGGAATCGAGATGTGAACGCCGCATGTAACATAAGAAGCATCTTATGTGAATATATACGTTCGAGCTATGACATCAACAGCAGGCTACAACAGTTCTCAAGAGGTCAAGGTGACTAAGGTGTTTAGAAAAGCTTTGTAAGTTGATTCTTTTTCAAGAATAACAGTCACTAAAGCTAATGTCATCTTTTTTGTGGCGTATTTACGTACAGCCTTTATATGCCCCTTCTCTTTTTTTTTTTTATATTGACCCTCTCTTATTAAACTATGCAAAGGCTTTGGCAGCGAATAAGCGCATGGCCTCGAAAACCAACTTGTATATACTGTACTCCTAGAAATACATATCTATTACCACTGATACTGACACCATCATCTCCTGGACAATGGCGATCCTATTCAGCCCTGTCTCCTCATCAAGAAAAACTTAGTCATTTAGCCGACTTTTATCGAGCACTAGCAACACAAGATATTGATCGTATTTGGCCTTTATATACCTACCTTTATCACAACGATATGTTGTCTTATTTGACCAAAAGGAATTATTACCAACTCTTTACTTATACAGTACGATCCCGTGCCTGTCAAAAAAACTTGCATCGCTTATTGGCTATTGTGGATGATATGCGCATGAAGGGTTATGGACTGCGTGTTGGGGAATACAATGCTGTCATTCATTGGGTGGGTGGTAAGACAGTGCCTACTTTACACACGCGTCATTTGATCGATGCATTGACATGGTTTGAGGATATGCAGAAGTCGAGCTGGCGAGATGAAAAGAGTGGACAAGAACAACACCAAGATCCTGTTCAACCCACAATTGTCACGTTTAACTCATTGATTCATATTGCTGCCGAATTGTCTGATTTACGTACAGCTCAAAAACTGTATCATGACATGATGTCGCGTGGAATTGAACCGGATCGAATGACCTATGCTACTCTGCTTCATGCAATGAGTCGAATAGGTGATGTGGAAGGTATGGATTCTATGCTCAAGGATCTCCGACAAAAGCGATTGCATCATGTGATTAGTAGCACTTTGATTTGGAATGTGCTGATGACAGGCTATGCTACCCATGGACACAAGAAGAAGGCGTACGATATGTTTAACCAAATGCTTCAAATGACCAGCAATAAAACAAGGAGAAAAAAAAGACGATCGATACCTACAGTTGATGCCGAAAGCTTCAAGATCTGTATTGATCTGATGCTGCAGGACAACCGACAAGCCAAAGCCATTCAACTCTTGTTTCGAATGAAAGAGTACAATATTCAACCCATTGTGACTATTTACAACACACTCTTTGCTTCTTTTAAGCAGCCACAAGACTTGGCCTTACTGAAAAGTGTCTATCAACACATGAAAGAGACTCAAGTCAAGCCGAATTCGGACACCATGTATACCCTCGTATCTGCTTTTCTTGATTTAGGAGACACCACATCGGGTCTACAGGTATTTGTAGACCTCAGTAATACATTTTCTGTCGTTCATAAGCGTCATGATATTCAAACAAGTGCGATTGCTACCTTGGCTAAAGAACGTTTATTGATCCAAACCAAGGATCCCGCTAAAATTGAACCCAAACTTGAACTGCTTGAGAGACTCAACAGTATTGTGGCCAATAAACCTACTGCCATTGTATAATAAAAATAGAAATTAGAACACACTGACTATCTTTTGTGCCAACAACACAACTGTTTGATTGATATCATGCTGTGTTGTGTCTATGGTGTAGACATCTTTGGCTTCATGTTGATGAAGTCGGAGATATTCAGGCCAAACAACACGATCAAAATAACCAGGCGGATCTACCCAATAACCTTCTAGTGTATGATAACCTTGTCTTTGCTCTCTTCTTGATTTCAGGACTTGATAGTCACTCGAGAAATCAAACTTGCAATCAAGTTGGCTGGCTACTTTGGCATCCCAATAAAGCATGAATCCATCAACAAACACAAACACGTCATCCACAAAGGGAGCCAGGAGATGTTTGATGTGATCCATGGTTTCAGAACTCACATGGGATGAGCCATCATGGACATTGAGTTCTTCATTGGAGTCATATCCTTTAGGTAGTTGACCTTGATGTGTACGTACATGCTGTATCATGGCTGCAAATTTATCAAAGTCGACTGATTCAGGACAATCCCAGTTCTTTAGCTGTGATTCTTGATGAATAGGTACTTGCTCTTCAGGCTATATATCCATAAGCTTATGAAAGTTTTTTTTTTTATTAGATTACCTTGTAAAAGTCATCTTGATAGACAACCACAGACTTTTTTAGTACTTGTCTCAAGATGCGTGTTGCTGTCTAATGAAGATTAGAAAGGATTACCCTGTTATCTTATCGCTTACTGTCTTGCCAGAACAAGAAGGGCCACTAAGATGAAATGAGTTTAAGAGTGTCATGTCATTCTATTTACCCAACACCAATCGTATGTACTCTTGTCATGATAAGATGTAAAGAAATGTGTATATATATATTTTTATTCTTATGATTTCACTAAATAGTCTTCTTCTACTCCACTATCATAATTAGGATCATTGGAGGCAGCTTGGTGATACAATTGAACCATACATTCCATGGCTTCATACCATGTATATTGCTTTGCATGCTCAATAGCATGTTGACTCATCGCTTTCAATGCATAAGGCTGATCGACCAGTCCTTCAAGTAAACAACGGTATTTTGCGACTTGGTTCTTTAGATCTAGACCTGTAGGATCCAGTAATAAACCTGTCTTTTGATTGACCACTAAATCCTTCACACCTTCTGCTTGTAAGCCAATCACAGGCAATCCTGAAGCCATGGCCTCCAATACCACTTGACCAAATGTCTCTGTCACAGAAGGAAATGCAAAGATATCAGCTGAAGCATAGGTTTGTGCTAATTCGATGCCTTGAAGATATCCAGTCAATGTGACAGGAATATCAAGTATAGTACAATAAGACCGAATGTCCTCTAAAGCAGGACCATCTCCTACCAGCACAAGATGACATTGATGGTGGTTCATTTTCTTGTAGGCTTCAATCAACAGCCGGATATTCTTTTCAAACGAGACCCTGCCTACATATAAAATGATCTTTTTGTCTGTGTTGCCTATCCATTGTGAACGCAATAACTGGGACCGTTGTTGAGGTGAAAATAAAGTGACATCTACACCGCGTGGCCAAATACGGACATGGTCAAATTGATGATGTTCCAGCATGGCTTTTGTAGAGGCTGAAGGGCATGCGATAAACTGACTGAAAGAATGACAATATCGATTCCAACTCCACATGATAGAAGACAAAAACCCAAATCCAAAATGATGACAATAGACAGCAAGATTTGTATGATAAGAAGACACAATGGGTGTTGTAGGCAAATAATACCGAATGACAGCCAAACCAAATCCACCGAGAAATACAGGATCTACTAAATGAATCACATCAGGCTGAAAGGCTAATAACTTCTCGGTCAATTTGGGTCTCCAGAAATTACATTTGAGTTCAGGGTAGACAAAGAGTGGAATACCAAAAGTGCCTACAAGTTCAGCACCTGCATAAATTTGAGTATTTGTTTCGGGTCCAAGTAAAAGTACTTGGTGGTTCTTGAAAGCAAGGTGTTCAAGTAAACGAACCAAGGTGCGAGTAACACCGTCCACTTTAGGTAGAAAGTTTTCGGTTATAATAGCGATCTTCATACAAGTAGATCTCGAAAGGAGAATAAAATAATAGAAAAAATAAAATAAAATAAAAATGATATGTATTTTGTCATCTATCGTTCTTTATCCACATGATGTTCTCTCTCCTTTTATTCATGTCGTGTAAAGAGATTGATTTACTAAAGGTAGTACATATCATTAGTCATGTCATCCATCAGACCCCTATATAAACACCAGTCCTATTGTTTCTGTCCATTTATTCTTGTTGTGTATTTGATTGGCTAGTTGTTATTTTGACGCATAACGTGCACGTTTTGTCAACACAAAGCTTATTGGTAATACAAATATACACCAGATTTAGTGAAATATCAAAAAGCGGAAACAGGACACGCTTATGTATTGAATTGATAGTGTTAGCAGGTACATCAATACAGCCACCCCCATGTTACACACAGACAGGATTATTCTAGGTTGAAAAAATACATGTTATAGGAAGATGCATCTTCAGTCATAATGATGATGTCGAGGTCACATACATCTTCTTAGGAAGCAGTAGACTGTATAAGCATTGTTGCTTTCTCCAGTATGTAAAAACAATATTATGTAGAATGATTTTGTTGACTCTTATGTTCTTATTCAGTTGGACTGCTTTAACATCTTCCTCATGCGAATCCTCTCTGTGACAGTTCTTGAAGGATGTTGAGTCAAGTCCAGATGATATATATATATATATATATACAGTTTTCTTCTGCAGTACTCTTTTTTCTTCTTGGAGATCACTCCCTATCGGACATGTTCAAACCGATACTCGCAGAATGCCGGATATAGAGGGAGTGGCTACAGAGCACTCCATTTACTCCAAAAAGCAACTACTTTTGTATGAGTAAAGGAGAGAAAGTAATTGTAGTCATTTTATGAAAAAGAAAAGAAAGGGAGAGAGAGAAAAAAGAAAAATAATTTCTCAAATGTATTTTAACAGATCAGTTTATAACAATAAATAGGTTTTGATTGTTTATTACACATAAAGAAACTAATAATTCCTCAAATGCATCTAAAGATAAATGGTTTATTTGTATGAAAAAAACAACATTGCACAATAAAACAAAAAGAGAAATACTATACGTTCATGCTTCTTTTTAGAGTGGACGCTTTTTTTTTTTTCAAACCATTTTGTGCAACATCAAATTGTAGACTTTGGATGAGATGGATAAAGATCCTCTTATGAACAATTTCTTCATTGTAATGGATAACACATCTGTCCATATGTACAGCAATGTTGATGAATTAATCACTCTTAAAGGCTATAGAAGTATTTGTCTTCCTCCCTATTCTTCCAAACTTAACCCCATTGAACAGTTCTGGTCAGTTGTTAAGAGAGCAGAAGCTTGCAATCATTTCGACAAATATAGAAATGGACAATCCATTTGATTACATACTTGCATGTTAACACAAAAGAGATAGGCTGAGTGTTTATATTTTGTACCCGCAATTGAGAAAGGCGCAAATTGGCTTATAAGAAAAGTGAAACGAATGATTGTTTTTCCGCAATTTGACCTTGCGTTCATTGTATATATATATATATGTATGTATGTATGCATGTATGCATGAAACACTTGTTTTTCATTATTTGTTATCATTGTTCTTTCTGTCTAATGTCATATCTATATATTTTTTTTTGTCTTAATAAAGAAATGATATAAAGAAACATGGTATTGTGGCCAAATCGTCTTTTTATTACTATTATTATCACTTGAGTTGTACAAATCTTGTTTGGTCAAGAAGATCTTAGTCTACTTGCTAAAGCATTTAAGCTTGCTCCAGGTTAATTTATATTAGCCTTGACTAGTGTGACTTAAAATAGAAAATGATGCGAGCACGTTCGTTAAGCTAAAAATGATCGTCCATTTTCTAGACTCCAATAGGCTGAGCATAAAAAAAAAGACTCTAGATTGACATCTCATATCTTCTTTTCTTTAAAACATATCTTTTCTAACATAATGAATATAAGCCTGAAACCGACAATAGCACTTATTCTACTATTTTTTTTCAAGCATAAACACCAAGAGAAAACAAGTTGTCGGCGCACTAAAATAAAACATGGAGGCTCCCTGTTTTGTTAACAAACGGACTCTCAATATCCTGAGGACTCAAATTAAATGGTTTCCATAGACCTTTTTTAGTAGATGGTACACCATCCCCTTAGATTAATATATAAAGCTCTCTTTCTCTCTTTCTCTATTTTTATTTTTTTCTCTTTACTATTTTTTTTTCCTTTCTTTTTCTTTATTAAAAAAAAAGAAGTATATCCCAAACCATGAAAACTTTTCAATATGGTTTCTTATTATGCATACTCGCTTTTGTTGTGTTACCGAGATTGACTTTAGGTAACAAGGCAGTTAGAGGTTTTCTTCTAATTTTTTATATTAGGTCTTCATACCCACCTTCATCATTTAGAGACATTATCTGACCTTCAAGTCGAAATAGCACCTAGAACGCACCATTTTTTCGAGAAAAGACAACAATCTGCCAATAGAGAACTTGAGCCGAAAAAAATAGCCTTTGATGACCATCTTCATATTTCAATCAATGCATATAACCAGACACTTTATCTTCATCTTGAACCCAATATAGACTTATTCCATCCCGAAGCCACTGTGATCATCGACGGACAACATCAAAAGATACATCAACAACCTTACCATCAAAGGCCACTTGTTTATAAAGGTGTGGTCTTGACTCCAACTTCTAATCACAGCCTCGGTTGGGCTAGAGTTCTGGTCCGAAATGATTTGATGATGTGAGTCCCCGAAATTATTTTATAGAAAATAGACATCTTATCCATGCTATAGACATGAACAAGACCATCCTATTATCGAAGGAGCTTTCAAATTAAACGGGGATTTGTACCATATTAAAGCTACTACAAATTATAACCTCGTCAAACGATCAGACGATGTACCAGCCACACCAGGAAAAATGGTTATTTATCGAGACTCAGATACATCACCTGTGCTTAAAAGAGATGATCATCAGCACCATCAATGTGGATTCGATAATATGCTTCATCCTGCTTTATCAAGCTCATCTTTAGTCAAGAGAGATGAAAGTTTCTTCAGTCAAAATACATTCTCAGGATGCCCAACTACCAGAAAAAGTAAGTATTGTACTTCTCCTTATTTTAATAATATTGACCTTTCTTTTCTTTTTTAAATAGTCAATTATATGGGAGCAGGTAAAAGTCACTTGTGGGAAATAGAGTTTCTTATTAAACTCACTTTATTGTATAGCCGCTGATTGTACCTATGTTCAATACTACAAGAACGTTAATAATGCTCGCATTCAAATCATTAATAACTTCAATATGGCTTCTGCTGTATTTGAAGACACATTTAATGTTTCGCTTGGACTGATCAATATCACCATCATGGACACTTCTTGTCCTAGCAAAGTGGATCCAGAAATAGCTTGGAACCGCGCCTGTGATGCTACTTATGCATTAAATAATCGTCTAAGTGACTTTAGTCGCTGGAGATCCAAAATGAAAAACGATGGTGCCGGTCTTTGGCATTTAATGACAGATTGCCCGTAAGTGATGAGTTTCATTTTAACGTGTATATTAATGTGTATATATATATCCATAGAACGGGTGTAGAGGTTGGACTTGCTTGGCTAAGACAATTGTGTAACTCGGGTTCAGAACTACAGATGACAGTGGATGGTAAAGAACAATATGTATCTGGTGCTGGCGTCTCTGCTGTCAGTAAGTTATCTGATCCTAAAATTTGATCCATATCTTAACTTCTTTTGCTATAGCTCGAGATGAATGGAAAGTAGTGGCTCATGAAATTGGCCATGGCTTTGGTAAGTATTCATCCATATCCGCCGTGAGTCTGACATATATGTAGGTGCTATTCATGATTGCTCGGCTGCTGATTGTCCTTGCGAAGGTGCTGACTGTCAATGCTGTCAATTAGATGGAGACCAGTGTCAAACAACAGGATACTTGATGAGTGCCATTAGCAATAGTTCAGCTGAAAGTTTTAGTCCTTGTTCAGTCAAGACTATTTGTCGTGCTTTTCCTTCTGTCGCTACTTGCTTATACGATCCAGAACAACAGAAGCGTCCTGTTTATACACTCAATAGTTGTGGCAATGGTATTAAAGAAGAAGATGAAGAATGCGACACAGGTGGAGAAGACACACCTTGTTGTGATGCCAAGACATGCAAATTCAAAAAAGATGCTGTGTGCGAGTGAGTTTTATTGACTATGTATAGTTTGACACTGATATCCTTTGTGTTAGGGATAAGACAGATGGTTGTTGTCATAACTGCCAAATTCGACCCAAGACCCACATGTGTCGAGCTGCTGCCACACCTTGTGATGTGTCTGAATACTGTACGGGCGATTCTCCCATATGTCCAACTGACCGCTATTTACGCGATGGTACAATCTGTGGTCTGAATGGACTCAAATGTGCTTCAGGACAATGTACTTCTCGAGACGAACAATGTCTTTCTCGAGGATTTGTCATGAATATCACTCAATCCTGTCGAACCAACAATGAAGAATGTAAATTACTGTGCAACTCACCTGACAGTGACAAATGCCTTATCTTCAGTGGTAATTTCATTGATGGAACACCTTGTGGGTTTGGAGGAAGATGTCATGACGGCGAGTGTCGTAACGGAGGTGCTGTTGGTAGTAGTCTTTTATATCTGCGAGAACATCTTCAAGTGGCTATTCCTGTGATGCTTGTTCTGTTCATGATCTTATGTGCTGTTGGCTATCTCTTGTTTTGTTATGGATGTTGGAGATGCCCAGGATATAAGGAACGTCAAAGAAAACGAGAGTATTACAGCAGTGAACTTCAACCACCTACAACAGGATTGTTTGGTAAAAGGAGTATTAATATTCTTTCCCGGCTTAGTTTCTCAGCGTATCTGTACCGTGATTCTGTTGCACCTCGATTGCTCTTGAGTAAAGAAAAACAATCATTAGAGGTTCATTCGCCACCTTTACCACCTACTTACCATGTACCAGAAAATATCAATCATCATCATCATTCACCATCTCCCAGCCCTGTATTAACAGCTTCTTCAAGTTATACGATTACTATGGACGAAAAACTTGTTAAGAATGAATAATGTAAATAATATCATGAATACCAAAGACATTGTAAATAAAAGTCATTTTTATTATTAAGATAATGTTTCGAGCACAGTAGCAAGTGTCTTCATATCATCTCTTATGCTCTTTGCAAATCGAACCACCTTTTCCTTATTATCCAATACTTCAATGGATTGAGTCAATGCATTGTATCTGACTGAGAAAGGTCGATTCATGCTGGCTGCAAAGTCCCTCACTTTTTCTTGAGCGTCTTTAAATGATTCAGCTACATAATAGACAGGTTGGAATTCAGTAATAGGGTATTTTTGAACAGCTGTCTTGGGTGGTTCAAAAGGTCGAAGTTCGGGCTTATCTGATAATGCATATTCAAGTTCACCAAACGAACTTAGTAGGCCTGCACCAAATGCTTTAATTTCTCCATCTTGTCGACACAAACCAAATTCTACTGTAAACCAAAAGATAGTAGCAAGCTTTGCAATATCTTCGTCTGATGCACCTAATGAAGCCAAACCGATTTCTTGTGAAAAATCAGCAAAATCAGGATCAGCAAACTATAGAAAAAAACTAAGTTCCATTGTATGTATACCAAAATGACTCTACCAATGGAACGTGGCCTAATAATTCATGACAAACATCAGGTTCAGGTGTATAATAAGGCTTTGAATGATGGCGAATGTATTGTGTTGAATAAAAGACACGGAAAGCAAAAGCGTTCAAGAAATCACGGCTTGACAATAAACCCATGACAGGACGAACAGTGAAGCCAGTACAGTCTTTTAAGAAACGAGAGACATGCTCAACTTGAGGAATTTGTTTTTCATTGTAGCCACAATTTTGGATCAAAAGAGGCAAGACATATTGGTGTTCACGACAGGCATGGGTGGGGTACATTGAGGTCAATTTGCGGAACACTTTACCCCAGGTTTCATTTTCCTCGGCGGTGTATTCAATCTCAGGGACAGGCTGACCGGTACGGTAAGTCTTTGCAATACGGGTAATTTCTGCACGACGAGCACGGTAAACGGGATCATGAGCACCGGGATGATCAGAACCTTAAGATCGTGTTACTCCTCGATGGTTCAGATAAATTCTACTTACTAAGTTCTTCACCCATTTCCAAAACCTTATCAGCAAAAGTATCCAAATCTGTCAATTTGCGTGGGAACCATGGTACACTGTCTAATTTTTTTCGCACGCATCAGAATCTGATAAAGACAATTGGAAAAAAAAAAACTTACCACCAGTAGTAGAGTCAGAACCAATGACACGCACATCTTTGGTGTGCTTGCGAAGACCTTCAACTACATTGGTGACTTGTTGAGCATCTTTGGCATCAAAATCAACAAAGAAATCATAGTCCCATTCTTTGGTCTTACTAGGACGACTATAAAGATGTTAATATATATTCCTTATAAACAGATCAAGATTACTTTACGATTCTATGCGAGTAAGAGAGATGTCCATGGATTTAATGGCAGCCAAACAGTCTTCAAGGGCACCAATTTTATCTTGAATGGCAAAACATAAAGTGGTTTTCAAAGATTGATTAAGGTTAGCAGGAGACATTTTTTTCTGATGTGCAATAAAGAAAAAAAAAAGAGCGAAAAATGCTGCCTCTTTTTATTGTTATACATATTTTGACACGATCACGTGCGACCGGGATTGTACAGGTAAAGACCGAGATTGTTTTATGATGGGTTTATGAACAAACAAACATGCATGTATATAATCAGGCAAGTCCACTTGTAAAGAAGCACTTGACAGTGTTGATTAAATACATAAACAAACAGAGAAAAAAAAAGAAACTTACTCGCTTATACACCTTTTCTTGAATAAAAGAACGTCGCATTTTTTAAGAAAAAAAGCATTACATCTATTAGCCTGATTGACTATTTAAACGCTTTACAGGATAGCATCGCTATGGCAAAAAGCATGGTAAATGAGGCAAAGTTAGTTTTGCTTTTTCAAAAAAAATCCCGTTATAACTATACAGTCAGTATAATGCCAAAGTACAGGTTTTTAAATCGAAGTGAATCTTGATAAGTGGCTTTTATTTTTCCAGAAGGTAGTTTATTGGGTTTCAATGAGTAGTTTTAATTGCGCCCGTCTCTTGAGTGCCATTAGGATAACTTTACGCGGAGCAATAATAAAATCTTTCTTTTTAAAAAAAATGAGCAGTTTTGCAAGTTCCAAAGGAAAAGTAGAAATATCGCTTTCTTACATCCTGTCATTATCTAAACAAATACGTGCATACGTCTCTATGAGAATGAAATATGTACAATCGTTGATGAACTAGTGTGTGATACTATGAAGATGTAGCACATCTTGGCATATTTGCATCTTGTCACTTCTGATTTCCTTAGTTTGATTATGTAATTTTTTTACAGATAGATTTTCAAAAAAAAAACCAAGCAAATATTGTTAGTAAAAAAATATCTAATCAGTTGGAATTGCTAACTTGATATGCTTTTAATTGTTCAAGTCGAGATATGACATCAGGTATTGAAGCTAGTTCATCAGGTATTGAAGTTAGTTCATCAGATTTTTTTAAATTAGATTTTAGGATATGCATTGATTTTATTTAAAAAAAAAGAAAATTAAGCAGAAACTCGAATGACATTACGTTGATTAATGCCACCAGTGACAGGGAGATATGTACTCTGCATTAGTTGTTGATCAACCTCACGTGCACACATACGACCTTCATTAATACCCCATACGATCAAAGATTGACCTCGACGACAATCACCCGCTGCATAAACACCAGAAACAGAAGTTGTGAATCTACCCTTTGGTGTCTCAATATTAGAGCGGCCATCTTGCTTAACAGACAATTGTTTGAGGATGGCATCTTCAGCACCAAGAAAACCCATTGATAGAAGCACAAGGTCAGCTTCAAATGTTTGTTCGGTTCCTTCTAACTCTTTCATTGCCCATCGACCAGAATCGTCTTTTGTCCATTCAACACGGACAGTCTTGATACCCTTAACCTTATTATCTGAATCTGTAATGAATTCTTTAGAAAGAACACAGTATTCTCGAGGATCTTTTCCGAAATGAGTCTTGACTTCGCTATGACCATAATCGACACGGAAGATTCTACCGTATTCAGGCCATGGGTTGTCACTTGCTCTTTCAGCAGGAGGTTGAGGAAGCAGTTCAAAATTAATAACGGACTTGCATCCATGACGAACTGAGGTACCAATGCAATCATTACCAGTATCACCACCACCAATTACAACGACATTCTTGTCCTTTGCAGAAAGATAATGGCCATCTTTTAATCCAGAATCGAGCAAACTTTTGGTGTTAGCTTGAAGGAAGTCCATAGCAAAATGAATACCATCAGTATCGCGACCAGGAATTTTGAGATCTCTAGGCCAAGTAGCACCTGTAGCAAGAATCAACGCATCATTTTGCTCGCGAATGGTGTTTGCATCGATATTGACACCAACGTGAGCATTGGGAACAAAAGTAATACCTTCAGCAGCCAAGAGATCAATACGACGTTGAACAATCTTTTTATCAAGCTTCATGTTAGGAATACCGTACATCAATAGACCACCCATACGATCATTTCGGTCATAAACAGTGACAAGATGGCCAGCCTTGTTCAGTTGATCAGCAGCAGCTAAGCCAGCAGGACCAGAGCCAATGATACCAATTTTTTTACCAGTACGCTGAGCAGGTGGTTTAGGCACTATCCAACCTTCTTTAAAGCCATGATCGATGATGGCACATTCAATGCTCTTGATAGCAACAGGAGGTTCATTGATATTGAGTACACAACTTTGTTCACATGGAGCAGGACTATCAAATTTGTTAGAATAATACATAGAAACGATTCAACTTACCAAACACGACCTGTAAATTCAGGGAAGTTGTTGGTCATCAAAAGACGATCAAGTGCTTCTTTCCAATTGTCTTTGAATACGAGTTCATTCCATTTGGGGATAATGTTGCCAATTGGACAACCAGTGTCAGATTGACAAAAAGGCACACCACAATCCATACAACGAGCAGCTTGTTCATGAAGTTGAGGACGAGTAAGACGAACATTGACTTCGTCCCAATCTTTTAAACGCTTCTTAGGGTCACGATAAGGATCAGTTCTGCGCTTATATTTCATAAAACCTCGTAATTTGTCTAGTCTTTCACGACGCTTAAGAATTTCTTCTTCAGACAATGCACTATCTTCAACATCTTCAAGTTGAGGCTCAAATTTCTTTTGGCTAGTATCATCAACGGATTTCTTTTCCATGTTGGGATGAGCGAGGGCTTCACGTTGACGCTTCAGTAATTTACCATATTCAATAGGCATGACCATGACAAATTTAGGAAGGTACTCATTAAAGTTCTTGAGGACTTGTTCAGCGACCTCAGATCCAGTATAGTGGCGGTGGTCTTCAATCAAGTCACGCAGTTCGGCAATGCGCTCATTGTCATTCACCGTTTCTAAATCAACCATTTCGGTATTGACCAATTCACGGAAGCTGTTGTTTAGGTCCAAGATATAGGCTATACCACCAGACATACCAGCAGCAAAGTTACGACCAGTGCTACCAAGAATGACAACACGGCCACCTGTCATATATTCACAACCATGATCACCAACGCCTTCACAAACAGCAATAGCACCTGAGTTACGGACACAGAAGCGCTCAGCAGCTACACCTCGTAAGAAGGCTTTACCACTGGTAGCACCATAGAGACAAACATTGCCGACAACAATATTGTCTTGAGGTTTGAAGGTGGAGTTCTTCGGAGGATAAATAGCAAGTTTGCCACCAGAAAGCCCTTTGCCCACATAATCATTAGAATCACCTTCTAATTCGAAAAATATACCAGGAGCCAAGAAGGCACCAAAAGATTGACCAGCAGAGCCTTCAAGAGCAACATGAATAGAGTCTTCAGGTAAGCCATTTTCGCCAAATCGTTTAGAGACATGGTAAGAAAGAGTGGCACCCAAAGCGCGATCTGTATTAACGACTTGGCCCTGAATATGGACGGACTTTTCAGCACCAGAAAAGACTGCTTCAGCTTCATCAATTAAGTAATTATCAAGACGAACATGAAGATTGTGTCTTTGCTTTGTCGTGTTGTGCGTAGCAACACCTGGACGCAAGGCATTAGCAGGAGTCAAGATGGGTGATAAATCCAAATTGGCAGTCTTGAATGTACGGAGAGAATCGTCAACCTTCAAAAGCTCAGCACGACCCACCATTTCGTTAATAGTACGGAAGCCAAGCTTAGCCATGATACTACGCATTTCCTCAGCAACATAATAAAAGAAGTTGACAACATGTTCAGGTTCACCAGTAAACTTTTTACGCAATTCAGGGTCTTGTGTAGCAATACCTACAGGACAAGTGTTCTAAGGAAAAAAAAGAGGGGATGAGCGATGGATTTTTTTTCTCAAATGACTTACCAAATGACACTTTCTCATCATGATACAGCCAAGAGCAATAAGAGGAGTAGTAGCAAAACCCCATTCTTCTGCACCGAGTAAACAAGCAACAGCAACATCACGACCTGTCTTGATCTGACCGTCTGTTTGAACGATTACACGGCCACGCAAATCATTCAATACCAAAGTTTGATGTGTTTCTGCAAGACCAAGTTCCCAAGGAAGACCAGCATATTTGATACCAGTCCAACGAGAGGCACCCGTACCACCATCATGACCAGAGATCAAAATATGGTCTGCTTTGGCCTTGACTACACCAGCAGCAACAATGCCCACACCCACTTCAGAAACAAGCTTGACAGAGATGCGAGCGCGAGGGTTAGAAGACTTGAGGTCGTAAATCAATTGCTTCAAATCTTCGATAGAATAAATATCATGATGTGGAGGAGGGGAAATCAAACCGATACCAGGTGTTGTCTTACGTGTACTGGCAATTTCTTCAGAAACCTTGGTACCAGCCAATTCACCACCTTCACCAGGTTTAGCACCTTGAGCCATCTTGATTTGTAACTCATCAGAATCAGCAAGATAATAACTTGTTACACCAAAGCGACCAGAAGCTACTTGCTTGATAGCAGAACGAAGTGCAGTACCATTTGCTTTGAGAGTTGAACGTTCAGGCTTTTCGCCACCTTCGCCTGTATTGGACTTGCCTCCAAGTTGATTCATAGCAGCAGCCAAGGCAATATGTGTCTCCCAAGAAATGGAGCCATACGACATAGCACCTGTGACAAAACGCTTCACAATGTTGGTCCAGGGTTCAACTTGTTCAACAGGAATTGGCTTGCGTTCATCAAAGTTGAAGTCCAACATACCACGCAGTGTGCATTTCTTAATTGCATTATGGGCATTATGAGAATAAACATCGTAAGAGCTTTGGTTTTTGCGGCGAACAGCATCTTGTAAATTAGCAATACCAGAAGGCTCAGTAATATGGGCTTCACCACCATCGCGCCAGTGATATTCCCCAGATTCAGGAAGACCAACAGGTTGAACTACATTGCGAGTAGGATAGCCACCTTCATGCAAAGTCAAGGCATCCAGAGCAAATACATCAAATGTGGCACCCTTGATACGAGAAGAAGTACCAGCAAAGCAACGGCTGATAACAGTATCATCTACACCAAGTGCTTCAAAGATCTGAGCACCCTTGTAAGAAGCCAAAGTAGAAATACCCATCTTGGACATGACCTTCAAGATACCGTTATTAATGGCCTTTCTATAATTGTGCAATAATTTCTCAACCGTATAATCATTACGGACAGCACCTTCACGATGGAATTTCATCATAGCTTCCATGGCCAAGTAAGGACAAATAGCATCAGCACCATAACCAAGCAATACACAAAAGTGATGAACTTCACGAGCTTCTGCTGTTTCAACCATAAAAGAAACACGACTACGCTTCTTATTTCTCACCAAATGATGATGTACACCACCAGTAGCAATCAAGGTAGAAATAGCAACACGGCTAGCAGAGACAGCACGATCAGATAACACGACAACTTTATATCCAGAATCAATGGCCTTAGTTACTTGTTCACAAATACGTTCAAGAGCATCAAGGTAACCCTGGACACCAGCAGACTTTTCAAAAGTAATGTCGATTGTAGCCACCTTCCACTCAGGAAATAAGTGAGTCATCTGCTTGACTGCTTCTAGTTCTTCCATATACAAGATAGGTGAAGGTAAAGTCAACTTGTGACATTGGTTTTCATCAATTTCGAGAATATTGCCTTCAGGACCAATGTAGCATTCAAGAGACATAACAATTTCTTCACGAATAGGATCAATGGGAGGATTAGTCACTTGAGCAAAGAGTTGGCGAAAGTATTCGTAGAGAAGACGAGGTTGCTCGGATAGACAGGCAAGTACAGTATCATTACCCATTGATCCAAGAGGTTCTTTGCCTTCCGAAGTCATTGGCAACATTAGCAAGTTAAATTGTTCAAGCGTATAGCCAAATGCTTTTAGACGAGGGTCTGAATTGATATTGGTATCATCCAACTTTATAGCACTTTCAGGTTCTAAGGCAGAGACCAAATCATCCAGTTTAATCTTCTTGTTCTTGACCCATTCAACAAATGGTTTCTTTTTTGCGGTTTCAAGTTTGAGTTGAGTATCGTCTACCACAACACCTTTGAGAGTATCTACCAAAAGCATGCGACCAGGCTTTAGACGACCTTTTTGAATTACGGATTCAGGATCAACAAAGACAGTACCGACTTCAGATGCACAGATCATGATATCATCAGAAGTAAGATAGTATCGACAAGGACGCAAACCATTACGGTCAAGAGAAGCACCACAATAACGGCCATCCGAGAAAATAAAGAGGGCAGGACCATCCCAAGGTTCCATTAAAGAAGCAGCCCATTCATAAAAACCCTTCTTTTCAACAGACATCAACTGATTATTCTGCCATGCCTCAGGCACCATCATCATGACAGCTTCAGGCAAAGTCAAGACACCATTGACAACCAAAAGTTCCAACACATTATCAAAAGCAGCAGAATCGGAACCACCTTCTTCAATGATAGGATAGAGTAGCTCCAATTCATCACCAAACTTGTCTGATGTCATGATACCTTCACGAGAACGCATCCAGTTTTTGTTTCCACGCAAGGTATTGATTTCACCTACCCAAAGCAAATGAGTAACATGTTTCAAGCTAAATTTAGATCTTACCGTTATGTGCAGACCAACGCATAGGCTGAGCACGGTCCCAAGAAGGAAAAGTATTTGTAGAAAAACGAGAATGAACCAAAGCAAAATGAGTTGTGTACTGAACATTCAATAAATCGTAGTAATACAAATAAACTTGCTTTGGTGTCAACTGACCCTTGTAAACAATGTTTTTGTTGGAAAGAGAACAAATATAAAACCATTTTTTCATTGTCAAGGTATGAGTTGCATGTTTACGCAACACATACAATTGACGCTCAAAATAACCTTCATTAAACTCAACGCCGTCTTTCAGTACCACAAATGGTTGAGCAATGGTAGGTTCTTTTGATCTTGCTGCTGGACCAATAATGGAGGAATCTACCGGGACGCGACGCCAACCCAACACTTTCAAATTTAGGTCATCTGCTAGGGATTCAAACACTTTCTGGGACTCTCCAACATCTTTCATAAACAAGTTGCCAACAGCATATTTGCCTTCTTCGGGTAGGGTGACACCCAGTTCTCTTGAAGTTTCATTGATAAAATATTGATGAGGAATAGCTGTCATAACACCAGCACCATCACCATCACGAATATCGGCACCACTAGCACCACGATGCGTCATGTTGCATAAGACTTCACTTGCATCCTTTAGAATTTTGTGAGAGCGAAGACCTTTGACATGGACTATAAAACCAACACCACATGCGTCTTTTTCGTATTCGGGATCATAAAGTCCTTGAGCTTTAGGGATACTCGATGCCCATGACTTGTTTTCGTTTGTTAACATTTAGATCAATGTAAGAGAGAAAAAGTGAAGGAAGGGTAAAAAGCCAAAATAGAAGAGATTTAAATTTCTTTTTTTTTTTTTGATAAGAGAAATGTGTCTCGCTTTTTTTTTCTCAAAGGTTTCCAACTGCATCCAGCACACTTTTTTTTCTTCTTCCTTGACATGAATGTTGCACAGAATAATGAACTTAAACAAGTATATATACGTGCTCGGTTTGTTTCGTGTTATTCTAAATGTACGCTTTTGTTTTGTTGTTTTATCATTTTTTTAAAATAAAGTTATTGTTATCTATTCGCATATTGATTACGAAGTTATCCGATTGAATAAAACACCAAAATTGGTTCGAGTTGATTCATGGGGGTGGGAGTGATTCTATGATGTCGTCGCTTTTTTTTAAAAAGAGGAAGAGATCTAAAAAGCCAATCAAAACGTTTACCTGTGTTTCAATATAGATTAAACGCATTTGTGTAAGCATCTTTAGTATTACAAAACCTTAAGCAATTGTATAGACACGATCAAGCAAAAGTTGGGTAAAAATAGATAATACCGTGAGTAGTTATTGCAAAGATTTTTTCAAAGAAATTTGAGACAAGTCGCGCTTTTAGAAAAAAAAAACTTTGCTTAATATTAAATTATCGATTCAAGAACAGGATTAGAGCTATTCAGAAGCACATCACACATACATAAGTAGGACTTTCTTATCACAGTCAAGTCAAACTGCTTAAATATGCTACGAATATATATATATATATATATATTAGAATTAGACAGCTGTGCATCATTTTTAAATGTTAAGGTTTGTGTTACAGGAAAGAAAAGTAGATTAGATTGAATTAGCCAATAAGAAATGAAAAAGATATTTCACAAGAAAATAAATTATCAGGGCGTATCACAAAAAGAAAAAGTGGAGAAAATTTCAAGAAAAAAAAGTCAATAAGCCTTTTTTTGTATTTGATTTTTTCTTCTGTCATTTGAAGAATTTAATGTAGATATGGAAAGAGAAATACACCGTTACGTTGAATGCAAAAATCAAACTAAAAGTACAGTATTCTTTAACAAGAAAGGAAAAAGAAGGCGGCAATAACAATGTTCAGTGGCTTGACATGGAGCTGTTTAATGCAGTGTACCAGAAAGTCAGCATGTTTTTAAGCAGAAATAAGCATAGCCAATCAAAACAACGAGCTATTCATGAGCAATCAAGTCTCTTATATTTCTCTTTTGTAAAAGTTATTTACTTTACAATATTTCAGCAAAAACTTATGACTTTATCTTCTCCATTTTATAAAATACAAAGTCAAGACAATATTTGAACCTCGCTAAAAAAAGAGAGACCTTGAACAAGAAGAAAAATACACACTAAAGAACAAAAAAAAAATAGGGATTTGGGTGCACAAACTTCTGTTTAAGAATAAACAAAACGTACGTTTTTTTTTCTGTAAATTTTCCACGTTGGGTAGCATATGATTATGAATTTCAACCATATGCACCTTGTTCTGCATAATTCCATCAACCCAAATTCTTTTCGATGTTTGGTTCATTCTATATCTTATGTTTGAAGCTCTTGGCTGTGCGTGTGTTGTACACGTCACACAACGCCCTTATTTTTTCTTGAACGGAAAGTCTTACCGAGCAAATGCATTATTGACCTACAAGATACGCTGAACGATGAATATATGGTGTGTATGCGTGGCTATAAAAAGAATTAATTTAGGTACCTGGATTATCATTAAACATACAAAAGAAAAAAAAGGAGATATAAATAATATAAAGAAATAAACCTTAAAATGGGCCAGAAAAGAAAACGTGATTTTTATTATTATGTACAAAAGAATCGTATCATTAAAAAAAAAATAAAAAGAGCATATTTTTTGAGCATACATGGTATTTGTTTGATAAAAAAAAAATAATACAGCAGTTTTATATGTATAAAAAGAAGAATATAATATATATATATATATATATATATAAAAAGGGTATGGTATTTGATTTTTTGAAGGAATGAAAAGTGTTTTTTTTAAGAAATTATGTATGTATATACATGGATGTGTGTAAAAATGAAGAATAAAAAAAGGGTATTTTCTATTTCAAGCTTTTTTTTTTTCTTGGGCTTACTGTTTTCAAGTGGATTCATTGAAGTTTTCTTCATTTCCATTTGTGCCATGGATACTATTAAAGTAGCGTGTTCTTATAGCATCAGAATAGGGATTAACAACATTTGAAGTATTAAAGTTCTCGGGATTATTGGACATTGGATTGCTTGACACCAATTCTTCGTTAGACGAGGTAGAGCCATAAAAGTTCATGCTGTTAGAACGTGAAGTAGTAATAGGACGACGATTTGTAAGGTTTGATGAGTTAGTACTTTCAAAAATATTTCTTTGTGCTTGATGAAAGTCGGATGGTTCATTACCTATTGGATAATAAGCATCTGGGTAATTCATTGAATTGAGGAATCGTCGATAAGAGCCATCTGCTGAATTTATGTCTGGTTGTAATGCCTTTTCATTAGGTAAGCCTTGCATGCCATAAGCTATTCTTTGTTGTTGCTGCGATGTGTCTACGCGTTGCATTCTTGCATGTTGTTGTGGAACACGTTGCATTGGAGGTACCGGGATCATTTGTGGCTGAGGAGGAGGAGGATGATGTAAGGGAACATAAACAGGACGACTTTGTGGTTGTAGTGGTTGCGATTGATTTGTTTTGTTGCTATTAATCGCGGCAGCAGTAGCAGTAGTAGTAGCAGTAGCAGTAGCAGTAGCAGTAGCAGAAGTAGTAGTAGTAGTATTGTTGTTGTTGTTGTTGTTGTTGTTGTTGTTGTTGCTATTACTATTTTCATGTAGCTTTTGTTGTTGTTGTTGCTGTTGATATTGTCGAGAAGAAGGAGGAGGATTTTGAAGGTTAAATGAGAATTGATTAGGTACCACATTAGTCATATTTTCAGGTTTGCGTCTATAAGAGTCATAAAACTCGGGATTGGTGTCTGCAATAGCATATAGTTTTGGGTCATTTGGTTGATTGACAGTTGAAAGCATATGACTATAATTATCATGTAAGCCTATGTCTGCTTCCATATCATCATCAAATTGGCTTGGGTCAACACCTAAATTGTTTGCTAATGACTCAATACTTGCTTGAAGCATATCGATGTCTTGCGTGATACTCTGTGCAGAACGAGTGGCTATATTTAAGGTTCTAGAAAAGTCCACAATCGATGGGGCTTTATCTTGATCAGAAGTCATTTCTTGAGGTGACTGAGGATATTGAATTACAGATTCAAATGAATTAGGCATGGGTTTGCCATCCTCAGTTTTATTGGCTTGATTTATATTGCGTTGATCTGGGGAATTGCTGGCAGAATAAAGACGGATAGCAGAAGAGAAAATATTAGAAAGAGCAGAAGATGCAACTGAAGAAGACATAGGTGTTGAGGAATTGATCTTGCTCATGTCATCCAATTTAGTTGACATACCAGCAAGCGATGCCGCTTCTTCAATTAAACCTCTGGGGAGTGAATCGCCGTTATCTACAAATTAAGAAAAATGGTATTAGTACTCCGAAGTTCTCCAAATCGAAAAAAACAATAGAAATTATTGATCGGCAAAATAATACTTACTCATGCTAATTGCCAGATGGTCATTTACAAAGATGGCGGTCAAAAATTGTAGGATTTTTTCAATGGCCTCTTGATGACTCTGGTACTTTTCCCTTGCGTTCAGAGTCTCCTGCCAGAGAATTTCATTATCACGGTGCAAATCTCTCAAGTCAATACCAATCGACGATTGTTGTTTCTTTATAGCAGACAAATCTTGTACAAGAGTGGATAAAGTGACATTTTCTGTATCAACAATATCTTTATCCCGATTTCGTTTTCTGGTAACAAGTACAAGGAGATCAGGTCTTCCCTGTTGGAAATGAGGATTACTAAATTCCCATATTTCATATTCATTTTCTGCAATCATAACACCTTGTTGAAGATGAGGAACTTTGTGGAAATCATACATGTTCAATTGGCGTACAAATGATGCAAATGTGTTATGCTTGTAGAATCTTGGTAGGACTGTTTTAGCAAACTCTTCATGTCTTTCAACTACATGGTATGTTAGAAAAAAAAATTTTTTTTGTGCATTTTTACCTATAAAAGATGTTCCATCTTTTGACCATCGAATCAAATCATTTGTTGTTGAATCCTCTACCATACTATAAAGAGAAGTTCTTAGTACAAATTGGGATTTATCTTATTATATTACTTGTATAATTTGTTAAGAAAGGCGGGGACACTTCTTTGCGCAGTCAACCTAGGAGGAGGAGCAGAGGAAGAAGTGGTAGCAGAAGAAGAAGAAGGAGGAGGAAGAGGAGGAGGAGGGGCATTGGTATTCGATGACGCAAAAGAACTGGAAGAACTTGATTGTGCTTGTGAGGTGCCACTATCAGCAGAAGGTGAACCTGTAGAATTGCCTGTAGAATTGTTTGTTGCTCTTTTTTTCCTTGATAAGCTTGGTTTAGTTGATGCCATTGAAGAAGAGCCGGAGTCTGAAGAGCTAGCATTTGAGAAAAGGTTGACTGGAGTTGATTCTGAAGAAGAAGTAGATGAGGAAGAAGAGTGAGATCGCTTCCTGCTTGTTGCAGTTAGTTTATTTCCTCTGTTCAAATTTGGACGTCGCTTTATTTGGGGTTGAGCCTGTTGAGCCTGTTGAGCCTGTTGTTGTTGTTGCTGTTGTTGTTGCTGTTGCTGTATTCGCTGAAACTGAAGTTGAGCTTGCTGTTGTTGTTGCTGCACATTGTGCTTTTGGTGATTCATATTAAATGAACTGTTTATTATATACAACGAGTATATCAAAAGTAGTTATCAGTAGAGCTATAGTATAAGATAAAATGGATTAGTTTGTTTCTCACTAAAAAAAAAAATCTCGTATTTTACCTAAATGTAAAAAGTGAATATTCCTTTTTTTACAAAAACAAAAAAGTGATGAAAAGGGGAGAGAAAAGAGATTAGTTGGTTTTAGGCGAAAACAGGAAAAAATCTACAATTGCCGATTTGAACGGGATGCGGATTTTTTTTTTATTTTTATGGTCTGGCCCAAACCATGTAAAATTTACCTCTACTCCAAATAGGGAACAAGGAATAAGCGTTCCACAATATGATAAGGTTCCTCATACACTAGTTTTTTTTTCTTTTTCGTTAATTAAAGGAGAGAATTTTAGGCACTTTTGCTTTCTCTGTCGATTGATGCGTAATTTCGAAGCTGTTTGTTTTATCAGGTTGTATGAATGTATTTTTTGGCATTTTTCTAAATCGAGTTAGTGAGTAACTATATTGGTAAAAATCGATAAATTATGGGGGGTAACCAGCTGCTAGTCTTGCGAAAAAAAAAAAGTTTTTTTCTCTCATTCTGTGAAACCCATGTATACATTTTAGTCTTGGGGCTACTATAAATCGACTGGGCGTTCATGTAATCATTTGCATTGCATATCATATGGTTCCCTTTTTATTATTACTCTATAATTGTTCAGACTGTTAAAAAAAAGAGAGAGAATGAACAAAAGTGCTCCTTATTTTTTTTAAAAAAAAAAGCTGCCTAATCATTTGCAAAAAAAAAAAAAAGACTTTGCATTACTCACAGCACATGAAATAAAAAGAATTTTATAGGCTATAGTTTTAAGATAATGAAAATTATTGTTCTATGACGTTCTAATGAAGTGCAACATACCTAAAATTTTTAGTTGTTTTAGCTCAAAAGAAAAAAAAAAGACTGACAAAATCATTTCCCCAAAGCCTCCTGATTTTCTTTTTCTCACAAAGTTTCTTATTTACTAATGATAGTATTTTGGAATTGATTTATTCTCGATTCCAGCCATTAGAGTTTAACATGATTAGACTCATGTTTATATATAAAAAAAAAGGAGACAATAATGATATCATCTTAATAGATGTTACCATTTACTACAGACAACAAAAAAGAAACTTGAGACATACTTAAAAGCTATAAATAAACTTTTTTTTTTTTGATAAGGTCATTGAAAAAGAAAGTTTGATGTGAAGAGGAAAGAAACTTTTTCTTACCAAATTGTCGTTTCTTTTTTTACACAAAAAAAAAATTTTTTTTGTTTCCTTTGAGGACTGCACATGATTTGTAGAATTTTGCTTTATAAAGTAATTCTCTGATTCATAAGAAATCTTAAACCACTCTTTAAAGAACCGAAACTTTGGTAAGCGTATCCTTAAAAAGAGTAGTGCCATGGTTTAGGGCACTAATAAGCTATACTTTGCCAATGATATACTTTTTAGAAAAAAAATAGCATAGCATTTGTTCTATTTAACCATTTTTTACAGCAATTTTATAAATAAGTACTAGTTGAAAAAAAAACAAATATTGCAATACTACTTTATTGAGAATAATGTATAATTGTTTTATTGATCTTTTTTTTTAATCAATACTAAATAGTTGCTTATATACAGTTCATTTCTTCTATCTATATTATAGGACATTTTCAACATGTCAATTTGTGCTCAGACCATTGATCAAATTGTATGTAACACAAATTTAGATCAATTATGACAAGAAACATTTATCATATAAGCCACATAAATATTTAATTAAATATGTTTATAACACATATGATACAATAAAACAAAGGAGACTCTAGTCGCAGTGAACACGCAGATGTCTTCTCATGTTGCTTTGGACACTAAACTTGCGTCTACATCCAGGGTAACTACAATGGAAGGGCTTCTCTCCTGTATGCGAATATGTGTGGATTTTCAAGGAAGATGGCCGCATGAACTTTTTCTGACAAAATGTGCAAATATATTGCTTGATTCCTAAACTTGCTGTTTTCTCCTTGACTGGATTTAAAAGTAAAGGAATGCTTGCTTTGCGAACCAATGGTTCCTTAGATATTGCGTCTTGCTTGTCATTCTCAGCCAAGAGTGTAAATGGGGGAGGGAGAACGATTTGAAGCTTAGGATTTGGTTTAAGTAATAATGGTTGAAGTTTGACAGGTAGTGCTGCTTCCATTGAAACCATACTAGGTTGAATAGGTGTTAAGATTCCCTGAATGCCTAGAGTTAAAGAATGCATTAAAAAAAGGTTCGGTAGAAGAATCTTTTACCTTTTTTGTAGGTTAGTTCTTTCAATGAAATGGAAGGCAATTGCCATGTTTCTTTTTGATGCATCATGAATGTAAAATATGTCGATAAAAAAAAAGAGAGACAAGAAATAAAGTTGGTAGGAAAGATTCCTGATTTGAAATATAGAAAAAAAAAGTTCCGTTTCAAGCATATTTTTTTCTTTTTATTTATTGACTTTCTTATCTTCGGTAATATATGCAATGGTTGTCTTCTTTAAAGGATAACGTATGCATGGGTGTATATATATATATATATATATGAAAGTGTGTATGCGTTTATGTGTGCATGCATGTGTATTTATGTATAAATGTAATGGGAGGGTATTATTTTGTTTAGAGAAACCTAAGTTGAGAAGCTGTGAAATGAAGAGGTTTCCAATCCAGTTTTCCCTGTACAATCACACGCTTTCTACGTCTCTTCTTTTCATCATTTCTTCGCCATTGTTCAATTACTTTATCTCCCAAACAGATGATGTGTTGTCCACGATAATATTTCAAAGCGCCAATATTTTGTAGAGTGTGAAGAATATCTTGCGTTGTAATAGAAGTCCTCTGAGAGATCTCTTCGATTGTGATTTCCTCCGTTGAATTCAACAAAACTTCAACAATAGTCTCTGTCCAATAAGCACGATAAGATAACAAACCAAGATCTGATAAAGGTTTTTCGGGAGAACCCGTTCTTCCTTCTGCTTTTGATAGTTCATATGAAAACGCAATCAATAATCGTCCATAACCTAGTCGTTGATACTGAGGCAATGTCAGGATACAGGCAACGTTATAGTTCTCTGAAGATTCCTTTTCTTTAGAGAAATAACCAATCAAATGATAACCCTTTTCATCGCGTTCAGTCATGCAATAAAACAAAAACGGATCCACGTCATAATACAGTGTTTTGTGGTCCAAAAATAGTTTTGACAGCAAACAGAGGTTTCGGCAATACGTTTTCTGTTTACGACCATCAATTTCGAAAAATGAGATTTCTTCATGGCGATAAATTTCGTTGCCTGGTGGATGGTGAAGTTGACAACGAGCACGATGCCTTGACAGTTGCTTGTATGAAACGTAATAACAAAGGCAGAATTCACAAATATAAAGCGTATCACAGTATGCATATTCAACTGGATAAGGTGAAAAGTACCAAGCTTCTACTTCATGTTGACCCATTTGGATCTTGTTGAGATTTTTGACTCGAGCAATTTCCTGAACACTTTGTGTCATGGATCCAGATGTTCGTAGTTTTTCAATTTCGTTTACTTTTGAGAAACCACTTGGTTCTTCTTCTTCTTCCTCTTCTTCATCGCGTGTTTCCATTTCAACCGTCTCTCCATGTTCATCATCATTGCCTAAGACCACTCTATCGACTCCTTCCTCAAATGCAACTTTTTTTCTATTGTTGGCGTTGTTCTTTCTGTTTGCGTTTGGTGTACCACTTCTTTCTTTTTTTGTCCCCTCTGCTTTTGGATTCTTTTTGGTAGGGAATTCGATAGGTCGATTGAAGTCCAAGCGCTTAATAGAGACCCACTCGTCTAAACGTTTGTTGAACTCGGTATAATGGACATAGTATTCTAGACCGTTGCTGGTGTTACGAGAAGATAAAATTTCTGCCTTTCTGAACTCTGATTCTTCGACACCTTTGGTATGCGTGATCTTTTCTACAAATAATTTGCAATTTACAGGCGCCGCCAAAAACTTTTGTACCTGGGCAGTTTGTTCTGGAAGCACTTCTGTCTTGGTTTGCGAAAGTGGAGAGCAAGCCTGCTCAATTTTGACAGGAACTTCGATGGTTGGGTTGTGTGGGTCTTTGTTGTCTGTCGCTTCTGCCATAAGAACAAAAGTAAAAAATAAAAAAATAAAAAAATAAAACAAAAGTAAAAAAAAAAAAAAAAAAAAAAAAGACTGAAAATTTCTCTTGTCAAACGCGATGACGTACAAAGAACAGCCCAATTGTATTTCTTGCGTGTTCGATATGTTATAGTCTGAATTTAATGCATGAATTTGATTTTATTATGATGGCCAATGAGTAGTAAACAACAATGGACTTGAGGTAACTAAACCATCTATTTGAGGTGTACTTGAAACTCTAGAAAGAGGTTCTTTTGTGCCTTTGAGCCAGTTTGCTTTATGGCCTGCTTCATAAATATCTTCTAGCACCTGTCCAAAAGTACCATCTTTTCTATAGTCCAAGTACTTTTTATACAACACCAGTGCCTACATAATGTATAAGCAAAGAGAAAATAATATTTTCTGTTCTTACTGTTCTAGCATCCTCAATACTATCATGAGTTTCTGATTGAATATCTTGATGTAATAGATGCCATGCTAAAAATCTCAATGAGATTTTACGCTGTCTATTTCGAATATGGTAAATGTCTACAGTGTCAATAATTTGTTCTGGAGGCACAAGTAAATCTAATATATATATATATATATATATATATGTACACAAGAAAAAAAAAGTGAGCCAATATCAAACAAACTATACGAACTAACTGATGATTCTAAAATCTTTGTTTAGACCATGTCCTATGAATATACAGCCTAGATCCACTAGCATACGTAGTTTCTTATAGGCTACCTTTAAAGGTACCAGTGTATGTTTTGATTGGCTTTGATCTAAATCACCAGGCATAATACCACTGAACTCTGTCAGATAATCCACAATAGGTTCGCTCGTCGTAATATAGTCATCGATAAATGGAACACCTTCTTTTGGACCTGTATCACCTCGTAGCACACTCACACGAGCCAGAGTTAACGTACTTGGTCGAATCAATGATTTTGTACCATCACTACGAATTTCTGTCTCTTCTTGTTGCAGTGCCACAAACTCGGCATCAATCGCCACCAGTGTTCCTGGTTTAGGCATTTCTTCTTTTGTTAACACTTCATGACGTGGATTAGGATTGGGTTCTTCAGCAATAGATAGATTCTCAAACAAGAGTGAATAATCTACTTCTGAGGGCAATACATCCAGATCAAGCAAGTTGTCTAAATCCACACGACTGTATTGAAGCACTGCAGGTGTCTTCCAAGCGCCCTTGAAAGAAAACACTTCTTCTGGCCGAATTTTTCGAACTAAAAAGTCATTAAACAAATACCAGGCAGATTTTGATTCGGGCTCTGCGTCTGGATCAGGCACTAGCAAAACAATAAATATATCTATCATACAATTTTTTTTATATATACCTTTGATTTGAGAAACAAGATGTGTTGTTTCTTCTTCTGCTTGAACTTGTAAGATAGTCGAAGAGAGTTCATAAATAGCACATGTCTCTGGTGAGCCTTTGAATTCAGGTGGTATTTCTTTGCCCATAGGTAATGCTTTAATCACAAGTTCTGTGCCGTTGATATAAATTCCAAATCTATCAAGCACCATTAGTTAAATAAGGCCATCATGTTGTGGCATATACCTTTCTGGTAGCCAAGATGAAGGCGAGTTTACAGTTTGCGCATCTTCATTTGTAGATCCTTGATCACTATCAACAACTGCTTCTTGTTGTACAGTAGGTTGTTGTGTGTTCTTACTATTGGGACCATTTTGTCTCCAAATCAAAGCTTCTTCACTATTAGAAGCACCCGAATTGATCAGCATCACACCAGGTAGACCACAAATAATCTTTTTCGTGATCGTGGGTTGATACTGATGACAGTTAGCGCACCATGCCTTTGTTTGGTTTTCTCTATACATGCTTGCTTTAAGGATACTGGTAAATGATCGTTTTCTTGATTTCCTGTCATTTTTCTTTGGATAGAGCATATCAACAACAAAAGGATATGTGATGCGAGAGACTTCTTTTTGACAACTACCGCATTTGCTTTGACTCAGTGTCTGTAGTCCAAACAATTGCTGCATTGTAGATGGTGTTTCTAATGTAATGGGTTCTTCTTCACTTTTGGTTTTGATTTCGTTTACAAATGTTTTGGATATAAGTGGGTTAGAATTAGACGCCATGTTGGCCTCTTGGTGAATTTGTTCCATAATAAAACGAGTAAAGTTCTGCATTAATGTCGAGAATGACAAGTTACGCGTAGGTGTCTCTGGTTCAAATAATCCCAATGCCGATGCTAGCACAAACAATGAATTGCCCTATATCTTTTTCGGTTCAAACTTACCTTGAGGAATCGTGCTAAATGCTCTTAAAAAGTTCGTAGCCTGACAATTTTGACCTTTTGAATCTTCAAGCATACGGAAAAGAAAGCCTAATTCACACAACAGGCAATTATCTTTGGAACATGCGATTTTAATGTGTGCTTTTGCAATGTTGCGCAAAGGCGTGATGAAAAACAAGACTTGCAAAAACGAATTACAGTATGAATTGCGAATATGAGTTTCTAGGCCACCGTATTTTGTTGAATTATAGTATCCAAAATCAAAATCATCTACACCAAATCGGCTGTATTGAATCTCTACACGTTGGTAGTAACGAGGCATGTTGATTACAGCAGGGTCTGTTGAGTAAATATCGCCTACAGAAGAAGACCGTCTGCCTAAATGTCGTGGGTCATCATCGCCCACCAATACTTTGCGAGCCTGCAATAATTCTCTTTCTTGTTCTGAGCGAAATTTGGGGCCATTCTTTTTAGTGACAACCTTCTTCTTTCGAGGCCTTTGGTTGCGATGAATGTTGCCTGGGTTTGGTGCATAACCAACAAAATCAATGGTTTTCATGTTCCTAATGATTTCTTCGTCAATGGGTGTAGGTTGTGCTCCTACTTCATAAATCTTGTTGTTGGGCCATAACGATAGTAATGGATCTGTGTAATAAGGCATGCCAACAGAAGAAAGAGGACTGTCCTCTTTCATAGTTGTGGTTGGAGTTTGTACAATATCAGGTGTAGTCAATGGTAATGAATATGGGTTGACATCGAAGTCCTCTCTATCTGCATACTGATAAACAAAACTTGCACCATCTGCGAATACAAGTGTTTGTGCTGAACTGGAGATATCCATGGCTGTAATGTAACTAGATGTCTGCAGTTGATGAAATTGTGCAGGTGCAGCATATGAGCCCATAATCAGGCTAGAGACATCACACATTTGAAATTGGCCTGTTTGAGATGCTACAAGGCAGGTTGTACTGAGTGTTGGATGCATTTTGAGAAACATGGGCCCACTTGGAAATGGAATAGGTGCCAATGTTCGAACTGCCATTCTGATATCGTATACTTTGACAAGAGGATCCATGATCAATGATCCCTGTCTATATACAAACAAGTTATAAGCCCTTTGTTCTTTCTACTTATATCTACCTTTGTGAGAACCCACAAGTCAATAACAAGTTGCCAGACACATCTAGATCAGATAAGGTGGCAGTATGCGCTTGTACTCTTTGCTCTACTTTCATTGTTCTTGGATCTCTTAGTGTTACTTCACCCAGCAATGAACCTGCACAGATAGAGCGAGGCAGACTTTTTAGAACAACAATATTAGACGCACCAGAGATTTTGCGAGTAACTGCTCCACGGGCTAAGCTGACGACAAGCATATCGTCTTGTTGACCTGCTACTAATAATTCGCCGTTTGTGAGAGTAGTTGAAGTCATACAATGAAGGTCTTTCGTGTCTTCAGTACTATTTGTTTACTTTAGTCTTGTTTCTCTATAGTCATGAGTCTACCTAACACTCCATTTGACTAAACCTCTTCTATCGCGCATTTGAAGACTTTTAGGACTAAGACTAATGACGCCTCTGTCAATCACACGAATCTGTCGCACCTGCTCATCTTTATGTGCTTTCCATGAAGTATATCGTTGTAGTCCCTTGCCGTAATAGGAGCATACACGGCCCTAAGCAAGTCAATAAACAACAGGTGTTTGTGTATTCAACTTACTGCATCGTTGCCCACCCATAATAGTTCGTGGTAAGGATCCCAACAAACAGCAGATACGGGCGTCACTTTATTTAGGTTGATATCACATATATGTTGAACTTCACTCCAAGAACTATCCATAAGAGCCAATAAAACAAAATAAAAGCAAAAGAAAAACACAGTGAAAGCAACCGCCTTTTTGTTGTATAGATTTAAACTCAGGGAAGGCTAATTTATTACTCTAACTTTTGTTTCTTATCCTTTGTATCTTGTTCTTCCTTGGTAACTTCTTTCACTTTTCGTTTTACAAGTGTAGTCAAATCATTGACAGGTGTAGAGGCAGAGATTTGTTTGGCTTCTGTTTTCTCCTTTCCATATCCCAACATGGCTTTCAATAAAGCTTCTGCTTCTTTTTCAGTTGCTTGTCTTTGTTCCAAATCTTCAATCTTTAATTGCATGTCTGTAATCAGTTCTTTGATCTCGAGAATCTCATCAGAAGCACCTTTGCTCACTTCTGTTTCCTTTCCTTTGCCTTTTCCTTCACTTGTTTCCAATTTTTCAACTCTATTTTGCAGCACTTGGACGGCCTTTTGTAATTCGGGAACTGCTTCATTTGCCTTTTCGGTCGAGAACTCCAATGCTAAAGCATACTTGTAGTGGGCTTCAGCTAATTCTCGGTTATCGCTTTCCAAAACAGACTGTTTGATAGATATAGCCTTTTCATAATCAGCAAGTGCTTCGTTGAATTTTTCTTTGATATGCGATTAGTTTGTGTATTTTTTTTTTTTTTGTCATTTATGCTGTTACCTGTTTCTAATGAGACATCGCCCAAACATAGATGTACATCAGCTAATTTCAATTGGGTTTCTTTGTCTTCTCCTTTTTCGAAAATAACACGGGCAACGTCAAGAATATCCCAAGCTGTTTCAAAATCATCATCAGCTGCTCCTTGTTCAACAGCATCTTCCTCTTCCTCTTCATCCTCCTCTTCCTCTTTCTCTTCTTCAGTTGTAGCATTAAATTCAGGAACAGCGTTCAATTGGAACAATGGATTGCTCGATTTAACTGCCATAGATATCAGTATCTGTATGTGAACATGGTGTGTCTTACCTTCTTGTTCTTGTTCTTGTTGCTTTTCAACAGCTTCTGCAGAAGCTTGAGCAGACTGACCAAGAACTGTATTTTGATGAATAGCATACTGAAGAAGTGCTTGTCCATATAAAAAGTAAGCGTCACCGTTAGCAGGAGCCAAGTCACCGTTGAGTTGATCCCTATTGTTGTTAAAAAAAAAGAAAAGGGAAGGAAAAGTTTATTTACAAGAGCTGACAGGCTTCCCCAAGTTTGCTGACACTTGCTTCGTGTTCGTTTTTTTGAAAACAAGCTTTGCCTTCTTCAAAAAGTTGCTGTGCCTTGGTCTTTAGTTCTTCAGACATGATAACAGAAAAACCAAAAACAAAAGAAATTAAGCGCGTTTAAATCAACGTGTTTTTTCGTGACTGCTGCTGCTCGTATCATGCTTGCATGGCTTGATCTTCATGAAGTTGTAGGCCATTCATATTCAGTATTTCTACGAGCGATTTATCGGAATGAATTGATTAGATCAAGAGTAAGAAAGTAGGAGAAAAGAAAAAGAAAGTCTTACTTTATTGATATTCATGGACAGGTTTCTTTTTCTTTTTATAGCAGTGTATTGCCCTACTAACATGAGAGTACTTGAAAAGTAAGCAGCAAGTCATTAAAAAATCCTACAGTCTAAATCCTATTGACTGCAAAACATAAATAATTCAGCCCTATCAGAATATATTTCAAAATTCCATTACAATCTTAGGACATGTAATGATCTGCCATAAGTCATAATACGTATCAGCTATATCGTGTGCCCACTGCACTGTATTTCTCGATAGAATTGGCTTTGGAATAGCTATTGAATGATGCAAAATAAAGTTTAGATAGTTTCCGACGTTAAAACTGTCTATTTGAAGGTGATGTGTTCCAGTTTTAAGTCATTTGTAGCATTTTCATGAACAAATATTTTTTTGATTTAGGCAGGCCATATGTCTTTTAACAAGATGTTCTATTTAGACAGCCAACTCGGTAGTGCATTAATGATTCATGTAACAGAGTCACCAGACAAATAGGTGTTTTAGCGATAAAAAAGATGACAACTCATACAAATGTTTGTCTTTCTCCTTAGACAAATGAAGGTGTCACAAAGACTGCTTATACGCAGAAAAAGTACTCTAAATACCTACAAACCATGCTAACATACAGGAAACCTCTGGAGTTGCTTTGGACCAAAAAAAGCGACTTGTGAAAAATGGTTAAAAGGCATATTTTGACCAAAGGGTACCATACATGAAAACCGTTGATTTGACAACTTTGCTTGTCTGGAAATCCCTTTCGTCAATCCCTGCCAACCTGGGCAAACGTGTCTTCAAACCCTGGAAAATGCAACCATCCAAATGCAAAAAGCCTCCTACTTTCTGAAGGTAGATCCTTCCTCAGGATTACTCCAGTTCAAGAAGCGACAGGAATGCAATAGCCCTGTACTATTGTCACGGATTCACAAGGCACACAAAGATGGCTCGTTGTTGCTCTTGCCTCTCTTCTAAGACTATTCGACTAGTTCATCGGACCCCTGCCTGCTGGCTAACTTTGAACCATACCTGCAAAGATTTGTTCACAATGATTGTTCAACCTAATTTGTGGACTGTTGATTTAACTAAAAGAATAATACCAACTTTATTTGTTTGTTAATAAGTTTGTAACTAATGATTGAAAATTATAATTAAAACTAACCAAGTGATGCTGGTAATAAAAGCGATAATTATAAAAGTAGTCTTGAGATAGTATGTGTGTTTTTTTAGAAGTTTTAGAGAGAAATGGGGAGAAATGAAAGTGAATGAAAGAGTTGTAATTAAGAATTACACTCTTGGTTACACGTAAATTTATATAATGACAAAATAATGAATCTCAAAATAAAGGTGCAGATTGCAAAAGTTCAATATTCAGGTCGTCACAAATCAAACCTTCAATTTCAACAACTCTGAGCTCCGACAAATGTACTCATGAAATCTTCCTGATCCAGTCATTGCCGGCTAGCGTAGATACTGTCCGATTTAAGCGCTTCCTTTGAATCTCAATCCCAGGTCGTACTAGAAATCTCTGGTATCGCCTTTTACACAACAAGATCTCTTGCAAGTCGATAACCGCCACTATTTTGCAACTACCAGATGATAAGTGCGGATTCTGTGGTATATCACAAACTCCTGTACACATGCTGTTTACATGCATGGCCAACAGAGACATATGGGTAAATGCTACCCATTTGTTCTTCAAGTACCCTTCTCGCTTCTCTCTTCCACAGCTCTACCTAGATGTAATAGGTTTAAACATTGATCATTATCTATTACTAGATTCAAATCTTCGCCTGAATTGTTTTGAAGTTCTTTCTGCCGTCTTCTCCTCTATCTGGAATGCACACTGGCGCCAACACTTTGATTCTCGCTTCTATGATGGTCAAGTTATACTCGACGACGCCATCAAAGCTATCCGAAAATTATCTGCTTTCAAATATCTGTAAATTCTGCCTTTTTGAGACAAGTCACTGGTTCTTACACTTGTTCTCTTTCCTTATATCCTCCTTTTTGATGAGTTTATTTAAATAAAAAATTTCTTTGACAACTTTGGATTTTCTTTTTGACGCTACAAAACGAAAAATAGAGCTATCAACAAGCTGAAATACTCAAAATATGCACCAGTGTCTATAGTTTTTGACCAATGCACTTGCTTGCTAATTATACTATGAAAATGGTAGGATATGAGCGAAAAGCCTCGTAAACGTTTTTGCCTATTTACTCAAAATTTTAGCAACAAAGCTAGTGTGATTTCTACATTGAAAGACTCAGAAAGTAAGGACCTACAACTTTTGTCAATTCATCAAAGCCAAATAACTGTGTCGTTATGCAGTTCTCAGCAAAAGCTCTATTTCAGATTTTTTTTAAAGATTTTATTATTGCTCCGCGTAAAGCTACCCTAATGGCACTCAAGAGACAGGCGCAATTTATACGGAATTATATTATGCAATTATGCTGCGAATTAACTAGAAAGGATAATATGAAAGGTATGCCGCATTTCAGATGTAGTGGGAAGAAGGATTGTAATTGATCTATTTCAATCCCCGTTGCCAGCCATCCTATACATCTTTTGTCCCTTTACCCCCACATTCACATTATAAAATATCTATATTTCTATTTCTATATGTTCTCTAGCACTCCGAATAGCATAAAATAGTTTAGAAAGGTTCATTTCTAGCAAGTTCTATACATCATCTAGAGTAAAAATGCTCAATACACAGCTTAAACATGCCAATCTTTGATGCTTCATTACTTGACAACCAAACTATCAAAACAGCCTGTTTTTTTATTCAAAACATACTCTTTTGCACCCAGAAATTCAATCAAAGCTTGTTGTACACTATAACCAGTACAAAAGAGACTCTTTCACTCATTTTAGCACTATCCAATGCACAAAATATAAATGGATAGATTGTAGTAAAACAATTGTCGCTTTTGAGGTTAGATAACAGTTTTGAAAACGATAAGTAATGAATGTCGTATGAAAGGATATTGACAGTATTGTTATATCTTTAAGTTTTCTTCAGCTATTATCATTGTTGACCAGCAGCATTGCCTATGCGCTCCCCTCATTGTAATGCCAGGACAGTCAATAGGAAAGCATAATCCCTCACTGTAACAGACAAAAGTAAGAAACACCAGATCAGAATATCTTGTTAAAAGCACTACTACAAGCGAATAATGCTAATGATTCATCAGCTTATTCAAGACTAGAAGTAAGCAATCGAGAGTAGAAAATACAATAAACTTGCCATGCAGCCCTTTGCTTCTTTAGATAGACATTCTTTATATGTATAGTATCACAACATCATAGTCTTGGGATGATTTGTAGAAATTCAACGTCAGATTAAAGCAAAAAAAACACTAAAGGCATATTCCTTTCCCTTTTTACTCCATTTTGATGTGTGCTCATCAAGATCTTATCTATGCAGAGCATATGTCCAACTGTGTTTTGCTAGTCTCTCTCTTTTGCTAAGCTATGTTGATCAAGGTTGGCTACTTTGTTGCCCATCTTACAGAATTTAAGGTGTAAGTTTTAATACCTTCATAGTGTGTCGCGGCAATACAAGGCTCTGCTTCTGGTTTTCTGGATCATGGCTTTTTCTGGCTCATGGTCTTTCCTGGTTTCTTCATTCCTAAGGCTTAAAGCAAATAGAAGGGACTGTTTTGAAGAGAAATGGTTGCTACCAAGGGGAGCGTAGTGAGCTCTGCTGCGCTATCTTCTCTGTCTTGATCGGCGGCAACTGGTTCGGTATTGTTATCTTCAGACGCTTGTGGTTGTCCTTCAGGAGAGGATCAGAAGCTACTCTTCACAGCTGGCGATTAGCAATTATTCTTCTTGGGGCTACCAATAACTGTATGTTCCGTGGAACCGAACTGTTAAGACTCCATCTTGGGTCGAAGCTCTGCATAGAGGACTTGCATGTATACACGTTCTTCTCGTGACATACCGACCGACGATGGACTTGATTGATCCATCAAGACACCCTATGATTTATGGGCGTCTTTTCCTTCAAACTTTTCTTTTAGGACGCTTTTAAGCTTTATGCAATGACTGTATAATAAACTATCTTTTTTTTTTCTCCTTTCCTCATTTGTGTGTCTGCAAAACTTTGTATTCAAATCATTTGCAGGAAATCATAGACGATACTTTTTTTTTTTTTTTTTTTTTTTTTGGCTACATGCTTTCCTTGCAATCTATTTTAAAAATGAGCAATGGAAATGTAGTATTCACAGATAGTTATTTCATAAAACTGCTTGTTACAAATGAAAAGAAACAAATGCTCGAATATTGATTCATTTGGCTTCTTTCGTTTCAATATCTGAACATCAGTCATTAGACACATAATATTAAAGAGAAAGTGAATAATTAAAGTGAGTCCATAAATAGAAAATGATACCGGAAGTCTGAATTCTTCTTGGTTTTTTTAAATCCCGTCATTTTTTTTCGCTTGGTGTGTAAGGCGATGAGAAGGGTCGCAAACCAAGGAAAGCGTATAATTCCTTCTCTTACATATTCCACTTATTCAGCATGGTTAAATTCATCAAAGCCGGAAAGGTACATGGATAGATGGATGGATGGATGGATGGATGAGTACTGACATTGGATTAGGTCGTTGTGATCCTCCAAGGCCGTTATGCTGGCAAGAAGGCCGTTGTTGTTCGTAGTATGTATGACATGAGATTTAGATTCACAGCCAATTGACATTTTCATAGACCACGATGAAGGTACCAAGGACAGACCCTATGGTTATGCCGTTGTTGCTGGTGTTGAACGTACTCCTCTCAAGGTCACCAAGGCCATGGGTAAGAAGAAGGTTGCCAAGCGCTCCAAGGTTAAGCCTTTCGTCAAGATCATCAACTACAACCACATGATGCCTACTCGGTAAGCATAAATATACGTATCATCATGTCTAATGATAATGAATAGTTACGGTTTGGAATTGGAACAAATCAAGGGTACCGTCTCTGCCGAAACTTTCAAGGAACCCTCTCAACGTGAAGAATCCAAGAAGGTCATCAAGAAGCTCTTTGAAGAACGTTACCAAACTGGCAAGAACAAATGGTTCTTCAGCAAGCTCAGATTTTAAGTTTGTACAGACAACTTTCCTGCCCTTTTTTTTTCTGATTGTTTCAATTAAACGATTTGATCCACCAAGAATTTTCGCTATACGACCAGAACATACGCGTGTGATGTATTGAATGTGTTTATAAGTCTCATTCTTGTTTTTTTTATATATATTGTTCTTCTTTACTTTTTCTTATACTATGGTTAAGCTTCCTTCGAGTAATATGATGTATTGGAATAAGGATAGAATAACCTTTTATGATATAGTTCTTGAGCCTACAGAAGAAGACATCAGATTGTTGTTAGCAGCTAGTTGTCATTTGGGTACTCAAAATGTAGATTCTAAAATGAAGTCCTATATCTTTACTCGTCGCCCAGATGGTATACATTTGATCAATATTGCCAAAACATGGGAGAAACTTGTATTGGCAGCTCGCATGTTGGTCACAGTTAAAAATCCTCAAGACATTTACATTATTTCTTCTGGTGTCAAGGGATTTCGCCCTGCTGCTAAACTTGCGCATTATGTTGGTGCCAAATCAAACCAAGGTCGTTTTGTGCCTGGTACATTGACAAATTCATTGCAAGAGCCTCTTGTCTTGGTCTGTCTAGATCCTTTCATTGATTTCCAAGCTATCAAAGAAAGTAGTTATTGCAATGTACCTGTCATTGCTTTCTGTAACTCTCATTCTTCTCTCAGGTTTGTGGATATGGCTATTCCTTGTAACAATATAGGTACTTATTCTATTGGTGTCATGGCTTGGTTACTGGCACGTACAATACTTCGTTTGCGTGGCCAATTGAGCTATACAGAACCATGGAGTGTGATTCCTGATATGTTCTTTTATTCTGAACAAGTTGTTGATGAAGAAGAAGTACAAGAGCAGACTCGCTTTGATAGTCAGGGAAACTGGGCTGCTGAGCAAGACTGGAGTACTGAACCAAACTGGACTGATGATAATAATAATAACAATAATAATAATACTCAGCAGCAGCAGCAGCTTTCTGGTTGGGATCAAGACACTACCAATGCCTATCCTTATCAAAGCCAGTTGATGGACAATAACGGCAAAAGTAGTTGGGAGCAACAACAAGTAGCTCAAGCCCCAGTTACTCTTAATGAACATGCCATGGACTGGGCAGAAGATGCACCCGAACAAGAACCAGAGGGTTGGGGTTCTCCTGCACAAGTTCAACCTTATGCTTGGTAAAATATGACTCTTTATTGTTGTGCTAGCTCAATCAAACTTTTAATATGTGTTTTTCTGTGCTCTTTTTCCAAATATGCTTCACCAATAAGAGCCCCAATAAAATCCAATAACTGCTGCTTCTCTTGTTCAGAATAAGTTGAGTCTTGATCCATATCAGAGCCAGTAGACACTGGATTGTCTTGCTTTGAAATATGATCCAAGACGGCCTACATCTGATTAGCCATGGTGTCTTATGGAGCCAAACTTACCAAAAGAGCTTCTTTGCATTTGATGGCTTCTTGTACTCGAGCTGGATTTGAGCTATGAAGTGAATGGTTTAAGCAGTTTTCTGAATAAAACTTGATATTAGGAGCCACAAGCACACGAGTTACTTCAGGACCAATCTTATCCAACCCAATAATAGCACCATATTGTGTTGTTAAAGGACGGACAGGGTCTAAAAAGGCACGCAATAATGTCTTTGTGATACGGGGTTGTAATGTATGATATGCCTTTCCGTAGCGATGACAGATAGTAGCAATAAGAGAAGCAGCTCGTTGACGTGTTGACCAATGGTTTTGTTGTTGAGGATTCTCACAAATGACACGGCCTACCATACAAGAAAGAATAGGTGGTATCAATTGATGTAGCTGTACAGAAAATTAGTTTCAAGTGCTTCCTATTTTGCATAGACTTACATAGGGCTCCACAAACAAATGCTTATTGTTCAGTAAAGAATGCGACATGGACAACATGGCTTCAAGCACATCCAGATTCTTGTGGTTTTGAGTGACCTTTTTATGAATATGTTGAACAAAGTAGGGCAAAAGTTGATGAAGACCAGGATCCAATCTCAAACTTTCAAATGCTTGTGATTGTAATCGATCGTCTTCACTCAATACAGCCTCTGTTATACGTTCAAAGTACATTTGAAGCTCTTTAGACAAAACGTGCTTGACAAGTGGCTTCACATTGACTTGGTCTGTTGTGATGCCATTGGAACTGACATGACTCTTTGTACGCTTCGATAGTAATTCTGCTTTAGCATCTAGTAATGAATTCAATGAGTCAATAGGGGATTACGGTTGTGAGATATCCTACCACTGGGTGTAGGGTTTTGTGGAATAGCAGGTTGAACGCCTTCAATAGCAAGCCAATGAGCAGTAAATGTAACATCCAAAGGGATTTTGGGAAGTGGTTTATTCAAGACTGTATCAAAATCAACTTCTTCATCATCATCAAAATACAAATCGTTCGAGTTGAGAGTTGTCTTTCTAAACTTGGGTGTTTCTCCACATGCGTATCCATACAAAGGCTGAGCTTAGGTTTAGCTTGTGTTGACATGACAAGATCTTACCTCTACATTCTTGACTCGAAGGGCTGCATTCACATCGTCCACAGAGAGCCTTGTTCTCTTGGAATGACGCATGAATTTTGCTGCTTCCTATATAGTTTGTTTAGTAGGATGTCTATCAATATTGTTATTTACTTGAATAAGCTCATGCACTCTGTATTCCACATCTTGTGCTAATGCTGTTGCTACTTCGTCTTTGAGGTTGGTAATGCCAAGCGATTCACCAATATTCTAATCAAATAAAGATCAAAACACGCGTTTCTATGCTATCTTCTATCGTACTTTAATGGTTTCCTTTGGAAAAACGCTCATAGTATATGTATCGCGTCCTGTAAGTAAAGGGAAAGAAAGAAACCAAAAGAGAAAGTCACGTTGCAGTGTTAAAATTCGATGCGCTTAAAAACGCGCGCTGCATTTTTTTTTTTTGAATTGTAGTGTCAACTCAAGCATTCAATTTTTTCTATGGGCATGATGCGCTTAATCGAAACTTTCATTAAGAGCAACTTGAATAGTAGAAAAATTCCATTGAATTAAATAGTAAACATTATTGGTATTTTTATCCCTTTCATAAAAAAAAAAAAAAAAAAAAAAAAAAAAAAGAGGGAGGAGGAGAGATTTTGGTGTGCATCCTTCTTTCTTTCTGTTTACTTGTTCGAAAGTTTTCCACTGGATTACTTAATTTTGCACAAACCTATTTTGGTCCCGGTACTCTTGCCTCCTTTTTCACGTTTAAATGAGTGTGTCGAAACTGTGTATGTTTTGTTTCATACTTTTCCATACCATTGGAACATGGCCTCCCAAAAATAAAAACAAACATGCACAAAGAAGACTATGTTGCCGTCATATAGACGATTGAATGCGTTCCGAGCCATATGTCTATAAGAACAAATTGTGTGAATTGAGCACAGTTGATACGTTGAATCTGAGACTATTTCCACATGCGATTTCAAAAGAAACCATAGCGTCTATTTCGAAAAGAAAAAAAAGATAACCCCACATTTCGTCATCGTAGAACTATTAAGGTTTGAAGTGTGCCTCGCACACTTGTTTTTGTTTTAACAGTGAAAAAGCAATAAGACTCGATAAGGGAATCCAAACAAATTGGTGCTTGCCATGTGCGTTACACAATGGCGTAAAAAACGATAATTACCAACCAATTCTTTGACAGTTTATTCTAATCAAACAAACAAAAAAAACACAACATTTAATTCAGAGATGAGCCTTGGGCCTTGATGAATACAATTGCATCTCATTTCAATTGCGTTTGTATACATTGTTCCATAATTAGGTAGAGCAATTTACTTTTATAATAAAGTCTGGATATAAAAATTCTGGATATGAAAATAAAGTTGACACTGTCATACACACATGAATTTGCGCTTCGGAAACAACAGCTATCCATATCATCGTCACCACCTTCATTTATTCGTGTGGCTTTTGAACACAAGATGTCAATTTCAATTGAATTGCGTTCCATTTATGTATTGCGCAACCCTATTTTGCGCTTGTCAAATCTAGATGCAAGCGTACATGATACAAAAAAGGCATTATTTTTTGACAGATGGAATTCTTCTCAATTTCGTTGCAAGAAATTTGACTTATGTACTACCAGTGTAAATCGATCCTGATCTCTCTTTTTGAAAATTTGTACGTAACACGCTAAATGCATGGTGACACTTATGAACATATCGAATTTTTTTTTTATTATTATCATTATTTGGGTATAGGGAAAAAAGAAGAAGAAGGGTCTTGAGTAGCTGTAGAAAAAGGAGTGTTGTGTATAGATCAACTATCAATAAAAAAAATAAGCATACAGTGTTGAATACAACAATTGTTTATAATGTAAATGTAAATGTATATATATATTTATAATATGATTCATGTGTATATGAAGAAAGAGAAGAAGAAAAAAGATGTAAAGAATGACTTTTTAGATATATGTGTATATAAAACTATGTATAGCATAAAAGAGACAAAAGATATATAGAAAATGGACAGATTTGTTTTGCAATATGTATGTACATATAAGAATGACCCAAAAGATAATAGTATTAAGCTGGAAAAAGAAAGCATCAACTAAACAGAAAGAATACAGAAACAGAGACTCCAATCAGCGTTTTACTGGAGCAGGATAAGGTCTTGGGAGAGCAGGCTTGGTTGGTCTATCTGGTGGCATTTTTGTTGTTAATGTTGTTGTTGCAGTGAATAAAAAAGAAGATCTTCAAGAAGAGAAGTAAAAAATAAGAACTACACAAGAATCTGTCGAACTTTTATATGTTTTTTCTTTTACCAGTTACACAAGCTTTTAGAAGATGCAAAGTTGATGTTTCGTGCGACATTCAAAATGATAACAAATAAACAAATACATCCCACCTACTTGGATCGACCTCTCTATCTTCCCCCCTTTCCCTCGTTCTTTTTAAAAACAAAAACAATTGTTTTGTGTTTCGGTTCTCTTTTTGTATCATAAATTTGGCATTAAAAAAAACCGTTTTAAGTTTAAGTTTGTATTAATTTGACCTTTTTTGACCATGAACCATAGGCTGACAAAAAGCTTATTGTTATCATTATTTATTGTTCGAGTATCGCTTAGGTCTTTAGGATCAAACAAAATTTTTGTTAAATGACGATGTATGCACACGCTATATTTAAATGAAAATAAGCCTATAGGAAAACAAATCAACGTTTCAAGAGAAAAGAAAAAGTGAAACGATTGTACTACACACAACATGAAAACGTTTCTTTCATGTAATGCAAGTTGTTGATTTTGCTTGTCAAAGAAACGCCCTTTTCCCTTTTATTTCTAAACTACCTAAACGCCATTTATTACTTGTACAATCTCGAGAAAATTTTGTTTTTTTTTCTTTTTGTTTTCTACATACATGATAAAGCGATTGTTTCGGAATAAAGAATAGAGTATGGTAATTTCTCTTTAAGTAAAAGAGCGGGAAACAGGTTTCTAAATGATGATTTTCATTGTTGTTTGTCGACGTGCTACATTCAATTTATCCTAATTTTAACCAAATAAATTCGTTCGCTGTGTCTAATCCGATTCAAATAAACAAATGTGTGACATTTTTTAAGGTTGAGTTCCGAAATCCTTCACAGCATAGAATTTAACTGTGTGTGGTATGTGTGAGACTAAGATTCACAATGTTATTTCTCTCTATGCTTTTTCTTTTCTTGTACGTGATTTATTTTTCTGACTCTAATACAAGATAAAAAAGAAAGAATGGTATCCAAATCCCTTGACTCGACTTGAAACCCGGCCTTTTAGAATAATGATGTGTATCTATTATTTTTTTCGATATTCTAAGAATACGTAAACAAACAAAGAAAAAGAAAATCGCACTTAGAGGTTGAAAGGTGTTGTGGCAGAGTTTATTGGATTTCGTTTATCCTTTTTTTTTCTTCTTTTCTCAAACAAAGGGTGGGAATAAAAACGACTTAATCTTAAGCTTTTCTTTTTATCCAGAACAGCAGATTTCATTTGGTTCAGGACATGCAAATAGGGAGATGTTTCAAAGTCGATCTTTACATGTACATTGCCTAATACCTTGTTTCATGGTACATCTAAATGACGGAACCATATGCCACTCACTCCGAGCATGTGGCTATATCAAAGAAATATGCATTATCGAGCTTACAAAGTTGGTAGTCATTCTCGATATAATTGGAATAGTTTGTTGAGGTACAAAAGGGATTCTTTAGTGCCAGTACTTGGACTAACTATAGTACTAAGTTTTTGACCGACATAATTAAGTCTGAAGCTAACACGGGTACGAATAGACAACTCATCTCTATCTTTTGATAAGCATAAGATTGTTTATGTTTTTAGAATTGAGGCTATTTTTATAGAAAAGCTTTGTTTTTGTTTTGTTTGAAGCTATACTGAATCACAATTAAGATTGAAAAGATGTGCTTATGTACAATCGGGAGAAAGGAAACGAGTCAAGAAACGTATGCTATTAACAACTAAAGTGTTTAGTCAAAATGGATGTGTTTTTATTCGTCAAATCGTCTACTCAATCGATATGTAATGACAACCAGGATAGAGGAGGGAAGGAAGGGAAAGGCATTGTTAACGATATCATATCAATGGGAAGGCCAAAGACCTTGTAGTGTGCTAGCGCAGATGTGTTTACATAACGTTGAGCCGTTTCTTTTCTTTTAAAAATGCACAATGTCTATATTTCAACTTTTTACATTAATAATCAAAATCAAAGAAAAGAGGAGATGAGTCTCTACGTGGTTTAGGTCGTAAAGTTTATTGGATATCAGTCGTAAAGATGTAGCTTCTTTTAGACTAAGGGCAATCAAAGCCAAGAATAAAAACTTTTTGAAACAATCTTGATTCGCTACTTTTCACTTGATTTTAGTTTGATTTTAAGAGGATTACCAATTAATATAGTTGTTCTTTTTTCTAGAAGCTAAAGCATCTAGAATCAAAAACTAAGAGATATTCGCATCCAACTAGCTTTCATACCGAGGACCCGGGTTCTTTTTTTATCTTTTCATGAAACTCTCTCTCTCTCTCGGCTAAATAAATTTTATATGTAATACCATGTATAATCAATATTTAATAGCACCTTGAGATACATTATCTGTTTTAGTATCTCAAACGTGGTTCGATTTCTATAACAAATGTCTTTTTAAGCTTAATTGAATGTGCTGGACCCTTGAGACTGTACAACTTCAAATCGGCCAATTTTTTCTTTTTTGAGAGGTATAATTTTTTTTAGTTAATTATACCCATAAAAATCAAAAATACCTCCCAATAAATATAAAGAATACATATACAATCTGTTTCTCTCTACTTAAACTACTGTTCATCAAGAACACTACTACACTCGTTTTTCCTTCTCTGTTGAATGCATGTGCTATATAACAGTTTAACGACCGATTGTTTTGTAGGCTGAGTCGATATAAGCTCAGAACGAATGTTCAGAAGGACCTGCATCCTCTAGTTAGATTTCAGTGCACTGTCGTACATGGTTCTCTTTTTAATTGGTGGGGTATTAGAATTTTTTTAAGGAACCACATGTGAAGTGTAATATATAAATACAAGTATGTTTTCTCTTTCTTGATTCTCTCTCGGTTTCTTTCTTCCTTTTGGCTCTCTTTCTTCCCCTTCTCTATGCAAACTTAGTTCAATGTCCAGCCAATATCTTCCATCGTCACTTCCTATAAATCAATTTAAGAATACAAATGTAAATAATAATTCACCGCCCTGGATAACACAGTATAGTGAAGAAGAGACAACAACTGATGATGACTACGATAATGATGATACCGACGATAGTGAAGAATCTGCTGTGTGTGGGTGTGGAAAACCTTTGACAAGTGGATGGTATTGTGCTGACTGTAGAACAAATTGCTCAAAGTGTCACCGTGCGCTCGCTCCTGAAGAAACATGTGATCGTTGTTCAACCTCATAGCATTTATGCAATTATTTATTTATTCATATATATATATATATATATATATATCCAAGTGTACCATATTCTTTTTTTTTTTTTTACAATAAATAACCTATTGATCTGAACATAAAATGCAAGTGAAGATACAAAAGTAACTTTATTTGACATACATGTAATACAGTCTCTTATTAATGTATCGACAGGTTATCAAGCCATGATTAATGGTTTAACCGAGTCTTGATTTTTTTTTTGTCCGCATGCTAGATGATTTGATACCATGAAATAAAACAGAGGGGAGATAAAAATAAAAAGTAAGACATTATTAAATCATGATATGGCCTTGAATGGCCTTTTGAGCTCAAGTTACACAGCCATTGTACATTTTATAAACTACTCATTAACAATTATGTTGATTAAAAGAAAGTACTGAGATGAAATGCAAAGTCTAAAGCTTATAAAGTAATATTCAACATTTCTGGTCTTAATAAAGATACTTTATGCATGTGTATGCATGCAGTGCTTAATAGTTTGCATGCCATTACCTGAAATATTACCCTGGGAAAAAAGGAGATAAGAATATTGCTATAATTGTCCATCTTTGTTTCTCTTTTTTATATGAATTAGATCAAGCGAATATCTTAGTGTTAGTGCCTTATCAAGATTTGTATGTAAGAAGAAAAAAGAAGCATTGCTTCCCAATCAGGTGTATTCAAAACTTTATTATTGGCATCTCGAAAACGATTTTTCTTGCTCTGAAGACTAAAAAAGGTAAAATAGTAACATTAATAAAGAGATGGCATTTCTTTTTTGGAAACCTAGATGAGATGAAAGACGCCTGCTCTTCTACTATAAAATGAATAGTACTAATTAAATTGCTACATTATTTTGCTTTAGTTTCATTAGATAAACCAGCCGTTTTTATCTCACTTTATGTTTTGTAACTTGCATTTATTATTTATTCAAGTAGTACTAGGCGCGCAATTAGCAGAAAAATGTATTTGAAAGCTTACACAAAGATTAATTTTGCTTTCAGTCAGAAACATGAATTGACTCTTCCAAGCCTGCTTTTACTTGAATTTCAAAGGAAGGGGTTCATCTGCTGAATATAGTTCCTGCTAAAAAAAAGTTTTTCATTTCAAGTAGATGGAATTTTGTCTATTGTTTTTATGATTGTGCATTTGCAGAGAGTAAAATTTTATCAATATTGGTATGCTAGATATCAGAAAATAATGCTAGTGCCTTTAATGAGGATAAAAAAAAACAGAAGGAAACTCTTGTCAGTGTACAAATAAGGGTCAAAAATATTTACTGATCCTGTTAGCGGAGATGGAGATGTAGTGTCATCGATATTTCTTACTGATGCCAAGTACATCTGTTTTTTTCAAAGGCCTCTCTTTCTTTTTCTGAGGCTTCTACAAATCCAATGATACAAAAAACAAATAAGCAAAAGATCTGCGTGAGTTTTTTTATTACCTGTCATCCATAATATTTAAGGAGAACATTTCACTTTAAGAAATGACGAATGTATTGAGTGTGAAAAAAAGGTCTTAGGAAGCCAAGTTTTTCTATCTCATTCAATGATGTTCTTCTTTGATATCAATTTTTTTGTGCAATAAACAACAGCAAAATGTGGTCAACTGACAAAATACTTTTGATAAGACACTTTTCCTTCTTTTGCTTTTCTCTTTGTTTCCTCAATTCTCTTTATTCTTCACAAAATGCTTCTTATTAACACTCTTACAAACACAGTATACTTACACAAGAAGAATTGCTTTTTGGAATGAACATTAGAGTAGACGGAGCATTTCCCTTAGCAGACAATCAAATGATGAATTTATTAATGCTAGATGCTGCATCGACTGAATTTCAAAGAGTCCTCTTAGTATACATCCACTTGTATCTGTTGATATTCAAAACTAAGCAGACAAAAAGCTCTTTGTATATGCCATGCAATATATCACGCTAATATTCGAAAGGCACAGCTAACTGCTAATATTACCTATTATTGGAGTTCAAATTGTAACTGCATCGTTGATGTCTATGACTCAATTAAATAGTGAGCTTTGCTTTTCAAGGAGTATCAACTGATTCTTCTCAACTTACTTTCAATCACACTTCAAAAAAAAAATTTCAATGGTAGTTTCTTTTGTTAAAAGTTAATTGGATTAATATATACGTCTTTTTCACGTCATATGCTTGTTATAACCTTCCAATATTCTCTAAAACCTTATTGGGAAAAACGATCAACATTCAACATCAATTAAATAAATCTCAAAGTTAGTATTTTTATATCTTTGACATATGTTATCACGTTGTTATGTACTCAATGGTTGCAAGGAATAATGTGGCAGTTTATTTGCTACATCAACTATGTTTCTGTTGGAACTTTATGCATTTAACTAGTTCTCCATGTTCAATTATCCAAAGCAATGAACCACAGGCTTCTGTGTCTTCTCTCTACCATATAATGAGAGTACATACAGTGTCTATTGCAACACAAGGAAACGTTCTTTTGATAACATAAATATCCTTCTGATATAAAGACAGTAGATTAAAGTTGATGCCAAAAAGTATACTGCATGGAGAGTGACAAAGAAGGAAATTAGAAACAAATTCCGTTTATTTTTCTATTTGGAAAAATTAAGACTCTCTTGGATATTACAGAAGCAGTATTAGCAGTACTAACATCTCTCTCTCTCTCTCTCTCTCTCTCTCTCTCTCTCTCTCTCTCTCTCTCTCTCTCTCTCTCTCTCTCTCTCTCTCTCTCTTCTATAGGCATATAAAAAATAAAGTTATAGAAAGACTCTTTCAAGAATAGCAAGGTCCATATAGATAAGAACAAAAAGAGCAAATACTAGAATATGTAGGTATTTTCTGGAATTTTTCAAAAATTGACGGCGATTAAACTGTTTTATCGGGCATTCAAGAAATCTCTAGAAAATTCATGCAGTTGAGGAACTCGAGAATATAAAAGTGAGCTGATTATTCACTCTTGGCCTCCTTGTAATTTTATTCTCATCAAGAAAAAAAAACAGAAATGACTACTGCTATTGGTATTGACTTAGGCACTACCTATTCCTGCGTTGGTGTATGGCAAAATGATCGAGTTGAAATTATTGCAAACGATCAAGGAAACCGTACAACCCCTTCCTATGTTGCTTTCACTGATACTGAGCGTCTTGTTGGTGATGCCGCAAAGAATCAAGTAGCTGTAAGTATATGATAAACTCAATTATAAGCCATTTACTGATACGTCTTTTTTTTAGATGAATCCTCACAACACAGTCTTTGATGCCAAGCGTATGATTGGTCGTCGTTTTGATGATCATGAAGTTCAAGCAGATATGAAGCATTGGCCATTCAAGGTTGTCAAAAAAGATACAAAGCCCTACGCTCATGTTGAATACAAAGGCGAGACCAAGGATTTCTCTCCTGAAGAAATCTCTGCTATGATTCTGGGTAAAATGAAAGAAATCGCTGAAGCCTACCTTGGCAAGAAGGTCGACTCTGCTGTTATCACAGTACCTGCATACTTTAATGACTCTCAACGTCAAGCTACTAAAGATGCTGGTACTATTGCTGGTTTAAATGTGCTTCGTATCATCAACGAACCTACAGCGGCTGCTATTGCTTATGGCCTGGACAAGAAATCCAAGGGTGAAACCAATGTATTGATTTATGACTTGGGTGGTGGTACTTTTGATGTTTCCCTCTTGACTATCGACGATGGTATTTTCGAAGTCAAGGCTACTGCTGGTGATACTCACTTGGGTGGTGAAGACTTTGATAACCGCCTTGTTGACCACTTTGTCCAAGAATTCAAACGCAAGTTCAAGAAGGATATCACTAGTAACGCTCGTGCTGTTCGTCGTCTCCGTACTGCTTGTGAACGCACTAAGCGTACCTTGTCTTCTGCTACTCAGACTACCATTGAGATCGATTCCCTCTTTGAGGGTATTGACTTCTACACTTCCTTGACTCGCGCTCGTTTTGAAGAACTTTGTCAAGACCTTTTCCGAAAGACAATGGAACCTGTTGAACATGTACTCCGAGACGCTAAAATCGATAAGAGTTCTGTTCATGAAATCGTCCTTGTTGGTGGCTCTACTCGTATTCCAAAGATTCAAAAGTTAGTCTCTGACTTCTTTAATGGTAAAGAGCCTTGCAAGTCCATCAACCCTGATGAAGCTGTTGCCTACGGTGCCGCTGTGCAAGCTGCTATTTTGACTGGCGTTACATCTGAAAAGACAGAATCTCTCTTACTTTTGGATGTTGCACCTCTTTCCCTTGGTATTGAAACCGCAGGTGGTGTCATGACTCCTCTTATCAAACGTAACACAACTGTACCTACCAAGAAGGCCGAGATCTTCTCTACATATGCTGATAATCAACCTGGTGTTTTGATTCAAGTCTTTGAAGGTGAGCGTGCTCGTACCAAGGATAATAACCTTCTTGGTAAGTTTGAATTGAGTGGCATTCCTCCTGCTCCTCGTGGCGTGCCTCAAATCGAAGTTACGTTCGACGTTGACGCCAATGGTATTCTGAACGTCTCTGCTGTTGACAAGACAACAGGTAAAACCAACAAGATCACTATCACGAATGATAAGGGTCGTCTTTCCAAAGAAGAAATTGAGCGTATGGTTAATGATGCTGAAAAATACAGAGCTGAAGATGAGGCTGCTGCTGCTCGTATCCAAGCCAAGAATGGTCTCGAATCTTACGCCTATAATCTCCGAAATACTCTTCAAGAAGAAAACGTTAAGAGCAAGCTTGATGCTTCAGATGTAGAAAAATTGCAAAAGGCTGTCAAGGAAAAGATCGACTGGTTAGACAACTCTCAAGAAGCTTCCAAAGAAGAATACGAGTCTCATCAAAAGGAGTTGGAAACTATTGCTAACCCAATCATGATGAAGATGTATGGTGGTACTAATCCTGGAGGACCTGGCAGCTTCCCTACTGGTAGTTCTGATCATACTGGCCCTACTGTCGAAGAGGTTGACTGAATAGCATAACGCATTCTTTTTATATCGCATTTGTAAATTTTCATGTTACCCATTTAATAAATAATAGCATTATGAAACTTTATGCAAGGAATTCAGGCTTTATTTAGAATGTCAAAAATCATGCATTTTAAAGCGAAAATTTTTTTATTCAGAAGCCGAATCTTCAAGTTGATAAACTTATTTTTTCTTTTCTTTTCATCTTTCTCGTTGTTAATGAATAACACTACTGAAGAAGAGAACTTTTATGGTAGTAAGGATAAAATGAAGAGTTTATGTTTATGTAAAAATAGATTCCAGTCAAGATGATTCACACTCTTCATCAGGAAGTTCATTGCAACCTTGGATCAGCTGGTTTTGTTCGCTGACAGGACATGAATATTACTTAGAAGTTCCTGAAGATTTCATTGACGATGAATTCAATTTGACAGGTTTATCGTCCATTGTTCCATTTTATACACAAGCTTTAGAATTGATTTTGGATATGGAAAGTGGTGAATTATTTGATGATGAAGACGAAGGCGACGAGGAAGACAAAGAGGATGAAGATGACTTTTGGAATGAAAAAGACAAAACACCTAAGAAATTAAAAGCACCAGATCAAAGCATTATTGAACATCACGCGTTTATGCTGTATGGATTAATTCATCAACGTTATCTAATGACCCGAGAAGGACAAAAAATAATGGCTGAGCGATATGCAAATGCTCAATTTGGTGTATGCCCAAGATACTATTGTTATCAATCCCCAGTGTTGCCTGTTGGACAGTATGATGAACCTAATCGTGAAAGCGTATATTTGTATTGCCCTCAATGTCTTGATATTTATAGGCCACCTATTTCAAACAATAAATGTATTGACGGTAAGTCTTGCTTTATTGAAATAAATATTATGCTGATAGTTATTCCTAAAAAAAAAAGGTGCCCATTTTGGTACAACTTATGCCCACTTGTTATTCCTCACTAACCCAGAATTGGTTCCCACCACAAATCCTCCTGTGTATGAAGCGCGTATATATGGATTTAAAGTAAGCCCCAAGTCTAAAACAGGCCCTCGAAATCAATGGTTAAGATTAAAGCCTCCAAGAGAGACAGAAGAAGAGGAAGAAGAAGAAGATTTTTGAATTGTAAATAAATGAGTTTTTATTTTTTGTTTTTGCAGATCATTACTCCCTTCTCCATATTAATTAAAAACAAAAACACAAAAAATCATTTATTTCCTTCTTCTCTCTTTTTCTTTCTCACTTTATGAATTTAACCGAGACAGACCAACATCAGCAAATTTCACCTTTTGCCATTGGCATAATTGTTGTATCGATAGTTGCAGGAATTGTACTTATCGGTGTATCATTTTTACTTGTCCGACGAATAAACAACATGAAGAACATTTTCAACATATTTTCCAACAAAAAGTCAAATATACCAGTTACGTCTTCCCTTGATAATCAAGAAGTGTTTTCTACTATACTTGAATACCCACCGCCTGTTACAATCGCATCCACAGCAAATTCAAGTAAAAGATTGTTGCTTGAACAATCACTTGCTGAACAACAAAATAAAATTGATCCTATCTCTATGTCTCTGGCAAGACAGAGCTTGGACGGAAGAATTTGTTATAAAAACAGTCCTTCAAAGACACCTGTCCCATATTGCAATAATTCTTCATTGTTCCTTGGTCATTTTGATAAGAACAATAGTAGTACAATTGTGATTGAAGAAGAAGAGGACAGTGACGAAGATAGAAAAATGATGCAAAGGCTGTCTGCATCTTCTTATCAAGTTTGGTGAGATATTTATATACAAAACAAGGTTTCAAGATCGGTATATAATGTACATATTGGCTTTCTCTAAACAAATTGCGCATCTGGCTTTATTGATTTTTTTTCTATTTTTTTCTTTGTACCAGAACTATATACTACACATACGCTGGCACAAGAAAAAAAAAGGACCACTAAATACTTTAGGTGTGATGTTGGCTTTGGCTTTTCTATTTTAAGAAGCGCTGTACTTGATCGAGGAAAACCTATCCAAGTTGTAAAATCCCTGTATGATGATAAATGTAATATCAAATCAAATATGTATATATCAGACACTATTTATTTTAGCATGTCATTAACTTTGTTCACTCCTTGCTTATGATTTTTTTTTCAAATAAAGTAATGTGTAAATTGTTGCTTAGACAAATATTTTTTTTTAGAAAACATTCCGCCCACACCATCAAATAATCACAAAGGAACGAGTTAGTCTAGAAAGTACGCAAGGAAAGAAAACGATAATAAGCAATTTTCTACTTTAGTGCATTACACATATTTATTCCAAAAGGAAAAAGAGCTTTTATAGTAATTAAAAAAAGATTTTGTACAGAAATTGACTAGAAGAATAGTATATACAACATTAAATTTGATTAATAGATCTATAGGTACAAAGATAATTGAGTATATGAATTTCAATGTTTTCGCCCTCTTACCTTGAAACACTTTCAAACAAACGTTCAATGTCAGTAGCACATCGAGTGAAAGAATGGTTCCAGAAACTATAGCGTGGATTCTTGATCAATTCAATAAAAGTGATCAAAAGACCCCATGGATGTGGACGATTTACAATCAAACGTTCCAAGAGAACACGCGTGATTTGCTCTTTGGTAAAGTCCTTGTTACTTTCGGCAAATAAGAACAAAATAACACAACTAAAGTAATGTGTATGGCTATTAGGGTATCGAAGCTGGTTAGCAATTGCATTCAAGAATACATATCGTCCTTCAGAATCGAGTTCATTCAAAAGATACTGGAATATTTCAATAGGTGCGCCTTGATTGACGGGCATGTTTTCATTGACACCTACAACACCAATATAGAATACAAGTGCATTGACAAGTGGCGTGTTGTATTTAGCCTTGTCTTGCATCAAGCGAGAAGGCAACTGCTTCAAGAACAACTCGGGTGCATGTGAGGACGTCAAAAAGGCATCAAGTTCTCGCTTGAGATTGCTCTTGAGTAGTACAGAGGTATAGTCGGACAAGATGTTGGGGGATTGGTTGATCTCAGGCAGTAAATCAATTTTGAGATTGGGCGTAAATGGGTCGGGAAGTCGCATGTTGCGAGGAAATGCGCTGAGGATAAGGTTGCGTAGTTGAATACAAGATGATGGAATCACATCGCAAAGACTGTAATGGTAATCACAGAGGAATTCAGGGAAATCATGAAGTAATACCAACAAGACTCTCAAAATGCCTCTGTAAAGTAAACGAGTTGTATCCTTGAGTTGATTGGTTTCCAAAAAAGGTCCGATGAACTTGAACAAACAAATCAACAAACGTTGAAAAGCAGGCCATCCCTATTCACAGTGATGAATAAAAGAAAGCATATATCTATATGAAGCATAATATACCTTTTGATTTTCAGCTAATAAAAGTTTTGGCATGAACAATCGGTGGGAGATCAACTGAAGCCAGGCAAAGGTCAATCCAGGGAACTGAGATGGTTGAAGCGTATTAAAAGTATTACTGATGGCTGTTAAAATAGGAATATAAATCGTCTGAATCTGTTGTTCTGCTGCGTGTAAATCGCTAAATAGACTTGTAAACAAACGCAAGAATGGACGTTGATTAAATTGTTGTTGACGGCGTTCATGGTGTTGAGCTGCAACCAAGACAATAATAGACAGTACTTTGTTGAACAATGTCACTCGAGCAATATCTTGAGCATCTGCAGCTGGTGTTCCAACTGGCGTAGAAGGCTGTTGTAACTTTAGAAGGCTGACTACCAACTTCGAAAAGGCATCAATAGGTTGATAAGCAAGTCCAGAGGGTTGTCCAGGCAATTGCTTGTACTTGATAGCATGCTCAATACTGGTTTCAATACAGATGCGATAAAATAAAGAAGACACGTCTTCCATCTTAAAAATGCCTTGCTGAGACAATTGGATGACAAATGCATTCAAAACCTTTTCAGATGATGTAGGATGGTTGTAGATTCTGACCCATTCACTAAACAAAATGCGGAGGTGCTCTCCAAGACCGTTGTCATCTTCTGTTGGTTGTAATCCTTCTTGTTGAACTTGAGGCATCAAGGGTGTAGACATACCTGATGAATTAGAAGTCAATCGTCTACGCATGTCATCCATCAACACCAACACACTCTCGGGAATGTTGCCTCTTAATCTGCTCAATGCTTCCAATGAAGCCATAAATTCTTGGCGGCTAGCTAAGGGTATTTCATCAAATAAGCATGAACGAATCAAACGAGCAGCAAAATCAATAGCACTCATACGACCACTGTCAATCAAGGTGGCTAATTCTTGATCTTGTTCAGGCAAATTAATCAAGTTGGCCTTAATTAAAGCTACTGTCACAGGCACATTGTATTTGCGTTCATCATCAGCATGTGTTAACCAGGAGGTGACGAGAGCACCTACATTAGGAGATACGTCGCATAGTCTTTCCAACAAGACAACATAGACTTCGCGACCTAATTGACTTTCACTCTTGTAAAGCAACTGAACTACTTTTTGAGCAAACATTCTGGCAGTTTCGGCCTTATCAAAGCTGGATACTGCCAATAAAGAGATTTGACGGATAATAGCAATAATGTCATGTTGCATTGGTAAAGCGCTGAAATTATGCACATTGGTCATACTGATTAGTTTTTCAAGTTCATTAATGCATTGAGCAAATCGTTCTAATAGTTGATGGGCGTTGGCTTGTTGTTGGAATTGTTGTTGTTGTTGTTGTTGAGCTGTATCAAAGTTGGGCAACATAACGTTGTTATTGTACCCATTTAAATGCAGCAAATCAGGACGACTACGCAAAAGTCGTTGTTGTTGGTCTAAAAGAGGGGGATCGATGACCTGACCAGCAGGTGGTGGAGCTAATGGAGGTGAAGTAGCAGGAACAGATCGAGGCATACGTACAAAGTCCTCATAGACACGCAGTTGATTAGGCTGAAGTCCATTAGGCTTAGGACGCAATGGTTCAGGCAATGTAGCAGGGTAGCGTGACAAGTTGAAAAAATCCATATCAAAGTAAGGTTGAGCATTACCACGCTGTTCTCGATGCTTTTTGCGGCTAGCATAGGCATTCATCAAGGCTTCATCTACTTCTATTGTCACCTTTTCCATCGCCGCTTGCTCTATGACCGCACAAACAAGATCAAGATTATCAGTCACTGTCAACATGGCTGCTTGTTCAGCAATGACTTCGCTTAGACCGTTTGTCATAAAGACCGCACGTAAATGATTAGCCATTGTAGTTCGAAGAGGATCTTTACATGTCACAAGGGCTAAACTCCCAGCTAAACTCTGAGCCATCAAATGAGCTGCCTTTCTGACTCTATTCTCGTCAGATTCCATTGAAAAGTCTTTAGTAACAAGTTCTCTGGTAGACACAGAAGCAATGGCTACAGAACGTTCAACAACAGGACCAATAATTTCACGGATTGATTGAGTGATCGCTTGAAGCACCCAGCGCTTAGAGTTGGGCTGAGTAGTATACATGACAATTTGAGGATTAAATGTCAAGTAAGGACCCAGATTAGGAATATTGATAGGCATAGCTTCTTCATCATTCGTGTTGGCCTCTACTGATGCAATCAAGTTGGTAATAGAAGGTCTTGCAGGTTGTCCAAAAGGAGAATGGGTCATGATCTCTTCTTCTGGTTTTGCAACAACAGCAGTTGTTGTTGGAAGGCGGTTCTTGGGTTGTCTGTTTTTCAAGACGATAGAAGGCTTGATATTACCGAGTTCTATTGAGAGACTCTTACACAATACTTCAATTTCAAACTTCAGGTTCAATTTGAGGTTTGCGTTTTGATAGAGTTCGACAAGCAATCTCAGGATGGCCATGACCCATGGATTAGGGGGAACAAATACTGTGTTTTTGGTACCCTGTTCTAACACTTTGCAAACAAAAGGAATGACAACAATCAGACGATTATGGTCATAGCCTTCCAAAAGCAACTCTTTGAACGCAATGTACTTTTGGACAATAGGCTTGTTTTGAGCCAATGTCATGCCACCAAGCCAAGCACCCAAGTTTTTCAACAAGGTGCGTTCTGTGGAAGAAGATACAGTGCTTTCAGAGTTGAGAAGTATCTTGATATTAGCGAATGTTTCACGAAGTACATGCTGGTATAACAATGAGCTATTGACAGATTTGAGTAGAAGCAAGTAAAGATCATGGTAGTTGGGCTCAATGCTAGCGCGCTTAACGACAAGATAGTTACTAAACCATTGATAGGCTGATTGCTTCAAGTTCTCTTTCAAATCGTTGCATTTCAATTCTAGGTTGTTGAGAGCGACATTATTGATAATAAACAATATCTTGTCTTGAATGGCTTCAGTGGGTGTTTCATAGACAATGCTTTCATCCACAGCAATTTCTGGTACATGCACAGCAGTAAAAATATCGGATAATGCCTTGACAATCTTTGAAGGATCGTTCAAGGTTGAATTGGAGAGATCAGGTAGTCCATTTTCATCTGGATGTTGCTGAGGCATTCTTCCTACATGTACTGAGAACTTGATCATATGGGCCAAGTCAGGGCTTGCTTGCTGAAGAGCAGGGATCTTTAAAAGATGAGCACAGTATTGAGGCCATTCAGGTAGTCGAGATTGGAACTGAGTGAGGGCTTGAATACCAAAATTAAACATTTTAGATCCAGGTGGGTTCTTGAGAGCATCCAAAACGCAACGTAATGCAATGCCCAGGGGGGCAAACGAAACCAGTTGCTTTTGCACCAATTGACCAAACAAGATACTGGTGATAGCCAGTTCTTTATCAGGATATTTAGGAAAGAAGTTGTATTCGTCAAACAAGTTGTGAATCATACAAGCAAAGACATCTTGTTCATGAGGATTGTTGGATTTACTGAATTGAATCAAACGTTCGACCATCTCGTCAATTGTGATTTCTCCACTATAGATACGTTCATAGTAAGAATTGGCCTCGTCTTCAATTTCTTGTTTAAAAGTAGCCTCTCCCTGAGTCGTTGTGGCTGGCAAGAAGACAGCGTTTGAAGCATTACTTGTTGCAATAGCATTTGTAATAAGAGTATTATTGGGATTTGCTGTTGTATTTGGTGTAGCAAGAATGAGTTCAGATGTTGCTACTGGTGGCTCTATTCCCAGTAGCTTCTGTGAGAGTTGAACATAAGTGGAATGAATATCTCTCAATAAGTCTTTTTCAGGAAGGCTAAGGCTATTATTGAGTAGGTTAGTTACCATATCTTGTATAATTAGCTTACTTGTCCAATGTCACTTTGACAAACACGTTGACAACATCCATAGACAATGGTACAGTGATGGGTGCATCATTTGAGTCTTGTCTTGCAAGCTCTGCTCTAACTTTGTTGCCCAGAAATTTCAAACATGCTTGAGAGAATACTTGTCCATGTTCAGTTATTTTATCTTGAAGCCATTTTTCAAGATTAAGGTATTCACGGCGAGTTGCCAACGCAGCTAAGTCTATAGTGAACAAAAAGGATGGGATATCAAGAATAACAGGAAGAATCTAACAAACATATGGGTTAAGTACTATATGTCATTCTGGCAAGACTACCTTTAATTCATGAACAAATGCTAAAATACGAGTCAATGAAGTAGGCTCTTTGCTGTACAGATCAACAATGCTCTTTTTGAATAATTCTGGCTTGACTTTATAGAACTTTGTCATGACCAATACACTGCTTGCACTGCCTACCAAATAAAAGTTGATGAGACGATTCAGCAGATCCTCATGCACTGAATTTGCCATTGGCTAAAATAATAGAGTGTTATTATCTATAAGCAAAACGTATCTCTCGACCCAAAAATACTTACATCAATCTGAAGCAATCCCATAAATAACAATTCAGGCGCTTTCTTGGTCAGAATCTTTTCCAATAGTACTTTGACGTCAACTGCAACAGACGTATCGGCAAGTTTGATGATGCGTTCAATCAAATCCAATGAGTTGAGCTGATCATTTAATAGCTGGGATGCCATAGAGCGAATGTGTGCACTCGACTGGTTAAAATCTTCTGCTTTGATAACTGTCTTTTTTGAGCATACAACAGAATTGACTGTATCGATAGGTGCAATGGCGATTTGATACAAGGCCGTGAGCTGACCTCGCAAGTTTTCCCATTCACCAAAGAAAACATGAGCAGGAAATGGATGATGTTCGTTAGGACACGCTTTCCAGGCTCTGATCAGTACGTCCAAGCCTTTTCCGTCAAACAAAAAAAAGTGTGGATAATCCAAGCTTTGATATACTTGTAGCCAGTTTAATTCGGGTACCTTTAAGAGAATCAGTAAGATGTTAAGCTATAAAACTTACTTTTTCCTTTATGACAGTGACAAAGTTTTCTACATTCCAAGTATCATTTGCGTTATCAGTGTTACCAACACCTGTCATATTGATATAGGTACGCGCCATACATCCCAATACCTGAGCTACATCTTTCTCGTCAATACTCGCTTGATTGGCAAGCAGTTCTCGCACAGAATTGACAGAGCTACAGCAATCATAACCAGCTTCTAAAATCAGCTTGAGAACCTTGCTTTCTGTTCCTTCATCTTTATATTCAGTCATAGCTTTACTAGTTCAAAAATGAAAAATTAAAAAAAAAGAATAGAAAAAAAAAATGGAGACCCGTCGAGTCGTTGCAAAAAAAAAAAAAAAAAAGTTACTCGCCTTCCTTTTTTGTACGCGTCGCCATGCCTGTGTTGTCTAGACAAAAAGAAGGAAAGAAAAAGGTAGTTTGATACTTGTTTCTTTACTGAAAAGAGAGAAGTAGCATTTGTGCAAGCAAGCAATGATTTTGGCTTAGCTAGGTACTGTTGCTATGAAATATCAAAGCTGAGATTCATTCATTACTAGGCGTTGCTATGCTTACGTAAAAGCTAACATCTCTTTTTATCTGGGATTCAAACACTGGAAACCTCATGTATTTCAAAAAAGGTAAGAGAGGGTAACATTGAATTGAATGTTTACTAGAGTCCTCATTGATACTACTGATTCTGATAGCGGAACATTAAAAAAAAAAGATTTGAAGCAAAAAATAAATACAGATTCGTACAAACAATGATGTCCCAAATGCGCCAAATTATTATATCTATTAAATGGGCTTTCTCTGCAAGCAAACGTTAAACTTAGCTGCAGAATGTCTACAGAAACCTTGCAAATCGCTGACAAGGATACTGTTGTAGGCGTCCCGAATTCTAGTAGTTAAGGTCTCTTCTTCTAAAAGTGCTTCTCTCTTAAGTTTGCTCTTACAAACAGACCAAAACTGCTCAATTGGATCTAATTCAGGAGAGTATAGAGACAAATAGATACAGCAGCACTACGAATAGACATTCACTTCTCGTTAACCAAAAAGAAAAAGTGCTCCATGTCCTCTTTCTTGTATTTGCGATATGTTTTTTTTTTGCTTTTGGCTGTTTCAGAAAGAGAATTAGGCTGCTTCTCAAAGTTTTTTTTAGGGCCCTGCTGCATCTTTTCAGGAGGCTTCAGATCAGTATACTGATCGAAGTTTGTAACATTATCCAGGGGATAATTGATTTCGTCAATCTCCATCTCCATCTCAACAATTTCGTCACCTTCATCGTTAAGAATGTTGCCTTTCCCATCTTCTTAAATAAAAGAGATTGTTTTAAACAAGGCAGGTAACTTATATATTCGAAGAAAAAAAGTAGGTCTAAAAATGTTCTAATTCTATTTATTTTTTTGCTTCAAATCTTTTTTGATCAAAGTGTCCCAATAATTAGTATATGTCTTTATTTTCAGTCCATACAATCCAACTGAACTAGTCATTTATTTTTAGCCTGTTTGAACATTTCTATGATTGACCCTTCTAATTACATCAATCTTTCCTTACCTTTAACATCCAAGCACAAACCAACTCTGCTTCAGAACGCTGTAATCTCAACAACAATCTATATTCTAATAAAATACATTTGAGATAATTATTTGGGAGCTTTAATTGCCCAAAATCATCCACTACTGTGTTCATTGCGATCATTACTCGACCCCTTTATTTTTTTTCTCCATTCCATTCAAGCCCTATCTTTCTACAATGCATGATCAAAAAAAGAGAGATCTCACAACTATCTTTTGAATCGGTGAGTTAAATATTGTCAGCTATGACTAATTTTTAGACAAAAGCATGAGACTATTTCAATAAAAAGCACTTTAAGACATTGTATACCGTAAAGTGTTTGTATGTGATTTATTGTATTCAATAGTACTCAGTCTAAAGCGTGTAAAAAGGGCTGCACACTTTATGATCTGGGAAGTCATTTTAAAGACAAAAGAAGCAAAATTGTACTCCTTAATTCCTTGTAAAAAAAAAAAAGACGGATTTCTATATATGTATTTAGCTGTAAACAATGTGCTTTGATAGCTTTGTTCTTAGTTAGAGACATGATGTTTTAGCTAAAAGAAATGAGCTAATAAATAAATTCATATGTACATGCTCAATAAAAAAGTAAAATAAAAAAACTCGTTTTTATTTATTTATTGATTATTTCGGGCTTTTTATAGATTTTCATATTTCCAAATTTATTTGGCTTCCTTTTCTCTCTCTCTCTCTTTTCTTCTTTTCAATAATACCATGTTGCACGAGGACGACGATCCTCTTGGGAGTTCCATGTTTGATAACACTACAAGCTCTCTCTTGGGCAACACTATGACAACCTCTTTATTCTCTTCACAGTTTGAAGAAGACCCTTGGGGTAGTCATAGTACGCCTATTATACAGTCTACAACTACGGAGTTTGCTCGATCCTTTACAGCACCTAACCTCTATAGTAATACCACCTCTGACGCTGACCATCATGCTATCATGAATACGAGTCAGTTTAATCCTAATACTGTGTTGGGTAATTTTTCTTTTCTTTTCTTTTATATTCTAATTTTTTTTTGAAAAAATAGCTGGTGTTCGATTGCCTGAATTGTACGAGAAATTATTTATTCAGCATCAGCGTTCTGGAAGAGTATCTTTATCTACGCTGAATGGTATCCTATCCAGGGGGAAGATCTCAGCAAATCATATTGAGAAGGTAAGAATTAGCGTATTCCATTTCTATCTTCTGTCTATTGACACAATGGTAGATTATGCAAATTGTCGTACCAAGCGGCGCGTCTTATGTAACTCAGTCTGAATTTAATACAGCTATTGCTTTACTCGCTTGCGCTCAAAGTAAAATGGACGTTTCATTAGAGAGTCTGCATAGGAATAGAGACTGTAAGTACAGGAATCACGCTACTCGTTTCTGAATATCGATATATTAGTCTTGCCAGAGCCTAGTATATATCAAGAACACAAAGAAATTAAATCACCTTTGAAACCTGTGGATGAAAATCCAATTACCTCAGAACCAACCATGAAATCAAACCACCAACCTCAACTGTCTCCTATGAAACACACAACAGCATATCCAGGGATGAAATCACCCAAAGAATCTTCACAAGATAAACAGAATGAAGAGACTACAAATAACAACCGTCGCCCATCCTCTTTGGATACTCGACATTGGTTCAAAAATATCGAAGAGATTACTGTCACAGTAGCACCTGAGCGAGAAGGGTTTATATTTAAACATGTCAACTATATTGTAACCAATGAGAAAAGATCATCTATTGTCTTGAGAAGATACAGCGATTTCTGGTGGTTATTGGAAGTTTTGCTTAGACGTTATCCCTTTCGTGCCTTACCCAATTTGCCACCTAAAAAACTTGGAGGAAGTAAGTAGGCATATTCAAAAAAAAAAAAAAAAAAAAAAAAAAAAAAAAAAAAAAAAAACTCAATGAATATGTGATAGGAGATACTGCTTTCATTGAAAAGAGACGTAAAGGTCTATCAAGATTTATTAATGCAATTATTCGCCATCCTGTACTACGCCATGATGAGGTTGTCGCGCGATTTCTAACTGAGCCATCGGAACTGTCTGCTTGGAGAAAGCAGAATCCTCCCAGTCTAGAGGAAGAATTTAAGCGAAAACAACATCCTATTCGAGAACTAGATTCCATGACACCCACGAATCTGGAAGAGCAACTTCAAAAGGCTCGTAAACGAGTGACTGCCGGTATCAACCATTATGTCAATTTGTGTCTGATCATGGAACGTATGATTCGTCGTATGCATGGTCAAGCAACTGATTTCTCTCGTTATTCTATTGCACTCAAGTAAGATGAGATACTTGTTTTATTCGTGTATATGCTAAGCTTATTCTTTCTAGTTCACTGGCCGAGGCAGAGTTACGATATCATGCTGGTGAATGCAGAAATTGCCAATATGTAGTGAAGGGATATGAGACAGTAGCAAAACATATGCAAACGGAAAGTAGTTTATTGGAGGATCAAGTCGGAAATGCAACTGACGGCGTATTGGAAAACTTGAAGCGATTTAGAGATTTGCTGGTGTCTTTTAGGGTAAACTATTGAGGTGTATTTTGTGATGTCTTATTGCGTTGCCTATAGGATTTGGATGAACGAAGAGCAAGATTGTCTGTCAACCAGACAGACGTTATTTCAAAGCGAATTCAAGCAAATCGAAGCAAAATACATCAAAATAAAGGTGTGCCAGGTTTAGAAGCAGAAGTCCAAAAATTAGAAGAATCTGTTCGAGCTGTAAGGAAATTGACAATCAAACTGTTTTAAGAAAATAATCCTAACTTTATGAATAGGACGAGAAGGAATTAAGTCTTCAACAAGACCGAGAAGTGTTTATACAGTTTTGTTTATGGTCTGAATTGATCTATCTTCACAAACAACAGGCTTTTGTTTCTTCTTTATATCAGAACTTTACTCAAAGTACTATTCATTTCTCTAAATTGAGGGCTGACAATTGGCAAGATCTTGAAGAGCCTGCTTTTAATATGCCTTCCGACGTCGCTTCCTTTGAATGATTGTGCAAGTATCTTTACCTATCTTATTTGACTTTTTTTTTCTTTCTAGCTTTTTATTCTGTATATACATTCTATCTTTATGTAACAATAAAAAAAGTCCTTATTTAATACCTTGAAATATGGTTTACAATAAGAATTTTCCGAGAACAATAAAGTAGAAGACAGACATGCCTTTTGGCCTTTTCTCTTTTCCCTATACATAAAAAGTAAAGGAAGATTTAATGACAAAAATTATCCAGGTTCCTATCACATCAAAGCCTTTGCCTGCTCTCCTTGCGCCGCCCACGACAAACATGGAAGCTTCTTTCAGCTCATGTTATTCCTCTTCGTCCTGTTTTTCTTCGCCAATCCATTCTGCAACAGACGCAAGCAGCATTCAAAGTAAACTGCCCTCTGAACCATCTCCTCAGCCTATTTTATTACCACAGATCATGCCATCCACCACTTCCTATTATTCGGTTACTCAAGCACAATCCAAAGAAATCCAAGAACTTCGTCAGGACCTGATCAAACTTAATCAAAAGTACATTCAGCAAATCGAACGCATTCAAATTGCTGAACAAGCACGGCACCAAGTAGAATCAGAACTAGAGGACTTATCGCTACGACTGTTTGAGCAGGCAAACGAGATGGTTGCTGAGGAAAGAAAAAAGCGATACTATGCAGAAAAGAAGGTAGCACAGCTGGAACGAGAACTAGGAGCTGTCAAAGAGGAATTAGAGAACGAAAAGGCTCAGCTGAGTGAATTAAGAGAACGGTTTGAAGAAAATAGTACTGAAGAGCATGGATTCGCTTTGACCGAAAGAACCAGTCCATATACCAAAGCAGAAGATTCAGTTTCTATTATACCCCATACACTTGGTCTTTCTTCTCCCACATGCCTAGATAATAGCTGGCTCAATGTCTTTAAAGATTTCCTGACTTTGGCGCCTACAACACCTATCGAATCATTACATAAACTACCGTTTATGAAGCAATGCCTTGACCTTGATATTGAACCATGCCTTCGTTTTGGAAATGCAAGATCAAATAGTCGGCTTTCATTTCGCAAAGTGTTTGATGCCATTATTCATCAACCCTGCTTTATCGAATCAGAGCCCTCGGAGAAACGGCCCTCCCAAGACAATGAAGTCAAAAGACAAACATCATTGACAAGAAGACATTCTTTTGCATTTTCTTTTAGCAATAAATCACGTACGCAACCAGTGTACGAACCTATTCAGCATTGCTATGGATGTAGAACGGAATTAGGTAAAGACGCTTTGTTTCGATGCCGCCTAAAGGAGCAAGATCATGAATGGTTTTGGATTGATAGAGCGTGTCGTGATCGACTTGTAGCCGTGTGCAACTTTTATGTATTTATTCGTCATATACAATCAGGGTTACAAAGTCAAAAGACAATAGATTGTTTGTTTAGAGAATGCATCTGGCTACGACTCTATATGTTTTGGGCAAGGTCTGGTATTCATCATTCAACACATGCAATGGCTTTTTAAAACAATGTACAATAAACCTGTATACAACCCAATGATAAACCAACTTGACTTTGATTATAAACCTTCTGCCAAAATGTCTAGTGTTTTGCGTCATGACTTGTAAAAAAGAAGTGGCTACATACTGAACTAGATTATTTTATTATTATGACTTGTCGCTTTTATATATACGTGTCAAGAATTTAACGCTAGTAAAAGAAGAAGACCGAGAACGTCTTTGGAGAGGGTTGATAGCGAACTTCGTTTGGCTTTTGCGATTGGAATCGGTATCAAAAGGAAGAGTGGGCATTGTTTGACAGCTTGTGGTCGTACGTATACTTAAATTAGATTTAATGGAGGAAGACTCGTCATTGCTCTGGTCATCTCCGAATAGACTTGATGCAATCGAGTTTCTAAATAAGCTGTATCTTTTTGATTTTTGTCTTTTTGTTACATCTATAGATGTATTGGCTTGAGGTATAATAGTATTATGAGTGGAATCTTCTGAGGGTATAGATTTTGAGTTATTCTCGCTCTCTGCTTCTTGTGGAGTAGTACTCTTTTTCATAAAACTTGTAATCTTTTTAATCGATACCTGGAAAGCTTGTTTCTTTTTCTTTTGATCTGTCTTATCGAGTTGCTGATTATCTTGTCTTAAAGGAGGTGTGCTTTTCTTTTTTGTGGCTGGTTTATCCGCATAAGAAATGCTTTTGGATTTCTTGATAGGATGATAGTATATAGTTGAAGATGTCAATGAGGTACTTTCTGCTGTAGTATCCGAGATCTGACTTGATGGACTGCTGTTTCGACTAGGGGGGTTGGATGCTTGGAGTTTGGAATGTATCTGATTCTGATGTTCTGCCAAGGAAGAACTTCTTCCAGGTGGAGATATGACCACTATTTGGCCTTCTTTTGTCTTTTTGCATATCAGAGGTTTTTCCCGCTTGTTTTTCTCTTCCTCTTCTTCAAAAATATCAGAATTAGAAGAAAAGTAGTAAGCATAAACATTTCTTGTAATTTTAGACGAGGTACTTGTTGTTGAGAACGAGTGGGATGATTGATTTATGGTATCCCATGTGTTTTGTGCCATGGACGAATAAAGGTGTTGAAGTGACGATGATCTTGTACTTTGCTTAGAGAGAGATTCGCTACTCGATGCGTTTTCAAAGCAATGTTCTGATTTTAGGCTTTGAATGCTGCTACCATCTTCTTGTTTGTCGTCATTGCCGTCGTCGTCGTCGTCGTTTCCTTCTTCATCGTCATCATGGGCATTATAGACATTATGAAGCGATGTGCTACTGTTACTATTCGAGAAACTTTCATGCTTTCTCGCACCAGGCAAAGAAAGATCCACATTAAAATCCATGTCAAATAAATTCATTAGCTCACTTGCTAACGTAATGGTTGATATATCTGTGGAATCACCTTTCCAGCTTGCTCTTTTTCTTGTTATTTTACTATTATCCGAGTATTCTTGATCACTTTCTTGATTGAAAAAGTGATTCACGATAGAGAAGGGATACAATTCATCTTGCTTTAAACTATTAGTCATTTCTTCTTCGAAATCGCTTTCAATAGTACAAAATGAGTCCATAGATAAGATATTTGGGTCTGATTGAGAGAATAATGACCCATAGTACTGATTATCATCCTCTTCTTCTTCTTCTTTTCTTTCTTCAGCTGCTATGCTTGGTGCTGAAGAAGTATAGCTTAAATACAAGAACTGTTGGTCTTTGTGGCATTGACTAATAGATGAGTTGTAAATAATCTGTAAGTATCGATGAATAATTTTTTCAATATAGTCCTGTGTCACGGATTCAAACAGCTCAGGCCGAAAAAACTCCCATCTGACCATATTATCAATATACTCGAATGGTATTTTTTGATAAATATCTTGAATCAAGTTCTTTATGAGTGCTGTCTTTCGTAATGTGCCATTGCTGGTCGGTGTAAAAGTGATAATTGCAAGTTTGTAGTTTGAGAGGGCTGCCAATCGTGCCTGATTGAATTGTTTGTCAAAATATGACATAAAAAAGTGAAAATGATTAAAAAAAAAAAGGTGCAACAGGCCTAAATCTTTCTTATTAAGTCATTCAAAAAAAAGTCGGAGAGTTGTGATCGATATTCATTGTTACATTCAAGTATCACAGAACCATGTTCCATTACTTGTAACTTTTATGCAAGTAGACAATAGCATGATTTACATACAAATATACTTCTTTATGCTTGCTTTCTGATTGTTGACTCCCCTCAAATTTATGCTCATTTTTCTATTTGATGAGACGCATAAAAAAGAAAAGAGGTTCTTCAAAGATTTAGGATTCAATTATTAATTGCAGCACTCGATGTAACACAGTGAACTATATGTCTATTCTAGATTACATGTATAGGAAAAACACACTATGTCCTACTTGAAACTTATTGAAATTTGTCAAAGAACCAACTAATAAGGTTAGATCCTTCATTTTCCTTGTTATTCTTGTCAATGCATTTGTATATCGCACATGTTGATTATAGATTGTGCACAAATTAAATTTATGTATAAAGACGTTACATCTTTCTTTTTTGTACATTTACAAATATTGTTTCAGCATTTTAGTAATTAATAAAATGTGCTCCGATAGGCTTTATTTTTTTTTTTATCAAGAATTACACAAATTGAACAAGTTTGCCTTTTTTTTTTTTTTTTTTTTATCAAAACTTATCAATAAAAGATGCATATAGCATTTATTTCAAAAATGTGTTCCTGAAACTACAAGCTATTAAAATTATGAATTCTATCTGAGATACTCTTTATAGCTGGTGTAAACTGTGGAAAGTAGTATGATTCATATATAAATATTATTTACACTTTTTGATTATATTTTGGATTCTTGATTCAAGTTCATCACTCAATGGTTGTCCATTCAAGGCTTGTTCTAATAAAGAGTTCAGTATACGTCCCAAAAAAAAAGGTTTAAGTATATTTTACCCAGAAAATGAATGACTAGTTGTTGAACATTTTTGATCAAAGACAAGTTATCTACAAGAGACTCAACAATAGCCACCATATGTTCAATAAACAATAGGCTGAATGGTGCTTGTGCCATTTTCAGAAGTTTTGTCACAAAATGAACAATCAAACTATCATCTAAATCTCGTCCAGATCCACTAAAGTATCTCAAGACGGGAAGTGTATAATTCAGTTGAATCAAGTAAAGCATACGGTCCACCCAAGTTCGTTGCAAGGTTAACTATAGAATATCATTCAGCAAACTGTGTCCATATTGTCCTACTTACCTGAATCTCTGGTGCAAACGTATCTGTCTTATGCTTGATACAGCGTTTAATTACATGGAACACCATAGGTTGTTGAAGTTGATGACGGCTGGCAATTTCATCAAGAATGTGTAGTAAAATTGGCGTTTCTGTAGATCTGAAGTAAGTTTCAAAGTATGTAGTATGGATAGCCATATATTCAATCCACATCAAAATGCCCATGGATCCCACAGGGAATCGAATGGCACTAATGATATATTTCATGGCGCCTGTAATGCTGCCTACTTCTGTCTTATTGGCTAATGATGTATATAAATCTTTCAACACAAGCTGTATTTTCATGATATCGTCTTGTTGTTCCTATATAGACCATAAGAACACGCCTAAATGTAGACAGCTACTCACCATACGAGGCTTTGTATCATTCATTGTAGTAGCATAGGCAATCAAGAAAGTTACATCGTCTACTAAGTCAGCTCTTAACAATGAGCCATGTTGAGGAACATAAAGAGCCCTCAACATCTTTAGTATCAAATCATAATCACATAAATGATGCGCAGCAGGTGGACTTTCAGAAGAATAAAAGCGTCTTAACTATACCAAGATGTTAAAGAAAAGCAACAATATGATTAAATACATTACTGTAGCAAGGTCACCAGGTGTTATGTTGGGTGAAGTCATGATAGTTTTGATTGTTTTTGAGAGTTCAAGAGGCGCACTTGATGCGTGTGTATGCAATATATCGACGAGTGCTAAGTTTCCTTTCTTTTTTGCTGCAATTTCGAGTTCTCTGCGAAGACGAGTGAAAGGTATAGCACCAAACTCATCGCATAATCGTCGTATCAAAATTTGTGCATATAAATAAGTGTCTTCTCTTTCACAACATACTCTCTATTCAACAGATGTTAAATAACTAAAACTATCACACAAAATATAGATATTACAACAAGGTCAGGTAATTCTTCATCAAACTCCAAGTCGTCTTTTCCAACAAGCTCTGATAAAGCATCGTTTAGGATCAAATTATATACTTGAACATAGGTGGATGCTGTTCTTAATTTTGCAACCTCCTTATCATGGCCAGCCTCTGCAATACGCTATTTACACGTTATTCTTATGTTTCCACTTGCATGAATACACTTACAAGCACTGCAAAGTTAAGAAAGGCACATTCTGGATATTGCCCCAACAATTCATACATGGTCTGTCTCCAGCCTGAATCTTGTAGTAAGACATCAAGCCATTCAGGTGCCATGAGCTGCTCGTTTTGCATAAAATGCTCATCGCAACGTTGGGGATTGAATCGATCTTTAAGTTGTTGTCGAATAGCGTCTCTCATGATAGTATCACTACTGAGACCAATTGAATCTACAGAAGCAGCAGTAGCATTGCACATGGAAGGAATGCCAATATAAGATTCGGAGAGCATGTTGACAGCGTCCATAGGAGCGCCACCGAGATTCAAGTACTCTGATAAGACCTCAGTGTAAATGTTCTTTTCAAGAATGGCATCTAGGTCAAAAAGCATCAGCAAGATCTATCAAAACATGATTAGCTTTTTACCTGTTTGAGACAATGCTTTTTTGTACTCATCAATAGTTGATATCCTCAGTGGCTGACTGGTCTGATAGACGTGTTAGAGCTGTCATAAGACGCGATCCTGCTATTCTTGTTACCATAATATGTACTTTTGTAAAGGAGAAAAATGCTTCACTTTCGTGACCGCGTATCGAAGAGTGAAGCGAGTTTCAAATCAGTGTAACATGTTTTCAAAGCAGTAGCAGGAGTAGAAAAGCATTAGAAAACGACAGATGTACATTAGAATTTTACATCATATAGTATAGAGCTCAGGAAGAGAACACTAGTATCCCATAGTTTATTTAGTGTAGAAGGACTACTGAGTCTTGATTTTTTTTCAATATCTTTGATTTCTATTGGATTGGAAAGCTAATACCACTTTTTGTCCCCTTTTTATTTACGTGATGGTATGTAGTCTCTTGCGCTTAACAAAACACCTCAAACTACACTGATATTTGATTTTAACAAACTCTTGATTAAAGCTTTGTTCTTTTCTTATAAAAGATTACAAAGATGACATGTATAGCGACGTCAGTAAATATCAATGATGACACATACTCCCTCATTTTCGTCGACAAAAATGAGAATATGTTCTTAGTGATACAATAGCAAGAGCTTTGTATATTGTTTCCATAATCAACACTTCAATTCTTATGCTTGAGGAAAACTACATCGTAATTTCTTGCTTAGTATTGCTTTTTTTTTCTTATATTTTGCAGCTCATTTTGATGAATGTGTAACAATAAAGATAAAGTCCATTAGGACGCTTAATTGCCATTGACTTCCAGCATGCCATTTTGCATAAATCCAAAAAATTAATTTTTGTATCAACCAGTTCTTTTTTTTTTCCTAGACTCATACTCATTTAGCTTTCTTGCCTTCTCTATTGATCACTAGCACTTCTTTTTACATTAGTGGCTATAGATTCGTGCTACAGATATACAAAAAAAGTTTCTGTTTACTGACTCAGGTGTTTACCTAATCTGATGCCAAGCACAACAGTATGATCTTACTTTCCCATAGGATGTGGATCAGACAGCTTGTAAAAGGAATATTATCAAAAAAAAAAAAAAGAATTGGTGTGTGGGAAGAGTGTAAGTGGCTAAATTTACCATATGCAGTTTTAACAAGTAAAAAGAACAACCCTTTGTTTGCTAAGCTGTCTTTAGTCACAAATGTTGATTCTGCTTCTTTCCTTAAATGAAATTTTATGATGGCATTGTTTTATTAAATAATGTGGGGAATTAAGATGACAAAGACGAATTCAAATCCCAAAAATCTCAAAGCGTCCAATGCTGATCATTGTACAGGTTTCCATTTATACCTTAAATTTCATTAAACTATCATACAGGCTTGACATCAGCAAGGAAACAATAAGCTTTTACTTGCTTCATCCTCCGCGTATACATAGGCCAAAATAAGAATTTTGTTATAAGCAACTGAGAAAAAAATTATTTTTATTTTTTATTTTTATTCAAGTTTGATTCGTTTACTTCCTTGCTTGTCTTTTTTAAGCACACTTGCTGCTATGTACTTCTTGTTGTTCTTAAAGAACCATCTCGAATTAAGAATTTGTGGAACAAAGAACACTGTCTATTTTGAGCTGTCGTGTGAATTCTGAGAAATTTGACTTTTACCATAAACGTCCTAAAAGGAAGGTGCTTCAGGTACACAAAATTGTAAGAGGCAACCAAGAATTAATTTACACCAATTGCTTGTTGCGCAAAAGGAATAGATGACCCGTATTAGAACAGCTCAGAAGCTACAAGTCAATAATTAGTGAAATAATAATAAAAAAAAAGTTTCTACCGGCGCATTTGGTTTGAACAGGAAGCTTAAATATAAATATCTTGTGTGTTTTTCTTTTCCTTTTTATCTAAACCTCCACTTTTATCTTCTTCTTTTTTCTCCTTTGTCCCTTATGTCCGATACTTCAATTGAAAAGATTGACGTTAGCCATCAAGAATCTGTTGCTATCGATATGATGGATGCTCAAACTCCATTAGCACAGAAGAAATCTTTGTTTGCTCCTCCCCCCACTTCAGAACTTGCAGAGTTTCAAAAGACATTGATTGGTCCTGCTATTGGCTTTGCTGCTTTTGCTCTTTGCTCTTTTGTTCTGGGTCTTTATAACACAGGATTGATTACAGACATTCCTCATGTGGCCATCGGTATTGCTTTTGGTTATGGATCTATTGGTCAGTTCATTGCTGGTATCATTGAAGTTGTCCATAAGAATGTCTTTGCTGCTACTTCCTTTATTACATTTGCTAGTTTCTTCCTTGCCTTTGGTATCATGATGGTTCCCGGCTCAGGGTTCTTAAGCATGGCTACAGCTGCTGGTCAACTCGAGAAATGTTTGGGTCTAGTGGAAATAGCATACGCTATTGCTGCCTTTATCTTCTTCTTGGGCACCTTCCGTCAACCTATCTTGGTTCGTTTGGTCTTGGGTTTTGCTTTCCTTTCTTTTCTATTCCCTGCCATTGGTGCCTTTAGTGGCATCATCGCATTCACAAAAATTGGTGGTTGGTGTTCGTTTGCTTTAGGACTTGTCGCTTGGTACACACTAATGGCACTCATTTATAACGAAACCAACACTTTTATCCGTGTACCTTTCTTTTAAAAAATTAATATACCTCTTTACCTTATTGATATATCCCTCCCTTCAGCTTCATTCCAGCATCATTTTCATTTTATTTTGTACGAATTTGACAATAATGACTAATAAATGACTCATACAATTTATTTTGATTGTAATTTGTTTTGATAGTATGTTGTAGCGTAATCCAACAAGCTATTCAAAAGACCTTCGTCACTTCTTGGTTCCTTGACAAAAATAGCTGGCTGGCCTAGAGGAGCATCAACAGCCTTATAAGTACCATCCCCATTGTAATACTTTCCACTCCAAATATGGCGCCAAACCACATTATGAGCATCCTTGGGAAAGTAGACTTTAACATAGGTTGCAGAAGGTGCCAAAACAGGTGCAACCATCATTGAACTACCAAGCATAAATTGATTGTATGTCAATTCTCGAGCAGTTTTATCGTTAGGATAATAAAGAACAGGATGACGCATCACCGGCCATCCATATTCGTATGCCTCTTTCAGAACTGTTTTTCTGTATGCAGCAATCAGTGTAAATATTTTTGCCGTGTGGGCAAGATGAATATATGTATCTTTGAAGAATATTGAGCCTTACTTTCGTGAGTGCGTTTCTTACCTTCATCATCATAGAATTGTGCATTTAAAGAAGGAATGATACCCTCAGATGTTCTGAAAGCCGGAGTACATGCTGAAAGTTCTAACCATCTAAATAGCAATTCTTTTGTACGAGCCATCTTGAAACCTGGAATGTTACTCAGAACAGTATTATACCCACCAGCATCACAATGTGTAACTGAAAGACCTGAAAACCCACCGGAAAGCATGCCAATAATCTATATAGTATGAGTGTATCTCTCTAGAAAAAATCAGAAACTTGTTGCTTACTGCACTTTTGATACCATAGTGTTGATCCCAAGTGACGTTTTGATCGCCTGCCCAAAACAAATTCATGTTGCTTTGTGAACATGTATAAGCTGAGCGGAAAAAGCACAACGCTTCTTCTTGTTTTCCAAGATCTTGTACAACTTCTTGAATTAATTGTGCCCATTCAACAGGATATTTGTTGTGATATGTTGATGCTTTCTCCCCAGAATGCAAAATGACCTGATCTGAACCATAAGGCAGATGTTCACCAAAATCAACCATCATGCCTAGCAAGGTAACACATCAATGTATTGTTTTTTTTCTTCATCCTATTTATATTGTACCTGATATATGCTTGCTCCAGAACTGGTCTTTGAGTACGCTCTTAAACCATGTTCTAGCTTCTGGATTTGTCAAGTCAAGCATGGCTGCCTCAACATATGTTCCAAATTTGATCATCAAAGCTTGTTGTTCCGAAGAGTTTGATTGTGCACTTTTTACCAAATACCCATTCTTGTTTGCTTCTTCAAACAAGTTTCGTTTGACTTGGCGTTTACCTTGTGGATTCGATAATAATGGATTGACATAAGAAATGACGCGAACATTGTCATTGTTAAGTGACTCAACAAACGCTGACCATTCTGGATATAGTTCATCGGCGCTTTCCCAATTCCACCAATGATGCGTAATAGACACACCTCGACCTGTTTCTTGTAAACGAGCTCCTGTCCAGTCTTGTAAAAAGACAGCAGCCAACGGGACATTGTACGCACGTAATTTTTGAATGATTCCTGTTGTCTTTTCCTTGCCACCTTGAATACCTGCAATGATACCATCAGAAACCCAGTCAGGTAAAGGCTGCATGCGGCCAGCATAAGACGTGTATTCCGTAATTAAATCCAGCATGGTCTTTCCGTCCAAAATGCGTCCTATTTATGAAAAATTGAATGAGCGCCTTGTGGACATTATACGCTGCTTGCCTTTCATTTTATCAGATTCTAAACGAATGGTTACACGGTCTGGTAGTGTCATATCAAAACTCATGTATTCGGTGTTCTCCATAAACAAACATCGAATATCACTCGAGATATATTGCGGAATAGATGCATATGTAGCAAAACTGTCTGTGGAATTATATCCTCCAAACACACTAAATGCTGAATCCTTAAAAGAAGAAGCCTAAAAGAAAAGGATCAGTCCAAGTTTTTTTCTACTAATAATGGTGTTCCATTTTACCGTAAGAGCGCCTCGTCCAGCACCTTGCTCTCTGATGTTGAAGTATCAGTATAAAAACAAGACTCTACAAAAATGACTCACCTTACAAGAATAGGAACTTTACAACCTTTGAGCGAAGCATAAGAAAACTGCTCACCAAACCCATAAAAGTGTTCCTCAGGTCTACTTTCATAAATCAGTATGAGCCGTTCAAACTTTTCCATGACGGAATCCCTTTTCAGAATTTCTGCAGAAAATTCCAACTGCCGCTGCGATACTTCTGTAAAAGTAAATACATAATCCATGTGGGTTGGTAACACCAACTTTGTACCAAGGCCACCATGAATCCTTATGGTCGAGTCATTGACACGTTCAATTTTGGTGATCGTTTGGAGACGCGTTATTGCTTCTTCATGCTCAGTTATCTGAAATACGCCTGCATTTTCTCCAGGTATAATGTCACATTTACCAAGTGAACTAGCAAGAAAAGGTTGATTATGTAAAGCTATCATCATCATCGTAATCATCAGTTTTCTATTATACGCAGATACAATACTTTACATCTCCAAATTGTACGTCCATTTGGGTTCTTTACACTCACAGTTAATGCTTGTGCATCCACTTGTATCTTGAAATGACCAGTTGAAAATGGTCGATCATACACTGTGTTCCCAATAGACAGCCGTGGTTGAATGTAGTCTTCTGTAGATGAAAGCCCAACGTTTTTTAATAGACTTTGCCACATAATGTCATGCAACTATAACAATGAGAGATAGAAAAGAAAAATGTGATATTTTTTTTTCTCGGTGAGTAATTTAATGCGAAATAGAAACGGTCATTCAATTCTTTTATTGGATATACATTGACCCCCAAATAAAAACTAACCCAGTTTTTTTATCATTCGAACTCAGTAACAAAGGTATCATGATCCAAGGGCCCTTTCATATGCCAAGATGATACTTAAACGCGTTCGGTTTTTTTTTACTGATGATTTGTTGAAATGTTCGTTTTAAGATGATGTAGTTTGGTACTTGGTAGTGCAGCCTTTGGTATCAATCACAGCTTGTTATTGGTTGGTCATATGATGTAGTAGTATGAATGTAATGATTGAAGTAATTATGCAATTGACAAGATAGTGGTATTCAACTGCCTCCTCATATACATAGACTGGTTAATGTCTATTACTAATTTATTTCTCTTTTATTTCCCTTCTATTCTCTGCTCTTTCTGATAACCTAATGCAAATACTACTTATGTATCTCATGCTCTGCTTAGTTTCTAGAATTTAATTTTTGCTTATTTTTTTTTCAAGTCTATTATTACTCTCCTTTTCATTCACTCTTTTTAAAGAGAGAATCATCACGAATAGCCTCGTAGGCTTCACGCTTTAGTGAGTGTTTGGCGACTTCAATATCTGTCTTGATATCACGAATAAGAGCGTCTAAAAAGACATAAGTAACTGCTTTAAACTGATATTTCAACTTACCAAGAGAAGGATAATTTTGTTCAGGACGAATATAGCCTACTACTATGATACGGATAGATTCACCATAAAAGTCAGATTCAAATTCATGAAGAATATGGACTTCCTTTATTTCCCCGGACGTTAAATTACTTTTCTCTTATACAACTTCGACACTTACAGCAGATCTCTTTTCATTCTTGTAATAAGGATTCCAACCCAAACTCATGACCATAGGATAAACAGTCGAATCTTGATCTCCTACTTGGGACCAGCCGTAATAAACACCAGTTTCACACTCGTTAAACATTTCATTTAACGCCTCTTCATTCAAGTTGGCTAGATATAGAATTCAATACTCGGCTGTTCCCTCCATCTGTTTACCTGTAGGAATACCCAATTCCTTTGACCCACGTCCAAACCCTTTTACAACAGTCCCCGAGACAGAGATAGGATAAGGTGCTTCAAGTTCTTTTGGTCCAACAATCAAAGGTCTGTCAGTATTAATAGTATCGTTATTCATTTTTTATAGAAAGAAGAGAAAGAGAGTATATAAAAAAAAACTCAAAGCAGTTTATTTAAATATAGATGATGACAAAGCATTTCAAAACAGATCTATTGTATTTCTCAGCAAATTTGAGACTGGCTTAGAGATAAATTTGAGAAGATAAGGCGCGGCTCGGAGAGTATGTAGCATCTTGGAGTATATTGCATTGAAACCCTTTTGCTGCATAAGATAAAGTTAAAAAACGGTAAAGCAATCTGTTTCGCTGATTCATATCTTATTGTCATGTATCGAACTTAGAGATTCGATTGGGCTCGTACGTATTAGAGAGAGAGCCCTTCAGTTTTATGCATGCAATCAACCCTTTAGGCAAACCAGTCACTACTCACCGGCCATGGAAAATGCCTTTGAAACCACATTGCAGACATATGTGTACTTAACAGCCATAACCATGCGAGCATAGATACCAAGCGTGTAAATGCAGTAAAATATTCGTTTCATCGTCTATGTCAACAAGAGTTGGTTTGTTGTTTTAATGCATGTCGATACCAATTTTAAACGTCGTCACAAAGCAGTCCACGCATTTGACCTTTTTTTTTTCTCGTTTAGAAGGAAAAATAAGTTTTTAACCCTATGCCACCTAAAAAGACCTCTCAGAAGATCAACAACAAGGCTGCTTCCAAGTCTGCCAACAAGGCGGCTACTAAGAAACAGAACAATAATAAAAACAATAGCAATAACAACGCTACCAATGGAAAGAAAAAGGAGTCAAAGGTAGCATATAGATCTGTTTGATATACAAACTAAAGTTTTTTCTTTTTTTTTTCTAGATACCCGAATATGTAGCAGTGCCTGAAAACGAAGACGAAGTTGCTATTTCTGATGAAGACCTTGAGTTCTTTGCTGAGAATAAAGGATTTACTTCATTTTTGACAGGTTTAGATAGTAAAGCTCTCTCCAAGTAAGTAGATCAAATAAAATGTGATGATTATCTCATTCTGTCTCGATAGAAATCCTGTCAAACAAAAAGAGAAGAAGGTGACAAAGAAAGAACCCAAGAAACAAGAGCCTGAGGGTTTAGATAGTTCAGATGAAGAATTAGATAATTTTGAAGAATTAGACGAGGAAGAAGAAATGGCTTTATTAAACCAACAATTTGAAGATGAATCTGATGAGGAAGAGGAACAAGAAACTGTCAAAAAAGTACAACACACTACCAAGAAGGAGCTTCATGAATCTGACGAAGAAATGGACTATGAAACAAAGCCTAGAAAGGTAGCAAGCGAATGGACACGTAAGGATTATCACAACAAGTTGCCCATCAAATTGCCTGGTGGTAAGATTCATCAACGTGAAGACGATGAAGAAGAGCAAATGAGTGCATCCGAAGATGAAGAGAAAGATCAGATGTCAATGGAATCAGAGGAAAAGCAAGAAGAAGAGGAGGAAGAAGAAGAGGAGGAAGTGAAGCCTAAATTGAGCAAGAAGGAATATTTACTCCAGAAAAAGGAAGAATTAGCCACTATTGCCAATGACATTCAAGGTGATCCTGAAGATAACATTGACCAATTAAAGAAGCTTAGATCCATCAGCCAAGATAACAATGTTCTAGTCAAGAAATTAGCTTTACTCACACAGTTGGCTGTCTACAAGGATATTATTCCTGGCTATCGTATTCGTCCATTGACTGCTACAGAAGAAGAAGTTCAAGTATCTAAAGAAGTGAAGAAGACAAGAGAGTATGAAAAGTCCTTGTTGACTAATTACGAAATGTACTTGAAGGACTTGAATTACTTGGTTTCCAGTAAGTCGTGCCTATTCTAGATTTGGGCTTAAATATTTATTTATTTTTTTATCTAGAGAAGAAGACAGAAGAAGATGCCTCTTTGGCTTTGGTAGCTACTCGTTGTCTTTGCGAACTTTTGGTTTCCAAGATTCACTTCAATTTCCGTCTAGAAATCATGGTAACTGTAGTAACACGTATGAGTACAATGAAATGGAATGAAGCAGCCCAATTATGCAGTGAAGCCATTGTTACTGTATTTGAGAATGACGAATCGGGTAAATCCTCTTTTGATGCTGTCAAGATGATCATTCGTATGGTCAAATCCAAGGGATATGCAGTGAACGAAAAGGTCATTAATGTCTTTTTGCGTCTTCGTCTCAAGGATGAAATGGCTCATAGTTCAGTCAAAAGTGATGAACCTGAGCAAGTAGGCAAGAAGAGAAAGAATAACAACAAGCCGTTTTTGACAAAGAAGGCAAAGAAGACATTAAAAGAAACCAGAGAGATTGAGAAGGAATTTCAAGAAGCAGAGGCCATTGTCAGCAAAGAAGAAAAAGAAAAGAACCACACAGAAACACTCAAGTTGATCTTTGCATTTTACTTTAGAATCTTGAAGAAGCAGACTTCTTCACCACTTTTACCAGCTGTCTTGGAAGGTCTTTCTTGCTTTGCGCACTTGATCAACGTAGATTTCTTTGACGATCTTTTGAACGCACTTCGTGATGTGATGCATGCTTTCGAGGATTCGAATGACATTTCTCGTACCAGTTCAGGCACACGTAAACGATTGTTGTGTATTATCACAGCTTTTGAACTGTTATCAGGACAAGGTGAAGCATTCAACTATGATCTCAAAGACTTTTACACCGAAATCTACAAGATTTTATTTAAAGCCAGTTTCCATACAAAGATTGAAGAGAAACCTGAATCTCAACAACAAACAGAAAGTGAAATGTTGATCCGAGGATTAGAGTTGATGTTCCTAAAGAAGCGACAAATTCCTATTAATCGTTTAGCTGCATTCATTAAGCGTTTTGCACTGGTTGCACTTAATATGCCTAATAAGACTGTGTTACAGTGTCTTGGGTTAGTTCATAGACTTGTTCAGGTTAGCTTAGATAATATATGTCTATCCGTGGGTATTCATAATTTTATTTTAGAAAGATCATCGTTTAGACGCCCTTTTGCAGTCAGAGGATAGAGCATCGAGTGGTATTTATGCTCCATTATTGGAAGATCCCGAACTCTGTAATCCTTTTGGTACAAGTCTTTATGAGCTTTTCCTTTACCAAGTAAGAAACCATCACACAACAATAAAATGGATGACTAATATGTATTTGTATAGAATCACTATGATCCTAATGTTAGAGCTATTGCAAAGAACCTGCAGATGACAACACAATTATAATAGAATAAACAAACAAACAAACAAAAATGATGGCATGATTACAGATAAATACTAGTAAAGAAAAAAAAAGTGTGTAGTACTTTGTGAATATGAGAAACTGGGTGATTATTGGAAACTTTGATCAATAATAGATTATACACATCATGATGCTACGTACCACAGAATAAGGGATACACGTGGAGAATTACACGAACATAACTGTATATACTTAACGGAATTTCATATCTATCCCTCTGCTTACCGCTTCTCACGAAAAGACATTGAGTGATTTTATGGATTCAAAGACGACGATGACTGTTTATTTAAGGGGGGGGGGAAGAGTGCTAAAGATTAACTTAACGAATCAAGTTTTATATGCAAAAGTTTAAATTTTCCAAATCCAGTAATTTTACTATGGAGGAAAATCTATTTATTATTCTATCATTTTATATAAGAGGGTATATTCTTTTTAAGCAAGTTGTCTTTTTGGAGAAACAGGGCAATTCTATCCGAGTATTATGATACAGCATTCGAGACCCTGTTTATTACTTTACCTTGGTCTGATGTACTCGAGAACCACATATAAGACAGAGGCATGTAGCATTTAATTTTGCAGAATGCATAAACAAGGCCATTTTTTTTTTGAAAAAAACAAGGAAACGGGAGCAAAAGAAGAAAGAAAAAAGAAAAGAAAAGAAAAATAATGACAGGTCAGACTCTTATATACATACAGAAAAAAAAAAAGTTGCTCAAGTGCAACATTCATAGTAATACTCATTCTTTTCTCTTTCACAAATCAACAAAGCCGCTTTCAAACAAATATGATCAAGCTATAACATACATGCTTACTTTAGAATAAGTCTTATCAAAATCTTTATTTTTCGACAAAAAAAAAGCCAGGATCCCGAGTCTGATAGAAGCCAAGAAAGTATAGCCGTGTCCCGGCTTCATGATATCCTTAATTTAACAATACGAGTGTCATACAAGAGGGGAGAAAAAAGTCATTGTACTGATCACAAAAAAGTTGAACTGTTTGAAAATCATGTTCAATAGTTTTCGCACTTGTGTAAAAACTTTGTTCTTTTTTTGTATGTTCTCTTCAAATGGTATGTTTCTATCAATTCTTTTTTATAAACAAAATATACATGTATAAATGGGTGATCATTAGACAATAATTTATAGAAAAAAAAAGGCATCACAATGAGAAATGAGAGTATGTACGTGTATGATAATTGCTTTTTCTTCTCTATCCAAAATGGAAGCTGAATCCACCAGGTGGTTGACGTCTGCCACCACCGCCAGGGAATCCGCCGCCACCACCGAATCCGCCACCAGGGAACCCACCAGCACCACCAGGGAATCCACCCATACCTCCGCCTCCACCAAACATTTGGGCAAAGATATCATTTACATCGACACCTCCCATGCCTCCACCAGGGAAGCCACCAGACATACCACCCTCTAAATCAACACCCGAGTCATATCTAGCCTTCTTTTCGGAGTCACTTAAAATGGCATAAGCTTCACCCACTTCTTTGAATCGAGCTTCTGCTTTAACATCACCTGCGTTCTTATCTGGATGGTATTGAAGAGCGAGTTTACGATAAGCCTTTTTGATTTCGCTTTCTGATGCTGATTTAGTTAATCCTAAGATTTTGTAATAGTCCTTGCGTTGTGATTTCTTTAATTCAAGCTCTGCTTTGCGTAATAAGTTGTGGTATTCTACAAAGCATAGATAAGTATCGATGACTTAAACCAAGTGTCTCTTTTGTATTACCTCTGTTACCTGCATCTACTTCAGTTAATTTTCTATAGTCTCTAACAGCTTCCTCGTACTGTTCAGTTTCCATATAGCAACCTGCACGTCTACTGTAAGCCTTGTAAAACTCTTCATCCAATTGAATGGCTTTATCACAATCAAGCAATGCTTCTTCAAACTTCTTTTGTTTCTGCAGCACAGCAGCACGGTTAGAATAAAGACGTGCGTTCATGTGATTGTTGCTAGAATCAATTTCCAATGCAGCAGTATAGGCTTCATAAGCTTCATCTAATTGGCCACTCTTGAAAGCGTTGTTACCAACTTCTTTTTGTTTTTCAATTGAACGGGCTGTCTTGAGTAAGGCACGAGCTTTTGCAAAATCAGGGTCGCAACGAAGCGCTTCTTGACAATGGGCTACTGTCTTTTGATTATCACCTTGACCATAAAATACACGAGCACGAAGGTACAATGCATCAGGATTTTGGCTATCGAGACGAACGAGTGAATTCACAATACGGCTAGCTTCAGAATAATTCTTTTCGCCCAAAGCACACTCGGCTTGTAACACTCTCCATTTCAAAGGCAGCACATCAGCATCAACAAATGCGATAGCACGATCGAGACTATTACGGGCAAGACCCCATTGATTGTTGGCCATAAATGTGTTTACCTGGTTCATGTAGTTGTATACGTGTTGCAAGTTGTTGTAGTCACGTTGTGTGCTATTGGGATCAATTTCAGATGCCATTTTGAGTTGGCGACCTGCTTCTTCCAAGTTGCCCAAGTTAAGATGACATTTACCAGCTCGTAAATAAGCCTTTACGTTTTGAGGATCTAATTCAAGAACTCTACGACAATCATTGGCTGCGTCTTTGTATTTCTTTTGCATCACTAAAGCAGCAGCACGGTTGTTATAGTATGTGGATGTTTTTGGTGAAGCATCTAAAAAAAAAAAGCCTGTAAGCGAATCGATCTTTTTTTTTTAAAAAAAAACAGCCTTACCAATGGCTTGAGTATACAGCTTGACGGCCTCATCATAATGGCCTTGCTTGTATTGTTCGTTGGCCAAATTCTTGATTTCTTCAGGAGACCTGTTAAAAATATCGAATCAGCATGCTTATGTAATAAACATTCTACTTTACATTTGAGGAGCGCCGTCCACTTCCATAGGTGAGCCTTCAGACATATTGTAAAGAGGGAAAAGAAGGAAAGTAGAAGGAGTTTTTCAGAAAAAAAAGTTTTATTTGATAAAACTAAAATAAAAAATAGTCACCCTTTGAATCTTAATGGTTCATTAAGGATCGAAGTTGCTAGAAACATTAAAATGGATTCAAATTCAGACAGTCGCAGTAGCCATGGATAACTGTCTTTCGAAATCCAAGTAAGAACCGTTATCGATTTAACTGGCACAAAAAAAAAAGGGAATATTGTTTAGATACATTAGTTCAAGTTGAGCCTTATTTATCACTTAGTTTGATTTTTTCTTACAGTCTAATCAATATCATTCTGATAGGAATGATATCTAAATATTTTGGGTGTTGCTCATTGGGCGATCACAGCGTATTCGACCAAAGTAAATATCTTTGAAAAATTAAAATTGTCGCCCAAATAACAAGACCTTAATCATCTGGTCGCCAGAAGAGGTCAATAGGCTTACATGCACAATCAAAATTCTTCCCTCAAGTAATCCTAATCTTAAAACCATGTTGACACATCATTGTTTGATACCATGTAGATAAAACATAGAGCATTATTTATCATTTGCCATTAGGGAAGAGATCATTGAAAAGGTTGCGAGCTTGACATTCATTTTCAAAAATTTCATGGTACGAGATTTCTTCACCTTCGTATTCTCCAATAACAGTAACAGCAAATGGCTTTGCTATGATTTGACAATCACGACCTCTGCCAATAGTTTGGCTAAGATTACCATTCAAGGAGTAGACAAAGGCACAAGTAATATCAGGTTTAGGGTGGTTACCACCATTAGGATTGCATTCCAATTGATAGTAACTACCAGAAGCTTCTCTTGTAAGACCGATACCAAGTTTAGTTAAGGGAATGACAGACTTGGTCTGTGCCATAACAATTGGCATTAAACAGGCCGCTGCGAGAGATTAAAGAGTGATTGATGAGACCATTCTCCTTTGCTATAGATCAAGTCTTAAAAAAACAAGCTGAAATCTATCAAATACTGTGATATTTATAGTTCCTCTCTTTTTTTGATACATTCTTTTTTTCAAAGACGTATCTTAATATTTATGTTTTGCCCACCTCAAGAAATGTAGCTTTGCTTCTTTTGACTTCTTTCTGTTTCGTTTCTTTTATTTGCATACGCACCACTCCTCATGATACATCCTCTTTTTTAATGGTCGGCTTTCAAAATGAAAAAAAAAGAAATGCAGCCATTTGACAATAACTTTATGATTTTTTTCAGTAGCCTGAAATCTGATTGCTATCTGATGTCATATAAGGCTACCAGATGGATCACTTTGAGCTATAATTGAATTCATGTATTTTAGGATATTTTATTCTGACTCGGTTACGATAAAGTGTTTTCTTTTTCTCAATCGAAGAGCTAAAAAAAAACTCGCCTAATTATTGAAATCCATTGGATTTGGTACATCAACCAAAGAAAGGAATCAAAAAGTATCAGGCGTAGATTATATTGAGCAAGATGACAGCACTTTTATCAGATATAAACATAACTGCATTTACTTGATCAAATGAGACATAAAACTGCATCTACTAAAAGGAAAAGAGCAATCATATGAGCTCTTATAAAGCGGCTCCACTTACCTTTCGTGTTTCTGTATCTTGTTGTTTCCTGCCTTCTGACTGATTGCTTAGGATGTTGAAGTCTCTAGGAACAGTAGACACAGGTTTGAGATGTATCTTTATTTTAGTGCCAAAGTTGCCATCCTTATGCGCCTTGTAGCTTTGTCTCAGTTCTACTTACCATTGCATAGTAACAAAAGATGATAGTAATCAAACTTTGTGTTGAGACTTAGCTGCACTATAGTTTTCATAGTTTACTGTTGCAGAATAAGATCACAACTTCCCAAACCTAAGCAAGTCCAGAATATAAACGCAATGAAATATAGGTAATTTATAGTGACACAAGCATCGATGCATAAAATAAACACAATTGTGTGTTATAGAAGCCTTCTTCAGTTTTTCAAATAAGCCATAAAGAATAGTTTTCATCAGAAACTAAGTCTAAAAACACAAAGAAAAAGGGAAACTATGATGATAGCTTCAGTCAATAGATTTACAATTAAACAGCCAACAGGCCTGAATACTTTCAGTGCTCTTGCTCTATCATTACTCCCATCAAAAATAAAGGAAAGTTGACATATCATTCAGCTTCTCTTTGTTTCTATCAATGCAAGTAATTACATTATAGCTACTTGTAGCCTTATTTGTGCGTTCGCATAGTAGAGGCCTACGCTTTGTATACTTTGTGTCAAGATATTAACATGTTTAAAGCTGTCCCAGATTGTCTCAGACGGACTTTAAAATATTAATTTCAGATTTGTCTGAAGCATTTACAATCAGCTTTTGTTGTAGAAGTAGTTAAAAACAACCTTTTTCCGTCTTGTCTCATTAACAAGAGTTGTAGATCTTTGTATTGCGCGTATAATGACACTAAATATGTGCATACTGTGCCAGTAAAATAATGAGAGATATTGACAAAGAGTTTTTCGTGTTTTTCTATCATAACATGTCCTAAAGTCGCGAAATCTGCACGCAAAAAAAAAAATATTTAAACACCATTTGGTGCTACAAGGATCTAAAAAAGTGATATTGTCGGAGATTAAATAAATTAAAAAGGGATTTATTCAAAGAAAATGATACAAAATGACCATTTTTCCATACTACCCTTTTTTTTGCCCAAAACAACACTAAAATGTTATATATATTGACGCAAAGTATCTGTAGAGATTTGTACATCTTAATGTGCTAGGATAGGCTTTATTTTGCGTTCCTAGATTCGATAAAAAAATAGTTTTAAACCAGCATGATATACGTCTTTTTTCTTTTTTAACGACGAAACAATGCCTTTTCTTTCAAGAGATGATGCTCTATCCATGTTATTACGCGTTTATATGGTTTGTCTATGAATAAATGGCCTCAGCATTCGAATCGCTAAAAAAAAATACTTCAAAAAAAAGCTTAAATGGTTGTTTCTTAGCATTTTGACAGTTTACTACAATAGGAAATATTTTTAATCATCATTTAACTGATGAGCTCATTAGAATGGGGTTGATAAAGAACAATAAGAATGAACGTATCTGTAGTATCTCTTCACAAGTAACACACATATACACACACAGCTGACCTGTCTGTAAATTTTCCCCGCTGTCTTGAACTTTAATAAATTATTACTGTTTTGTTTCGCCTCTTATCTTTTCTTATTCTTATTTTATGAGTAATCAAGAAAGTAGTAACTTTAGCAATTTCTCGGAAAGTGAGACAAGCCCAAGCTTAAGCGACGCTAGTATAGGCTATAAGCGAAGAAGAACCAACGACACACAAGTTCAACCTACTGACTTTCTGAATCTCGACTATGACTTTTCGAACGTTATGAACCCTAACCAAGACTTTAGTCTTGACACAATACCTCAAGATTTTCTCATGTTTGTCAGTGATAGTAACGATACCACCGTCGGTGATTATCAGCCTTCCAGGCCATTGGATGCGCCTATACCACAAGTGACTTCTTTACCACTTCATCCTCAAGGATTTTCAACAGATTCATCACTGTTCGTGCCACCACAACCGCCGCAACCACCACCAACACAAACAAAAAAACCCATTGTGGATACTTATCGACAAGACGATGACCCACCGAACCAAGCAGTACATACCATTGTTGTAGGCGGTCGAGTCTTTCGTCTTAGTTGGGAGTCACTCAAGAGTGATGGACCCACCAACTTTTTTGTCGAGTATTTTAGAAGAAAAAAGACCAAAGTGATGCATATCGATAGAGATCCAGATAGTTTTGAATTGATTGTGCGTCATTTACGAGGCTATTATATTCAACCTACTGAAGACATTCAAAACCAATCTTTGCTTTATGATGCACAGTATTATGGTCTAAAGCGATTACAGAAAACACTCCAAGAATACTTGTTTTTAAATGTAGGCGGAAGAGTCTTTCGATTACCATGGGAACTATTCAAGAAAGGTAAACCTGCCAATGTTTCTTTTGAACAACACTGATAGTTTTTTTTTTAAAAAAAAAAGATGGCGCAAACAACTTTTTTACTGGTCCCTTAAAGCACTCTCTTCTTTCACCGCATACAGCCAACGATGGTACTGCACCACCGATTTACATTGATCGTGACCCTGATATCTTTGAGGACATTGTCAATCATCTTCGAGGCTATACGATTCATATTCGAGATGAAATGCATCGCAAAAACTTATTAAGAGATGCTCAATACTATGCACTTCGACAACTGAACGATAAACTTTTGACGGCTCAACAAACAGTAGCTGGATTTGGAGAAGGAGCGAATCCCGAAGTTTTGTTGCTTTTACAAGATATACGGGCAGTGAACGTATTGCCTCCCAAAGCCACTCAACCTTACCTGCTGAGTGAGATGCATCGACCTCAAGATTGGAGTCAGACACAGTTACAATACAAGCGATTTACGGATAGTCCAGTCCATGCCCTCTTGGTCCAAGTGGCTGACATGACCATCTATATTCACAAGACACAACACCTTCGACTCTTGTTTGACATGCATGAACTCGACATGCAAAAGATGAGGAGTATTGCCAAGACTATCAAGGCATCTTCAGTCAACCAAGAGATCTACCTAGACTCTTATTGTGCTATTACGATTGATGATCATCACCAAGTTCAGTCACTGCAGTACTGTTTAGACCATGACATGATAGAGACACGCTGGAAAGAGTGTACTCAATGTACTGATTGTCAAGTATCTCAATTCATGCTTCATAGAGCCATTTGTGGTATTCATCTCATTAATGGTATGGTGTCCTTAAATGCATTACGCCTTGAGGCTATTGGATCAAGGTTTAAATTAAATTTAAAGCGACAGTTTCTCAAATAGTAGTAAAATCTTATCTAGACTGATTTGATTGGTTGTGATAAGCATTTATGGATTCCTTTTAAAGGAAATACGTCCCAGTATCGACTAATCAGAGTGTTTTTTCTCACACAGTGTACAAGATGGTGTCTATATAAATAATGACTGATTTTCAGTTTCTTTTTTTTTTTCTTACGTTTTATTCAATATGCCTTTCCGTTGTAAATGTGGTAGAACCTTTGAAAAGACAGATACATTTGCATCCCATACTTCCTCTTGTGCTCCTTTCCATCATCGTCGTATGTCAGACACAACTCAATTGTCTACCAACAACTATCCAGCTTCACAACCACAGCGTCAATCATTGCCTTTTATCAACACATCTTCTTTTTCAAGAGGCTTCTTATCTTCTTCACCACAGAGTACAACATCTACTGAATCTCTTATGGAAGACACAAGTGATTTGTCAAGCTCTGCACCTAACACAAGCACTTTCTTTATGCCTACTGCGCTTTCACTTCAAAATGCATTTGAAGGTGCCAGAAGAAGATCCATGTCTTATGGTTCTTCACTTAAATAGAGAAAAAAAAATACCCTTTTCTCTCTCTCTCTCTTTTTATTTATTTATTAAGAAACCATAAAAAAATTTTTTTTCTTTACTCTTTCACACATATCCATACACTGCATTCTGTCTACCCTAAATATTTATATGTATATATATATATATAATAAAATAAAAAAAATTGATAGCTTAATTAAGTACCTGGTTAAACCAAAAACAGAAATAAGGTGTGATATCATACCACTTCATCTTTTATTTAGAAGACGTAAAAAGATACTATTTCGGATATAAAGCTATGTCAAACAAACAAAATGCGTTTTTGCATGAAATAGTTCATGTGACTTGATTTATGCATTGCCCTTTTGGTATTTTGTACAAGACATGTGAGATCTCTTTTGATTGGTTAAAACGGAGTATTTATTTCACTCAAGAATTTTTTTTTTGTTTCTATATTACATGACAGAAGAGAGTAACAAGAAAAGAAGAGTAGACTATACCTGTCATTATTGCGATAAGACTTATAGAAAACCAAGTAAGCTGACTGAACATGAAAGATCGCATACAGGAGAGGTAAGTAGACAAGGAATGAACTCATGATTCACATCAACAGAGACCATTTGTATGTACATTTCCAAGATGCGAAAAAGCCTATTTCAGATCTACTCATTTAAAAGTACATGAAAAGAGTCATTACAACATCAAGGACTTCCACTGTTCATTTGAAAATTGTGAAGCTTCTTTTTCTACTCGACAACACTTGCAACGCCATGAAAAGATTCATATCTCACCACTTATCAAAGTAAGACAAATCTAATAGGATCATAAACTCATTCAACAAGTGTGATTATCCAGGCTGTTCTGCTGAATTCACAAAGCGTTTTCAGTTACGTTGGCATAGAGCAAGTCATGAAAAAGGAGCCCATGTGTGTCCTGTCTGTTCAAGTGCGTTTGATTCATTACCTCAACTAGAAAAGCACAAAGATAGAATGCATGATAGTAAGTACCATCCATTTTCATCATATCACTCAACACAAAGAACAGATCCTGTTGTTTATCATTGTAGTACATGTCAAGATACATTCAATAAATGGTCTGAATTAAGAAAGCACTCACTAACTCAACATCCTGCTACATGTTCCATATGTCATAAAACCTATTCAAAACCAAGTACACTTAAACAACACTTTAGAGAGAAGCATACAGAACAAGAAAAAGTAACATGCGAATGGCCTGGTTGTGAATCTGTTCTTCAGACAGTAAGTAATAGAGAGAGAGAGAGAGAGAGAGAGAGAGAGAGAGAGAGAGAGAGGCATATACACTTATACCATGTTAGAAAAAGAGCTATAAGATGCATATAGCATTAGTCCATGAACAAGATACCCGATTCAAATGTGATCAATGCAATAAAGGGTTTCCTTATAAATCCATGTTAGAACGCCATAAAGGATCTCATACACCTGTAAGTCCACTACATGCTAACATCATTACTTAACCGTCTATAGAAATCACCAATTCCATTAAAAAAGAAAAAGAAATCCATAGCAGAACAGTTAACAGGATATCATCATTATACTCAAAAAGAAAGCTTAGCATGTCCCTTTTCAGACTGCCAATTCAAATTTACCAACAAATACCTACTTCAACGCCATTTAGAAGGCAAACATCATACAGAAGATGTCAAATCATTTGCACTTTTGCTTCCTATCGCTAATAAACCTGTTGCTTAACATCACTTTATTGTTGCATTACTTCTGCTGGATTTTGAATGACTACTAACAAATAGTCTTGATCTACATAGAGCATAAGCTATTAAAAAAATATATATATAGGATGTATACACGTACCTGGAGCCACCATCACTTCATGCTTCTTGGTTCTGATACGTAAGAAAGTCAACTCATTCTACATTCATAAATAAGCAACATGTAACATATGTTGATTTCACTTACTTGGTCATCCAAAGTAGCCACCATAGTACGTGTCTGTTGAACAAGACCAGCAATGAGATGACCATATTGTTTACTTAGTTCTCTGTCCAAAGTAGATCGAATCGTTTGTCCTTCATTATTGATGATAACAACTGCCTTAACACCTTTCTTTGCAGAAATGCGCTTTAAAGTATCATCTACGTCTACTGTCTACACTTGTCAGTGTTTATTCTGTCCTTCTTGACTTTACCATGATGATGATGAGGAGGAGGAGGAGGAGGAGGAGGAGAAGGGTATAAAAGAAAAATAAACAAAAATAAAACGCCCATTTTATATATACATATATATATAGCTATGGGCATTGCAGAGCTATGGAAAGTCATTAGTCCAAGTGAGCAAAAATACACACTCGAGCAACTAGCAGAAAGCACACTTAAGAAGAACAAAAAGAGTCTTCGTGTTGCTATCGATGTTGCCTTATGGATATTTCAATCACGTTCAAGTGTTGTTGGCGAGTAAGTAGATACCTAACGAATATATACTTATTGCTTTTATAGTGCTAGTGAATTACGATCCTTATTTTTTAGATTCATCCGTCTTTATGAACTCGGCATTCGCCCTGTCTTTGTGTTTGATGGATCCCATCGCCCTGGCTATAAACGCAATAAGTTCATCAACACAACACCCATTGATAATGAGTTTAGGAGACAGTTGATTCAGTTAATTCAGCTTTTTCAATTCAGTCAATGGCATGCCTATGGTGAAGCAGAAGCGGAATGTGCTATGCTTCAACGACTTGGGTTTGTGGATCTGGTATTCACAGGGGACAACGATGTGTTCCTGTTTGGTGCTCAACGTGTGGTACGACAATGGCCAAGTAAACGAAACGAAGCCGTGAGTTGTTATGACATGCGATGGGTATCAGACACAGTAGGGCTAGATCGCTCTGATTTGATCTTGATGGCTCTGTTGCGTGGCTCTGATTATGATACCAAAGGCACTAAGGGCATTGGTATTCAGGTCGCTACTCAGCTAGCCAAATGTCGGTTCCATCGAGGCTTGATGGACGATATCCAGTTGACAGGCAGACATGTCTCCTTGGATGAGGAGCGTGTACAACACCTGTATGATGATCTAACGTATGAACTACAGCATAACAACACAAAGAACCTGACCAAAAGACATACAGGTATTGTTCTGGACCCTACGTTTCCTGATTTCTCTATTGTCACTGACTTTATTCATCCATTGACCAACATATGTCGGCCTGAATCCAAGCTAAAAGCACAACGACTGGCCTCTTGTTTAGACCATCATCAAGAACCCAATTGGACTGAACTTGCTCACTTTATTCAACATACATTCAAATGGCCAGCAGAGTATGTATTGAAGCGATTTTCTTCTTTGTTGTTTCCTGCTTTTATGAAGAACAAGATTAGTCAACAGTACCATGAACGGTATCGACCTACACCCAGAGTACAACCTACAACACAACCGAGATTAGAGGACTATTATCGACCTACATCTCGTTTGTTTCGAGATAGACAGCCTAGGATCGTCCACATCACGCACAAGAAACAAGCCCTGTGTCGAGTAGAATGGCATAAATCATGCTGGGAACAATTCTTAAGCCTACTCAAGCCAAAATTAGACTATGAACTCTATCAACAAGAAACAGACGTACTGGATCAAGAAGTCATGGATTACAAGCAAGAAATGCAAGCCAATGATATTTTTGATGCCATTAAAAGACAATGGATAGCTGTAGACCATATTCAAGCCCTATACTCTCACTTACAGACAAATGCACTTTTTATTCCCAAAAGAAAAAAAATAAATTATTGATAGAGTACACCAAACTTTCGTTGAAACTTGACTAATTCTCGATCAACGCGTTCAAGGATATCTAAACACGTCTCTTCTCTTTGCTTTGTAGCCTGAGTAGAGGCAATAAAAGGTATAGGTGTGATTGGACTACTGCTGTTGCTACTACTGCTGCTATCTTCTGTTGTAACAAAATCATCTAACAAAGGTACAGTAGATGCACTACTGAGTGAAGAACAGGTAGATAGTGATCTTGGCCTTGTAAAATACTCTTCTGTATGTCTCTTTGATAGACACTCTTCTTCTGACCTCAGTTTAGTGATACATTCCATGATTTGCTTGGCACGCTTATTCATGTCTGAAAATGACATTTTTGTATGAGGATATTTCACTCGAGCAGGAGGTGAGCTTTCTCTTGCAGGCCTTCCATCTGTATAATCCCAATAAGGCTCATCTAGTTTTATGACAGGCGATTTTGCTGGTTCTGTCTTTGTACGTCGTTTGATATCCTCTTGCCTCAGTTGTTCTTCTGTGGGTTGTGGAGAAGGTGTCTTTTTACGCTTCTTGATGGATTTTGAATCGGAGTTGGATACAGACGGAGATGAATCAGGAAGAGCAGCATGATACAGTCTTTTAGACCTATTTCTGTTATAAACATCGTTGTATTCAACCTACTTACTTTCCGTTCGATGTCTTGACTACTTGGTGATTCTCTGGTTGACATTGATCACAGTAATAATGGTCTGGTAACTTGTCTTGTAAAAGACCGATACATTCACAGTGTTGCCATACTTCACATTGATCGCATTGGACCATTAATCCAAGATTATCTATAGTAATAATGACGCTATTATTAAATTTACTTTGGTGCACACACACACACACACACACACACAGACACACGCACACACACACAGACACACACACACACACAGACACACACACACACACACACAAAATCACTAGAGAACGTACGTGATTCACCACAAATACACCTTGTTACTGAGCCTACATCAGAACTATCTTGATCAGAACTATCTTCTGTCAACTGTCTATTGGGTTTCTTTATTTGTTGTTGTTGTTGTTGTTTACGAGTTCTGCGTGTGGATGCTATCCTATCATTAGATAAAATACAGTTGTAAAATACAATACTTTACTCATCATAAGAAAAGAAAAAAAGAAGAAAAAGGGTATATAGATATGTATATAGAATGAGTGGTTTTACAGCATAAAAAAACAAGAGAACAAAGAAGAAAAAGAAAAGAGAAAACGGGTGAGAAAACCGAAATGAGGACATGAATTGAAGGTCAGCATCATTTATATTTATTTTGGTACAAAATCAAGTTTGACATGAATCTCGCCTGTTCCTCTAGGCTCTAAAGACAGCCAATCATCAAATGATGCAACCGTATTTGGACGAATCAGAGTGGATAAAGAGCCTGTCCAACTGCCTAGATCACTTGAACTAAATGTGTGTGCATCTTTTAGTTTGATACCCAACATCAGATCATGTTGTTGATGGATTGTATAGACTATGCTTTCATTCCTATTGCGTCTATATTAATCTATCGTTTTGGTATATCCATATATTTTACCATGTTGGAAATGTTGTCTTTTTGATCTTTTTGGTCTTGAGTAGCTGATGTCCTCCAAGAGATACAATGGCTTGAGGATTCATTTTTTCGGCATGTTCCCCCGTCAATTGTCTCGCTTGTATGATATGAACATGAAGTGTACCATCAAACACGCTGTTCTCTTCAACAGAAGCTAATTTATTTTCTACAGCTGACAAAGAAGAGTTTGACTGGACTAGATTTGATAGACTGGAGGAGGTGGATGTGTTCTTGGGTGGTTCAGCAAAATTAAAGGCTGTTGTACCCATCTTGGTTGTCACTCGGCGTGTAGTGCCCATAAAGGTCTTTTGTGTCTTTCTGCGCAACAACAGTTGTGGTTCCCATTTAAGTCGGACCCTTACTGTGCCTGTATCGCCTGCCTGACCATCCAAGGGAATATCAATATCATGAGCACAAAAGCTTTCTACCATATCACCACGAATAGTGATACCTCCCGAACCTAGTCTATGTGAGTCTTTGTTGTTGCTGCACTGATTTACCTAATGGAACATCGCCTGCAATTTGATTCCAATCAAACACCTCAATACGAAAACTGGCTGTGACACGAGATACCTAATAGGGTGAGTTTGGTCTTTGTTTTTTTGATTCCTTGATCTACTTTACAATAGGCACTTGCATCGTTTCATCTTTCCAGACAGGGTTACATGTCTTTTTGATCACCGAACTCTTGTGAACAACATCTCCGTCAATAATGAATTTCACATAAGGATCACTAGTGCCTGATTTATCTGCAGCCCTTAAGCCTTTCGCATGCAACAAACTGACGGTCAATATGCCTTGATTTTCGAGACTTTCATTGGGATCAATCGTGAAACTCAATAAGGGCGAATAGCCAAAACTAAGACGAATCTGTGCTTCTCCTCCTACAGGTTGTAATAAGTTGTACCATTCACCTTCATCATCATCTGAAAATCGACACATCTCACTCAGGTCCACCAAAGCACCCTGTATGTGTTTCTGTCTTGCACGTCGTTGTATCTGTCGAATGATCCGTTCCGTACTTTCATACCAATACGCTACTTTGTGATCGTCTTTTTCTGTTGTATCTGCAGGTTTGAGTTCAATGGCCACACGAGAGAAGCCTGCGTCTTTGACAAAGGCATCTGTGGTTGAATTGAAAGCCAAGGTGCGTCCTTTGAGTGTTTCTGTCTTGTGCTGTGCAGTCAGTGAGTCAACCATGGTACGACAGTAGCATTCATAGACAATATTAGCCTTCACTTCATGGACCTTGACGGTCAATACACCACTACCATACGAATAAAGATCAATGAGATCATCAGGCGTATAGCGAATAGGCAATCCATGTAAATCCACCAGTGGCAATGGTTCTTTGGTCTGCTCTTCATCTTCATCTTCTTCCTCTGTTGATTTTTCAGGTAAGGCCATAGTAGGATAGAACTCAGCTGTATAAATCAAGAATCCCTTTTGTGTATTTCCATGATGAAGAGGTACTTGTCGATCCAATTTCTCTTGAATGGCTTCATACCATACTGTATTTCCTGTCTTGTTTTCTCGAATCACATTGTTCATCTCAAGCACAGTTGATCCAATCAGCTTATCCTTTGAATTGGCACTCCATTGCATGACTTCCAACACAAGACTTTCATGTATGGAATGAATAGGCACATAATGATGCTCACCCCATTCAGGATTGGTGGTATTGTCAATGATTTCTGTTTTGGCGCGTGTCTGATTTCCTGACTTGATACGCACAAACGTATCCAGCGACTTGGTTGTTATGTCTTCTGCAGACCAGATAGAGAACCGAATTACACCTACAGGAGGCTTATAGATACCCACACCGCCCATGCTGGCCAGCCCCGACATGACCACTGGTTTCCATTGCACACTAAACCTCAAGCGAGCCTGGATCTCTTGGCCACGCTTTCTAAGGTTCCACCAATACTCTCGGTCTTCTTGGTCTCGCATGATATCGACCAAAGAAGCATCCCATGAACCCAACGACGTATTTTCAGCAAAATCAATACTGTCAATCACACTGACACGAATAAACACTTCTGTCTTGTCAAGCACAAGGATTTCATACGAACGTTCAAACTTGGGGTTAGACGTACGTTTAAAAGTAGGTGTCTTGAAACGATCCACACCATTGATCTTGATTGTAGCATAAGGGTTGACTTTATTGGTTCCCAAATATTTGCATTCATGAATCGTGACACGAACAATACCCGAGTCTAAAGAAAATTAGAATCCAGAATCAGAAAAATCAATAGGCTTACTGGAAGATTCTGCTTCAGTAAAAGTACCGTCTTCATGCTGAATAGGTTTGGAAACAGGAAAGTAACGCATGTCTACTTTGAGGTTTGAAATCTGCTTACCGTGTCTCAACATGGGTAGCGTTCTAATGAAAAAGAGGTTAGCATGGTAAACTATAGAGAATGACTTACAAATTATCCAGTTCGTTGTCTTGTTTATGTTTGATGTCTTTCAAATCGAATTGAGCAATAGCAAGTTTTTTACCTGCTTTTTTGGTATTGTTGGTGGTTCTTAATTCCATATTCAGTATGGACTCCAGGTTGTTAAGCAACAAAAACTTGGTTTCGTTCCAATGTGGTGTCATGGTGTTTTCGCAGATCGATGTCTTTTCTAATTCTTGTGCTGCATCCAGATAGAAACGAATAAAAGGATTCAATTGAGCATCGGATGATTTGATCTTGGTACTTGAATGAATTGTTACTGCTAAAACGCCATTGGCTCGATCTAATACATACGATTAAAGATATATTGACTATGCGTCAACTTACTGATATCCAATTCACCCGAAAAGAACTTTTCGATATCAAACGAGAATACATTGGGATAATACAACATAGGTCCTAAAATAGCATGCGCTTGATCACGAACAAAGCCTTGAAGACCAGGAATCTAGGGCTATTAGTCTCAATCTGTTGGCACCGACTTACATTATTCACATCAAACCCAAATGTCTCTCCACCCAAAGGTTTTAATACATAATCAAACGTAGGCTTTTCCATAAAACAGGCACTGGCAATTTTGATATGCGGCATTTTACTGATAAATTGGAGTTTGATTCGAATTCGGCCCGAGAAACTCATATCTTCCACAAGCACGGGAAATGCAGTCCCCATCAATCCTTTACCAAGACGAATGTTGAGTACTACTTTGGGGTTGACTTTTTTATCGATTTGTTCCCTTGTCATGCCAAATGTGTCGTTGGGTACAAAAGAAACAGACCAGTCCATACACTAGATTTTTTTTTTTTAAAAAAAAGAAGTTAATATAGAGAGCTTCTTGTAAAAAGAGAAAAAATTTACCACCGTGTCTCTTTCTGTATCTGGAAAGCATTTGACATGTTCTACACAAAACGATTTCGAACCCAATGTGAATGTAGTCAGTCGCACAGAATCCAGAAACCCAGGCAAATAATCCACAAGATAGGTATCAATGTTCTCAATCACATAGGCACTCAAGACAGGTTCAAAAATAAGCCAGAATTTTTGAATGAACGTATTTAGCCATGTCACATTCTCAAATTCACAAGAAGCCAGATCCAATTGAGCAAATTCTCGCTTGATATCATCTTTGGTGCATGTCTTGAACCTATCTGAGCTTAGCCTGTAATAAGAACCTAATCCTATGTATTTAATTACATAATTTTTTAAGAATGCTTCATTTTACCTACAAAAAACAGACAAAAGATAAATATGCCTGTACCAGCGCCAAGTTGAACAATCAACCAAAACCCAATACCAATGACAAAAATAATTCCAAAGTCTTGCCAATGTCCACCATACGGTGGACTTGTCAAAACATGAAATGCGCGCTCGGTTTCCGTTTTTCCCTTGTTTTTCTCAATCGCCAAAATATTCAAGGACCCACCAGGATTGAGGGCATTTGAAAAAGCGGTCCAGCCAATCCGGGAAGTGTCAGGCAATGGCTTACTGACACGGTAACCGCCAATGGTATGAACAACAGGTTGTTTTCGTTTAATGTACGATGCTGTTCGTTTCATAGGCTGAACGTCTGCCTCAAGTGGTTTTTTTTGTGCAGCTTCAATAGCTTGTTTGATCTTGTCTGCATCGCTTGAACCGATTTCAGTTGCAAAACCCTCTTGGTGACGACCGAGACTACGAAAGTCAGGTACTTTGCCTTCCGGAATAAAAGTCTCACCAGTATCTGAACTGACAGGCTCAAGTGGTTTTTCTATCTCTTCATTGGGTTTCATTGTTTAATAATAAAAAAACAAAAAGAAAATAGGTGCCTTTTTATACTAGTGTTCATGCACCGTTTCGCCCTTTTATCCTAAGATTCTCCGCTTCATTACACAAGGGACAGAATTTTAGCAGTCCTAACCACATTATAAAACACCTAGCTATAAGATAGAACATTTTGACACAAAGTATACAAAGCGTAGGCCTCTACTATGCGAACGCACAAATAAGGCTACAAGTAGCTATAATGTAATTACTTGCATTGATAGAAACAAAGAGAAGCTGAATGATATGTCAACTTTCCTTTATTTTCGATGGGAGTAATGATAGAGCAAGAGCACTGAAAGTATTCAGGCCTGTTGGCTGTTTAATTGTAAATCTATTGACTGAAGCTATCATCATAGTTTCCCTTTTTCTTTGTGTTTTTAGACTTAGTTTCTGATGAAAACTATTCTTTATGGCTTATTTGAAAAACTGAAGAAGGCTTCTATAACACACAATTGTGTTTATTTTATGCATCGATGCTTGTGTCACTATAAATTACCTATATTTCATTGCGTTTATATTCTGGACTTGCTTAGGTTTGGGAAGTTGTGATCTTATTCTGCAACAGTAAACTATGAAAACTATAGTGCAGCTAAGTCTCAACACAAAGTTTGATTACTATCATCTTTTGTTATTATGCAATGATAAGTAGAACTGAGACAAAGCTACAAGGCGCATAAGGATGGCAACTTTGGCACTAAAATAAAGATACATCTCAAACCTGTGTCTACTGTTTCTAGAGACTTCAACGTCCTAAGCAATCAGTCAGAAGGCAGGAAACAACAAGATACCTTTAATTTTTTATAATCCTGAATGTCCCTCAGTCAAGAATGGTCGTAGTATAAGTGAAAGAGATAAGGTATCTAGCTTTAGCCATTGCGATCTCAGGCATAACCACTTTGCTCTTTCATGAAAATCTTCCTGCTTTCTCCTTAAACGTCAGTCGCTCCAATGTTGAAATAAATCTGAAAACGGCAGCCTTCTGTACAAGAAGCGGTGTATCGGTCAAGAGTCTAGTATCTCTGTAGCGGATTAAGTATTTCATTTAAAGTTTCCGTTACACAAGGATGACATACTGGATAAAATGAACTGAATTAGTGCCTTCTCTGCCAACATCATGATGCCTAGAATAAACGGATATCTATAGGCAAATAGGACTCACAGTGTATATAGACATAATCATAAGCAAGATGGTCTCAATGACAACTTCTCTCTGTTTATTTCGACTTGACAACCTGATATTATACCACGTCTTTTTTTTATGTGATTGTATACGTTATTTTCTATATGTCAAAGAATTGTTGATGCTATGTATTCACTCATTGTTGCTGAAAGAACAAGTGCCTTTTCTTTCATGCTCGGCTAATTCGTATTTCCATCAAGAGACTTGGTGGCTTGTTGTGATTTTTATTTCGAAATGCATAAAGTTTTTTTTCTTTTGTTTTGTTTTTATTATTATCATGTCTTCTTCTTTGATTGCTAACCAGATAGAACAAAGTAAGATATATGATCTTATATGTATTCAGTAATTAATAAGACAACAGCACTTGCTGAAAAAGAACACTTGGCCGAAGAAATATTCATCAATAAACAAGCTGCAAGTAGAGTTTTGTATTTCATTCAAATGACTCACGCGTATATAGGTCATTGATTATGACAGAAAGAGAAATAGCAACCGAGAGGCTTTATCGCAAATAAAAAAGACACAAGGTAGCATAGAAAAAAAAGAATTGGATGAAGCTTATGTGATTTATAGACGAAAAACTATGGACATTTTTTGGTGACATGTTTATCAAATTACCAACAGAGAATGTCAAGACATTAATTCAAAAAGGTGAAATAAATACACTAAGAGGAGATGTACTCATCTTGGCTTAGATCAAGTATTATTGGATGAAAAGATTGACACAGCAAGAGATATCATGAAGCAAAATACATTGGCTATTCAAAGAATTGAAGGCAAAAAAGAAGTACATGGCTTCAATCTAAAAGGAATGACAGCCACAGATTTATACAATAATAAAGTGTAATAATTAGGTAAAGATAATTAAAGGCGTGACAGTATCAATCAAAGTGCCCTGGAGTAAGTTTTCATCCTTAAGATAGTCTTTTGGAAACACCACCAAGTGTCCTTGAATCTCATTCAACTGATCCACAATTTTTTTTTCTGACCAATTTGGATCTGCAACATGGTTTGATTTGACAAGGGCAGGATCAGGTATAAATTTACGGTGTTGTTCATAAGTATGGATTGTATCGTCAGGCACACAGTGAAATAGTTTGCGATAGATACGGGTATTAGTCGTGGCTCGTTTTAGCCAGATATGATGGTAAAATCGATCCGAAAGAGGATCTAAAGCAGCTGCATCTTCTCGTTTGGTATGACGGTGCTTGTGAAACGTGTCATAGAAACTAAATGTACGACTGGCTTTGTCAAGCATCTTGACAGGCTCATCAGCTTCAATGGACTTGATGTCTTGAGCATTGTTAGTGGATCGAGTCAGACTGGGATAAGCATGTTTAGGTTGAGGCATGTTTAGATGGTCAGAACGAGGCTGATGTTCCTCCTCTTGTAACAATTGAGACCAGTCTTCAAAGTTCAACAGACCCAAATGTTCTTTCCATAATTGCATTCTGAGTGTATGAGCAAACTTGGATGCTTGAAACTAGAGTTCATTTGATGTGAGTTTTATGTAGCGCATAATGTTTGTTTTCTGATTACCTCTTCACCGTTCATATAGGACGGCACCATTTCTGTATCTTCCACCAGCATGGCTATTTCAGAATCACGATTACCAAGCTGAGATCTGTCATTGATATTGGCTGAACCCATCAACACAATACGATCATCCACAATCATCAGTTTATCATGAATATAGAGTAATTCACTAACATAATCATAACGATCATCGTCTACTTCAGGCTGGTGTGTGCTTTGTGAAGATCCTCTTTTACCTTCATTGAATGGGTTCTTTAACGAATGTGCATTAGACTGGTTAGTCTGTAATCGAGAAAGTTGAGGTTGATCATCAAATGGGTTCTTGGTTGAGATGTCATCACCAAATACAGTACCACTATCATTATTGGATGTTGTGTGGAATTTAGGAACTTTGATTTTACCGTAATTACGTAGACTAAACCATGAAATATAATCGTCTGCATTAATACCGCATTCTTTTAGCTTTTCAACAATTGAGTGACCTCCTCGAGAAATGGTGATGTATTGAAAGTGCATTACATTTCTATGATACATGGTTTAGCTTTTTTTTTTTTAGTGATATGTGTAATTTACCTTGCTGAAGATGCCTCACTGGACGTCAAATCACCTTCAAAAGCAGGAATTAAAGGTATCAGGACAAACACTCTGAATTTCTCCTTGTTTTTATGAGCTCGTTTGATTCTTTCTACAAGTGCTTCTGCAATTCTATTACGTAATATTTTATCATCTTGTGTTGCACTGACTAATTAAGACAAGTTAACAATGCTTATTTTAGAAAGAGACTTACTGAAGAATTGGTTTTCAAAGTAAATGTAGTGCTTTGAATGAGCAATGCATTCCATATAGGCATTATAGATGGAGTGCTATAGTATGTTTAGATCACATGACCCATTTTTGTTTGACTTACTTCTCTTTCAATATCTGAACTCCATCGAGCAGAGCTTCTCAATAACTGCACTCGACATGTACCTGTAAAATTGGATTCATCCCGTGCAGCCACATATTCACCTTTAGGCATCAACAGTGGTACATTGCGCCGATGCATACTCTTTTTTGACTTGATGAAATTCCATCGTTGAATAAAATGACGAGCAATATCACGGGCAATGGGACCCACCTAAGAAAAGCAGTCAATAAATACATTCAAGTGGTCTATCTACTTTACCACACCCAAAGTAACATCATGCCATGGCATACGAGGAACTTCTTTTCTATCGACTAACGTCTTGGCATGTTGCACAACTATATGAGTTAAGTATATCATTTCTACACTTTGCCTCTATGTACCATCAATGAAATCTTTTACTCGAGGATTAGAATAATCTTGACCGGGAAATACTTCACGATCATGTGTATCAGCAGGAAAATCAGATAAAGAATGGCTATGTGTATCATATCGACTAGAAAAGAAATGCTATCAGACTCAGGGCAAAATCTTTTTTTTTACCCAAAACATAAATCTAAACCGCCTATAAATGCCAATCGATTATCAACCACTACAATTTTCTATATAGGCAACAATAGGTTAAATGTTATGTGATGTTATGTGGATTGTTTACTTCATGATGGGACCAGAACAGGACAGTATTATCGTTGGATAGTTTATGATCAGGATGGCGTTGCACTAATATATAGGATGAGATATAGACTTATGAAAAATAATAGCTTACCAATAATATTAGGATGTAAATTTTGTAGCCATTGTTTTGTATGTACAGAGTTAATGGTCAAAGCTAAAGACATATCTTTATACACAATGATATACACTTTGACGCCTTCTTTTGCTTTACGATGTAAAAGACGATCCAATCTAAAATCTTCGTTCTCTTCTGGCGGTCTTCTTAAATACTATCATTATCATCAGTATCTTCCCATGCAAAAGATACTCGCTTACAATTTCAGGTGATAACCACCAATCTGCAATATAAATTTCTGATTTAGCAGACAAAATGGCTTCTGCAACTGCATTAAAATGATCTAACAAAGACCCAGATCAACTCATGCTCCACACGTATACAGTTATGTCTACCTACTTTCGCCATCCACAAACCATTTGACTTTGGCATTATTTCTCACTGGAGCAAATGAACCAAAACGGTGGTTTCGTACCCAAGGACTCTGTCGACGTACTTTTTCAATACTCTCAATCCACTGATCAATTTCTCGTTTAGTGCCTTTGATTTCAATCTTTCTTGATTCGTTACTAAGCGTAATATGATAGCTCCCTAAATACACTCGAGGTTCCTGCATTCGAATCTTGAGTGAATTATCAAACAACATCACATCCGTAGGTGTCTGAGAGGATGTATCTTTACAGAATGCCATATAAGAGTCTCTCAAGATGATCCATTCTGTCTTCCATCGCTGTGTTTTCCAAAGAGAACAACAGCGAGGCGAGACATAATTGATACGGTTGCGCAAATAGCCTTCTTTACCTTTCCATCCCATATCCTGCACAATACTAATGGCCGATAGTTCCAGAAACTCACAAATATCTGAACTTACTGTCATATGAGCACGCAAAAGAAGTTTGCGCAAGTATTGTGTGAGTTCAATGCGTCGATGAAGAGCCGCTTTGTTTTTGATGTTGGACACTTGTTCCTGAGTGAGGTTTGGATCTTCTTCTTCTTCTTTAAGGTGAAGACCAATGGTTGATTTGGCTGTATCAAGCAAGTTGGATAGCTGGTTTGGGAAATTGGGTGGATCAGGCATATAATCATAAATATTGGATTTGACCTTAAGTTTGATATGTAGTGACATGAAATCAGCAATGCCTCGACGAATAACCCATTTAACATCACCATATTGTAGTTCTACTCGAAATACCCATTGGTTTCCACCATGAATATCTTCTGAATCAGTAACATTGACCTACAATATAAAAAGACTTTTGAGTTTTTATAGAAGTTTTGGGATAGTCGAACTTAATTACATAAATGCATTGTAGCAAGATGGGTGGCTAAAGTCAGTTAGAATATATATATATAATGTTGATGTTACACTAGTACCAATTTTTTTCCATGTTCGTCTTTTGTAAAGGCCGCAAAAATGGGATCAAAAGCAGGCGGGTAATAAGTAGCTAATGTATGAGAAGGACCATCAATCAGTGGAGCATGTCCAGCAGTAGGATGTGAGGGCTGCAGGTTGGCTATCACTTTAAGTCGATCCAGCGTACGGTCCCATCGATCCTTAATAATAAACCGACTTTCTTCTTGTTCGAGATCAGGCACGCCTGTCTCTTGCAGATGTCGACGAGTATGCATCGCAGGTGTCTTGGCAGGTGAGGGTACTTGTAACTCAGGTACCTGTTGCTTTTGTTCAGACTGAAAAGGATGTTTAAAATAGTTGTTTTCTTCGAGCAGATCATTGAGCGGATCAATCTGATCGTTTGCCAAATCATACGCTGAAGGCAGTTTTTCTTCTTCCAGTCGTGGCATACGAATAGTCATCGTAGGATCTATCTGTTCATGCTGTGAATTCTGGCGAAGTGAACTGGATCGCATTTTCGTATGGCTGGTACGCATCAATTCAAATGTGTCTCGGTCGTCTTCATCGTCTGATAACTGCTGCTTTTGTTGTTTGGTATCTAAAGGATTAAGGAACGAAATACGATTAAAGACACGCTGCCACTGAGAACGCCTGTCAAAATTGTCAGTGTGTTGAAACGTGTTTCTTGGGGAAGAAGTATTCGAACTATAAAAAGAGGCTTCATCCTGATAAGGATCTTGTTGCTTGTAGCGAGCAAAATATTCAGCTGTATCAGCTATTGGATTCGACATAAAAAGAGAAAGAGAAGGGAGAAAAGAGAGATAAAAAAAAAGGTACCAGACACGAGATTATATATGAATTTATTTGACTACAATTGTTAATTTAGAAAAAAAAAGCCTAAAATAGACTATGGCTTGGTGTTGTTGCAGACCAAGGATTTTGTTGAGGTTGAACATTTGAGCTCAAGTAAGAAGGTGCGTTCATTTGAGAGAATGGATTTGAGGTTGGTTGTTGTTGTTGTTGTTGTGGGAACAATGACATTGTATTATTTGAAGGAAAGCCTAAATTGAATGAAATTAGTTTGTAAATTGCAACGTTACACATACCTGAAGAAGGTGCTGATGCGGAGAGATTGAATGGGTTAGTAAACACTTGCTGTTGAGGGAAACCTGATTGGAATGGTTGCTGTGTTTGAAATGATTGCTGTACCTGAAATGGTTGCTGTACCTGAAATGGTTGTATTGATTGGAAAGGCTGTTGTTGTGTCTGAAAAGGCTGTTGTTGTTGTGTCTGAAAAGGCTGTTGTTGTTGTGGTGATTGAAAGGGTTGTAACTGCAAAGATGGTTGTTGTGGCTGTGCAAAGGGATTATGGGCATTGACAGTCGTGTTTGAAGCAGAAATAGCAGTATCCATTGAGAAGCTATTATTGTTGTTATTAGTTAAACCAGGTACAGAATTAGATCGAGTTGCTTGCTGTAACAACTGGCTTTGACCAGCAAAAGCCATATTCTTTGCTTCATTCAAAATAGTCAAGGCAATATCTACATTTCCTCCTGCACGACGAAGAGCATCCAAATTACTGTTTCTATCCAAAAATCCCAATTTAAGTAATTGGTCCAATTTTTGCTCCTCTGACATGAATTGAACAGGTTGTTGTTGAGGAACAGATGGCGGTGTCATTCTAGTCAAGAGATCAAGACTACCTTGTGTTTGAGTCAAGAATGGATGGTTGTCTTCTTTCAATCCCATATCACCCAATTGCTGTAACTTGGCAATATTGTTTTGGTTCATGACAGGCACAGATGAAGATCGCTTAGGGAGGGTCTGTAGGCGATTGACAGCAGGACTTGCTTTAGGAGTGGAAGGTGACTGAACCTTTTTTTTTAGTTAAAGTATATATCAACACAGATAAATTTACCATAGACTGTCTGGTAGGGTCAATCATAAAAGCACGCTTTTCCCATTTTGCTCGGATGTATCTTTCAAGAGCACTAAACAAATAGGAAATTAGTATTTCCGTCTTTTCAACATAGTTCTCACTCACTGCTCATCATCATTTGTAATAGGAAGAGGATGATTACCAGGGTTAGGGTTCACTTTGCTGTTCACTACAGTATTTCCTCCTGAGTTACGCATCACCTATAAAGGAGAAGGAATGAGCATCATTACTGCTTTTGAACAAGTCTGGAGTTTATTTTCATTACCTCAATTTGCTCTATACTCCATTGGTCCATTGTAATTGACTTGACTTTGGAGATATGTGTACCCATTTTTCGATGAATACCTGCACAACGAATACAGAGAAATGCACCAAGTGAATAAGAAGCCCAACGGGGATCTAGTATATAAAAAAAAGATGTAAGTAGGTCATCTCGAAGATGAAGCTTACTTTTTGCACCACAGTCAGCACAATGTTCATTTTCAGGCTTTTTGGCAAGTTCATTTAATATGCGTTCATGTCTTTCCTGTACTGCTTTTGATTGTCTTTCACTCATGATAAATGTAAATTAAAAAAGAAAAGAGACTCTTGTGTTTTCTCGAGAATTTTACCCCGCTTCAATCGCAAGTTGAAATAAATACGCGCGTGTGACTCTTGTTTATTTAAAAGGTGCTTCATCATGAACACAGTTCTCATAAACTTCATTGACTGAAGCTTTTGCTTTCTCTAACCCACAGTGAAGTTCAGTTGATCTAACAGCATCGTTCCAAATACATTCCTTCTTTTTTCTTTCGGGTGTCATATCAGCACATTGGCCTAACAAGAAGTGAGTTTGTTGACAGAGACTATGTTGGCTTACCTAATGCACTTGCTCTTATTTCTCCACATGCAACTAAATGACAAATACTCTTGAAATTGCCTTTTCTTAGTGAGTCGAAAGCATGTGTCAATTCATGTACCAGTGTGTCTTCTAAATCATCCCTGGAACGAATATAATCACAGCATAAAACGACTCTATACAGTGTTCGTCATGAAGCTGTCAATGCAATGTCTCTTACCTTTTATACCTTGCATCATAATACCCCATACGAGACTATCGAAACCATAAGATTCAAGTGTATTTTGGGTTGTCCCTAATTACCTCTTGATTTGTGCCTAAACAAGGTCTGCAAGTAATGCCTCTTCTTAGTGCATCCTTGTTGAGTGCCTGAATACCTTTTAATAAGACAGCTACTTTGGAAGAGCTCTTTAATATACGATCGAGTTCTGCAACACACTTTTCTTCAGAATAACTATCAAAAGAGTCAACAAAGAGACATAAAACTATTGACTTGACTGATTTACGGTGGCAATGGAGGAGGTTCATACAACCTCATTCTTATTGAATGAAGAAATAAAAAAAATAAGAAAATTTCCAAGTCTTTTTTTTGGCTTTGTTGAATATTGGCCTACTATCTTTTTTTAGGCCTAATGCCTATTGCCTTGGACTCTAACTCTGTATGAAATGCCTCTCTATTACTATTTCAAGACAATTGTCCTATATCTAACCGTTGTATAGCACACTGACAAGGCTTATCTACACGGAAATGATTCAGCTTATTTTAAATAACATATATTAAGGTATGTCAAGGTCTTTATGTAGCAGACAGCAATGACTTTCCATAAGAATAAAAAAAATTATGCAGATAAAGTTGATGTACATATTCATTTACAAGTGAATCTAAAAGTAAAAAAGAAAAAGGGAAATTTAACCCCAAACATCACACAAGTAACGCTTTTCATCTGTCAACTTGTCAATGAACTTATCAGCTTCTTCATCATCCGCCGCAATACCAAAGGAAATAGCCATGTTGCAGAAAGCACGGCAAACATCACGACTCATAGCACCACTACCACAGATATAGACAGCGGCAGGCTTCACATTAGGATCAGAAGGATAAATCAAGTTCCAGATACTTCCAGCTTGAGCAATAAGAGCATGTTGAACATATCGGATAGGTGATTGTTCCTTGTTTCTAGAGAAGGCAACATGAAGATAAGTGAGGACCTTTTCAGCAGCATATTGCTCAAGTTCGTCTTGATAGATGTAATCTTCATCTTTGTTACGACAACCAAAGAACAAGACAGTCTCGCCGACATTTTCACCAGCGTCAATTTGAGCCTTGCGTTCTTGAAGGAAACCACGGAAAGGAGAGAAACCAGTACCAGCAGAAATCATGATCAAGGGCACGCTAGGATCAGCAGGCATGCTAAAGGTGCTCTTGGAAGATTTCAAAGAAGCACGAAGCAAAGTGCCATCATTGCCACGCTTCAAGAAGGAAGAAGCTAAACCCTTATAATGTTTGTCGTTCACAACATCGTCGACAACACCGACAGTTAAGTGAGCAGAGCGAGGATAAGCCAAAGGAGAAGAGGCAATAGAGTAACGTCGAGGCTGAATGACAGGCACACTAGCCAAGAATTGCCCAATGTCCAAGCGGTTGACTTGAGGGTAGGCAAGTTGTAAGTCCAAGAGGGTACGGTGCTTTTTGACAAAGGCAGGGTATTGATCTTGGTGAGCAGTATCAGGCATAAGCAAAGTTTCAAAAGTAGCAGCAGTTTCAGGAGCAACCTTCTTCAATTGAGTAGCAAAACAACCAAGAACAGCGCGGGAAGGTACAGAAGTAACATCTGCATAGTAAGTAAGCATGTTGCGGACAGTACAAGGACCCTTAATGTTTTTAGCTAAAGAACGAGGTGAGACGCCAGAGAGTGTTTCTTGATCAATTTCAAAAACTGAATCCAAAATCCAACCAAAGTTCAAAGCAATAGCTTCTACAGTAGTGCTATCGTTTTCGGGCATTACTTCCAAGTGGTCACCAGCGTTATAGAGACGATCATGATCACCTACAGGAGTCAATTGAGAGATATCAATTTCAACATGTCTTGTGCTTCTTGGAGAGTTTTCCTTTTGAAGTTCGCGGTTAGTGTGCATAACAGCCTTGGGTTCACCATAGTTGTTCTTGGCAGCGCTTTCCCAAGCTTCCTTGTTAGTAGGCTCAATGAACTTGATGTTCACAACACTTTCTTGAGTAGCTTTCGTGGAAGCAGCAGTAGGGACAACAGGCTTAGACTCAGAAGCAGCGATACCATAGCTGTCTAAAGTGTGGGTCCAGAAATGAGCACACCATTCGGTGAATTGAGCATCCATATCATCATTAGCATCACCTTCACCATTACTAAAGAAGCGTTCAGCACCGAGTTCTTCCAAATGATTAGTGACCTTGATGGGGAAGTGTTGGTATGTACGCCAGTTCTTGTTACCAAGACCAAAGACTGCAAAAGAGAGACCATTCAAGAGAGTTTCATGACCGTCTTCCTTGGTCTTGTTTTCAATCCATTGATCGAACTTTTCGGCACTATCAGGTGGTTGACCGTTGTAAGTGGCTGTACAGATCACAACAAGCTCCTTGTCCAAACGCTTGCTCTTGTCGTCAGAAACAAATTTGCCTTCTTGAAGTACCTTCCATTTATCCATATCGCAGAGAGTAACCTTGCTAAATCCAAAGCTCTTGGCTTGATTGGCTAATTGATTGGCATAGTCTTGAGCAGTACCGGTTTGCGTACCAAACAAGAATGTGATAGGAGGCAATTCCACATTGGCACGTGAAGCAGCAACCACAGGCATGCTAGGGGCAGTGGACTTGTTTCCAGTGGCATCAGCGGCCTTCTTTGCTTCGGTAGCTTCATCACTAGGTTGAGGGAAATTGGTACGAGGATGTACAGTCATAAAGAGATCAGCAGGCTTTGTAGTAGCCATCTTAGGATCATATTGAATAGGAGGACCGTCATAACGGAATTCAAATCGATTTAAGAGCATGGCCAAAACTGTCTTGGCTTCTTGCAAAGCAAAGGCCATACCAATACAACCACGAGGACCAGTACTGAAAGGCAACCAAGCGAAACGAGAACGCTTCTGTTCTTCTTCAGGAGTCCAACGATCAGGATCAAAGCGGTTGTGATCAGGGTAGACCTTTTCATTATGATGAAGAGAATAGACTTGTATAGAACAAGCTGTACCAGCCTTGATTCTGTAACCACCGGGCACAATACAATCCTCCTTACAGTACTTACCAAGAACACGGACTGGTGGGTACATACGGAGAACTTCCTTGAGGACTTGATAAGTATACTTCATGTTGCTCACTTGCTTATCCGTGGGAAGTACATTGTGAGTGATATGATTATCAGCGATTTCTTGAAGAACCTTGGCTTGAATATCAGGGTTTCGGGAGAGTTCATAGAGTGTCCAGGCAAGCGTATTGGCTGTAGTGTCATGACCAGCAATTAAAAAAGTAACCACTTGATCTCTGATGTTTTCATCTGTCAAACCCAAGCCATGTTCGTCACGAGCATTCAACATATAACCCAACAAATCCTTTTCCATATCTTTTGCATCAGGGCTGTTCTTTCTTTCTGCGATAACACCATCCACAATGTCGTGCATCAACTTGATAGATCGATCAAACTTGCGGTTGGCTTCAATAGGAAGTGATTTGATGAATTGTGCTTGTTGAATACGTTGAATAGACTGTTTCAGACAGTAACCCATTGCCTCAATAAAAGCATTAGGTGGCTGGTCGCGAGATGTAAGCAAGTTGAAATCATACCCAAAACCAATACGGCCAATCGTTTCAAAAGTAAGGTTGGTAGTCCATTCAATGATTTCGACAGGTTCGTTAGGTTGGAATTGTTCAAGGATCTTGATGGTTTGTTGAGTGATTAGACCCATTTCGTTTTGATAGACCTGGATTGTTGCTCAGTATGTTTGTTGTTTTATGGATCCATTGCTTACCTTAATAGCACGAGGACTAAATGCGGGCATTAAAAGCTTGTGGGCGAGCTTCCAGTCCATTTCATCAGTATCTGTGGTGAAAAGACCTTGACGACCAAAAGCCTTGATTTCGTTGAGACCTGTGGCGCCGACTTTTTTGGTGAAATATTCAGATTCTTTGGCAAAGAGCTCGGCATACACGGGGTCATTTGTACCAATGATGTTTCTGCCCAATAAATCAACTTGAACAAGAGGACCGTGCTTTTCAAATTGACGAACCCAACCTTCAGTACTATGCAGTCGTTAATGTCTTGAGACAAGAAATATTATCACTTACATGTTGGGAAGCATTTCATAAAGACTGCCGACAAAGGGGAGACGAGAGGGACCGGGAATAATGTCCTTGATGTGTTGTTTCATATCAACATAAACGACTTGTTGATTTCTGACAGCGTCAATACCATCTAACAGTTCACCTTTGCTATTTAATAACTGAATATCAGCAATGCCACCAGCAATACTAAGTTTCTCAGCAATCAAGCCGCGAACAGTATCCAAGTTGGCACCGTTACCGAAACGAATGATGCGACCATCTTGTTCAACGTCTGCTGTACCCTTGAATACAACAATTAAGGAAGTTGTGTTATCTGTAGACATGATATTTTGTATGATAATGTAAAGTTTTAATGTAATAAACACTTGTAAAAAAAGGTCAGGAAATGAAAAAGGCAATCTATTTATATTAAAAAAGTTAATCAAGCATTAGTCTTACTAAAGAAAATCTCGGGAAAACCTAGGAGAAATAGTTCTGCCTCAATAATATGAGTCTGAAAATGTAAACACCAATTTCCTAAAATGGACAAAAAATGATGCTGGCCGTCATTTCCTGGCTTGCACTTGACCTCCCAATTAAGAAAAAAAAGAAAGGGAAGCCACAAGGAAAATACATATCTCTGATGTTGCTAAATTTGTTTCAATATAATTTAACAGAGTCTCTTCCTTATATTGATCTTGCATATTTTATTCTAGAAAGAGTCTATCTATCTAATTGTTCTCTCTTCTTTTTTTAGATCTGCCAGAAATATAGATTTGTCATAAAATATAGCAAAGTCCGCTCCGCATGGTCTATTGCTAGGATTATTTATGTGGTCCCAAGGCTAAAATATATGCTTACATGTTAAATCGCGGAATCAGGATGATGTAAGATTTTCCGTTCCATGATTCCCTTTCTTGAACGGATGATTAGATAGGATACATGTATCTTATATTGCAATAAAATAATAGTCAGCAAAAACAGCTATATACAATTGTTGGTTTAAATCAAATTTACATGCTTTACTTTTTAAATAGCAAATCAAGCAACATAGTTTAAACATGCTAGTAATCAATCATGGGTATCCGTTAGCTATTAACCAATAATGTGTCTTGATTTCCCGGCCCTGAAAGATCTGACTTGTGTTCTAAACTGTATCTCGGACAGAATGAGGTTATATTCAGCCTTTCTGACATTTCCTGTTCTGCAATATCGTTTACTTCTTTTCATCCTGTGACTTTCTTTCTCTCCAAAGCCAGTGCTTATGATTTCTATGGCAGCCTTTTATACCTCTTTAACGTAACTATGATCTTCTCTAGTTTTCTTTCTCACTCATCCATATAACCCCATTTCGGACAATAAACTAGCAATTTGTCACCACATTGTTCACTCATGTCACAGAGACGCCAGACAAACAAACGCTTCGGCAGTGAAATAGATAACGATGCATACACATCTTCTTCTTTACTTGGGCGAATGAAGGTATTGTAAAGCTTGTTTATACACGCACAGAGACGCTAAGTGCATTCAGGTCATGTTTGCTGACATCCATAATACTTTTAGAGTTGATTTGGACAAAAAAAGGCGATATGGAAAGATTTTGGTTAAAATGGCCTTTTGACCAAAGGGTGGTATTCACGAAAATATTCATTCTGGAAACTTTCAATCTTCTTTTTGACATTACAAGACGAAAAACGGAGCTATTGACAAGCTCAAACACTCAAAATGTATCAATGTGCTTGCTAAACAGTTGTACTATAAAAATGGTATGCAAGGAGCAAAAAAACCTCATAGACATTTTCGCCTGTTTGCTCAATATTTTAGTAGCAGATCTGTTGCTTTCTTTACATCAATACACTCGAGTAACAAACACCTACAGCATTTGTTAATGCACCAATGCTAAATAACTGCGTCTTCATGTAGTTCTCAGCAAAGGCCGGATTTCTGATGCGGCCGGATGAAGAACCGGAGTTGTTCCTTTTTCAATCTTCGCGCCAAAGCCATCCTGTATGTCCTACGTTCATTCGCCCCATATTTTCATTATCAATCGACCCTATTTTCGCTTTTGTATATTCCTTGGCACTCTAGATAGCATAAGATAGTTTAGGAAGATCCATTGCTAGAACTTTTTATATGACATCAAGGGCAAAAACGTTCAAATCACAGCTAAAAGGAGCCAATCTCTAATTGAGCATTACTCGACACTACATTACCAAAACATCCCGTTTTTCTATTTAAAACATGCTCTTTTGAGTCAAGGAATCGAATGGTACCATTGGTATGGCTTCTAGGGGAAATTCATTTTTTGAGAATTTTTGGAATGACCCAATGTAGGCCTGATCCAACCGAAATGAGGAGAGATTATTTCTAGATAATTCTAGCAAAAAGAAGGCGACTTTACTAAGACAAAAAAAAGACGAGTTGATTTGAGCATCCAAAGTTTATTTCATACTGTGATCAGTGCAAAAGATGTCCTTTTTAGTAGATATTGACTAGTAAATAGTTACTTATTCTCACACCATTAGATGTGCACAATGTAAGTAAGTAAGATGTACTATAATGCATGACACTCTTGAGGTTAAAAAGAGTAACTTTGAGCACAACTAACGATAAATGCCTTGTACAGTCGACGAAAAAAGGTTGGCCCAATAAAATGTCATTCAATCCTAAAAAAAGTAACCAATTTCTATTAATACCATGACTAGAATGACTTTCTTGAGTCATTATCGATAGTGAAAGATTTATAAAAGCTGAAAAGATACGTATAAACACTAAAGGGTTCGGTTGATGCACTTCCAAAGACACCGTTAACAACAATATTGTCTATTTAAGATCTAACGCACTTTACAAAAGTTTGTGATTGATGAGAGGTTATGGGGACGACAAAAATAAGAATGATAGCAAAAACAAATATTTTTTATTCATTTTTTGGCACGAAAGTAGGCTGCTTTTGCGCTATCCATCTTGGTGTACTTTTTGAATAGTCCTTTTTCTTTTGCAAGTTCAAAGCACTTTTTCCAGTCCATATCTTTACCTTTTTCTTTGCGGTAAGAGTCAACAAATTGCCAGTCAGGATTTATTTTCTGAACACGGACAACTGAACTAGCAGTAGGTTCGTTTGCCACATCAGGAGAATAAGGGCCGAGCTTGTGTTTCTTTTTGAAATCATTTATAAATTTAATACCGCTATCAAGGCAATCGATAGTACGTTTGCGAGCGGCTTCATCAGAAACATCTTCAGCTAATAACCTCTTAGCCATAGCTAATTGGTTATACGATTCATTGCAAACTTCTTCCAAAGCATCATCTTTGTCTTTATCAGCATCGAGTTCACCTTCAAATATACGCTTTGCAATACTGTAAAGAAGTTGAACAGTAGCATCATCATGTCTTTTGATATGAAGCAAAGAAGTCTTTTGTTCAACAAAGAAATGTGCAAGAGCAACAACTGGTTCCAAAGGAGTTTCATCTTCGAAGTTCAGGATTGATTCTTTGTTAATCAAAAGACAAGACTTAGCCCAACCATGTGAAGGCAATTCCTTCATAAAAGATATGCGATCAGAAACAGAACTCATTTCAAGAAGTTCATTGGAAGTATAGTGAACACAGATAGCTATCACGATTGGTGACACGGAGTATTGCTCCCAAACTGATAAAGAATACTTCATGAGTCTTCTATAGAATTTCATGTTTGCGGTGTGTTGTACTTCGATCAAGATTGGAGGAAAATCCTTAAGCTCTTTTTTCTGGATCGGGCAGTAAAGAACATCTGACTTCGTATAGTTTGGCCATTCTGTTGGTTTGGTAATATACTTGTCTCTTGCAGCTTCGCCTAAATAAGTTGATAGTAGTTAATGATTATTCAATTTCCACGGTTATACTTACCAACAACTTTTGTAACAATGATGTTTATTACGTGATCGTCATCTAGAATCCATTTGCTCATTAGGTCAGTGCCAGGGGAATATTTCTTAGATAAAGTAAAAGACCAAAGATTTTCTGAGTCAGGTAACATGGGGAGGTAACAGTTTGAGGTAACAATACAAGGTAAAAGAGGTAACAGAATTCGTTACCTCACAATAGCCCAGCGGTAACAAGGTCCGTTACCTCATAATAACTCAGCGGTAACAAAATTCGTGACATCATAATAGTCCAGCGGTAACAAAATCCGTTACCTCATAATAACTCAGCGGTAACACAAAAGAGATAACATAATATGTTACCTCTTACTAGCCGCTTATACTCGTCCTTCGGGAGAATTTGTTTTCTTTACGAAGGTAGAAGAAAAATTAAAGACCGTCTTTCAGCTTCGAACAAATGTTTGAAAACGGAAAGAGTGATATATATTCTATGATCATTTATACGCTGAGGCAACTTCTGCTCGTGATTGAAAGACTTTTTTCAAATCTGGCTCCTTGAGCTCCTTATGATATTTCAAATAGACTGCGAGCCAACTAAGAAATGCAGAAATCTATTTGAGAATTATATAGAAAAAAAAGTGAAAGACAAAGGTTTTTCAAGTGAAATTTGTTCAGGAAATTGAGAGAACAACTCTGCATTCGCTTTCTTGTATATACATAAACATTTTTTCCTTGATATTTTTATTTCTTTTTACTTTTTTCTTGCCCAGGAAAAAGTGCCTCCCAAAAACCCTCAATACCACTTTTCTTAAATCGAGGCAATCCAATGCCAACATAATTTTAACTACGGCCTGGCGACATGGCTTGAATGATTTTTGTGCTAGATTGGCTTTGTCTAAATATATAAGTCTTGGATGTTGAGATTTAGCGTTGTGCTCATAAAGTCAAATTGTCAATTGTATAAGTGGCGTTAGCACTGGCACTATTTAGCATTTCCATCAATACTTGAGTAGATTTATTTGAGGTATTCCAAACATGAGATGGCTGTTGAAGTTGAGTCTCTCAATAGTGCAAAAAACTATATTTCCTAACTTTCATGGTTGCTGTAAATTCAACTTGAGAAGATCATTAGGAATATTTTATAAATAAGCTTCATTTCACATAAATACGATTCGGTAAAATAACGTGTTTTCAAGTTAAAAACGAAATAGTTAATACATTAAAAAGTATATAAAGTAATCCTCAAGTTGAATTCATCTCGCTGGTTGTTTCAAAACCACATTAAGTTATCTAATGCCACCAAAACCTCCAAAGTTAAAAGTAAATTGTTACACATCATCTTTCCTTTTTCTCACAAACCTTTATTGAAACACAATCTTAAACTTTTTCTACACTTCAATCCCTTCATTCTTTGTAAGCCATCGTGTCTAATAGAACAACCACGATTAGTTTTTTTTTCACTGATCCAAAGCCATAATTTAATCCACCATCTTCCACTCTCGAGGCTTTTTGGAGTCCGACACTTTGAACGAATCATAAACAAGTAACTCATGAGTGTGCCTTACAATAGCTACAATCTTTGTTTCGGTAGTATTTGAAGTACTCTTTGTTTTTTTCTTGGTACACATTTGTAGAACTATTTCAGCACTAATTTGATTGTATCCATAATAATTAAAGACGATTTTCCGTAGATATTCCAAAATTCAACAAAAAGAAGCTGATCTAAATTAGCCCACCCACTGTCGAATTCCCTAAAAGATTAGATCAAACCCGATATAAATTATCGGGATATGGACAATTACCATTGGAGAACCAGAAGAAATCTCAAAGTAACCTTCTAAGGGTATACAAACTTTATACTCTGAAATAGACTTAAAAAAAACAAATGGTTGGGGTTAGTTTCTAAAAACAATCTTACCGAAAAAAAAATAAACATTGTTTGGTCCCTACAAAAAAAAACAAACTTGATTTGATTACAACGTGTTATGGTTGACAAGACATCTATATTCTTCGAACAAGTTCACTGAGATTTAACTGATTTGAAGATCCCTATCTGGTTTTTTTTCCCGTTTGTTATGCAACAATATACACTGAGTCCAAACTTTTTTTTGTTCCAAAACAAAAAGCAAGTGGCTCGAGCCTTTTTTTTTGTAGGTCTCTATATAAAGCGAGTTGGTTTGTCTCTTTTTTTTTTCTTCCTGCTTTCCCATTTTTATCATTATGACTCAAACACTTGGCAAGACACCACCTACATTTAAAAAAGAAATTTCACCTGGACGTGTGCTTACAATGACAGCCGATGGTACAGGTCTCTCGGTTCTGGATCCTTGGTTGTCTCCCTTTAACGATGCTTTAAGAGAAAGGTATGTCTGTGGCAAAAAGAAACGCGTTTTAAACAACACGATAGATATGCTACATTCCAAAAGTATGACGAACAAATCAAGAACACATTAGGCTATGAAGAATTCACAAAGGGTTATGAATATTTTGGTTTCCATGTCCAACTTGATAATAGTATTATCTATCGAGAATGGGCACCTAATGCAGTTACTGCTAGTTTGGTTGGTGATTTCAGTAAGTGCTGGGAAAAGAGGGACAGGTGGGAAAGCGGGTATTAAACTTGTAATAGACAACTGGGACGTAAATGCCAATGTCATGACGCGTAACCAATTTGGTGTGTTTGAAATTGTTGTTGAACCTACAAAAGACAAAAAGGTGGCCATTCCTCATGGAAGCAAAGTGAAGGTAAGTAACTTGATTTATTGTATGATAATTAAAAACAACAAGATTACCATGACTTTGCCACATACTGGGGAACGTATCTATCGCTTGCCTGCCTGGATCAATTATGTAACACAGGACCTGAATGTTAGTGCTACCTATGATGCTATCTTTTGGAATCCTTCCAAGAAATACACCTTCAAGAATCCTCGTCCTAAGAGACCCAAATCAATTCGTGTTTATGAAGCGCATGGTAAAACAGAAAAAAAAAATTGTGTTACTTGTCCACAGACATTAACTTGACCTTATCTCTGTAGTTGGTATCTCATCTCCCGAGCCTCGTTGTGCAACTTATAAAGAATTTACCAAAAATGTGTTGCCTCGTATTGCTTATGACGGATACAATACAATCCAACTTATGGCTGTTATGGAACATGCTTACTATGCTTCTTTTGGCTACCAAGTGACTTCTTTCTTTGCTCCTTCCAGTCGTTATGGTACACCCGAAGACTTGAAAGAATTGATTGATACAGCACACGGATTGGGCATCACTGTATTGCTGGATGTTGTTCACTCTCATGCATGCAAGAATGTCGCTGATGGTTTAAATATGTTTGATGGGTCAGATCACTGTTATTTCCATGAAGGAGGTAAAGGTCGCCATGACCTTTGGGACTCTCGTTTGTTCAACTATGGTCACTATGAAGTAATGCGTTTCTTGATGTCTAATTTGAGATACTGGATGGATGTCTTTATGTTTGACGGTTTCCGTTTTGATGGTGTTACTTCTATGTTGTATAAGCATCATGGTATTGGTTATGGCTTCTCTGGCGATTATCATGAATACTTTGGCGATAATGTTGACGATGAAGGTGTTATGTATATTCAACTTGCCAACCATTATTTACACGAGAAATACTCAGAAGTAATTACCATTGCTGAAGATGTCTCTGGTATGCCTGGTTCATGTCGCCCCGTGCATGAAGGAGGTTTAGGCTTTGACTACAGACTTTCAATGGCTATTCCTGATATGTGGATTAAAATGCTTAAAGAAGAATCAGACGATGATTGGAAGATGGGCCATATCGTTCATATCTTGACTAACCGTCGTTACCTCGAAAATACCATTGCTTACTGTGAGTCACATGATCAAGCACTTGTAGGTGACAAGACGTTAGCTTTCTGGCTTATGGACAAGGAAATGTACACCAACATGAGTGACTTAACACCTCTTACACCTATTATTGACCGTGGTATGTCCTTGCACAAAATGATTCGTATGATCACACATGCCCTTGGTGGTGAAGGCTATCTTAACTTTGAAGGTAATGAATTTGGTCACCCTGAATGGCTTGATTTCCCCCGTGCTGGTAATGACTCTAGTTTCCAATATGCCCGACGTCAATGGAATGTTCTTGATGATCACTTGCTTCGTTACAAGTATTTGAATGAATGGGATCGTAGTATGCAGTTTGCAGAAGAGAAATATGGCTGGTTACATAGTCCTCAAGCTTATGTGTCTAGAAAGAATGAAGGTGACAAAATCATTGTGTTTGAGCGTGGTGGTATCTTGTTTGTCTTCAATTTCCATCCTACACAATCCTTTGCTGACTACCGTATTGGTGTTGAAGTTGCTGGTAAATACAAGATCGTTTTGAATTCAGACGATAAGCAATATTTGGGCCATGGAAGAGTTGATAACAGTACTGAATTCTTTACTACACCTGGAGATTGGGACAATAGACCCAACTGGATTCAAGTCTATATTCCTAATCGTACTTGTTTGCTTTTAGCTCCCATTCAATAAACACTATTTATTTCATATACAATGTAATCAAATCATCTGAAGCCTCAAGATGGCTCATTTCTTCTGTTATTTCTAACAAAGTTAATTTGACCACACTTTCAAGTAAAAGTAAGTTTTGTGGTTGCTTATTATCAATAACAGGATCAGACGTCTTTTTGTCTTGATCATCACTACTGTCTGTACTTTCTTCATCACTATCATCATCTATTGTTTGGCCATTTGTCCATAATTCAATGGCATACCAATCATATTCTTGTAATTCTTCCTTGTTGATCTCTGGTCGTGCATCTTTAATCTCGACCATAGACTCATTTTCTTTGGCTTGTTTGGCTACTTTGACCACAAGCACTGGTGACTTGGCATCTTCAATATTCAGCAATTCTCCACTCTGTGTGTAATACATGCGCTTGATTTTACCAATATCAATGTTGAGTTTTTGAGCGTCTGATCCTTCTTCATGATACAGGCCATCATGTACATCCTCCACTAAAGCCAATTCATAAGTATACTCCTTATGCTTATTGATCTTGAGTTCTGCTTTATGGAATTCTTCTTTCCAGCTAAATGCTTCTGCTGCTGCTGCTCGCTGATTGGCAGCAAACAAAGAATACAGTCGGATCTTGAGAGAATAGCTTGAAGGATCAGTCACAATGCGTGAAGCTTGAATCAATTTAGAAGGCGATAAATTAGTTTGACCTGTTCTGTTTTCGATGCTACGTAAAGACAGATGTAAAGAAGGAATAGCATCATCCACACTTTCTAACAGACGTCGAAGTTGGAACTTGACTTGATCTGGATCTGTCATGTTTTGCTTGGCAAACAGTTCCATCTCCGTTTTCAGGTCATTGCACATTTCCAAAGCTGGTTCAAGATCGGTGTTGCCATCAGCTACACTTCTTGCAATAATATCAATAGTAGGCTAGTTTTTTTTTCTGGTAAACATAGACATGAATCACTGGTCCTTTTTTTTTTACCTTTAAGTTTTTTATCTTTAGGTCAAGTTGACGTTGCAGAACACGTATTTCCTTTGAGTCAGGTTTGTTTTTTGGGAGTTGTGTTGTAATATAGGAAGTAACATTACGCTGTATTTTATATGCTTAAGAATAAAAGCGAGTGCCTGAAAGACATACTTACGATAGCAGCATTAGTGGCATGGCTCAATGCTATTCTAGACACTGTTGTTACTGTAGTTAGAGCGAGTTTACCAAACAAGTTTTCTATGCTCGACATATTGAAAGAGACAAAGTAGAGAAAAAAAAACGTCATTATGTGTTGATGATATTTTGGGATTTTTAGTCCACTTTTGGAAAATCAAAATTAATGCAAACACTAGTGAAATAGACCAAGTTCATGGCTATTATTGAACCAAGCTAGAAGCTATATTTATGATAGCAAACTATTTATTATTGTTGTCAGCAAATAATCACTGTCCATAATATGGGTGTGTACTTTGAAGAGGATGTTGTTGTTGTTGTTGTTGAGGGTTAAGAAGAATATCCAAAGGATTGTTTAGTTGTTGATGCATTGGAGGCGTAGCAAGAGGTGGATGTTCTTGAGATCCTCCTTGCAAGACACTCAACAATGAGTTTCGACGCATATTATCTGTAGTCAAAAATGCAGGATTTTGTTGTTGCTGTTGTTGCTGTTGCTGTTGTTGCTGTTGTTGCTGTTGTTGTTGTTGTTGTTGTTGTTGTTGTTGTTTGAGTAGTTCTTCAACAAAGGAAGCACGATGAACATGTGTTGGTTGTTCTTGCTGAGGGTTTGTAGCTCTTTGAAGTAACTTCAAAAGATCTGGCTGATTTTTAAATTGCTTTGACTCTTGCTCAGCAGGCGTATCTTTCGTAAACATATGAAGAATACTCATTTGTTTAAGTGGGGGATTTTCCTCTTCCTGCTCAGGCTCCTTTTGTTGTTTGGGTTCCTTTTGCTGTTTAGGTTCTCTCTTTTCAGACTGTTTCAATATCTGTAAAAGATTGGGTTGCTCTTGCTCAGCAGTCGTATCTTTCGTAAACATAAGAATACTCATTTGTTTAAGTGGGGTTTCTTCCTTTTGTTGTTTGGGCTCCTTTCGTTGTTTGGGCTCCTTTTGCTGTTTAGGTTCTCTCTTTTCAGACTGTTTCAATATCTGTAAAAGATTGGGTTGTTCTTGCTCTTGCTTTTGGTTTTGGTTTTTTTGTTCTGATTGTTTCAACATCTGTATAAGATCTGGCTGTTCTTGTTTATCCTTTTCTTTTTGCTGCTTTGGACTTTTTCGTTCTGCTTGCTTCAACATTTGCAAAAGATCTGGCTGTTGCTGCTGCTGCTGCTGCTGCTGCTGCTGCTGCTGCTGCTGTTGTTGTTGTTGTTGTTGTTGTTGTTGCTTTTGCTTAGTGGCCTTTGGTTTAGGAGAACGATGTTGTTTTGGTGAATTTGACTGCTGTGTAGACAAAGAAGGATGAAGTAATTGTTGAAGCATATTGCCATTGACTTGAGGAGGCTGATGATCTGGATGAGGTTGAGATACAGCAGGAGAAGCAGCAAATCCAGAAGATTCAGAAACACCTAAAAGTGACTTTAGTGCGTCGGAGGATTCAGTTGGCTTTTGAGGTATATTTTGTTGTTGTTGTTTTGGTGTTCGAGGTGAAGCATTGGACTTTTTGTCTTTTTTCAAAGCCTTTTTACGCTGATTAACAAATTGCTTTAGTTTACTAAAGAATCATGTTACTTTTTATGATTTGTATAATATTTCTTACGCTATGAATGGAACAACCATATAAAAACGATGAGGTCCTGATTTAAAGTAACTGTAATTGGCACTGTTCACTGACTTAGACTCATGTGTTTTATAAGTAGGTAAATCCTCCAATTTAATCCAAGAGATTTGCTATCCAAATAAATAAATACGTTGCATAGAACCCATGAGTTGCTTACACTGATCTCTTTTCTCGTTCTAGGGACAAATTCAGTATCTTCAGAAACGCCTTGAATGACATACAATCGAATACGTTGTTCTCGTATTGTACGTTCAATATAATCCGCCTTCTTCAAAAGTGGACCAATATCAAACCCTGTTTCTTCCAGCACCTTGTATCAAAAGTCAGAAAAGAAACTAGCATTACGCAAGTCTAGTTTACCTCTCTCACAGCACAACAATCATATTCTTCATCTTGATTTATCTTTCCCTTTGGAAATCCCCAACCAGACTTCGAACTCCAACCTTTGACCAATAAACACTTGTCAAGTGTCGTATTCAGAATAATAGCACCACAAACAGGAATACGAAAACGGTACTGCATAAAGTCTGCATACGCGCGTTCATGTTCGTGAGCCCACTGGTGCAATAAAGGACAGTGCCTGAATAGTAAAAAAAAAAAAGGAGTTAAGGATAAACAAGTGTTAGAGAGATGAGGTTAGTATGAGCAAATATACATATATATATATATATATTTGAAAAGGATATTTCTTGCGGAAAAAGTTTTGAGCTGAAACGAAGGAAGCTCTGGTTTTAATTCTCTAATAAAGTCTTCATAAAACCAATGTGCTTGTTCTACTTGAAAGCAAATACGCTCGACAGAAGCAAGTTCTGCTTCGGGAACGTTAATAATAAACCGACTAAAATAATAAAAAAAAAAAATATGAGATAAAATACTTGAGATGAAGATGTCATATTCACCTCGATAGATCATCCAAGATCTCTTCAAAAGTAGCATTAGCAAATACTGCGCTAGACTGCATAATAGTAAAAGATAAAAAAGAAAACAATATAAAGAAAAGCGCGAATTTTGCTTGCTTACGTCTTCAATTTCGGGTATTGAAAGCATGGACAGTATCTTGAGAAAACTCAATGCCAATCATTTATGCAATATAAGGAACAATCAAAGCAGGTCAATATATGCAACTTTATAGCAGTACTTATTTATTCTGTCTCAATAGAGAAAATAATGTTTTCTTATTTTATACAAGGCAAATGATGCAATTCATTTCTTAACAATGAAAACAATAAACATATATAAAGACAAAGTTCTCTTTTATTCCCTTCTAACATGATCTTATTCATTAGGATTAGTATAGCTCTAGTTGTGCCTTTGTCCATTCATGCTCTCACACTATTTACAAAAGAAACAGTCAAGCTCAAACCTACTATTAGGGTAATGGTACTCGTTGAAGGTGTCAGGAAATATGGTCCTGTTTTACTAGAATGTGATCCTAATGGAACAGGTTTCCCTAACGCAGATCAGGCTTGTGCCAAACTACAATCGATAGACGGTATACTAGATAGTCTAGAACCAAACCCTGCTGAATGCCCAGATATTAAGAAGGAAGTCACTGTTACTCTAGATGGAAACTATGGAGGTTCTTTTCTCGTATATAGAAGAGTCTTTAAGAACGAAATATGTGCTCGCTCTACGCTTGGTCCTCTTTATCCTTGAACAAAAGCAAGCATTGTGAAATGGATGCTATCAATTAATACAGCAAGTCCTAATTTGGTCTTAACATAATGATTAAATTTAAAGTTTTGCTTTCAGTTTGCAGACATGAATGTTAGATATCATATGAAATTTGTTGGTTCAAGAATTGACTTGATTTCATGGATAGCTGTTTATATCTGGAGTTTAGGAGAATTGGCTAAAGAACACATAATTTACTCTCAAGGATTTGTATATACTGAAGAAGTTTTTCAATGAGTTATTGATTGCATAGACAAATGTCTGTCACCATGCTCTACTTACTGATTATAAAACAAAAATGAGGATCTATCAGCGATACGGATGAGCAAGCAATTTTGGTGTATGAAGCCTTATTATATAGAAATATCAGTAATTCAAGGCAAACTGGAGAGATTTTGTAGAAGAGTGACATCTTTTAAGTGTCTATGTGTTGAAAAGATGATCAAAAGCTTTCATGAGATGAAACTCTTATTCAGTAATCGTTGTTAGAAATAAAATGTGTTGTCTCAAAAAGATGCTTGTTTGCTTCTTCGCAAGATACCAAGATGCTTTATACGCTCCTGATTGACTTGTTCCTCCAAGATAACCAATCGGAACATAATTGATAACTTGTAGTTAATTGCTGAAAGTGAACTCTTTTTTGATTCAATGCACAGAGTCACCAAATTTGAAGCCAAGCTAACCAATGACGAGGAAGACCAGAAGAAAACTAGCTTTTAATTATCAAGATAACTGCGTCAATTGTGTCACGCTGAAAATATTTTTTTTTTAAATCGTCAGTCAAAAAAATATCTCTTTTCCTTTCCTTTTAATTGCGACAATGTCAAATAAACAAATATACCATCAAGACAGTGATAGCAGCAGCAGTTTTTCCTCAACATTAACTGAATCCACACCTCTTATCGGACACAAGGATGTAGACCATACAACTGTTCGACAAGAACTAAAATGGTTATTGACCAACAGTTTGCCTATTATCGGAACATACTTTTTACAAAATTCATTCCAATTAGCTTCTATATTTACTCTGGGTCATTTGGGTCAAGTAGAATTAGGTGCTTCTGCTTTGGCATCCATGTTTGTTAATGTATCTGCATGGTCTATATCATATGGCATCACTTCAGCACTTGATACACTATGTTCTCAAGCATGGACAGGATCAAAGGATAAAACAGTGATTGGTGTTCATTTACAAAGAGCTTATCTTGTATTGCTTTTATTGTATATACCAATTGCTTGTGTCTGGTGGAATGCAACACCTATTATGCTATCATTTAATCAAGAACCTGATGTAGCTAATTTTGCAGGTAAGAGTTTTTTTTTTAAAAAAAAATTGTTCATCTAATTATGATAGGTCTGTTCTTAAAATACCTTTTGCCAGGTGCACCTGCCTATATGGCGTTTGAGGCCACAAAACGATACCTGCAAGCACAAGGAATCATGCATGCTTCCACTCTCTCTATGCTTGTCACTGCTCCCATCAACCTTGTCTTGAACTACATGTTTGTTTATACACTCAATCTCGGTTTTATTGGCGCACCACTAGCCACCAGCCTCAGCTACTGGCTCATGTTTTTGCTTTTGTTGGCCTACATCAAGCATGTCAAGGGTAGCGAGGGCTGGAGTGGATGGTCGCAACAATGTTTGACAGGATGGTGGCCATTTCTTAAATTAGCTAGTAGTGGTATTGTGATCATATGTGCTGAATGGGCTGCTTTTGAAATGTCTTCATTAGCCGCCAGTTATTTGGGCACTACAGATTTGGCAGCACAAAGCATTCTGTTGACACTAAGTTCAGCAACGTACACTGTGCCTATGGGCATTGCAGTGGCAGCAACAAACCGAGTGGGCAATTGTTTAGGTGGCGGATTTGCGTATAGAGCACGCACGGCATCTAAGAGTGCTATTTTGTTTTCAATCTTGTTTGCTCTTGTGAACTCGGCCTTCTTTTTGCTGACACGCCATCAGATTGGGTACTTGTTTACTTCTGAACCCAAAGTGGTCATCATGGTAGCTCATGTATTACCTTTGTGTGCGATCTTCCAAGTGACGGATGGGATTGCTTCTGTTGGAGGAGGTGTTATTCGTGGACTGGGTAGACAGAGTGTGGCTGCAATGATCAATTTAATTGCTTATTATGTGATTGCCTTGCCTATTGGGTTCTATTTGACCTTCAGAGCCTTGTGGGCACTCACCGGTCTCTGGACGGGTCTGTCGATTGCATTGTTTTTGGTGGCAGCTGGTGAAGTCATGTTTCTGTACAAGGTGGATTGGTTCTTAGAAATGAAAAAAGCTCAACAACGGTGTATCAACCATCATGAATGAATGAATGAATGAATGCCTATGTGTGTGTGTGTGTGTAATTATATCTCTTTTGTACAGTGGTCAATAGATGGACCTCAAAGATGCAAGACTGTATGCTATACATCATTTTGTATGCTCTCTGGATTCACTTTGTTTGTAATATAATAATAATAATAAAAAGGCTTGATTTTGTTGCCCCCCCCCCTCCCTCCCTCCTCCTCCTCCTCCTCCGCCTCCTTTCTTTCTGTCAAATACGGATGTATCAGCTCAATCCAGCCAGAAATAAGCTCAAACAACGCATTTGTAGTGAAAACAAAAGCAAATACGGCATGAAAAATCCCTTCTGTCTCCTTTGATGTTACATGTAACTCCTTTCATGTTCATTTTAGCCACGCGGTTCTTTGTTGTGCAACCTCAGCAGTTTTTTTTATATATATTTTTTTACTTAATTGTTACAAAAAGTATATTTTTTAATTACTCTTTTATTATTTTCTTAGAAAGAGAAAAGAAAAGAAAACAAACTAATATTTTGAACGAAACAGTTACTTTAGTAATTTTTCTCTCCTGTTTTACTCAAGGTACCGTAAATAAAAAGACATCTTTTTGTATATGTATGTGTTGTGTTTTACTTTGTTGTTGAACTCCCTTTTCTCTCTTTTTTTTTCTTTTTATATATATATTTTTTAATTAGTAGGTTTTATTTCTTTTTCTTTCGCCTGTGTCCTTTTCTTTCTTTTTCTCTCTTTTCTTGTTCATAGTTTACGATCACCATGGCAACATCAGAAAACCATTTAAGTTTAATCCCTCTCCCGGAAAAGGAAATTGAGGATTTACTCTGCTTACACCACACAATTTCATCTGTGGATTTACACTCACTATTTCATACAATCACTGCACAAATAGGGTATTGGCTAGAACAAGTCCATTTATCTGTATTTACACTAGAACAACATGTACAACAAGAAGAAGACTATGATATGAATCAGCTGAACAGCATTAACCAAGCCATGATACGAATGGATCCCATCATTACACTCTTGTCCGGTGATGTTGCCGAAATCATGTACGAAAGAGAACAACAGATGAAGATCACTAAAATACAGTCAGAATGGTCAAGTCTATACCATTTTGTGACTTCAGTCAAAAGCCAAGTGATGGCACACCAAAATCTAAAGCAATTATCAGAATCCATAGAACAATTACTGTTGGACATAGACGATGTCTCTTTGATGATGTTTGAGTTCCAGGAAAAGAAACACAAGTCAGTGGTAGCAGAAGACTTGTTTAGTCCGGGACAACCTTGGGCTCAAAGCAACAACAAAGATGACCAGGCAATGCAAGAGATTGATACTGCTTTTGATCCTTTATTAAATCGTATGGAACAAATCTATACCCGAGTCTCGTCAACACAACAACAACTGGATCCCACTCTATTACGTCGATTTGAGAAAGCCAAAGAAAAATGGGAGAATTTACAGGGAGAAAGAGATGATCTTAGGCAGGAACATAAAGAAGATCGATGGTTGACTGTCTTTAGACGAGTAGCAGATCAAGTCGATGTCATGATTGATGGATTAGACCGAAGCGTAGTTCAATGCTATTCACTTATTCATCAGACAAGAGACTGGCAACAACAAGCCTTGGAATTCAAATCTTCTAAACAACAATTGCTTAAATCCTTCAACTACCATCATACCAATGTGCAACCCTTGCCTGTCGATAAAGAAAAGTTTCGATCCGCAGAGAAAAGCTTTGAAGCCAAGTACAAATACTATACGCCAAGTATTGATAGAATGCTAGGTATGTTGGGCAATGGTATCTCGGCCCGCGCATCACGCGATAACAGCACATTTCAGCGTCATGAGTCAATGCTTCAACGATGGCATCACTTGAAAGAAGCCATGGATGAATTACGCATGCGGGGTTTAGTAGAAGCAGAACGTATTATTTTATCAGCCACGACTTCATCCAATTCATCCACAACCTCCACCAGTTATCCTTCCACAGCAAACACAAGCCCTTCTTCATTAGGCAGTGGGTGGCGCCAAATTCGTTATCGCACACCCGAGCCATCATCACACGATTATGCAAAGAGTAAATACGACGAAATTAGGACTAGAAGTGCTACACCAAATAGTGCATATCACAAACTGGGCCAGGTATCGCCTCGACAGACAAAATACACACAAGAATACACACAATCTTCATTGCGAGGCAGTTTATCAGATTCAAGTTCAGTGGATTCCACACCACGTACAAGGCAGACAAAGACACCAAGACCTACACGCCAAGGATCCTCCACGACTTATCAAGAAGACTTTTATGATGAAGATGAACGCCATTACGGCGTAGATATCATGAAACCTCGTCGGCCTCCTTCTGCAGACAAAAAACGAACCAATTCACGGTCCAAGACGCCTAATCCGCCAACAATCAATCATAAATCTCCCAGTCTAAGGTCCAAGAGTAGCATGGGCGATTTGTTAACCCACCGAACAGTGTCTCCTTCTTTCAGTCGAAGGTCAGTTACCCCTTCTTTGATACCAAGACCCAAGACACCCAAAGAAGAAGCACCACAACCTCGTCCTAAGTCCCAAATGATGCGTCAACAAAAACCTCCTTTACCTCCTGTGCCAAAACATGCTGTACCTAGACTTACTAAAAAACCAAGCATGATGCAAGTATCTGTCAAAGCATCGGATTGCAAATATCGACCTGATCCCCGAGATCCATTGGACGCTGAAGTGGCGCATATTGTCAATGCGAGTCCTATTCCTATCCAATGTCAAAAGAGTGATCAACCAGGCAAGTATTACTTTGGTAATGAGCTCAGTATATCGTCTATGGGAGGCAGAAAACTGTATACGTGTAAACTGATGACATATGGCGATCGACGAGGTGGACAGTTTAAAAGTAATAAAGTTTTGATCCGTGTGGGTGGTGGTTGGCAAGATTTAGAATTCTTCTTGTTGGAACATAGTTCTCTCATGGCCAGTGATGTGGTAGTAAGGTCTTTTACACCTACAAAAACTGTAGTTGCTGCTGGCGGTGGAGGTTGGCGAAATTGAATTGATTATAATAAAGGATTTATTTTTATTTATATTTTTTACATGTCAAAGCGATTGGTAATAGTATTATTGCTTAGCCAATTCAGTTCATCTTGGAAGCGTTCAACAATCGTTAGTTTGTTCATAATAAGGATGTGGTAATCACTGACTGTTCTATTCGAATTCAGTCCCAATGAAAGAGGTATCTTTTAAATCAGAGTGAATAAGAAATACATGTTTAGAATGGCTAACTTACATTTGATAAAGTGCTTTCAAGACAGGAAGCATCAGGGAAGTAAGTAAACAAGAAAGGCACTCTTTTTCCAGGAAAGTATTTTTCCAAATCATTTGATAGTTTATCAAGGCGTTTTTTGTTTTCATTCCAGTAGAATTGTCTAACATATTAGTGAATGAAACAACAAATGCTCTAATTTACCTTTGTTGCTGTGTTTGTTCTCTTGGTGCTTCAGGCAAAGAAAAGATAACAGCACCAGTTTCATCTACCCATTGACTAGGGAGATCCAGTTGAGGAGTTACCATACGGGTAACAATGTCAAATGCTTGATATCTTTGTTTTCGACTGTTGAATTCTGTATCAAGACCAAGTTTATGCGAAAACCAAACAGAAGAATCAAGGTGTATATCTGCAACATTGATTATCAGTTGCCATGTAGGTTTAGAAGATATGATAGGCATCTTATTTTGAATTCGAGGGTATATAGAGGAAATAGCAAAGTCTTGAGTTTCCCAGATAGTTGTTTGAACATCTTCTGAAATCTAGTGAGGTATAAGTAAAACACAGAAGAGGGAAAATGGTTCAATTTACCTTGACATTTTCCAGAGCAAATGCTTCTGCTTGCAAGCTTTGAGCTACACGCATTCGAATACCTTCTGGTGTGGAATGTATAGGTCTTGCTGTCTGAACAGGTGTATTTATGTAAGGGTTGCTACCATTAATGCAAGCGTTGAAATGCCACATACGATGGCGTTTTAATGCATTTGCGTTACGCTTCTCGATACGCTGACGAACACGGTGAACCCATGGTTGAGTATGATGTTGAATGAAGCGTTGCGTCTTTTGACTCTTTTTAGCTCTTTCAAATGCTGTATCCATAATTGCTTTTTCCATCAATTCATTCAACCAACGATTGCATAATTGAGATTTGACAACTTGACGATGCATAGCAGCTACTTGTTGATCTCGCTGTTCACGACGCAATTGTTCTAATTTAGCCTTTTCCGCAGCAATCTGTTGCTCTCTCCGTATACGTTCTTGTTCAGCTTCTTGGCGTTGGCGCTCTTGTTCTTCTTCTAGTTGACGTCGCCTGGCTTCTTCTTCTTTTTGTTTCTGTTCTGCTTCTTTTCGTTTACGCTCTTCTTCTTGTTTCTTTTGTGCCATTAAGGCGTCCAGTTTCTTTCGTTGTGCAGCTGCAGCTTCTTCAGCAGCATTCACTTTGCCTTCCAATTGCTCCAATTCACGCTGCTTATCTTGTTGTTGTTTAGAGTACACCAAATCTTTTTTTTTAAATTGAGCCGGTTCACCTGTAAGTTCAGAATAGGTAAAACTAGCTGAAACAGGTGCTTTCGGTTTGAATACATTGGTGATAGAGATAGGTTGATGGACATTGGGTTGAGAAGTGAATGGTATGGGTTGATGGCGTTCGAAATGGGTTTGCTCTCCATAAATAATACTTTGGAAGCTTTGTCCATTCTTCTTGGGTTCAACAAGTTGTATGGACTTCTTTTGAGATGGATTTGAGAGTGGTTCTATATCATGTTAACATAAAGACATAGCCACTCAAAAGAGACTTACCAACAAAGATAGGTGTCTTGGTACGATAATGTTTCTGGCCAAAACAAATGGTAGGTTCATCTAGTGACATGTCCAGAGGAATACCATACAGAGCAACTTCATTCAAAAGATGCTTGAGTGAGTCATAAGCAAGTACTTGTCGAACATGTTCAGCTTCAACACCACCAGCCTTCATCATATAAGACACATTCATGGCTTTCAATGCACCTTTTCTGATATCAGCAAAATGACATTCCAGCATACAGGCCATTAAGAAAGGTGTACCAGGATCAGCAATCAGTTTAAAGAACTTGGAATAAAAGTTCTGTGATGCTTCTACATTCTCTGGCTTATTACGTCTTGAACTGGTTTCCATGATTTCGTTGTTTCTTTGAGCCAAGCCAAAGAATTCAATAGCGCGTGTCATGTAAGGGTGTCGAAAGATATGTACAGGCAATGTTTGTGCTTGACGTACAACATCTTGATCACGGATATGACTGAGCATATGATAAGCACGAAATTCAGGTTCATTTTCAGTTTCAATGCCTTCTTCGCGTAGATCGTCATAAAATTCCATTAAACTAAGAAGAACTACAGAATTATATGAGTAAATCAAGAAGCAAGTCCGCATTTACCTTTGCGCAATTGCTCTGTTTCTTGCTGTTCACTGAATTTTGATTCATCAAGTTCACACATTTCATGGAGACATAAGATATGGAAACGAGCAATGCGTTCATGTACTTGAACAGCAGTAACATCTCGAATATTTTGCAAAGTGAAATCTTGACGTATAGATCTTGTTCTGTCACGAATAAAAGCATGACATTTCTCCAAAGGTTGTTGTGCCAACACCTCATCAATCAGATAGTTCAAAGTAGACTACAAGAGAACATTAGATATATGTGTATATAGACATTGCTAACTTACCACAAGAGATCGAGGTGTTCTAACATCAGAGGGTAAGGGTTGTTCATTACCAGCAGCAGACCTTCTATAGGCTTTAACTACTCTATTCTTGTCTGCATTACCAAACGTATCCATTTCAAGGGCATCCAGACCATTCTGAATTTCTCTTTCGAGAATTTCAAAATCAGGACATTTAGCTTCACAAGTACCACGGAAATCAATAGCATCTTCCAGTCTAACAGGAGCATTTGGATCAGGAATAAGACCATCTTCAATAGCTTGTTGTCGTTCAGCCACACGATTCTTTTTCATCTATTCAAACAATATTAATAAAAAAAAATGAAAGGGTGAGTAAAGATCTGTGATAGATAGTAAATCATGATTAAAAGTTATACTGATGACATTGTTTGATGTATAATTCATTCGTTTGTCGTAAGCCAAAACCATCATCGAAGTATATCTCTTGTTCCAATTAAAAAAATAGTACTAACTCTGTCATAATCAGCACTTTTGCTAGTTGATCCAAACCGCTGCGCTCTATCTGCAGCTGTCACACGCGACTGTTTGTCTGTGTCGTCTACCAACATGGGGCTGGCCTTCTTGGGTTGGAATGATTTCTTTTTAGTAGGCGTAATAAAGCTAAAAGTAGGCTTTGGTGTGTGATTTTTTTCTTGAGGTTGACCAAAAGAAGATTGGCCAAGAGCTTCATTGAGAGAAGCATCAAAGTGATTGCTGTTGTTGTTATTGCGGCCACGCCCACGTTGCTTGGTGTTTGGGTTACGAAACATAGACTGTTGCTGATGGTGTTGTTGAGGCTGTTGTTGTTGTTGTTGTTGTTGTTGTTGCTGAAAAGGTTGACGTTGTTGAAAACCCTGCAGCTGAAAGCTTTGAGGTTGAAAGCTTTGAGGTTGAAAGCCTTGTGGTTGAAAACCTTGCGCTTGAAAACCTTGCTGTTGTTGATTAAAAGCGTCGTGTGAGACAGCACTAAATACACTGCCTCTTCCACGTCCACGCTGATTAAACACCATAATATGATAAAAAGTAAAGAGGAAGAAAAGAAGAGCGAGAAGGTTTATTGATAGCGATGATCATCTCATTCGAAACTGGCGCCAGTGACGTGCAGTGAAAATGCTAGGTGCGGACCGAGACAGATTAATGGCACGTGACTTTTTGGCACTTTAAAACTCCATAATTAGATGAAATATATAATTTACAGAAACAAAATTTTTAGGATTTTTTGCTTCCTTGATGCTCGTTTCGCGAGCAAATTGCTGCTCCTGAAGATCGTATCTTCGAAGCGGCGATTAGACCAGTAAAAGATTTCAAATGATGATAAAGTCAGCCATATTTGACGAAATAGATAGGGACATTGGCGAAGTACAAAAGTGCATATGCCATACCGGTATCTTCTGACGAAGTCTTTTTTCTTTTGGTGTAACCAAACATTAATAGTACTCTAGCAAAATAAGGATATAAAGCAATTAGATAAATTCACAGCGATTTTGTAAAGAATTGTGATAAGTTACCCAAGTCAAAATATTTTTTTTAAAGATTTTATTATAGCTCCGCAATTCATACGGAATTATATTATGTAATTATGCTGCAAATGAACTAGATAGGATGATATGAAAGGTATGCCACTGCTATAAGTGGAAAAAAAATTAAGAGAAGAATTACAGTCTTGTGTGTACTTGCTTTTCATCTGCAAGCAGCTGTAAAGCAGTACGTGTTTGTTGTAGAGTGGAGTAGGCATCAAGAGACGTTGTCAAAAATCAATCTCCAGTGTGCTTTCCAGACTTGCGAGAGGGCGGTAATGATAATGTCAGCAACGGTTAAGTGTTTCTTTCGTGAACAATCTATTCTGGAGAAGTTTAGTGTAACAAGTGCCTGAATAATATATCTTCGACAGTGGTCGTAGGCCAAAGAAATTCGAAAATGAGATTGTTGCAGAAAAACTTCTTTGGCGGACACTAGAAAAGGAGATGTTGTTTCATTTTCAAGATGAATAGTGCAAATTGGACAAAGAGGCGAGGGGAACGTATCAAGAATTATAGAGTGAAGAAATTGTCTTGTGGGTAGCTTGGAAACAAGGAATCGGTACAGCATATTACGAGCAACTGGCAGCAGAGGCCAACTCCAAAAATCGACCCAAAAGACACTAAATATAACTTATAACTTGTAAGCGCTCTGGGGCAGATGTAGCACTCTGGCAAGTTAACTGAAATTCCTTTGTCGATACCCTGATGATTGGTTCAGTCAGAGTCGCAAATTGGAAGGAGTTTACAAATGGAACAAAAGATAATAATGGTGCTGATAGTGCAGTAGGCAATACCTCTGCAGTAGGAGGTTGGCAGTGTTTGACAAAGAAAGGGAAGAATTGGTACTTGTTATTTTCTAGCCCTCGGATGATCTGAAGATAGAATTTTTTGAGCTCTTGCGAAATATGATCTGGATGTTTCCAATGGATTGACTGAAGATCTTGGCTGAACAATATAAATGCTTGAACTGGAACGAATTGAATCCTTTTAGGTAATGAAGGAATTCGTGGTCTTAAAGATTGTAAAACGGCCTTCATCGGTAACCTAAGACATGCTTGGTGAGATAGCGTCATCTGGCCAAAATCTCGAGGCAAGCGATCTACTGCGGCATATAACAGATCGATTGTTGAAATACGTTTACCGCACCCAAAGTGAGAAGTTCTAGTGTGCCTAGCCAAAGGAAAGAGCAAAGGAATAGCTACCTCATAATAGCCAGAAATATTTTGAATGTGCCTTGCGAGTATACGATACCAGTGTGCATTAGTAGAATGATTCAACAGAGGGAAGACTCAGCAACTACAAAGCGCATCTCTGCAATAACGTATCAAGAACTCCCAGACCACCATCTTCTTTCGGCAGAATCCAAGTCGACCAAGCAATTTTTGGAAAGATCTTGAAGTTTAAGAACTGTTGTGCTAAAGACCGTATTCGGAGAATCTCAGTCTTCATGAACGGTGTTACACGAAGAAGATACCAACATTTGGATAATATCAAGGTGTTAACCACCGTGGCACGGCCTAACGCTGACAAGGAACGGGCAGAGTGTATCGAGCAGGCATTTTTTATCTTTGCCAGTAAGGTCTCAAAATAGTTTTGTCTTTGTGCAACTGATTGGATCAGTGGAAAGCCTAAGTAAACGATAGGTTGTGCATCAACAGAAGACTGAATATGTTGTATCTGTAGGGGTAGCAGGTACCTATGCCAAAACGACCAGGAGTTTGTACCAGATAAAGATAGAGCCTCAATCTTGTTAAAGTTGATTTTTGCATTTGATGCACTACAATACGTTGCCATATGTCGTTGTAGTATTGCTAGATCATTCGGATCATGTACAAATACTAAAGCATCATCTGCATAGCAAAGAATTTTAGTCGCTATAGGAGCAGGAAGGGAAGAGTCAGGTCTTGGTGTTTGCAGTCGAAACTGATACCCTTTAAACCCAACATCTTGTATAATCGAGCGTAGAAATAGGTCAAATGTCAAGTTATACAAAACTGGTGATAGTGGATCACTTTGTTTTAATCCTCTTCGTTTCTTGATTTTTTTTTTTTGTGAAGAACCCATTAACGTTAATTTTGATCTCGTTTTTTGAGAGCAATTTGTGTATTGTATCAGCAATCACTTTCGGGAAACCATAGCCTATCAGCGCTCTTTTAAGGAATGTAAGATGTACCCGATCCTATGCCTTCTCTTGATCCAGTAAAAGCGCTAAATCGTGGTCACTACTTCCGCCCTGTCTCGTATCTTGCTGTACTCTGGCTTGTGCGTCTTCGATTATAGTCTGGACTATTACTTCATTTTCTGCGATAAATCGTCCTGGTATAAAGCCAAGTTGGAATTGGGAAATCAATTGTGGAGCAATCATCATTATACGCCGGTTTAGTATCCTTGTAAAGATCTTATAGTCCGTGTTAGTCAGTGTAATCGGTCTATAGTTCTTCATATCGGATACATTGTCTTTCTTGGGTAGTAACACCATCAATGATTCATTCCATGACATTGGAAGACTACCAGCTAAACTATCATTCTACACATCCGTTATCAATGAATGAAGACTTGGGTGTTTCATGATAAGATTCAAGATTTCATATGGAATACCATCTGTGCCAGGGCTACTTTGTCTTGGAGTTCGTTTGAATTCTTCAAATATTTCATTCATAGAGATACTCAACATCATAGTGTCTCTTTGACTGTCATTCAATTTCACACTGTCAGGAATTTTAGCAATCAGTCTGTTCATAGCATGGTAGTTAGGAAGATCCGGAGTATATAAGTCAGAATAGAATTGTTGTACTATTCTCTCTTTAGTCTCTTGATCTCCACAAAGTTCACCACTGACAGAATTTCGTAGATTGCCTACCGATTTTGATGTGTTCGTACTTTGATCAACCTGTTTAGAAAGCCTGGAGACTTCTCGCCTTTTTCACTCCAGTTTTTTCCTGCTCTCTGAGCGTCTATTTCCGCAGCTTCTTCTTGCAATGCTCCCAATTGTTTTTCTACTATGGGTGATGTCCAATCCACTATACCACGATGTTTCTTATTTCGAAGGATTTTGTTACGTCTCCGTTGTAGCCGTTTTATCTGTTTATTTCTCCAATTGACTGTCTCCAATTGAAATGACTTGGTAGACAGTTTGACTTCAGCTTTAATCCAGTCCCAATTTCTCTGAGCAGTGTAATGTTTTCTCTGATTCTGGAGTTGCAGAACTAGTGTATCCAAGAAAGCAGCTAATTGTTGTCTAAAATCTTTCTTTTTCGACAGCTTAGGATTTGCCTTCCATGCTCCTGGCCCTCTAGTACTTTCTTTGCTCAAGTTAAAGTTAACTGCTAGTAGAGCATGATCTGTCCAAGTACAAGAAATAAACATTTGTTCCACGCTCTCTATATTAGCCTGCAATCTATGGTAGCAATATACGTAATCAATGATAGAAGACGCATTTGAACCTTGCCATGTTATCTGTTTGTCATTGAAAAAGCAATCATAAAACGAAGTCTGCAGCAAATCTATCCATTCTGCCGGTGGACCATAGACAGATCCATCCAAAGTTCGTTTTTCTATACTATAGTTGAAATCTCCAAGAATGATAGTGTTGTATAATTCGCTGGTCAAATATAATTGTACCATTACATCTTCCATCATGTTGTTGAAAAACGTTGCTTTAATCCGAGCGCTTTGAGTTGCTGGAGCATATATATTTAAAATAGAAAGAGTAGGAGGGACTAGAAGAATTACTCGTATTCTCTTCTACTAGGTATACAGCCGCTAGAATGTATCTTCTCGCCACATCCGTGCATACTAACTTGAGCATATATTGAGATTGAGTGAGACAACTCCACAATGTTAAGTCCATAAAGGAGTTCGTCTGAAACTGTATATTTAGTTGATTCATATTTGAGCATTATCGGCATGTGTTTTTGGAAAGCGATAATGTCAAGTCTAAGGAGCGAAGATATCGAATAAAAGTTTTTGTTGAGAGAGATTGGAGGTTTTTCGTAGGCTGCGACAGTTGAGTGTCGCAACTCTTATTTTACATGTATTGGACATATTTAATTGATATTGTAGTGTGTTTAGAGTTGGTCGCTAAGACCACCTTGTCCTAGTTCCATAGTCGGAACTGAATTCATAAAGGCTAATTGTGCTTCTGTGAATTGATGCCTGCATTGCTAGTTGTTCTAGCTGCTCCCAGCTCTAGATACTGGTTGCTCGTTCTCTAGCATCCGTATCTGTTCGCTTGTCAAAATCAAACGTTGTTGTTTCAAGAATTGGATCTACTCAAAGTTCCAATTCATTGCGTTTCAGTAGGACGGTCCTGACTAATCTCATCTCCTGCCTTTTGTCCACAGAAACGCTCGTATTTGCTTAGAGTCTCTGATGCTGTAATACGGAGAGAAGGAGAAGGAGAAGGAGTCTCTTGAGCAGCCTTTGGCTTCTCGGGTTCAGAGGTCTCAATATCCATGTTATCCTCTTCTTCCTCTTTTCCTCAACAATGATAGGAGTGACTTCCTTAGGTTTTGCAGTATTTAT